GGGCTTCCTGGACCCAGTGCTGAAAACGTTTCTCAAACCAGTAAAGCCTGAGGAACACAACGCATGTATGCAGCGTGATGGGATTTGAGAATAAGGAGAAGGTGTAAATCCATGCCAGCTGAAATCCATTGAGGTTGTTGAGATCAACGGGATTGAGTCCGGCTTGCGTGTTTGCACCACTACCAAACATGAGAGCATCGATAAAATGAAGCTCTCCTTTGCCGCCAGCATAGATGAGAACGGCGGAAAGTAATGTTGCGAAAATAATCCAAAAATCTAAGCCGCGCAGCAATCAGTATGGGAACGCTCTAGGCAATGTCAAGGTGATAAAACAGGTATGAAGTACTCACAGTGGACGGTGATAAAGTTGAAATGTGGTGTTTTTGATACAAAGGCGGGTTTAGCACCCTTAATCTGCGCCGCTATAAAGGCGCGAGTCTCGTCGAACATTTTATCCAAGAGAGGAGCAGAGGCTCCAGATATTGCAAGGGGCAGACGCAGGTGGCTCCAAAAAAGCAAACGAGGTTTTACTCCAGAAGCGTCAGGCGGACGCGACGCCAAGGTTATGAGTTAGTACAGCGAGGTGTGAGCGCAGACGTGATGTCGCTGGCAGGACGAAATTTCTTTTGACAGAAAAAATCTCGATCTGTCGGGCTTCGAATTGTGCTTCTTTAGGCGTGAGTCCAGTCGAAGGACCTCACAATCGACAAAACGCAAAAAGGCATGATCGAGAGCAATGCAAGTGGCGAGATTCGATTATCGTGAGGAGACCATGTCTGGTCAGGGGTGGAAAGCTCGTGGTCCAGGGGAAGCTGACTTTCAGAAGGGCTGGAAGGGAAGCAGAAAGAGTCAAAAAAGAGGAGTGCCGATAGTGGTATGCGGATGCAGGAGTCGACACTATCGCTGAGATGGGTGAAGAAAAGCGACAGAGGATAGCGCGTGCTGATTGACACTTTACGAGCCAGTAGCGGGAGGGGAGCAAGGAGGCCTGGACCTGATATCGAGCTTATCAGGAGTGCAGGTTACAGCGCTGACTGAATTATGCAAGGTTGCCGTGGTTTGTGGCAGCCAAAGAAGAAGAAAAGACAAGGATGGCGCTGATACTGCTGGAGAGATTGGCGAGGAGGAAGATCGTAATTGGCGAGTCCTCTTGCGCATTGGCCGGGCGTGCCTGCAAGCTGTCGACTGGTTTGCAGACGCTTTGATCAATGGCGCAAGTTGAAATTGGAGGGGTTGTCGTCAAGGCGCAATTGCAGATAGCTGAGCAGATCCGGGCTCATAAAAAGACGGTGAAGCAATATGAGAGAAAAAAAAAAAAGAAAAAAAAGACAGAACGGTGGCGTAAAAGGATTGCTGTAAACGTCGGCACCAAAGCAGGGTTCCGGGATCCCCTTCTCGTTGTCGTGGCCCGTGGGCTGATGTGATGCGCGCAGGCCCGTGGTTGCAAGGCACCCTCTCGCTGGACTGCGTGTGGCCCTCGAACAGCCGGACTTGTGGTACTTGTAGTGTCACCACCCGAACATGCAGCGTGGACGGAGCTCAGATATCATGCAGGGTTACGGTGCAAGCAACGGCCAATGCAATTCTCCCGGCCTCGTTGAGTCCCGCGGCTGCGGCAAGATGCCAAGCCCCTTTGGCGGCGATTGGTGGCACGGAGGACGGAGGGCCAAGAATGGAGCACAGCCAGACGGAGCGAGACGCGCCACCGTCTACGAGGGTCGAGATCGTTCCGTTTCGAGGCGCTGTTTCTGCAGTGTTTCGGCGGGATAGCTGGGGAGATGAAGGAGGAGAGATTGGGAGAGATTGGGAGAGAAACGGGGGATTGAAGTCAAAGCCTCTCTCCAGGAAAGGGAAGGGGGGGCAAGAGAAAATCGACGACGTGCGCCTCGTGCGACTTGTTGCTGCCGACTTTTCAGCGTCTTCCGTTCCTTCTCTCAGTCAAACGGCCTATTCCGGGAGAGGCTTAGCAGAAAGCTTAGCCCAGGCCTTTCTCTGACCCAGAACGCTAGAACGAGGCCCCGCGTACGTCAGTGCATGGAGCACTGGGTAGCCGCTGCTAAGAGGAGGCTGGATGAGTGCTGCGGAATGCCGCCAAAGGGGCTGGTACCTCGATAACAGAAGTACTCGTATCGTACGTACTCCACGCTTTCCATCTTGATGGACAAGTACGGAGGACGGAGCTGCTGCCCTCTCTCAGCTCATGCTCCGCCTGTTGACCGAGTTGCCGGGCAAGGTACCTCCTATTACCTGGGCCGTGCCCTTGTTAGCAGGTACCTATTCACCTGTGCTCTGGGCTATGTAAATCTACAGCACATTCAGTACCTGTACTGTTTGACAAGAAAATCATCAATCTGGTCCAATTGATGAATCAGTTATACGCATTGCCTCCCAATGGCCGTCTGCTGATACCACCGCTAGCCTTGATGGCAATTGGACATTTGATCAGCCAACGCATACTCCAGCTCCTCGGAATGCCCCCCCCTAGAAACATCAGCAAGGTCAGCCAACGCCGAACAGCGAATCCTCCCGCCAAAACGGAGTTTGACTCGTTCGCAGCGACTCTCCCCGGGCGACCAATAAATGCCCCGTAGCGCCCGACGGCCAGGCCGCAAAGCCGGGGTACAGAAGGAGAAAAAACGCCTGAAATGAACATCCATGAAACATCAGCACTGCTGTGATCATTTAGGGTCATAATATGCAGTGAAAATCCATTACAGAATCAACAACCCATTGCTACCACTATTTGCTTCCCTGCATACAAAAAGAAGAAGCCCCAAAAACACGCTCAACCAAATAGTCTAAGCCCGTTGTGAGGATATTCCCATCATCTGCCTCTGCTAACACCCGATACACATACAAAACGGGCAGCGTTGGGCAGCATCTAAGACGCCGGCAATGATGTCACTTTGCTCCTCGTCCTTGGGATTCTATTCTCATGCACCGCCGCCGATCCCCCAAAATCAAAAAGCTGGGCGAGCATGTCATTTGCGGCACTTTTATTCAACTTTTTTCCTCTTCCATTGGCCTCTTTCGTTGTCCCTCCCCCGGCCGGATGCAACCTCCGATTCATGCGCCGTGCTCTGCAACACAACTAGAGACAAAACAAGTGACCCCCCCAGTTTGTCCAAGATAACGCAACGCACGGCATCAGAATGCAAACGCCAGATTCATTAGCACTGCCCTCTGTGCGCCCCCGGCGTTACACCAAGACAATGGCATTTCCCATTCAATTCGACCCGGCCGAGTTCTAGAACGGAATCAGCATCCCGTAGCGTTTTGTGCAACCCCCCACGAGACAACATACCGGCCACCAACACTCATGTTGCACCAAACCTACATGTATATCGTTGCAAAGGCTTGCACAGCACATGCATGTCTTACAGCTATTCCGGAGCACGCACACAGACCATGCATCTGTTGTCCATCATGTGCATCCGAAATGCACACGTCCTTCATTCCAATCCCATGACATCCGATGATGCATCCGAAAATCGGGATTTGAATCTGGCCCATGTCCCCCAAGGAAACGCCAAGCCCAACAATTCTCCGGGGTACTCGATATGGCTTGTTCATTCTGATATAGCCACGTGCAACTGGAGTGATGGATGGATATGGTGATATGCCGAGAGAGCTTTCGTGGCCTGATTCTGACGAAAGAGTCTAACAAAAGACGTGAAGGGAAGAGACTCCTAGTGAATCTACCATGCTTTCCATAATGGCGAAATCCATATAGCTCACCTTCCATTTTACTACATGCAAGGCGGCGGCCGAATTCTCCCAGATGGGGTTCTCTTATACGCATCTGCCACATAATGAGGAACAAGCCTCTTGCTGCCCAACCCGAATACCGACAGCAAGCGTATACTGGCTGGCAGCTACATCAATCGAGAAGCAACAAACTGATGGCGTATAACGATTCGCTGAGGAGCTGACCATAAGCACCTACGCTTGACATGACTTGTTACGCTCCCGTCACTCACGAGATAAACACACAAGCTACATGTGTAAACAGAAAACAAGGCATGCAAGAAATATATCAAAAAGCCGCAGTCCACCACCGCAGGGCTACTGTACGGCGCCATTACCAACCAAACCACCCCGGTTGTAGGAAATCCTATATTCTTAGCGCGACCATCTGCATGAGAGTCAATTCATCTATATCCATCATCAACCCAAATCTCGATTGCAATACAACATCGTCAAAGCCGGGATGCTAGACTCCACAGGGATCATGTAAGACGACCTCACCAATACGCCCAACTCCTCACCGTCAGTCATCATCTCCATTCTCCTCTCAAAGCAACGCCTCATGAACAACCTCTCCACATACCACACACAGGCAAGACAATCCATCACTTCTCTCATCACAACTCGCGCTGCTAGACGCCCGCCTCCTTCGTGATATGCAGCCCATCGTGAGGAGGCGTATGTAGTGGCCCATCCTCGCATCCGCAGCCAATGAAACAACCCTGTGCCTCTACTTGGGCTCCTGGATGCAACTCACCAGGTGAGATTTGGGCACCCAGCATCGAACTTCCTCTGCACATTGCTGACCCAATGCCTTTCCATTCGCCATATGCAAGTCCCCCTCCATGCCAATCAACATACGATGGCTGTCACGAGACGCTCACACAAAAAGGCTACTACCTAGTCGTGCATGCGGTTTAATACGAGCAAAGTCTGTTGGGGGAAATAAGAATGGCAATAATATTGTATGAGTATGACCTATGCTTTAATAGTGTATCACTCCGTGCATCCGTTGCGGGAGGTAGAATCTTAACCACCGTTGATGAAAAAAAAATCCGAGATCAACGCCGTTCACCAAGAAGGCTGCTTTTTCAGCAACACCTTCATATATGTCATAACACCTCGCATCAAATCAAACCTTGGTTAGTAGTATCTGATCATCCAATCTGTTTAGTTGTGAATAACGAATAATTATGAAAAGAGAAAAAAGGGGAAGGGGGAAGAGGAAGAAGCCTATCACCAAGGTCAAAGATCTAACCCAAGGCGACTCGCCTGGCATTTTCTCGTCCAATCTTCTTGAAGAATGCGCTGCTCTCTTTCTTCCCCTTTCCTTTCTTGAAAGCACCATTCATCTTCTTATTCTGCTCAATGTAAGCCATGTCTTGTCCGCCACTGAGCTCGCCCAGTGTGCCGGCTGTTCGGCGGGCAGCTCCCTTCTTCTTCTTTCGGCCCATTGTACCACTGTGAAACAGATCATCCGTGATGTCTTCGTCATCCATCGTCTCATTCTCGACCAGTACCTTTTGTAGCAGCTCGCGACGCTCAGTCGCCGTTGCAAACGCCAGCCCGGGCGTCTTCTCAATGTTCGCCAGCTGCGTAATCACTTTGAAAGCGTAGCCCTGATCAACCAAAAAGGCCTGTCGCTTCGAGGAAAAGTACATTTCCTGCGTATCTTTAGAGACGAGAGAGTAGAAGAACGCATTGAAACCCTCGTCATTTCTTCGCTTGGCTCGAAGGATACGACCGAGTCTCTGGGCCTCTTGACGTCGAGAACCGTAATGCGACGAGATTTGAATCAGACATGTGGCCTCCGGCAGGTCCAGAGATGTGTCTCCAATCTTTGAGAGGAATAGCGTATTGACTTGCGGGTTGTGCTGAAAATTCTCCAACACTTGTAGACGTTCTGCCTGGCCAGTACCGCCGTAGATGAAGGCCTTGCCCAACTTTAACGCGTATGCTTTCAACGCGTATACGTTATCCGAGAAGACAATGATCTTGTCGCCTCTGGATTCGTGGTAATTGATCAGGTACTGGCAGGCCTGGAACTTGCGCGGGTTCATGATGTAGAGCAGGTTCTTCTTGCGCGATGGCGCCCGAAGATACTCGTCATAGAACTCGGTAGGCATGGGACACCAAACTTCGGCGCATTGCACTCGAGCAATGTGACCCTGCTTGGATAGCTCCATCCAGTTGGCCTCGAACAGTTTTGGCCCAATGAGGAAATTGAGATCAGAGATTTTGTCGTCCTCTCGGAGCAATGTGGCCGTCAATCCCAGCTTAGAGTGTGTCTTGATGGAAGATGTGACTTTTCGGAAGATGTTGGCGGGCACGACGTGCACCTCGTCCAGAAGCATCAAGCCCCATTCTCGCCCAGTAAGGAATCTCATCATTTTCTCAGCATCATACGATCGAGCTCTGGACTGAGTAACCATGGAATAGGTTGTGACGATGATGCCGGTGCTTCCCGTGAAGACGCTGTTTTTGGAGTCCGACGTAAAGGCGACAATATCGTCTGGATTAATATTGGACCACTTCAAAAACTCGTTTCGCCATTGCACCACGGACATGGAACTTGTGCATAGCACAATGACACCCTTCTTGATAGTGCACGCTGCGGTAATGCCAACCAGCGTCTTTCCAGCTCCGCAGGGCAAGACGATCAAGCCACTCTTGGCACGGCCGTTACCAAACATTTTGCTCAGGCTCTTTTCCTGGTACGGTCGGATCTGGGTGCCCGGCTTGAGATCGATATCCAGCGTCGCGTTGACTTCATCTCGTCGGAAGTCGTACTCTTCGAGGACCGGGAACCCCAGGTTGAGACATTCCTTCTGGACCGTCTCGACATCTTTATCGGCAATCTCAAACGAGTGCGTCACCTCCTGGTCGTCATCATCTTCCTCGCCCAGTCGAGCGAGCACGTCGCCTCCCTGCATGGCCGGTTGGCCATCTTGCGCTTGCTCGCCGTTTGCCGGCTGCAAACCGTTCGCCTGTTTGGCACCTGCAGCATTCTTCGTACCAGGAATGACGAGGTTGCCCAGCTTGGGCGCGGCGGATGTCGTGATTTCTGCCGTTCCTTGCACGCGGAGAGGGCCAATCCTGGGGTTCTTGAGTAGCATCTGCAGCATGTTGGGATCTGGACTCTCGACGTAGTACTTGGTATTCTTCAGGACGAGCTTGACCTTTCCGTAGCTCTGGGTGCAGCTCTCGATAAAGGATCGGATCTCGTCCGGCAGAGGCGTCTTGAGAAAGCGATCGAGGGTATTTATAATGTCATGAGGCGACAAGCCAACGGAGACCGCGGCGTAGAGACTATGCGTTGTGAGGGCATATTCATGCATAAACGTCGGGCGCGACAAGGGCTCGGCAATGGTAATGAGGAAGTCTTGGGCCTGCTCCGCCAGTGGATTGAAGCTCTCGAGGATGATCCTGCCCTTCTGAGGGTCAATCCAAAGCGGCCGGTTCTGATGATCTTTCTTGAGATCGAGGTACGAGAAATCATTGCTACCAAAGATGTGCGGGAGAGGCTCCCGGATGTGATGCTTCTTCTGGTACCGCCCCAGCGAGAAGCGATCTATATTCTTGTCGATGTCCTGCTCCAGCTCCTCGTCCAGCGGCGCATCATCCTCCTCCACCACCTCATCGCCACTATCGATGCTGCGGGGAGTCGTGCCTCCAGGCGTCGACATGCGCGAGGACCGGCCAGCCTTGAGTCCTCCCTGCACAGCGCTGCCGCCTGCCTTTCTCTTGATAGGAGGCATCGTGATTCTGATTCTGCTTCTGCTACGAAAGAGAGAGATTGCGAGACGCAATCGCCGGCTTGATGGGGAGACGAGCGCGTCACCGCCGTGTATAGGAGGAGAGGTGGCGAGCAAGCAAGCCGACAACTGGGGAGAAGAAGAAAGAAAGATTAATCAGAGTTCACGGTCATGCTCGACGGATAGATGACCATCAACGCAGGCAGATGCTGACTAACAACTCAAAGACGCGCCACCATGAGGAAGAACTGTTCAGGCGGCTCCGACCAAGTAAATTGGCGGAAGACAGCCCAGCCCAGGGGGGCCAGTGCACTAAAAGGCACCCCCACCAATAGCAGCTGCAGAGGGCGGCGTCTGGGAAGACAAAACCCAAGAGACCAAGAGATTCTGCAGCAGCTCCAGAACTATCACCACATTCGCTACCAAGGACGAGAAAAAAGAAGATCCCTCTATCTTGCTCATCTCTGCTTCTTCTCATCCTGCGTCATTGCATATCCTCAAGCCCAAAAGCCACGAATCCAGCATCATCAACATCTCCAACCCCTACCCAAAGACTCAACTCACCATGTGGTACGCACGAAACGAACCACCAGCAAATCCAACATCAAGCAAACCAGCTAACGAAAACCCTCCCAGCAAACACATTCTCAACGCCCAAGTCGCCATCCGCTCACCATGCTGTACGCCCGCCCTAAACAAACACCCATCCCCTCTTCCCACCAACTAACATCAAACTCCCCCCCAAAAAAGGCCGGAAATGGTTCGACTGCGCCGAATGCCACTCCGAACAAGAAACCCACCCCCTCAAACAAAGCATGGAAATGACTTTTGCCTGCAAAAAGTGCAAAAAGGTCTTCCGCAAGGACGCCGAGGAATTCGACGAGAGCGACGAGTACTGCCCGCACTGCGACAACCACTACGTCCTCGAGGCAAAGACCCCCAAGGCCGCCCTCACCATCGAGGGCGACGACGTCCGCATGGACAACAGGCTGCTCAAGGACGAGAGGGTCCGGCAGGGGGGCCGGAGGACCATCTTCGACCCGACCCCAGAGGCTGACAAGCTCGGCTAAGCAACCTGTTCCCAAGGGGGAGGGGAGCATGGGGTTGTATATATTACTATTCATATCGTCGTTGTTTGGAAAGCTCCTGTATCGGCGTTCCACGGCATCACATTAATTGGAGTTTCTTTTCTTTTTTTCTTTTTTCTTTTCATCAACCGAGGTGGCGATTTTATCATGGCGTCCCTCTTTTAAATCTTGCATATCATGTTGATACAATAGCATCTGCGCTCTAAGTTTGCGTTCCAATAAATACCATTTCCATTGATTCTCTATTCAGCAGCAGAGTCATCGCCGCTCCTCGTCAGGATGGCAGCGCTTCCGGTGCCCGGTGTTCGTCCCGTCTTCTTCTTGGCAGCCTCCTCCTGCTTCTCCTGCTCAATCTCCTTGACGTAGCCCTCAATCTCGTCCGTCGGCAGCAACTCCATGTGCGCACCAGGGGCCATGAGCGCAATCTCAATGTTCTTCGCGCCAGTCTGCACCACCTCAAGGAGGGACTTTATCGCTAGTCGAATGGTGGTCTCCCGGTCCATGTCCTCCTTGTAGTTTCGCTCCAGGAACTCTCGAACCGTCTTGCTGGAACGGCCAATAGCGTTCGCCTTCCTGCATTGGTCAAGAGTATCAGCCATCATGCACTCGATGAAACGCATACGAGAACCTTACCAGGCCGAGTAGATACCAGAGGGCTCTGTCTGATACAATCTGGGCACCTCGCTTCCATTGTCAAACCCAACCACCAAGGTGCTGATACCAAACGGTCGGACACCTCCAGCCTGTGTGTAGCGCTGCTGCACGCCGGCAACGTATTTTGTAATGTACTCGATCGTGACGGGGTCCTCCACCGACAGCCGGTGGGATTGGGCTTCTAACCGTGCCTTGTCGACGAGGATTCGGGCATCTGCGTTCAGGCCGGCAAAGGCCAGGGCGACGTGGTGGTCCAGCACCTGGATCTTGGAGGGCGTAATTCTTGTGTCCTGCAGCTTCATCGCAGACCTCTTCTCACATCCCAGCACCACGACTTCCTTGCCTTTGACGCCGACAGCGCATGTTCCTATCCCGAGAAAGTGTCAGTCAAGGTGGGGGCAGACAGCTTTCTGGATTCGTCCAAAACGGACCTCTCTTCACAGCTTCGCCGGCATATTCAACCTGGAAAACGTGTCCGTCGGGGCTGGGCTAAACGTCAGATGGGCGAGATCGCGATAGTAGACACGGCTGCAACGGGCACAAACCTGAAGACTAGAAACACACAGCAAATGTCAGCACACTGAGGATATCGACACTCAGCCAGCGAATGCGTAATAACTTACCGGACAGAGCTCTGTCGTAACCAGACGCCATGGCCGCTGATTATTTGCAAAGGGAAAAGAAAAAGTCACGCAATGATGATTGTTCGAGGCCACCCGAGTGCAGTGCTGGCGGGCAATGCTGTGGTCAAGAGGAGGTTGTTTGTTTCTGGCGCCTTGACGTTCGATAACTGGGGGGGGTCGATATGCTGGTTCTAGCGGAGCTTCGTCAGAGTGGCAGCCTACCTTGCCTGTGGCGGTACTTGGGAAAGGCTGGAGCTGGGCTGGAGCTTCCCTGTGGCAGCCGCGCTGGGGGAACGGAGAAACGTGATGGCGGGGTCCGCACCCAAGGTACGTACTCCATGTTCCAAAGAGCGTGGTCACATGACATGGATGGAGAGCGAAGTACTTTGTACCTTGGAGCGCCTCGACTTACACGCGCATCAGGACATGTGAAGGGAGTTGAACCGGCAACAAGACTCAATCTGATGTATAGGTACTTATAAAGAAGAATACGACCAAATCCATCATTTCGAAACTACAACAGCGAACAATTAAACATGGTGAAAATCCCTCTTCTTCACAACAGTCATTTCCAACACCATAACCCCCTACCATTGCATCTCTCCATCTTCCCTCAATACCAATCAAACATCAAACGAAACCGATTCGCAAGACCGCAAAACCACGACATTCAATCACACACCTTCAAACCCCCCGCTTACACCAGTCCTTGCCTCATTCCATCAAGACGAGCACCATGCAGTTCGTATTCGATGCGAGTAATACCGATGCACCCCTTGCTCGCCTATTAGATCCCTCAAAAACTACAGTATCAACATCATCCCACACACTGTCCATCTCCCAGCAACGCCCACCCGATAATCTCGTTACCCCACACTGTATCTTCAACAAACTGCTATTCTTAGCCACCAACATCACAGGCATGACCAATACTCGTGCATATTCCCCAAAATAGAAGTTTGGGGCCAAGTATACTATTCAAACTATAGAAAGTTGCTGCAATCTTCCTTTTTCTTCTCCTTCTCCCTTAAAAAAAAACTTCCCTTTCCTGAAGGAGGTGAGATAATTCCCCCGCTTGATTTTCCCTTCTTCGCTGTCTGTCCTTCCAAAACTGGCAGTCCAGCTGCCCTCCCTTATATGAAACATCTCTATCGAGTCTATCTGATTTTTGCTTCTGAAAAAAAAAAGTTCCAAATGTCGCTATACAAAAGTATTCTACACTGTAATGTCATCGTTCGTTCTTCTTGGCCTCGTCGTCGTCGGTTTTTGGTTGCAACCCCCCCTCGTCAAACTTGTATGGGTTTGGGTTGACATGTTGCGTAAACTGATTATTCATTAGAATTTGGCCACTTCAGACCATTTGTGAGCTTGCAAAACACTCGTCACGGCTTGCGCCTTTGCCCACAGCCGCTTCTTGAAGCCGTCCAGCCACAAGATCTCAAGCACGCCATCCTGCGACGCGGCGTTGACGTCTCGGTAAAAGTCCATGGCAACCGTCATCGGCCCCAGGAGCAAGTCCGGCTGGACGGTCAAATTCAATGCTGAATCCAATCCCCTGCAGATGTTGGCGGCCAGCTCTCGTCCGTCTTGGTAATGCGCCGGGTCGATTTGCAGGTTGGGCGGCAGTTCCGGCCACATGTTGGGATAGGCGTCGACAACCGGTTGGAAAATGGCCATGTGTACATGTTCGATACAGCGGTGGAATGGGATCATGGCCATCCAGTAATAGACGAACATCAAGCCAGTGACCCCGTCCTTGAAGGTATACGCATTGGCAAAGGGGATGGCGCCGCCAGGGCTCCTGAGCTCCTCGGCCCAGAACGGGTACGAGTGCTCTTCCGTTCCCCTATAAGCCTCCTGCAGCCATTGGCGGAACTGCGCTTCGACAACCAGACAATGATGCAAAAGCTCCTGGGCTTGTGTCCGACGGGCAAGCGTTGCCTGGAGGTGGATGATTCGATCCATCTGCTCGAAGATGGCGGGAAGTTGAAGTATAATGTCAAACAGCTGGTCGAGGGCAGATTTTGGATGCTGTTCCCATGGTATCGTGGTCCATTCCGGTGCTCTCAAAAAGGTATCACGTCTGCTCAAGAGAGCAATGCTCATCTGTTTTTGTCCAGCAAATTATTAGCAATCGGAGAAAGGGGGGAGGGGGGAGGGGGGAAGGGGGAAGGGGGAAGGGGAAAATCCGGGACAGCCAGAGGGGGGAAAATCGTCGACCGAGAAACCTACAGCTACAGGGCGATATACCCTCACGAAGAAGTGGTGATTCGGAAAGGAGGCGAAATAGTGCGGACCAAGTCTGGTCATCTGTTCGGCCGTGAGCCTCCATGATGCGCCGGACGAATCGTGCTGTGTAAGTCCCATCTCCGAATTAGCTCGACCGGACTTGAAAGCGAACCTCGTCCGAGGAAAACCCGCGCGGTGATCGCACAAGACAACACCACGACGAGGAAAACAGAAATGCAGAACCAGAAACAAAAAAAAACTCACCTCGAATAGAAACGCGCAGTAGCTCTCTGTCGAGTCATGCTCAGAATTAGTGGCCTTTTGGCGCACAAAACATTGCGCATTCATACCGAAGGCATCGTCCGCCACCGGCAGCAACTCAGCCGCCGCGTAGGGAGGAAACTGTATAGCACTCAAAAGTCCCGCGGCGGCCCCATCACCGCCGCCTTCACCACCGACAGCCGCCTCGAGTCTCGCCACGCTTTGCAAATTCGTCTGGAGCGCCGTGATGAGGGCTGGGAAACCGGTTCCCCCCTGGCCCCCCGGCGTCAATCGAACGTAGTCGTCCCAGGCAGAGGTGAGCGGTGCCAGGGGTTGAAAGAGCTGTGAGCCGCTAAAGATGCTGCTGCTGCTGCTGCCAGGCTCGTCCGCCGCCTTGACGCTGGGGCTAGGGCTGGCCTTTGGCTTCTTGGAAGGCGTCGTCTTCTTGGGATGCGAAGCTACACGGCCTTTGGTCTCTGGCGTGCCAGTGATGAACACTCGCTCTCTCTCATAACCCTCGCAAGTTCTGCCGCTGCTGATGCAGTTCTGGCAGAACGGACGCTCATTGCTGCACTATTTTCTCGACATGTTAGTTGCTGCCCGTTGTTATATCGTCTTCTTTGCGTGTGTGTCTGTCTGTCTGTCTCTCTCTTTTTCTCGTTTCTCTTCATCATAATGTCTCATTTTTCATCGACAAAGGTGTATAAGTAAGGGGGGAGGGAGAGAAGAAGAAGAACAAACCTTGACTCGACGCCTGCGGCAGGTCTCGCACCCCTTATACTTGCCGGGAACACCAACCATGATGTCGATCTTCGAACTCACGCGTGTATATATATAGTTATATATATATATTTGTGTGTGCGTGTATGCGTGTGTGTGTCAACTTGAAACGTATGTATGAGAGTTTCGTGTATGCGCGTGCGCGTGGGTGTGTGTGTGTGGTCTCTGTGGGGGGGGAAAGGGAAGGCCGGCGAATATGTTCCTCAGCCTTTTCCAGAAAGAAAATGGGAAGAAACAAAAAAAGAAAAATGTCCGGTTCGTTGGTTGGCGAAAGGGCTGTTTGGTTTGGTCTGGTCGGAATGTCTTTTGCAAACCCGGCCCGCAGTCTTGCTTCTCTTTGCCACCGCTTATCCTCTTTGCATCATCGTTGGGTCTGTTTTATATTTGTAAAAGAGGGAGCAAGAGGAACGGCGTTGGGCTATAGGCCTCCTGTCTTTGGACAAGCATGGACTGGGTTACGCGGGAGCTATTCCGGCTAACAAGGTTTCGTACCTTAGGTAGGTCGATGGTGGACAGGTTGGTAAGGGTCGGGACATTAATGATACGGGAGGTGAGGTAAGGGAACAAGGCCCAAGCCGGGAACCAGAACCACATGGCAAGCAAAACGTCCCATACTGGAGGGGAGGGGGGGGGGGGGGGAGGGAGAGAAGGGAAAAAATGAGAAATGGTGAATCCCCACACGACGTATGTCCAATCTCGAGCGTCGAACGGCCTTTGGCCTCTGGTCTTGGGAACATGATGCCAGGCACACAACTCCGCCTTTTGGCATGGGCCCTTTTTGGCTGTGGATTTGGTGGCATCCCACGTAAAGACCCGGCAACCACCGAAGCACAAAGCGTACGAACGGCGACCAGGCGTCCGGCGAATGGGAAGGCTGAGATGGCCTCTCGGCCTCAGCCCCACGGACGACATGAGATGCAAGGCTTACCACATTGCCGGTCGGTTCAGGGGCTCCGAGGCCTCTTGTTGGCTCTCTCGGTCTAGCATCGAGTCTCTCTTCGTCTGTGTGTCTTGTCTAGCCCCCCCCCCCTCCCAGCAGCAGGGCAACTTCCGCTGCGAATGCAGCCTTCGTCCGCCCGGCATGACGCTAGACTGGCAGCCCTTCTTTGTGTCCAGGTCTGCAGTCCCACCATCTTCTTTCTGGCACTAAGTTTCGTAGGGCTGACGCGGAGGGCCAGCTCTGCTCCTGGTTGGCTGGCCCACCGAGACGGCTGAGCTTGGTCGCCCAAGTCGTCTTGTGTCAGCGATCCAGATGTTTGCACAAGGCGCGCGCTGCCATTGGCCGGCTCGCTGAAATGACAGGAATATGACCTATGAGGAAACCTGTGGCCTCTCTGGACGTGGCTCCCTCAACCCGTCCGCCGCTCACCCTGTCCGGCAATCTGATAGGTTGTCCGGGGGGGGGTCCCCCAGCCGCGAGAAACCCCAAGGAACCGTTCCGGAGCCCAGCAGCCTCGTCCCAGCCGGCTGCGTGGGTGCCTGTAAGTTGATTACGATGATCCAAGTCCAAAAGTCTTGCTGTTGCCCACTTTCGTAGACCGCCGGAAGATAAAACGCGATGGACAAAAAAAATAGGGGACTTTGCAAAATACTACTATCATGGTGCATTTCTGCCTCTCCCTCTCCTTGTTCCGCGTCTTTGTGCCGTCCACACAAACCGGTGTCGGCCGATACGGAACCGGATCGGGAAATGGCGCCAGGCTCAAAAGAGTTACAAGATGTGACGAATCTGCCTAAGGGGATCCAGGGGAGGGGATGGCCCTCCCACTCCAACAAGGCGGTCCGCATCTGCCATGACTTACATACATGCAAAGGGCCCAAAAAGGGAGCCTGGCTTTCAATGGATGGGTTCAGGGTTTCTTTTTTTTTTCTTAGGACCGACCGCAAGAAATGTACTCGTGCTGGTACCGGTATTACTCGTGCTATCGCATCCCCCGCCGCCACCTCGGACGCATACATGTACCCCCCAGTCATCAGATGTACTTGTATGGATTCATAATGCCGTTCTGTCATGAGCCATTGTCAGTGTCAGCCCTACGTGCGTAGCAGTGCATAAGTTGGCAGAGATTGCTCGGGTCGGGTTGGGAAGAGGGTGCATGAGAGCGCGCGCGCCGCGGCATTCTACTGTACAGCCCACCAACATGTCCTCCCGCGCGGGAGACGAGAGACATGTGATATGTATGCCATGGCCATGGCCCGGCGCAGGCAATCAGATCATGCAGAAAGACGGCAAGGAAGATAGGGTCGTATGGGGAAACACGAGGAAAATTCATGAAACAAAAGCAGGTTGAAACAAAGGCGCAAGGCAAGGGTAGGAAACAAGCGACAGGCGACAACTGATAATGGGGATTGTGTGGGCTTACCGGATCATAGAGCTTCTTAATCTGCTTCATCAGGCCAATCACGGCCTCGTTCCGGCTGTACTGCACGTACTTCTTCTTGGCCAGCCCCAGACCATGCTCGGCGCTGATGCTACCGTTACGCTTCTCGATCCATTCGTACACGAAGGGCTCTAGAGCCTCCTCGACCTTGGCGTCATACCGTCTTACGGCCACATTGAGATGCAGGTTGGAGTCACCCATATGGCCGTAGCCCACCACTGCGCTTACCGGGTGCTCCTCGGTTTCGCCGATTAGGCCAGCCTCCCCCATGCGCGCCTTGACATCCTCGACAAGCGAGTACATCTCGGCCAGTGGGATCGAGACATCGTACTTGTAGACCCCGCCGCCGTGGCCAATGCACTCGGTGATGCTCTCGCGCCAGCTCCACAGCGCCTTGGCCTGCCCCTCGCCTTGGGCCACGACGCCATCGACCACGATTTCCTTGGTCAGCACGTCCTCGAGGAACTTTTCTAGCTTCTCGTAGTCGTGGTCGCCGTTGGAGCCGCTCGTCTCGATGAGACAGTAGAAGGGGTGCTCGCCCTCCAGAGGCCTCTCTTCGCCCTTGATCTTGTGCACAATCTGCTGCGTCCGCGAATCCATCAGCTCAAAGGCAGAAAGGATTTCCCCCAGCTGCTTCTTGGCCTCCCGGAACGCGAGCTGCGCCTTCTCATACGACTCCAGGCCAAAGTAGGCCACGTTGACGGCGGCAGACCGCTGCGGGCACTGGATGACCAGCTTGGTGATGATGCCAATGGTTCCCTCGCCGCCGATGAACAGCTGCTTCAGGTCGTAGCCCGTGTTGTTCTTGCGCAGGGCACACAGGTCGTTCATGACGGTGCCGTCCGGCAGCACGGCCTCCATGCCCAAGACATTCCCGTGCAAGCTGCCGTAGCGCAACAGCCTCAGACCTCCAGCATTGGTGGCAACTGTACCACCCACATGGCACGATCCCTTGGCTCCCAAGTCGAGGGGAAAGATGTATCCCCTTTCGGCGAGGTACTGATCGGCCACCTCCAAGATGCATCCAGCGTCCAACACGAGTGAGCCGCTGACCTCGTCGAAGGAATGGATCTGGTTCATGCGGCTCATGTTGATGATGATCTCGTCGAAAATAGGCACGGAGCCCCCAACGAGACCCGTGTTGCCTCCCTGCGGCACCACCGCCAGCTTCCTGTCGTTGCAGTACTTGAGGATCTGGCTGACATCCTCGGTCGATCCTGGCTTGAGCACGAGACGGCCTTGGCCGCGGTACTTATGCATCCAATCCTCGTTGAAGGGCTTGAGATCGTCCTCTGCGCCGCCGGCGGTGCCATCAATCACGGCCTGCTCGCCCCCAAGCAGGTTTTTGAAGTAAGCGACATCCTCCGCCGTCAGTGACGCATATTTGGCGTCTCTCGTCAGTCCCGGATACGTCTCCGACGTGAGCTTGGCAAGGTGCTGGACCGCCTGTGATTGAGACAACAACCTCGGGACCGAAGTCGCAAAGCATCGGGCAGGCGAAATTGCATGGCAGGGCGCGAGTCTGGCACCGCCAATTGCGCCCATTCGCCGGCCGGGCGATTGCAGCACTCGCGCAAGCCTCGATCGTGTCACCATTTTTCGGTCCGAGGGTGAGAATCCTGCTGTCGTGAGGCCAACCAAAGTCGGATCGGAGCGTAGGAAGAAAAAAAAAGACGGGAGTGAGATCAGAGGGGCGATAGGTTGAAGCTTTCCTTTGGTTAGCACCTTCGATCGGCTGGCGATTCCCGGGTAGGCAAAAGCCGGAGCTACTATACCTACCTATTTTTCTCTCTAGGAGAGACGTGGACGTTGAGCCAAGCACCTCATCCAATGTTTAAGCGCCATGAGGCCACTGTTAGGCGTCACTTTTCTTTTTTTTTTTCTGCCACTAAGACGCCCTTGGTTAAAATGGATGCCCAATTGCCTGTCGCGCAGTTACAATTCGGTGCTTCGGAGGGCCCTGAAGTCATTAGTGGGCCTCTCTGCCTCCGAGTCCGGCCTCGGAAAATTGATGCCGGGTAAGAAGCTTGGTCAACATAGAGTAATACGAGCAAAAGGAATTGTATACGAGTCTTGTTCGTAATTGATAAATAGGAGGCCAAGCGCCCATTAGTTTTGGTAATCTACCGTCGTAGTACTATTAATTCAACGTGGGGAATACACTATAGAATAATGTCCAATTTTAATCCGCACATCGCCATTACCATCCAAAAAGAAGAAAGGAAAAAACAAAATAAGCAATGCATGCACGCATCGAGGGGACCGAGAAAAAACACCGCTGCCTCTCCAACCAAGTATCCAGACAACATAGGAGACAGGGACTCCGTATAATGGGCATATGTGCGCGACAAGGAGAAAAAGGGGGGAAGTATACAAAGAAATATACGGAGGCCGTCCACAAAATGACAGGGCCATGTATCATTCTGCTCGTCGCTGGGACTCTTTAAGCATGCACGCCGTTGACCTTGGAATCTCTTCGCGGTCGATCACTGCTGTTCGTGCTATCCTGAAGCACACCGGGCGGTATATCGTCGTCCGCATCCTCACCACCCATCATCTTCTCCATGAAGGATATGTAGTCGTACTGGGCTTTACCCCGATCCCTTGACATATCCGGACCGCTATGCGGCGGCATCATGTTGAGGAGCGTATCAATGACCTCTTCGGGCACAAGACTGTGGCGCAGATCCATTTCCGTGACGTACGGTTTTCCATCCGCAACCTCTCGGAACGACTGGAATACTTGCTCGGCAGTGTTTTGGTCTTCGGTGACATCGACCATGAAACGAATAAACTGCTCGAATGTGACGTATTCTTTGCCCCCGGACGTATCGACAAAGTAGTCGTGCATCTCCTCTTCAGAGAACACCAGTCCCAGCGAGGCCAGGGCCGCACTGAACTCGAGCTCCTGCAACGAATTTGAGGCGTCGCGGTCGAAATGACGAAACACACTCTCGAATTCTTCCAGTTGGATGGGTGTCAAGTTGGTCATGTTGCGGGCAACCATTTGATTTTCCAAAAAGGACAGCTTTTTCTGGACGGATGATCTGACCAAGGTTAATTCGTAGGCCAATTCGTCATATGTGTATGTGGTGAAGTCGTTCTCCTCAATGTTTGCTTCCTCGCACATGGCATCTACTTCTGCAATGGTGCTGAGATATCGATCGAGGGGTGCCAAGTTGTCGCTGAGTTTTTTGACGTGGTGCAGCTGATCTTCAATATCGCCATCCAAGCCTGAAATGGCAAGTTGCATGGTGTTCAAAGCCATTGCGAAATCGTTGGCTTTGTCTGCAAACGACTTTCGCAGGGCGTTTTTGATGCTGCCATGTTGTTAGCCGGCTGCTTCCCACTGTATACAGAACAAGACGTCCACTTACTCTCGAATGGTCTCGTTAATGAGCTGTGCGCGAGCCATCTCACTCTTTGTGAGGCTCTTCCAGTCTCTCTCAATGACCTCTTGACTGACCTCGTGCGGAGGTTCGTAGGGCCGTAGCCGGTAAGTGCTGAGCTTCGTCTTGATATTTCCCAGCAACGTGGCCAGCTCGCTCTTCTCGGCAACCCACTCTCGCTTCTTACCCCTCTTGTACTCTGAGAACTGAGCGGCCTGGGCCTTTGCATCGGCATAGGTGCCTTCAAACTTGGCCGTGTGCCACTGGTCAACCTGGCCTCGGATGTTCTTGAGGAGCTCCCGCATCCGTCTCTCGTAGGCATTCTGCATCTCCCACGCGCCCTGCATGTTGTTGAAAAACTTTTCAACTCGTCGTCCTGCATTTTCGACCTTTTCCATCTGGGAGAAGGCATGGAACCAGTAGGCAATGTACGTCATCAAACTTCGCTCATCAGGCTTCGCCACGTCGCACACATCTTCCACATCCAACAGCTTGGGAATACCAATCTCCTCCTGGGCAATGTCAAAGGCCAGCTGCATGTTGCCGCGGTGGTCCGACTTATCCAGGGTATCAAAGTCGATCAAATCTGGGCGGTGAATATCGAGCAAGGCGCAAAAGGCAAGGCCGTTGTTCCAGCTGCTACTAAAGTCGCGAACTTCGACCTCGTCATAGCATGCAGTTTTTCGTTGACACCACAGGAGCAGGCCCTCCTTGGCAGACATGCCCTCCTCGTTGATATCACTGATGGTAAAGCGCAGAATCAGGGTCCAGATAAGACCGAGAACAATCTTGCGGTTGCCATCGACGACATCTTCAGCACCAATATTCGTCATCTGGATACCCCTCGACCTGATGAAGTCCAAAGACAGGTTGGCATTTTCGAATTTCTGGACTCGGAGCTTCGGTCGGGAGGCATATCGACCGAGGGATTCGTGAGACAGACATTCGAGCAAGTGAATCAGCATAACCTAATGAACCATTACTTCCGCATTAATAAGAGACCTTTTTTTTTGAGTTGACATGGAGAAAGGGAAGTAGGGGGAAGGGTGAAAACAAAAAAAAAATAACAACATCGTGGTGTGAACAGGGTCAACTCACACCATCGCTAAGGTCCGGCACCAAGTCCTTGACCTCAAGATTCCTGGCTACAATCTTTGTGTTAAGCCTAGAGATGTCTTTGTCAGCATGCTACACAAGGGGTTGGTTGAGAAATCTGTAATTCTTTATTTCTCTCCCTTTCATTCCTTTGTGGAAGGCGAGCAGGCGGTCAGGTTGAATGAAACATACCATTTGGTAAACGTCTTTTCCTGGACCGTGATCCATCTCTGCTGCTCTGAAAGAGTCATCCTGTTGAGGAATTGGTCATGGACCCCTCGAATCGACGACGAATCGACTAGTACGTCGGCAGCAGAGGCCTTGGTCTCCGCTAGGGCGAGATCAGAGTCGGCTTGACTCTGGGTTTCTGCCGGGCGAGGTTGTCTGGAAAACTTTGCTGGCTTGGGCGGTGGCTTTGGAGGACAGGAAAGCTTTGAGCGCGTTGGAGACTGGCTCAGGGCCTTGGTGCCCAATGACGAGCGACGCTTCTCTGACCGCTGGAGTGCAGCAGTAATACTACAAGTCTCCTCCTTGTCCCGCCCACTCCGCTGGGGGTCCGAAGCGCAGCGTGGCCGGGGTAGAGATAGAGAGAGGGGCGTTTGCAGGCGCTCAAGCTCAACGGGCAGCGACACGGACACAGGCGCAGGGTCAGCCTCAGCCTTGGCGGCACTGGCAGGCGATGCGAGTCTGGAGACGGCCGATGAGCTGACGGGAGAGCTGGGGGGCGTGCAGAGGCCCAGGGAGGTCAAGCAGGTGGACGAAGTAGTGGTGACGGTGGTGGTGGTAGCAGTTGTAAAAGAAGCAGCAGCAGTCGTAGTACTGTTACAAGTATTTCTGGTGCTGGTGAGATGCTGGAGCTGCTGCAGCTGGAGCTGGACCGATGCAGATGAAGCGGCGAGCTTGGTGTCGATATTTAGACCAGAGGGGCGCTGGGGTTGTAAACAAAATTCCGGGAACTGGTCCGCCAGCTCGACGTTGCCGGGCTGCAGCTCCTCCCACAGGCCTGTGGCGCCAGTGGTGCCGGCGGTTGCTCGCGTGCTAACGCCGCTAAAACCAGCGCTGATGCTGGTGCTAATCCCCGCGCTGCCAGTGGGCGTGGGCGCCATCCTCTTGGGCGTCTTTAGCGGCCCTGTGGCGTTCTGGCGCAGGCCGTAATACTGGTAGGCCATGGCGAAGGAGGTGAGCAGCAGCAGTAGCACTACTAGTGGCAGCGGTAATAGACGGTCGTCGTCGTGGTACCGGTACATGTACAGGTACTTGGAATGGGGGGCAGAGTATCTTATCGATAGGACGGCCCAGCGGGTGGCTTTACTTTAATTCAGCCAAGAACTCCAAAGAGAAGTTGAGGATATTAATAGATGGATATAGTATTGACATATATGACTTGATGCTTTTTTTAACTGCTTTGATGCCTTTTTGTCTCCTTCTTCTCCTTCTACCGTCAGGGTCTCGACTGTTATTATACTCTTTGGACAAAGTACTTTGATGAGATGTATCAGAAACTTTTCTGGAGTTCCCTGCGGGCGAGCTTGACAGATGCTCCGTAACCACAGACGTGGCACCGTTGAAGCAACCTCGCCGTGTAGGCGATTGGGCCCTCATGCGCGTCCCCACGGCGGCCGCATAAACTCTGCACCAGGCCAGTCCAGACAGGTCCGCCAGCGCTCGGATCGAGGCGAAAAGGATGGAGACAAAGTTCGCCTCGCCCACGACCCAACGAGCGTCCAGCTAGCATCGCGTCCAGCCTCCTGAATTTCTCTTGAAAAGAGCGAACCTACATGTATCGTACAGTACATGTACCTACTCGAGCAACCCCAGAGCCGGCATGCTGCAGCTGCACCTCGATGCGTCGCGAAAACGGTGATGGAACTCTACCACGCAAGGCCAGCAAATCACCAGGCCTTCGTGGCGGGCGCCTCGTCTGTTCGCTTGGCTGCACGGATCCTCGTTTCTGGTCCATCTCATCCACTCGGCCATCTCGTGATTGCGCGGCCGTCGTTGGATGCTGCAGAAACAGGTTCGGATCAGCTTTGCTGTCAATCGTGAGCATGGGCAGTTCAACGTTGCCGCGTTACGCCTCAGCCGTGGTGATCAATAGCCATCGGTGGGACCTCGTGGCTCTCGGCAGTTTTCGATCCTTCAATGATCCTGGACGCTCGCAATTGACCGCTTCATCGGTATCAGTCATACCGCAGACAAGGACCGAAACGGCCAGAATAAAAAGGCACGCCGGGCAGTGGCGAAAGCGCGTCTCCAGGGACTCTGCAAACACGCCCCTATACCACGCAGACTGCCAACTCCTGGGGACATGACAGGTCGTCTTTGATGCGATGCAGTCAGGGATTTTTGCCGAAGCACCTTTTGCTTTCAATGCGATTCAGTCATGTTTATATTATCTGACGGGACTAACGGGATGCCAGTTGCCATGATGGATGAATAGCTGCATCCGTCGTACCGTACGGTTGACCGGTAGGCCGTTGCCACTCTGTCGAAATGTCTCCGGTTTCTCCCATCGTTTTCGACTGAATTTGTCGTTTACTCTGCAACTACCAGGATGCCTGCCTTGATTTTCACCCCGGGTTGTTGTTGACGGCTTACTTTCGCTCCATCGCTTTCAGCTGTTGGCAGGGCACAATGTGTGGAGGTCTTGGCGGGTTTTTGACATCTCATATCATGGAGTATCCTCATGGAATATCCAGGCATTTGGAAAACATTGCTGCTGCCTCCCATGTCCCACGTTGGGGTAGGATTGGCTGCTGGTTTACACAATTTGATCGTTGCACATCTACACGAGCATTGATGCATGGCCGAAGGAAGCGTCGATATCTGACGAAGAGAGTTGATGAGAGGGGGGTTTTGCCCTCAGAGAATCAAACGCGATTTTCTTTCAGGATTTTATTCCCGCGTTCACGCGGAGTGCGCTTATAGAATGCTGAGGTGTAATATATCTGGTCCATATCTTTCGGATTGGCTCTTTTTCCACGTTGTCCAGTCCCATGTTCATTTGCATGTGTAGAATTGTGAAACATGGTACAGTAAATAATATCCTTTCATGTTCAACTATAAGATACATGCATGGTAGGTAGACGTAGCAAAAGAATCCCTGTATGTATAAGCAATGTCGACGTGGCACTCAATTTGATGATTCCAATGGAGCACAATGCATTTCGATTTCAGATGGACTCAGCCATTTCACTTCACGCACTCCCATGCGATGCATACGATTCACAGCCCGAAAGCGAGACGTCTCTCTTAATCCATCCTAATGAATGAAACGAGAAGAAAAAAAAAAAGAAGAGACAAAAGAAATTGTCAAAGGCAAAAAAGAAAAAAAAAATGTTTAGCTTCTCTTTGATTGAGCGTGTCCTGCAGAATCCATTAGTATTTGGTTGACTGGTTGAGAGTCCAGGGTAGTAGAACTTACATCCTTAGTGCAGGGGCCATGCTAATCTTCTCTGTCTGTTGTTTGCACCGTTAGCGATTCGAACTTGCGACCTCTCTAAACGGGAGCGGGGATACAACGTACATCGTTATAAATTGACCAAATGCCCGAAGGCGATGTAAATTGCGATATTTTAGTATATAACCTACCAGTCCAAAGCGCAAAATTCCAAATACCAAGATTCTCCCCCCTGCCACGAAAAACAAAAATGTGAGGAATCCAATTTCTTTGCGATCGTAAAATCGCAAAAGCGAAACTGCATCGTCCCTGTTTTTTTTTTGCTTCTCTGCCACTTACCAATGCACTTACGCAGCAACGGGACCCTCTTCATGCTGTCCGCTTTGGCAAATTCCGCAGAAGCACCCAGCAGAATCAAGTGGAGGAGAAAGAGGAGATGAAAGAGGTTGCAAATTGCCTCTTCTCTGTCTTAGGGCTTCCCACCCTTTTAGTGTTTTGACAATGCGCAGCCAATTGGCATCTCCGTAGTAGGCAGGTAGATCGACTTGACACTCTTATCGATAAAGACAAACCGCCATGGCCGACCTTTGGCTTCCAAGTACCTACTAACCTGGAATTGAAGCGTCTTCTGTGAGTTTGTATAAATGCAAATGGCTTTGGCTTATTGGCCTCATACCTTACTCGAGCACAAGTGAACCTCTCTTTTCTTTGTTCCGGTCACTCATGTCTTGATTCGATTGTTTACACGCAAACGAGAAAGATGTCTTCATAAATTAAATCTTGATGTTTTGTTTATTTGCATCGAAATCATCCATGTAATCAGTCGAATTGTACATTTTGCAGACCCTATCATACAACATGAACCATGACGCCTCATCTCACCCATCTCCATCTCCATCTCCATCTACCTCACCTGTCTCCCTCCACCCTGCTTGGCCTTGGACCGCAGCGCATATCTCTCCTTCCTCCACGCCGCCACCAGGTTGTCCACGCTGCCCATGTCGTGCTTCGGCTTGCGCATAAACGTCAACCGCGCTCTCCTGGCCCTCTTGGGCTTGCGCCATATGATGTCGATGCCCGTGACCGTCGGGCTGTAAATCTTGAACCACATCTCCACGCCGACCTTCATCATCTGGCCTCGTAGCAGGATGGCCGTGTCCACGCCGCGCCGCCGTAGTTGGATGAATGCTCCCGAAAAGGGCTCTCCGGCCTTGGTCGTCACCATGAGCACGTCGCCGACCTTGGCGCTGTCGGCGTGCTCTCGGGAAAAGAGCCTCGTCCTGGCGCCAGTCGGGTCGAGACGGGCAATCTCCTGCTGTCTCAAGGCGGGCATCGGATCGGGATGTGCGGCTCGTGGTGAAGGGACCTGCGGCCAAATCTGGAACTTTGCGACCTTTTGCTGCTCCATGTCTAGAATGCCAAAATCGCCATTAGCAAGGGTGTCTGCCAGCAAAATCCAGTGCCTGCCATACGTTGTCTCTGACTAAAGGCCGTTCTGGGGATGGAGGGGCTCGCAGCCTCTGTCGCCATGCACCGCTGCCACGATCTCTGGAATCTCATCCTCCTCAAGGCCGCCTTCAGACAGCCCACCGGCTGCCTCGCAACAGCAGCATTCATCGTAGCTCGGGATTGGGCGCCCGCCGGGGAGAGAGTTTGGGCCGGTGTTGGCGCTGGATTTGTCGAGGTTTGGGAATCGAATGTTCGTTCGCAAAAGCTCAAATGGGTCGAAAAGCAGAAAGGGTAATTCTCCGCCGTGATTGGCCCGGCGCCTCTTTTTCTCCGACCCACCAAACCATCTTGCGACTACGGCAGGCCTTCGCATGTAACGAAGGAACTTTTTCCCATTTCGTCGGCATTTGTTCCAAAAAGCCCACCGAACATGGCGACAATGTCAAATCAGTCGCTGAGGGCGGCCGTCCGGTCGGTTGGACGACTGAATAGATGGACAGCAGTGGTGAGGCAATTCAGCACCTCGCCGTCACATGGTATGGAATTGGAAGATGGACTCTATCTATGCCTTGTAACCAAAAGACTCTAACTGAAAGCACACAAACAGGCGTCAGGGCTGTCTTCGCCGAGACGGAAAACACCGAAATGAACAAGATCCTCAACACCATCCAAGAAAACATCATCCTCCCCGCCTACCTCCCCGAAAAGCAGCGCAGGCTCGTCTTCGACCCCAAGATGAAGTCCTACCTCGAGCAAAACCCCATCATCATCGAGGTCGAGGGCCTCGAACACAAATTCTCCTCCATTGATCATTTCACCGGCATCGAAAACTCAAAGACCATCCTCTCCGAGGCCCTCGGCAGCATGAAGAGCCAGGACGACTGGGCCAACCTGGGGACCCTTCTGGCGGGGTACAAGAAGGCGGGGATCCGGCTCAAGGCAAACCATTGGGGGAAGATTGTGCGCATGGCGGGCAAGAGCGGCAACATCCACGCCGTCATCGAGTGTGCGAAGCAGTCTGAGAAGACGGGCCTCTTGTTCACCAACCGGGAGACGGTGGTACGGGTGCTCTCTTACATCAACGAAAAGGTCAGCGGCAGCAATTGGGACGAGGTCGAGACGAAGCAGGCGCAGAAGTGGGCGGACCAGGTCCTCGATCTTATCCAGCGCAGGGAACACACAGTCGAGGGCCAACCCACCCGAGAGAGACTGCACTTTTCTCGCGTTGTGCGTGGAATGACGCTCTTCACGAGGGCGTCCGCCATCAAGGTCAAGCAGGCAGCAGGCGAAGCCGTCGAGCAAGACATTTTGCTCCTCAAAGACGAAGTCGAGCTGCTCAGCTCTCTGTGGAAAGACTCAACGAGCGCCAACCTGGAAGAAGTAGCCGAGTTCGCAAAGCTCAACCCTACACTGGAGAGAAACTCCAGCCCCAAGGGCGTCAAGATCCCCACCGCCCTGAACGGAAGCGCATACGTGCAGGTTCTGGCACAGAACATCAAGGGTGTTGCGCTCGCGCGCGAGATTGTCGGTGAGGAGGCACAGGGCCTGGCATCAGTGGAGGTTACCTTGGCCGACCATCTGCGGCACTTTGTTCAGACCAGCAAGAGCCCGACAAAAGGCTGGGATCAGGAATACTCAAAAATCGTCGGACAAGCACCCAAGTGGTGAACTTGACTGTATAAAGTAACATGAGAGGAAGAAAAGGGGGAATGACATAGGGCCAAGGGAGGAACACACAAAAAAGGAAAAGAAAGAAAGGGATAAAGTCTATATATGTATGATATATACGTGTACAATATAACCAAAAAACAAAAACACATTTCAATAAAGCTCTCACGGCAGCACAATGTACTTTTCTAAATGCTTCGGAATGGCCCCCAAGAGCTTCTTCTCCCCCAGCCACTTGCGCGAGAACAAGCGGTCCGCATACCGATACGCCCCGTCGCACAGCATCGTCACGACGACGTGGCCCCGGCCCAGCTTCTCGGCCACCTCCTTGGCGGCGACGACGTTGAGCGCCGAGCTGGCGCCCAGGTACAGCCCCTCCTCGTCCAGGCAGCGGTACACCATCTCGATGCTCTTGTCGTCCGAGATGGTCAGCGACCCGTCCAGCAGGTCAATGTCCGGCTGCAGGTTGTCCGTGACGCGGCCCTGGCCGATGCCCTCGGTGATGCTGGAGCCCGAGCGCTCGACCAGCTTGCCGCCCGACGAGATGTACGAGTGCAGCACGCTGCCGGGCGGGTCGGCGAGGAAGCTCTTGACGCGGCCGCCCGAGATGTCCTTGAGATAGCGCGTGGTACCGGCAAGCGTGCCGGCAGTGCCAGTGGCGCAAGTGAAGGCGTCCACCGTGCCGTTCGTCTGCGCCCAAATCTCCGGCCCCGTCGTCTCGATATGCGCGCGACGATTCGCCGTGTTATCAAACTGATTCGTCCACACGGCGTTCTCCAGCGCCTCCGCATGCCGCTTCGCCTGATGGTTGTAGTTCTGCGGGTTATCAAACGCCACGGCGGGCACGGGATACACCTCGGCGCCCAGCAGCCGCAACAAGTCAATCTTGCCCTGCGACTGCGTGTTGGGCATGTAGATGACGAGCTTGTAGCCCCTCGAGCGGCAGACGTGCGCCAGGCCGATGCCCGTGTTGCCGGCGGTGCCCTCGACGACGGTGCCGCCGGGCTTGAGCAGGCCGCGCTCCTCGGCGTCCTTGACCACGTACAGGGCGGCGCGGTCCTTGACGGAGCCGCCGGGGTTCATGAACTCGGCCTTGCCCAGGACCTCGCAGCCGGTTTCCTCGGAGAGGCGGTTGAGGCGGATCAGCGGCGTGTTTCCAATGGCTGTTGTGAGGTTTGGTTTGGTTTGGTTAGCCTCGATGTATAACAAGCAACAAGAGTAGAGGTAACGCCATATCAACACCACAGCATCATCAAATCTCATCACGTCTCATCACACATCTCATACCTCCAGTCAGCCCTCGCGCCACGCCCTGCGCCTTGGACACGGCCAGGGTATATGCGCTCGGCTCAGCAGCCTTGGCCGCCGCAACCGCCAGACGCCGCGTCGTGTGTCGGAACATGGCGTAACGAATGCTATTGCCTTTTCAGCCTTCTGGGAATAGCTTCAATTGATGACCAAGGGAGAGTCGCGAGCTCTTTGTAAAGCCTCGGAATTCCCGTCATAAGCCTCTCTCTCTTTCTCTTTCCCCAGAAGCTTGCTGGCGCCGAGGGCCCGTGGTGGGGCGTTTCCCCGATGGCCCGATCACGTCATTTTGCGCTTCAATTAGATGCCGTTAGCGGAGAGCTTTGAAAGCTGATACGAAGGAACTTGAATGTTTTGCATAATATCATGCGGCAATGATTCCATCTCCATCTCTGTCTTGTTGCAGAAAGTGTATCCAACTAATACTGACCGCCTGCAGGATGATTGGTGTATTGGGCAAGGTGTAAGCGTAAATCCCATCTTGTGTGAGGCTTCATCATCATCTTTATATACGTGATTATTACTAGTAGAGCTAAGAAGCTCATGCAAACAAATATGCTTCTTCTCCTTCAAAGCATTCCAATGCTCGAGGTATTTAGCCAGCCACATGCACCGTCTTCCTGCGTAGATATGTCTTGCTTCTTCGATTACGCCGTCCAAAGCTCACATCACATGTCGCCTCCTCATGACTGTGGCATCTTCACGTACGGCGCTGGGAACAAGCCCTTGGCACCCATGTACGTCCCAAAGAACCAGTCGCCATTGATATCCCGCATCTCCTGTATCTCGGCCCCTCGGGGAAACATGAGCTCATCCTCAGCGCCAGACTTGGGATACCACGACCACATCGCATGGGCCACCTGGCCGGAGCCGCCATCGGGTGGAAAGGTGCGCGCATACGATATCTCGCCAAAGCTTTCTGGGGCTGTCGCCGACACTTCTGTGGCGACAAGGCGCTCTACCTTTTCTTCTCCATCATGCCATGACCACTTCTGAAAACCCGGGTGCGCAATATTCTCGAGAGGCTCGGAGCGGAGGGCCCTCCCGCCAACGAGGTCCCTTTCTACGTATCGCCACTGTCCGAGTTTGCCTTCCATGAACCCAACAACGACCGTTCTATGGCCACTAGGGCACCTCCTCCACCCCGAGGAGCCGTTTTCTTCGCTAATATCCCCCTTGGATTCCAGGCTGCCGTAGCAGGAAGTGCATATGTCGTAGTCTCCAGGAGTGGCGTCTTGCACAGCCGAGCTTGAGCAACTAAAACAGTGATATCTAGTTGAAGATGGCGGAATGGCATCCTTGCAAATGTCGCACTTTGAGTTGAATATTAATGGTTTAAATGGTCCGATCCCAGATAGCTGTGCCCCTGTTATGACCGTCGCTGTAGAGGGTCGGCCGCCCGACCTGGGACTGCGAGGCTCGTACGTAGACTTAAACGTTCCTTCATGAGCCAATGGCAGAAGCCTATGGCTACACGACTTGCCCTGATTCACACAGTTGTTGCAGAACCCCCAGTCGCCCTCGTTGCACAAGTCGCAGCGCCAGAAGCAATCGTTGGTCCACGCAAAGCACCGTGAGCAAAACGTGCCAGTCTCCAGTCTCGACCTTGGATCGTCAGTCGTCAATTTCTTGCCACCGTCCGCGCTGAGAGTTGTTGACGCTGGCCGCTTATAACGACCAGCGTTCAGCATGTGAGGCATGGGTATCGATTCGTCGGCTTGCTTCCGCTTCTCCCACTTCTTCCAAGCGCCGTAGCCAAATCCAAACCAATAGAGGCAGCCTTTGCCTGACCGATAGCAGTCAACGCACATGTTCCAGTGGCCGTCACTGCACGCCTTGCAATTGTAATGCACGTCGTATTGAATGTCAGGCTTTTTGCATCTTGAACAGCTAATTGAAGGCTCTTCATAAAGCTGAGATCGTGGTGGTTGGTGTCTCGACGTCGCCGCCGTTGGACTTTGGATGGGGCTAGATACCAGAGAATCAGCGGGGCTAACCACTACTTCGGTTGACCGGCTCGATTTTGAATTTCGCGCCGCTGTTATCTCCATCAGTTCAGAGTTGATCGAATTCGGAGTCGAGGAAGCTGATGGATAGCTCTGCGCGCGGCTCGCAAAGGATGCAATTTTCCCATTGCCAATTGCTGGTCTATCGGCCGGTTGAGCAGCAGCAGGGACAGTGGTCGAGCTGGAGCTTCTGCCGATCCTGAGAGCAGGTACTGATGCCGAAGGATCAAATTCATTCGGGTCCCTCCTCAAGACTAAATCATTTTGGGAGTGGGCAGCGGGCCTCGTATCCATGGCTGACAGAGACGAGACTATAGGTGGTGTTGCGTGATGACCGCCGCTAGTCGTTCGCCTTCTTGCTCTCCTCTCTGGCTCTCGGACTCCGAGGTTTGCTGATGGGGAAACTGGCGGCCTATTCCTGTCTCCAACTTCGCTTGTCGATCGTGAATGCGCTCGATGCCGGCTTTGGGGTCGGGCATTGTCAGGCCGGAGCCTGGAATCCCTCGACGTAGATGTGGCATTACTGTTCGCATGAGCCTCGGCTCTTCTTTCTGACTCTTGCCTTGAGCGGCCCCTTTGGCGCCTTCTATACGCTTCCGTGATGCGCTGACTGAGTTCGTCATCTCGGCTCAGGTCGATGTTGTCAAGGTCAAGGCCGTCTAAAAGACCCTCTTCTTGGATTTGCCGTGCAAACTCCTCGATTTCCTTCTCGATATCTCGCTCACTCATCTCGGACCCGATTAAAGACCTTAGTGACGACTGATGCTCGACTTGGCGTTGCCGGGACTCGCTCCGTCTGCTCCGAGACTGCGAGTCGCTTTCCACAGCCAAATGGTCTGTATTGCTCTGCCCATTCCCACCTCTCCCATCTCTTGCCCGTTGCGAACGGCCCTCCGATCTATAATCTGAGCCTGATCGGGAATGCCCATCGCTGCTCCGACCTTCTGCGTGTCTCCGAGCCGATCTCGCTCGCGGGGTATCTGGCACGGCTGCGGCAACTGCCTCTCGTAGACTCATCTCCCTGACCTCGTCGATGAGCCTCCGGTCTTCCTCCTCTGCGCGCTTCTCCTCAGCCGTCCGTTCTCGGGTCTTGACTTTGGGCAGAACCAGATCGCCCGGCTTGTACTTTTCCTCCATCTCCTGCTTGTCGGCCTCTGACCGCGCCTTGGCCGGGTTGGCGGCGGTGTACATGTCGAGCAGAGTCGCAACAGTGGCATTATGCCGTGTGTCCCGCACCGAGCTTCGACATGACGGGCATGTGAAGATGATTGCGTCTGGAGGTGGCGGGGTAGGCGCGCGGCCGACCTTTTCAGCCTGGAAGCGGAACCATTCTTTGAGACAGGCGCCGCAGTACGTGTGAAGGCAGTCGAGCAGAGTGAGCGGCTGGTAGAGGAGCTCAGTGCATATCTATAATAGAAGCGTTAGTTCGAGCCGGCGCTGACGAATCCGAGCATCAAGCATCGAGCATCAAGCATGGAGGGATCAAGTAGGCGGGGCTTCTTTCGTACCGAACACGTCAGCTCCTTGCCCAGGTCGAAGCTCGGCTTGCGAGACTCCATTCATATTTTGGTTCTTGTGGCGGATGGGGGAGATGCCCTAAAGCTGTCTGGACGGCGCATGTAGACGCAAATGGTTTGTGTGATTCATGGTGAAAAAGGGCAGATTTGGAGCGGTGGTCACTGGTCACTGGCCACTCAGGGCAAGACGGTCAGTCAGGCTGGTGGGTAGGTACGTACTCGTGCTGCAGATGCCTCGTCACTGGGAGCGGGATTCGAGGTAGAGAGAGGTGCTAATTTGGGTGAGGTGTGCAAATCCGAGGCAGCTGGGGAATAGACAAGCATCGTCAGCTCATGATATTGATGTTGTGATGATGGACTGTGAATACCTTCAGAACAGAAGAATACTGTGTGTCGTGTGATGTATTTTCAAGCTTCACCCAAGGCAAACGCCATGATATCCATGGTGCCCGTCATAACACGGAACCTTGGTAGCCAACTACTAGGTGCGAATTCGCTCCCCAGAGTGCCTCGTGCAGCTAATTTCCACTCTTGGTTCTTCCTCTTACAGGTGTGGATGGAGCTTTGTAATAGCATCTCGCATGGCTTTCCTATTTCTGATGCTCTACGTTGTGAATTCCATCTCTACAACCAACCAACTCAGTTTTCTAGGAAATAATAATTCCGATACGACCCCTCTTGAAGCGCCCAATTCCGGACCGAATCCCATCTCCGCCACATACGTTTGCCATCTACAGAATGTAAAGAGCTTAAAGGGTGTATGCAGACCAGTTAGTAAGGTCAAACACTTGGTTGCTAGGATTGAGGATGGGAGGCTTAAATAGAGCCAGTGACGCAATTCATATTCATACTTTCAGACATTCAATATTCCCACGTTTGAATCACTCAGTGCCAGAAGCAATCACTCATCATGAAGTTGATCATTGTTGGATCCAGCGGCTTCGTGGGCAAAGAGCTCGTTCGACAGGCCATCATCAGTCCTGCTATAACCTCAGTCGTGGGGATTGGTCGCCGCGAAACACCGATCCCGGAGAGTCTCAAAGACTCTAGTGACGCAACCAAATTCACATCTGTTGTGTGCGATGACTTTTTGAACTATCCGGACAATGTTAAGCAGCATCTATCCAATGCCGATGCCTGCGTTTGGTGAGAGTTTATCCGTGAACAGTTGAGCGATCCGGCTGCCTAATGTTTCTTCGTGGTATAGGCTGATGGCGGTAACTCCGAGGATTTCCAGCCAGATGCCCTGGGATGAAGTTCGCAAGATCTGCTTGGACTACACAATTGCTGGTCTTGAAGAGTTATTCAAGGCTCCTCGGAATAACACTACAAAGCCTCTGCATTTTGTATATGTCAGTGGCGCCAACGCTGAGCGCGACCAATCCAAGAAACCATGGGTGTTGGGTGACTATTGTCTCATGAGGGTAAGAATCATATCTCGTCTCACTAAATGAACACTGGAAAATAAGAAGTGTTGACTGATTCATTATAGGGAGAGGTGGAAACTCGCGTCTTAGACTTTGCCAAGAGTTCCAACAGTGCCATCGACGCTTGCGTAGTCAAGGCGGGCCTCATTCGAGATCCTCAACAGGGGAATATTCTCACCAACACCCTTCAGAATGTCGCCACTAGCATCATCAGCCTCCCCGTCGTTTATTTACACGATGTGGCGGCGACGTTACTCAACCAAGCGACGGAAGGATTTGAAAAGGAAACGCTGGAATGTGACGACATCACCAGAATTGGGAGGAGAACATATAATCCTGAGCAATAATTGCAGCGCATATTTATGCTGCACAAGTAACCATCCAGGTGTTGTAGTATTCAATGCTTCTATCATTTTTTTAATCTTGTCTGAGCCTTTTCAGCGTACATGCTTGCATCATCCTCGTGATATATCTTTACCGCCCTCTACATTGGCTGTCCAACCGCTTAAGAGTGAGTCCACTCAGCCTTCTTCTTCTCGGCGAAAGCCTTCATGCCAATCTTCTGGTCTTGGCTGCCAAACAGGCTGTGGAAGACGCGTCTCTCAAACTCGACTCCGTCCCGCAGGCCAAGATCCTGGCTCTTGTTGACAACCTCCTTGCATGCCTGGACAGCGACCTTTGAGTATCCGGCAATGGTCTCAGCGAGCTTCAGTGTCTCCTCCATCAGGGCATCGTGTGTGGGGAAGGTCCTGGCGGCAAGGCCCCATTTCTCAGCCTCAGCACCGCTGAAGGACCTGCCCGTCAGGATCAGCTCCATGGCCTTGGACTTGCCAATGGCACGAGTGAGTCGCTGGCTGCCACCGGCGCCGGGAATGGTTCCCAGCTTGACTTCGGGCTGGCCAAAGTTGGCGGTTTCGGTGCAGTAGAGGAGATCGCACATCATGGCAAGCTCACAGCCACCGCCAAGAGCATGGCCAGAGACGGCAGCGATGATGGGCTTCTTCACTTGAGTGGTCAGCAGGGACCAGGACTCGATGAATGCCTTGGTGTAAGCCTCTGAAAAGGTAAGAGGGGCCATCTCTTTGATGTCGGCTCCGGCGGCAAAAGCCTTTTGTGAGCCGGTAAGAATGATAACCGAGGTCTCATCGGAGGCGTTGAAGTCGTTGAGAGCCTCGTTGAGCTCCTTGATGAGAGGGGTGCAGAGTGCATTGAGTGCCTTTGGTCGGTTCAAAGTCACTGAAAAGCACCACATAAGAGGATGTTGATTAGCCACCTCGATTTTCTCTACATGAAACCATCTATAGGCACTCACCCTGTCCAACACCTGGCTTCGGGGTCGAGGTCAAGATATACTCATAAGACTTGGAGCTATAGGCCCGTGCAATTCGAGGCAGCGTGGACCGCTGGAACGGCACCTTGGCGACTGCGGGCCTCGCAAAACGAAAAGTATTCATGATGGGTGTGTTTTGTGTTTTTGTGTTTTGATTGTGTTTATGCTTGATCAAAAGAGAAGCTTCCAATGGGCAGGTTGAGATGTGATGAAGATGCCGGCTCTGGATGGGTAAATGCTGGAAAGCATCGGCTCTAAGCCGAGGATAAACTGCCACCAGGTACCTGCAACTTGTACTGTAGTGACGACACGGAGAGTGGGGTGCTGACTAAGGCAGAACGCATACTAATACTAAACTTCGTGCGCAAAGAATGGCGCATTTGTTAATCTCGGCAAGACAACGATCTGAGTCTGATATGCCGCTGTAAAGAATAGTGCAAAAGTACATGTATTGATCAACTCACTCAACTTGTTGTACATCTGAACCAACAGCGTCATATTCTCTTATCGACACGCTAACTAATGAAGAAACTCTCTTTCCAACTCCCCGTATCAAGAGAAATAAAGCAGGAAAATACAACACTCAGATGCATGACTCGGTAGGAAACCATCTAGGCCATGTGATGCCGAAAGATGCGAATGACGGCGATGGTTGCAAAAGAAGATATAAATATAAATGGCTTTTAGTCACAAAACAGGTAGAGATGGGCAATTGTTTTGGGGACTTAAAAGTCGCGATGCATGTAAATAGTTGTACGGAGTACTTGAACCGACAAATGCCCACGTATCCGTACAATTACCTCTACACAGCTTAACCCCTTCCCGACCCTTGGATATCACAGCTTTCTGCGTCGATTCGACGTTCTCGTTGCACAGCATCCCTTTTCCTTTTCCAACAAGAAACGTAGAGGGCTTGACCTAGGTAGTTCGGCCGCAACTACCTGGGTAACAAACCGGCAATAGTGTGAGATGTTTCAATCCCGTGCTTACATGCGCCAACCGGTGGAGAGTTTGACAGCCAAACTTCGAGCTTACAGGACACCCAATTGCAGTCTTGTCTCTTCCATATACTATCCTCATCTCACCGACAGATAAGAATGAGTCACCGGTTTTGTTTACAATGAGCTAAAGTCGAGAACCTTGCCTATTCATTATACTCTTCGCATTGCTGGAGAGATGAGTGTGGCGGCCGAAGGTTCAATGATTATACTGTGAGTCGACAAACTTCCCGTGAATAAGATTATGGCGTCTTACGCCATGATTTCTCCCAGTGTTGCGGTGTCGTGCGAATCTCGGCCTCCGGTCCCGTTAACGTTGAGCCCACATGAACCATAGTTGGTGGCTTCACGCCAGTAATCTTTGTGTTTACATTCGATGACAGCAATAAGCCGTGGCTGTTTACCTATATAAACACACTGCTTACCATCCCCCTTTACTCCCCCCCTCCTCTCGTCTTCATATTCTCGTCCAATTCCACAATCTCAACCACATACAGTTTGCTCGTGCTACCAGGCGCAAAATGGCGGCCATACTTCCCGTCGAAATTATGCTCAGCATAGCTGCGTATCTCGACTGTCAAGCACAATTCGCCCTTCTACGCGCGATCCCATCCCTTGCAAGTCAATTCTCGTACGGACATCTCTTGGCCGACGCCGACAATGGCAACAACTTGGTGCATATACTAGCACAGAATGGGGAGGAAATCTTGCTGAAATCGCTATTCCCAGATAAAGATCTGGAATCAAGTCTCGTATCCGGCAACATCATTCCTCGGCTAAGGCAGATGCTTCTCACACGCTCCGTAAACAACCATGGTGCTACGCCCCTTCACCTGGCAGCATCAAATGGGCATTTAGGCATTGTCGACTGGATCTCGAAGAGACCGGACTTGGATCTGAACCGGCAGGACAAATCCGGATGTACGTGTGTGGAACGGGCAGCGAAGGCGGGACACGCTGAAGTTGTCAATCTGCTCCTGGACAATCCGAAGATGACGGTTGACTGGAACTCCAACCAAAGGTCAAACCCCCTTTGTCTTGCGGCCGAGTACGGCCACGAAGCTACGGCGAGGGTGATACTCGAGCGTCATGGACACAGAATTAGCGTCAATTCTCAAGCCTCATATGGCATCACACCTCTCACCTTTTCGGTGCTTCGCGGCCACATGGCCATCACCGACCTGTTGATTCAGCAGAAAGGAGTAAACGTCAATGCGGAGGATCATTTGGGCAACAGCACGTTGCACATGGCAGTCAGAAGCAAGAATCACGCCGCCATGAAGTCCATCCTGGCACACCCCAATGTCAATCCCAACGTAAGAGACTGGTACGGACACACTCCCTTACAGGAGGCTGTATGTATCGCGGATAAGACGACAGTCGAGCTCCTCCTCGAGCATTCAACAACAGACGTCAATCTGGGCAACTGCAAGCAAACGACTCCTCTCATCAAAGCAGTACAAGAAAACCACGACTGGGCGGTCGAATCTCTACTGCGACGGCATGACATTGAGCCCGATAAGAAGGATTATTGGGGAATGACTGCTCTCTCATGGGCCGCATTCTTGGGGCGCAAGAAGATGGCAGCAAGGCTACTTGAACGACAAGAGGTTGATCCTAATGCAAGAGACGAGGACGGCTTGACGCCCCTCTCCCTCTCCATGCAAATGGGATGGCCGGACGTGGCCGAGCTTCTTGTCAAACACCCCGAGGTTGATGTTAACGTGGAGGACAATTATGGCTGGACGGCTCTCGCCCATGCCAAAAATGCCCCAAGAAGCAAGTCGGTTCCTTTGATGAGGCTTCTAACCCAGCACGGAGCAACCATGACGTTTCACGCAGAGATGATTGTCATGTACAACGCATTGGTCGATTCTGATATTGCCGTAAGCTTGGTGGAGTCCATAGTCGCGAGCCACAACATCGAGGCATATATGATGGAGCGTTTTGGGCGAGAAAAGACGGAGCTGGCCATGCTTGATGGCGAACGAGGCGTGCGATCACTGCTCTTCCGGGATACTAGGGCGGCGAGGATGAGAAGAGATGGGATAGAGGGGATGCTTTGCCTGGAAGGTTAGTCCCTCGAGTATCTGCTACTATGAATATTAATTTTCATCATCTGCTATTCGATACATCTCCTTCTAGTATTTAGAAATATTATTACTTTTCACTTTAAGCCAAATGATGCTGGGTAGTAAAATTGGGGTGCTGAAATGGGATCTAATGGATTCCTCCAGCGCTTTTTTTTTTTTCAAGTTCAAGTTCTTGTCAACCTTCAAGCCGTCTCCATGCATTGCAATTGTTTCAAACTCATCTAGCTCAATTGCCGTCGCTACAATTTTCTTTAGAGATAAATGATTCAAACCGTTATATAAGACACTTCCAAGTACGGAGGTACATCTACCCAGACAGAAGAGAGTCGCGGCATCACTTCGTAAAAGTGGGACCGACGCTCCAGCACTTCCAGCACTGCGCTTAGCCTAAATCAGCACCGCAACAATTGAGTCCGATAACGATAAAGCAAAAAAGTTCGAGCCTCACTCTTTTTCTCAAGTCTCTTCGTAGCAGCAGCGCCATAATCAACATCACTGCACTCAACGACGTACTTCAAAATGGCCGTCCTCGGGAAGCGAAAGGCCCCAGAGCCGACGGCATCAACAGAAGACGCACAGGAGATCTTTCGGCGACACTTTGAGGCGCAGTTTCTCCCGCTGCCAGAGGCGAAGCGCAAGGCGAAGGCTGTGGAGGAAGAGGATGGAAGTGAGGACGACGGCGATGCCAGTGGGAGTGAAGGAGGTGAATGGGATGGTTTATCGAGCGAAGACGATGATGAGGATGAGGATGGGGTAGAGGATGACGAAGATGACGAGGAAGATGAAGATGAAGACGGTAGGACGAACAACGCATTTGCTTTCCGTTAGTATATTCTCCCTGCTAACTTGATATCCAGACGCTCCAGTCATCGAAGTAGTAGACCATTCCGTCTCTCAAGCCCCCACAACAAGCACAATGTCCAAACGCGAACTCAAGGCCTTCATGGTAACATCCCCCTCCCTCTCTACCAAAGCAACCCGCCTAAACACCACACAATGCTAACAAAGACAAAACAGTCCTCCCGCCCCCCAGACCAAACCTCCCCCCCCAGACCAACCGCCCAACCCTCATCCTCCTCAAAACCCTCCGCCGCCCTCCCCGAAGACGCCCCCTCCCTCCTCGCCCAGGACCTCGAGCTCCGCCGCCTCATCGCCGAATCCCACCTCCTGCAGACAAACAAGCCCCTCTCCCTCGCCGCCGCACTCTCCACGACGTCCTCCCCCAACGCCCAGCCAAAGGCCTTTTCTTCCGGCCGCGTCCGCCAAAAGGCGCTCGATATGCGCATCCAGGCTCTTGGTTCGAAGACGTCCATCCTTAAGCAGGAGAAGATGCCCATGCACATGCGCAAGGGCATCAATGCTGCTGCTGTTGAGAGAGAGGCCAAGCGGAGACGCGAGGCCAAGGAGACTGGCGTTATCCTGGAACGAGAGACGGGCAAGAAGAAGAGGAGAGAACGGAAGAGCGGCGGTGGTGGTGGGTTTGGTCCGGCTGTGGGTAGACTCAAGGGTGCTGAGCTTAGGATAAGCGAGAGAGATGTTAAGAAAATTGAGGGAACGAGGGATACGTTTGGTAGAAGGGGAGGAAAGCGATGAGAAGTAGAAGCGTTGAATTGGAAATACCATGGTCATTTGATTGAGAGCGGAAAAGTAAATAATGTATAGATGTCATGACAATTGTCGATACGGCACAGATCACATCGCTGGTGAGAGCGTTCTCGCAAATTATATAGAAACTGTTTTTCATGTCTATCGATCGATTCTTACACCTCAACACTAACACAAAGAAAGGACCCCAAGTGGTAATTCCTTCCACGAGAAGCCTTCCTTATAATCTGACATTGAAGAATAAATAGTATATAATATATATATATATACAGATGGCGTCATTTTCTCTCCTGTCACATGCAAGCCCCTTCTCTTCGTTTTTCGTCCAGAGCCGAAAAAACAGCAGATGCTACTCCGCTGGAGTCGGCCCCGAGCCAAATGTGTATAAAGAGCAAATCTGTTGTTGCAGCCGTAAATAAAAAAGGACAATCCGAGCATAAGACGCATAAAGAAAAGAGTTTTAGAAAAAAAAATGAGAGATGGAGAAGAAATGATATCAAGAAGGAAACAAAACATGAAATCCCCTAAAACCGAGATCCATAGAACGTGAAATTGTATCGTGACGCGAATAAATAGAGAAATGAAAAAGAAAAATAGAGAAAAGAGATCATATGGAAAAAAGAGCAGATTAAAACACGGCGCATTACATGGCACCGCCAGCATTGATGGGCGTGGGGTGGCTGATGGTCATGGGCATGCTCAGGGTCTGGAGGCTGTTGAAGCTGTGGCTGGAAGTCATGGTGGTCTGAGGAGCAACACCGCCGTTGGTAACGACGGCGTTGATCGAGCCAGGGACAAAGGCTGATTCTGATGTTGGTGATGCCTCCTCGACAGATCCAAGATGCTCCTCGCCAGAAAACTCCTCCTCCTCCTCGGCAGAGAGATGCAATGAGCCCTCGCCACCATCCTCGCGGCTGTGGGTACGCTTGTGCCTGTAATAATTGAATTAGCCAACTGCCGTTCATACCTGTAGAATTATGAGGAGAAAAGGGGTTGCACATACTGCGCCAGGTTATCTGATCGGGAGAAAGCCTTGCTGCAGTGAGGGCAGATGTAAGGCTTCTCTTGAGTGTGTGTTCGGACATGCCTATGATCATATAATTAGCTTTGCCATCTCGATGGTTGATCATTTGGAGACGCGCTCTTACCTCTTGAGGTGCTCTAGTCTCTTAAAGAGTCGGCCACAGGTGGGAATTGGGCACGAGTGAGACTTGTGAGGATAAGGGCCCAGCTCCATCACGGTAGCTGATCGGGCACGTCGGACAATGCCGCCAGCCATCATGGAACGCTCACCAGAGAGGTCGTCGCTGATGTGGGAAAAGTCATGCTGGAGAGCCATGGGGTGAACAGCGGGGCTGCCATGTCTTGAGATGTCCATGAGATCCTTGTGCTGGGAGGGGTAAATCATGCTGGAAGGTGAGTTTCCAGTAGACTCTTCTCCCTCGGCGACGGGCCCCATAGAGACGGAGACTGACCGACGCAGATCCGAGGGCCTGTGAGGGGCAGACGGGGTTGACGTAGGTGCGATGGTAGACATTGAGGTGGGGATGGACGTGCGGCGTCTTCGCTGCTTGTAGGTGGGGGATCCCTCGATGACGGAGTAAATGTTGTTTGCGCCGTAAGAGCGAGGGAACTGCGGGCCAGCAAGGTGGGACGGCATCTGGACCATTCCGCCGAGGCCAGACATGGCGGAGAGGTGATCGGGGATGGCAGAGTAGAGTCCAGTCTCCTCGTTGGCAATGTAGGCGGGCTCGGCAGTCATGCCGAGAGCCTGCTGAGGAGGAGTGATGGGCTCAAAGGACAAACCCCGGTTGCTGTAATCCTCGTAGCCCGAAGACACAAAGGACGGAGCAGGCGAGTACTCCAGGCCGTAGGCGGGCATCGAGGAATGGCGGTGGTGGCTGTGCGTAATGGGGATGCCATTCTGGTTGTAGTGGACGCGAGTGAAGTCAGCCTCCCTCTTGACTGCGGCAACCTGATGGGGGACGGCGGGGGCCATGGTCATGGTGTCGTAGGGGACCATGGAGTCCATGCTCTCAGCCAAAGGGGCCATGGTGTTGGGTATGATGCTCGGGGGAGGCATGGAGTCCATGCCCCTCATGACGGGAGAGGTGGACTGGCTGGGGTGAAAAGAAGACTGCTGCGCGCTGAAGGAGGACGAGTTGGCCTGCTGGCTCTTCGTGAGCTGCTCGTAGAGCGACTGCGACGAATCGTACTGGAAAGACAAGGCGGGCTCGCTAACAGCGACGGTAGTGGCTTCCTGGCCCATCTTCTCCCGCTTCAAGTCTCGCTCCAGAGCATCCAGGAAGAGGCGGTCGTGGGGCACACTGTACCAGTAAAAGACCTTTTGCTTCTTCTGGGTACGGATGCAGTTGTTTTTGTAGAGAAAGTCGAGGAAAGCGCTCTTTGGTTCCTCCAGGGAGGCATCTGTTCCTGACTTGAGATTTCGGAGATCGGAGAAGATTCCCTCCTCGAACTTTTTGGAGTTCTTGACAGGGCGGCCAAAGGCTTGGAATCTGAAGGAGAGGCATCGCACAATGTCAGTGCCGGAGATGTGGAAGAGGTTGTTCCACAGGATGCAAGAGACGTATTCACCCGTCGGCAGAAGAAAGCGTCGAATGTACTGATCCGGCTGCCAATCGACTGGGGCGGAGATGAGGAAATACTTGAGGTTGTCGACTTGCTGAAGGGCGACCTGGGCATCATGGGGAAGAGCCTGCTGAGCTTCGGTGCTCAACATGAACGTCTCAGGTTTCTGAGGCGCAATAGCCGGGTGTTGTGAATACATGATGCGCGAGTTTGCGACGATGCGACTTGGCGAGTCAAGGTTGTTGGAGGACAGCGTCTGGGAGACGGCGATCTGCGGTGGCCAATGCAATTGGCGACGGCGGATGATTGTCCTACGGGGGTGGCGGACACCGTGGCGGGCGGTAATTGGCGATTTGCGCGCGGAGGCGGTGCGAGACCAGGGTTGGTAGACAGAGGAAAAGGAAATATCAAATGAAAGGCGCTGCCCGAGAGTCGCGGGAATTGATGGTTCGACGCGACGATGGTGAGAGAGTGAGAGAGAGAGGGAGAGACCAGCTCGAAAGGACTAAAAGAGGTTGCACAGCAAAGGGGGGAACGACCCGAACAACAGCGTCTAGCGAATGTATGGGCGCGTCCGAAAAAGCGAACCGTCAAGGCGAGGATGATGCCGTCGTGCGTTGGGGAGCAAGAAACGGGAGTCGAGTCGCAAGACGAATTAAATGCGTATAGAAACGAAGAGTCCAGGAGAGGAGCGACAGTCGGCAAAACCTCGCGGGTTGGTTTCTTTGAGGGTTGATAATGTTTGAAGCGACGACGAGCGGGATTGCGGCGAACTGTGCGCGCGATTGAGGGACAGCCTGGCCCAGCGGGGAAAAGAATAAAAGAGAAGAAAAGAGAGAGGCAGCAGAGGATTCTGTGCGGCTCCGAAGAAGAAGGAGAAGAGCAGGAGGGAGAGAGAGAGAGGGTGGAGGCGGAGGAGAGAAGCGAAAGGGCAGAAAAACGTTGAAATAAGAAACACAGGGAAGAGATTTCAGAAGAAGGGGACTGTGAGGATGGACAACGGGGGATGGCACGTTTAATGGGGTGGAGTGGCGCGGGCCTTGGGGTTGTGCGTCCAGTCCAGTCCCTCGTCTGGGTTGCGATGCCTGAGCCTGAGCCTGTGCCTGAGCCTGTGCCTGTGCCTGTGCCTGTTTAGGTGGTGGTAGTGGCTTCAATGAGATTAGATTGCGCTGGTGTAGGTGTACGGAGGACGGAGTACCTGTTGCTGCGCGGGAAGCGTGCCTGTGCCTGGATGTACTGTGCCTGAACGAGCGAATGGAACTGGGCCAAACTCTTGTGCTAGCGAAGCGCTGGAGTGGGAGAAGCCGTTATTAACAGTCAGCCCAGGCACGGGGTAGACGCGGCGTACTCTGTGGCGTGGCCGCGGGTGACAGTGTACCCCGTGGCTACTTTGGCCGAGCTGCGCTGGCTTTGGGCGGAAGGAGAGAGGGGGGGGAAGAGGAGGGGCCGCTAATAATACACGCGCAAGAAAATAATCAAAAAGCCGGAGCCCACTGCTAAGCTAATAACAAGAAAAAAATAAAAATACAAATACAAATAAAAAAACAACGTGCAAGGGTCGGTGCGCACAGCAAGCCCGGCGCTAGTCAGGCACGGAGCTAAGCCTGAAGGGGGCATGGGCGGTACAGGCAAGAGGGTGTGGGGCCTCTGGGAAACGAGCAATTGCTGTCATAGCGCATGAGCGCCCACTGGGGCCAGGCCCTGGGCGGTGGTACCTTGGTGGTGCGTTCCCCTAGAGCGAGCGCCGCCTAATAATAACAGAAGTGGAGGTGCGGTGCAGTTACAGCACAAGCTCTCGTACAGTGCAGTACGGAGTGCTGGTGCTGGCCAAAGAGGCACAAGACGGCACGACCACGCCACCAAAAAGAAGCCACAAGTACAGGTACGAGGACATTGCAGGTGGAAAAAGGCGAGTCGAGTCGATGAGAGGATCAGGACAGGGCTGGGCCCGGTTGCTCGCCTCGTCTAAGCTCTCTGGCTGCAGGCAGAGCAAAGCAAAGCAAAAGCAAAAGCAAAGCAACATGAAGCAAAAGCAATCGATGCAGGCTTGACGTGGAAGCTGCGTCGGTCGGTGCACGTTGGCGCCGCCATGGCGCTCAGGCTGAGGCTCCACAGCCAACCACCCGTCTGTACAAAAGCATTGGATTGGATTGTTTGGGTGCCTGAGCGCTTTGCTCTGCTGCAGAGCCCAATCACAGCCAAAGTACGTGCATCAGCGCGCATGCAGCCCACTGGACAGCATCAGACCAGTCAAGCCGACGCAGATTCCGCCCTCGAACGGCGACTTTGGCCACAGCCCTGCCTTCTGGACCCGAGATTCGCACATTGGCCAAAATGTGGACGAGGCCAAAGAACAAGCACTCAACTGGTGGAATCAGCCAAGGGGGGGAGGCTACGAGTACTCGTACACACAGGGAGGGCCAAAACCGGGCCCCTTCGTCTACCTGGCCTCCGCCAAAAGCCCAGTTCCCTGCTCAACAGCTTTTTTGCACGACATTGTCAGAGAGTGGGCGTGCAGATAGCGAGACAAAAATAGGACGGGCGTGTGTCGACCATCACCACTCGTACTGTAAGCAAAGGGGGGCTTCTGGGCGCTCTGCAGGTCCGTCAGTGTTCAGCGTCACCTCAACTCTGGCGAAGTCAATGCAACGCCTTCCTTTTGCTCTCATTTGACGAGCCCGGACCTTGCTGCTGCATCTTCTCCTTTCTCTCTCTCCAAGGCTGGCTCTCCCCTGCCCCCCAAAAAGGGACTGACTCTGTCCATGTCGTTAGAGTGTGTACGGTGCTACGGTAATGGATGTACGAAGGAAGTGATTTATTCTGCGTGCACTTAGTACTAAACTAGCACGCTCGCAACCACATGGCAACTTGGATACTTGTTGGACGAATAGCCGTTCAGGGCATGGCGCACAAGGCGGCTCAATGCCATTCATGCCGCAGGCAGAGCCAGCTCGTTGACCATGATTAAAAGGAGAAGGAAAATTAATGACAACGAGCGTTAGCTTCTTCTGTTTGATTGTGTGGCTCTCACAAGTCCGTTGCTATGCTGGGCGCTAGCCGTCTGCACCCCTGGCCGGATGTGTCGACCGCATAAAGATGCAATCTAGGGCTCATTTGGTCCCTTATTCATTACATGAAAGCCTCGGAGCACATGAACAGACTGGGAATGGAGAATACCTACAGGTACAGCCGCATTGCTTTTCGTGCCTCATTGCCGGGCCCCGCAACGCGTCCATACCCGCTTTATCGAATAACTCCCTGAGAGAGAGAGAGAGAGAGAGAGAGAGAGAGAGAGACTCTCGCTCGCAGCGCCGATCGAGGAGCAGTGTTTGGCGGCTCATGAGACGACCGCATCTCGTAGCCATGTCAGCAAGGATGTCCGATTGGGCTCTCGTTGCCTCCTGGTCCTTGACGCAGGAACAAGTCACCGTTACCAAAAGATTGCTCCCGCTCCCATTGCCGGTGTCTCGCCTCTCCGTGATCCGTCACTGCCGGCATGCGAGCCAGGAACCCCCCCAACGACGAATCCGATAAACATTGTTTTCGATTGATCAATCCAGGGCGCCAGAGTTGGCCGACAAGATGGCATCGTCGATTCTTACAGTTGCTGCCAGGAAAGAAACGGCGACATGTGCTGTCCGCCACGGATCCGACTCATCCCAGAGTATACCACCACCGTGTCTTTCAAGGGGCAAAAACTCAGTTGACCAAGTCGATGCCATTCGTCCAAAAGGCCACGGTATGCAAAGTCAACCTTTGCCGACTTCTGTCTGCCCAGTCACCGGGTGGCATCCCGAGTCGTCCGCTATGACAGCGATTAGTACGAGTAGTCTGCAAACTCATACATGGTATTCGTAGAACCCCGGCTAGATAGCGTCCGAATCGTCACCTGTAACGACAAATGCCCATGTTTCGTCGAGTGATGTGATCCGGCTTCCCCACAACACGCTCCAGTCTGGATGGCGATGCGTGTCCTCGTTCTTCAAATCGGTGGTAACGATGAGATGTTATCTCCTTGGCAGCGCAGGATTTCCTCAGCAGGAAAAGAAGAGAAAAAAAAAAGACTCTCCTCTGGCTTTGTCACATCAAACCCCCTGTCATATATGAAACAGAATGGCTGGAGAGGGTTGTGGCCGTTGAATCCTGGAAGGGAGAAAAGACGAGAGCAAAGGCCGTTGATTTCATCCGATCCGAAGCACACCAGAGAGGAGAAAAGAGTCAGAGCGCTGCATTCTCCGAGGTGGCTTGTGGCAATGAAACTCTGCATCCAGCTTCCTCCTTGGTATCGAAGCCAGCAATCCTTACATTCATTCCGGCCATATGCTGGTGACGCCCATCTATCTCTCTGCTCGCCTCACGATGCTTGGTGCTGCTTGTATAAACGAGCATCTACCTCTTGGGTACATGTACTGGTACCTGTATACAACTGCCTGCCAAACCTCTTTCCGCTGCCGACGGCCTTTTGCCCACGCCAAGCCTTTCTCTTCCCACGATGCCATCTTTCCATCTTCCCAAAAGCTGCTGCAGGCCAATCGATGCAAAAGCCTTGCAAACCCAAGCCCAGCATTCGCCCTGATCACAGGCTGGCCCAAGCGGCTGCACGAGAGGCTTCTCAACATGAAACGCGCCTGGAGCGACGCTTCGGCGGGGACGAGGGCGTTGCTAGAGACACGCGCGGTGCTGATTGGCTGCGTCAGAGTGTGTACGCCCCCTAGATCCTGTCCCATGTCCTGCTTCACATCTTCCCGCCGAATCATGGCTGAGCCCAACCCCTCATGCAATCATGCACGAGCATGGGTGCCGTCGGTTGCTCGACAGCTTGGAATGCGACGTCGCTAAGCCTGATGTCGTGAGGTCGTGTTGACGATGGATGCAGGTGACCGCAACTAGACGGGCCATGACTCTGCAGTGCTCGTATGCCCGGGCGCCTTGGATGGCGAGCCACGGTCCGTCCTCTTGTCGACCGCATCTTGTCCGACAATGGCAACGACAACGAGCGGTAGAGGCGAAGAACCCACGGACGGGCTCTGGAGGAACCGCATGATGCATCCGGTGGCTTGCAGCCATGCTATGCCTGCTCGCAGAGCTGAGCTGTCCGTGATACAAACTCGGCGCTTTGGAATACGTCAGACAGGGCACTGTCCAAGTACAGTTGAGCCAAGCGACGACTACGATGAATGCTTTGTATCCATCTGCTTCATGGATGCTGCTGGGTGTAAAGGCAGTATCGCTCGTACTGCTACATACAAAGGATCTCCACCGTCATTCTTCGGCAAGTTCGTCTCATGCAAGCAAGCCAAGACGGTGATCCAGGCACATCAGATCGTCCAGGCACAATCGCTCATTGCCATGCAGTTTTCTTCGCCTCGGCCTGGATCAACTGATCGACGAGGCTGGCGCACGGCGCACAAAGCGGAAGACTAACAAAGCGAATCCCAACTTGCTCCACAAAAGTCGGCGGTCGACGATATGTTGACAAAGAGGGCATCAAACTTTTGCTCTTTGACGCCCATGTGCCAAGACGACGTCTTTGAAAGATTTGACCACAAGCAGCCGCTGCTAGTGGCCTTGTGAACGGAAAGATGACGAGATCCTGCAGCTATGGGGTCCTGCGATGTGATGACTTGTTCCCCCTCCCCCCGGGCCAAGGTAGCGGCCATCTGAAACATGAAGATAGATGCTTGCGTGCTTGATCGTCCCGCCCGTCTGAACTGATAGCCCGGTACGCGCCGCGGCCATCTGAGACTCCGAGCCATTTTGTGATGGCGATGGCTATTTGTGAGAGGGAGCATGTAAGGGGCATGCGGGTCCTACGTGCGGTGCGATACAGGCCAGCATGCTGAGGATGTAAAAGCACGAGTCTTCACAAATCATCATCATCATCACCTCTGCTCGGAGAGTCTCCTGGCGCTTCGGCTTGCAGCTACTATGCGTCTCTCGCACGGCACTGGCTGGATCATGACGTGAAAGATATTAAAAGTTTTTTCTGGAGTCCCGACATCAATCCATGGCGTGGCAAATCCATGGCCCGCAAACCGGCCTCTCAGCAAGTTCTTTGGCACTGCGAGGCCTTTCATTGGTAGTAAACCGTCGACGGCACTCGCCAGATGCCGCTTGACGCCCAACAACACAGGGCGCAGGCCAAATATAGATCAAGCTTAACGCTCTATCGGCCAACCAGGGACTCGAGAACGTGGTCACTTCAAAGTTTGTCCCAGCACACGAGCCGTGGCGCTCACGGAGCTTGTACTGATTGGTTTGCTACACGTTGCCCCTTGCATATTGTCATCATCCTCTTTTCTCTTTTCTCTGTGCTGCATCTTGTAAACTCTGCATTGCCGCTCAGAGTATGGAATACTATCACTTCTCCCTGTTACCAAGCGCGGTCTCGAGAATGGGCCTTGGGATAAAGATAGCAACGCAAGCCGTGGATGGGCCCGCGTCCCCTCAGCCAAACCGTGAGTGATGTGATCCAGCTGACCGTGTTTTCTGCATGGAATCGATGCTGCGTGGCGTCAAGAAGGGTTGAAGAAAACCGGCCCTTCTTGAAGAACGCCACACGGGCTTCAGACGCTGAAACGGAGCCAAGAAGCGCAGGACTGGCGTCGGCTAGTCATTCATCGTCAACCCTGGCCTTGAATCCGTTGTTGACTTTGAACCGCACAACTTGGCTTGGGCTACACTGCGGAGAACATGCAAGCACGGAACTGATTTCCAACTTCCTCTCTTGGCTGGCAATTGTCTCCAATGGCTTCTCGTCAAGTTGGCACAAGAGGAGACTAGACCGGCGCCTTCTTTCGATGTCGTCAAGCTTCTTGGAGCCCGGCCGGAGCTATCGCACTTGGTAGGCGAGGCTGGGCACTAGGTCCAAGTAGCTGTTGAACCTGAAACAGCGCATCAGCTCTCCAAAAGGCGAAACTCGTTCAAGAGGGTGCTGCCGCTGCTGCTGCCGCCAATGCCAAACTCAGCTCGATGACGGACCGTCTGCATGAGCTATTCCCTACCGACGTCCGCCGCACTGGCCTTCACCGGCCGATCGATTACGGGGTCAATTTCCCTCATTTGCTTCCCTGGCATGGCTGACTCGATCGCTGTCTAATGCGAATAGAGTCTAGCAAAGCGATAGGCGTTGCGGTGGATCCGCAGCGAGGACGGCCGTGAGCTCAGTTTTGAGCGTTGTGCGGAGTATTTGTTCGAGACCTGGCCCTGCCTACACGACACCAAGTTTGTTAGTCTACATGATAACATGCAGACGTCGACCCCTAGGCCAGATACGGAGCAATATTTCATTCTACGCGAGACTCAGGGCCCCCGTTTCACCCTCTTCTAGAAGACGAGCGACGGACTAACAAAGGCTAGGGCCGTGCTGTTCGGCCCCGAACTCTCCAAGGCAGTCCGTTTCTGGAAATCTCGCAGCCCTCTTTACTCGTATCACGTTTCGAAACGGAGGACTACCTCTGCGTCTAGAAGATGGAAAATATTGGTCATGTGTGTTCAGCTAGAGGGCTTCCATTTACCGAACAGAGAATGAAATTGCGCTGCAGGAGAGTCTCGAGGCTGGGGACTGCGCTCTGGAAGCAAGCTGAGCTGAGCCTTGACTCGTGAAAGAACGTCTACCGTGCTTGGCGTGGCTGATGTGTGTTTCCTCCGTCGAGTCTGGTCAATGCTGACCCATGGCCTTTTTTTTTTCCTCATCATGTCCGACGGGTTCAAAGTCCGGTGCTTCGTTATGATGCGAGTGCTACCCTTCGGCCCCAGATCTCCCGCTGGCCGGGAACTGAATCCTGGCATTGTCTGCCATCGGCGATGGGGACATGCGAGTCTTTTGTGTTACATGTCGACCATGGCTGGGCATCGGTCTTGTGTGAAAGCTACTAAGCTAACCAGCATTGCAGGCGCCATTGTTCGCCTTGGCTTTTCCTTTGCAATATCGCTACCAGCGCCTTGACTGCCCGGCACAAAGCTTTACCTAGAGCTCTGGCCCTCTAGGCATCCTTCGTATGCAGCCATGAAGAGCTATCACATCCCAGGTTCATCTCCGCTGCTGACCCCTGCAGACCATCACTTTGCGTCTCTTTTCGCTAGCATTTGCGCATACCTAACACGAGTACTACTGCAACTCCGTGCAGGCTTCTGATGCCCGCTTCTCCCTCTTCGCCTGCGGAGCACTCCCGTATAATCCATAGTAATGCCGTTTAACCCCCTTCGCTCTGCATTGCAAGTCGTGATGGCTTTTTGATGGGCTGTAACCCGATTGGCCGCATGGCTACAGTACAACATTCTGAAACCGGAACTTTTAGCCTTGAAACAGAGGGCATCCAGCTCCGTGGGCACCGTCTATTCCTCTTTGGCTCGTTTGGAATCCCCGTGACGGGGAGGTCGCATCGACATTGTCACATGGGCGGCGGTGCCTCACGCTTTCTCCTCTGCCATTCAGCCGCTTCGGTCAACTACTAGAGCAAAGTCAAAAGGGGGGGACGTCCGATGTCTGGGTTTCAGATAAAGCATTCGTTCGTTCGTTTCTAAGAATAGGAACAAGCTGGGTACGGAGTGAGTGCTAGCAGAACTACTACCTGAGAGAACGGTTACCAAACAAGGCTGATATCATGATGTTGGTGAGCGTTGAGAATTCTGATTTGTCACACCCGGTTCCCCCGGCGATGGAGGCCTGCGGGTTATGAGCATCAGTCCGTGAGAGAAGAGAGGGAACAGCAATCCCTCCCCCCCCCCCCCCCGGTGATGCGATTACAAGGTCACAGCCGCGGTAATGGACGTTGTTCCTTCGCTTTTGACAGGGAACCAGGGGAGGTCGAGCTGTCCGTGCTTTTGCTACCTGTAATTCCCGCGGGGGCCCATGCGAAATTCAGACCAGCTGCGGGAGCAACAGGATCGCTGGGGAAATGGCCTGATTCTACCCAGGCCGTGGAAATTGAAATTGCCCTTGCAGGTCCGGCTTTGTTTGGAGGATCTTGTAGGGTAGGCTTCAATTTCGCATATGCACGTTGTAAGCCGGCGGAATTGTCTGGTCCATGGATGATGGCGTTACATTTACGAGCCCTTGCATGTGTACAGACAGCTTGCTTGCCTTGCACGGCTTATGAAAGAAGAAAGGAAAGATGGGGAAAAGCAAGGAAAAGGGATGGTTCTGGCTTAAGACGATGAGGAATAACGACTCGTGTGCTTGCCTTGATGGCTGGAGGTCGCGACGTCGTGCTGATACGACCTCGCAAATCAGACTTTGAGATTCGACGCTCACATGCCTTTTGCACGAAGGATGATGCTTGCAACTAACCAATAGATGCGTCATGTCATACGTACAACGCGCCAGGTACAGTGCCAAGCGGTTTGCAGAGGGACCGCGAGATGAAGATGCTACATACGAGTGCCTACATGAGGACAATACGATCGCCGTCTCTCGATGAGTCTAGTGCAGTGCGGATTGTCTGTTTCCGTATGCTGGTAACTTTCCGATTCCCCGGCACAAAGCATGAGTACGAGTAGGGATTCTGTACAGCCTCGTTGATTCAATCCCTGGCGTTTGTTACTCATCACAAATCACATGGGAAGCTCGCCATCACATGTTGGAAAGGATTACTGACCATGTCTACTACAGTTATGATAAAAAAAAACACGGCTGGAGAAGAAAAAAGCAATGCTGGACCACGGACACAAAAGTCCCGAGAAAACAAGACGGGAAAACAACACCATCGCATATCATCCAAAAGAAAAGAAAAAAAAAAAAAGAAAGAAAGAAATCGATTAATTATAAAAAAACAAGTTTTAGGCGAAGAAATAAAGGGCATGGTCCCTTGAATACAACAACGGGATGCAGTAAGCTGGAGTAAACTAAGCCAAGTCGCTCGAATCAATAAAATGAAAAAAAGCTAAAAAGGACGAGAAAAAGCAAAAAAGTATGAAAAAAGTCTTTGGCTCCAACAGATTAAATGCAAGTTCAAGTTTATTACAACGTTTTCGTTTCGTTTTTCTTTCCGTCAGAAAAAACAAACAAACAAACAAAGCAAAACAAACCAGAAAAAACCAACAGCTTGCCCTTGCCCTTGCATCAAACCAACCACTTCCCCCTTACATCAAATGTTCCTTTTTTTTTTTTTGCTTTTTCCTTCGTCTGCTTTATTCCCTCTCAGGAATGGCTCTTTTGCTTTCTTTTTTTCCAAGATCCTCCCGTTCCCGTCTTTCCCACGCCCCCTTAGACTCCAGGCCCTCGATGAGACGACAACACACAACACACGCACAAAGCTTTTCTCAGAACAAAAAAGGGTAAACGAATCTGGATAGACAAGGCCGTGATACTACTGTACTAGACACGGATTTAGGATCGTGCCTCTTCTAGTTCTAGCTCGAGCTGCCTGATTCGCTCGCTCTGGTCCTGGGATCCTGATCCGAGCCGTTTCTTGAGTGATTCGACCTCGGACGTCAGGAGACCAATCTGGTCGTTCTGCGCACTAATCACCTTGGTCTGGTTCTCAATAAGCTCCTTAATCTCGGTCAGGGAGGTTGTGGGATCGCTGGATGTCGGGGCCGGTGTAGGAGCCGGGGCTGAGGAAACGGGTTTCACAGGAGCTGGGGCAGGTGAGGCGACTGGGGGAGTTGCCGGCTTCGGTTCGGATCGGATAGGCAGAGGTGCTCGCTGAGCAGGCTTGACCTCTTCGTCAAAGCTGGATGGCTCCTCCTTCTTGGGCTCCTCATCGTCGTCCTGGAACTTGTTGGCCATGGCGGCAATGGAGCTCTTCTGGTCGCTGACACTGGGAGGGGGAGCTCGCACAACCGGCTTGGGCTCCTCCTTGGGCTCCTCCTTCTTGGGCTCGACCTTGGGGGCCACTGGGGCGGCGGGTGGCTGGTAGTCGGCAGCAACCTCCTTGGGAGCAGTTCCCTCATAGACACTCTCCAAATCAATCTTGGCCGGGAGTCCCGTCTTGCCATCGAGCCACTCCTTGGCGCTGACGGCGGGACGAAGGCCCACGGCCGGGGGGAAGATGTCTGCCTGGAAGGTCTCTGCTCTTCGGGGCACAGTGAAGGAGATGGGCTCGATGTAGTTGTCGTTTACTGTCTTGAAGGCGCGCATGACCTCGTTTTCGTGAACCTGGGACGGGATTAGCCGGGGCTGTCAAAGTAACACCCACGAGTCGTTGAGGATACTGACGTTGATACCGCGTCGCGGAATAAAAGCGATACCTCGCTGGGGGTCGACAGACTTGTACTCGCTCAGGTACTCGAACTTGTCGTTCTCGTACTCGTAGTAGCGGATGTTGCCATCGCTATAAGGCTAGTCAGTAGCTGCACACGCACAGGGAACCACAAAACGGTTATTCATGAAGACGGAGGGGAGAGAGCTTACCCCTTGCCAGCAAGGTAGAGGCAGTTAGAACCGTCATCTATAAAACACAAGTTAGCGATCCGATCAGTGCGACTTGGAGAGTGTTGTTGACATGGACGAACCCCAGAACGGCATGCAGACACCGGAAATGGCATCCAGATGAGTGAACCCTCCGATGGGGTCGCTGCGGCCAGGTTCCCAAAGGGCAATCTGGCGCTCGCTCATCTTGGAGAAGCCAGTCGTGGCGAAGCGGTTGTGCTCGCCCAGCCAGACTGCTCTGCTGTTCTTGGCGCCTGTGTGGCCCGCGTACTCGTGCACAGGCTTCTCCTGGCGGACATCCCACACTCGGATCTTCTTGTCTCTCGACGTCGTGACGAGAAGGTCGCCGCTCGCGTTCCATGACAGACTCTGTACGATGTCGGCGTGCTGGAGAGTCAAGTGGTTCTGGCCGGTGGCGATGTCCCAGAGCTTGATTGTGAAGTCGCCCGAGGCAGAGGCGAGGATGTTGTCGGCCGCGGGGTTAAACAGGACCTGCCCGACTTTTCTATCGCGAGCTGGTTAGTAATGGTAATGTAATTATTCTCTCCCGCTCTAGAAGCATAGATCAAGGATCGAAATCGAAAGGGGAGTCGCCTACCTCGTGTGTCCTCCCAGCTTGCTGACCGGCGATACATCGGGGATGACCTCGGCATCCGTGTAGAGCGTAAAGTCCTGAGGGACCTCCCAGATGAAGACCTTTCCGTCCTCCGAAGCCGAGGCGATGATGCGGTCGTTGAACGGGTTCCTTTGCGATAAAGACAAGTCAGCGACCCAAACCCTCTAAGCGACAAGGGGTGTGTTTGCAAAAAGGCAACCCGAAATAGGGGGCAGAGAGGCATAGCTCACCAGTCAGTGTCGAGCACAGTCGCCGTGTGTCCGCGGAACAGAGGAATCTGGTCGGGAGCCTTTCCCTTCTCGTTCAAAGGGATGACAGCAAAAGCGCCGCCTCCAGACGACTCCCAATTGACCGACAGGTACTCGGCGTTGGCCTAACGTTGCAAGCTCTTTTCATCAGCAAACCCGCGTGTCCAAGTATTCGCATGTCGCGTCTCGACGCCGTTCCGTACCTTTACCAGGTTTGTGTCCCAGGCATTCCGGCTGATGCGCAGGTTGTCGTAGCAGAACTCCTTCTTCGTGGGCTTGCCAAAGATGTGACCTGCAGCCCGTCAGCCTCGTCCGTCGTCGTCAGCGCCGTGAATGCGCCTTTCGCGCCTGGGGAGGGGACCTACGGTACTTGGACGCCCGGACGAATCGACCAGCCATTGCGGCGTCCTCTGGCGAACGAGATCTGGGGGACAAGGGAGAAGAGAAGAGGCGGGAGAGAGAGAAATCGAGGGCTTGCGGACTTGCGCTTGGGAAGAAGAGCTGAGGATTTGGGGTGTGCTGGATGAAGATGGAGGAAAGCAAGAGGTGCAGTGCAGCTGGTGCTTGAATCCCCGTTACAGGTGACGATGCCCCCCCCGAAGGACCCCCCCAAAAAGGACCCCCCCAGAGCTCTGAGCCCACTGAAAGGGCCCGCTGCGCCTCGCCAGCTGGACCCCACCAGCCCGCTTTTTGGTGCTGCCGTCAGCGCTCCGTCTCTCAATTAACGCGGGCGTCAATGCGAGATGGCGCAAGGGTCACGTGTCTCAGCTTAGATGCAAAGGGGGACGTTTGTAAGATTAGATTAGAAGAATGAAATGACGTTGGTCAACAAAGGGGGTTGTGCTATACTCTGTGCTTTGTTTACGGTAAAGCATCTGAGAAGCATGGGAATAGCTTCATAATCTACTTACTCTTATATATATATACAATATTTAATACATAATACATACAATACAATATACACACAGAAGTAGGCAGGGTGTTAACGGAGCAAGCATGCTCATGCTCCTAATATGGAAAATACACGCATGATAATAACCCCTTTCCTCATACCGAACCCCCTTTTACTTCCTACACCCGTGCGCCATTCCCTTCATTCACGCCCCAGAAACGAACGAGCAAGAGGGGCCAAACATCCAGCAAAGTGACTACTACTACAGAGTACATTCAACTACTCCAAGTTTTTTTGCATCAAGGAACTGCGCATTGGCTGCGTTGGTCTCATTATACTTGCTAACAACGGTTTTTTAATACAAATCAAAATCCATACGTACAGGCGATTCTTTGTCGCAACAGCTGTGGAATCAAAACAGCAAACAATGAAGAAAAAAGTAGAATGTAAAGATAAGAAGAAGAAACGGGAATGAGAGGCCAACAGCAGCAACGAAGAAGAAGAAGAAAACGCAAAGAAAACCACCGGCAACGCCAATGAATGTGTCTGTAGTAGCAAAAAAGAGAAGAAAAGAAGAAAAAAATGCGCCGTCCCCCCCGCCACGACTTCGTCGGTCATACTCCATAATCCAACACGTATTCATAACATAGCAAGTACATCTCCAGTTGGCGTCTTGCCCCTCCGCTTTTTTAGTTGAACGTGCTCCTTGTCCGTGAGTGCACTCTCCGACTGTCCGTTCGGCGTCGAATCTGCTCCTCGTGCTTGAAGACAAGCTCGCACCACTTGGCCCGCGACCGGGGCCCGCTGGCATCCTCTTCCAATCCGGTATCACCACGGCCAATGACGTCGGAAAGGGCCTTCATCCAGCCTTCCTTGTCCTCGGCAGAGTCGGCGTAGAAATCAATCACCTCGCCATTGTTGAACCGGATGCGGAAACCCTCCTCAACAAACATGTACCCCTCTTCTTCTTCTGCAAAGGCGGACCTGCGGCGTTTGCCTCCCTTGCCCGTCGTCTCCTTCTCCATCAATGTTCGACGATCGTCAATTAACCGTTTGGCATTGGAAAGATTTATCGTCGCTCGGGGCTGGCGAGTAGCCTCGTGGTATGCAGTCAGCTTTGTGCCAACAAGCTTAAAGTATCGGCGGCGCCAGTACTAAATCAATGGGTTAGCCAAAATTCAAACGTAAGAGAATATGAAAGGGGGGGAAAAAGTTGCAACATCAACTTACAGGACAGTCACCACCCTGCTGGCTCAGAACACCCTCCCAGTTACGGGCAAGCCTCTCTTCGGCGGCCTTGAGCTCCCGAATGCATGAGTTCATGCTCTTGGGCATGTCATCATCCGTAACGTTCTTGGGGCGCGGTACAAAGAGAAGCTGAAGCTCCAGCTTCCCGATGTTGTACGGCGCCTTTCTGAGAATGCCAGCAGCGTTGCCTCGTTTGCTCTTGATGGTGGACGCAAAACTCTCTTCCTCGGTGGCCCACTCGTTGAAGCAGACCACTTCGACGGTGTACGGGCGGCCGAAGCATCGGGTTTCGTGCTCCTTCAGGGAGATGTAAGCTCGAGCAAAGCTTCCATCTTCAGCAGCCAGCGGTGAGAGGAGCTCATAGGCCGAGCCGGCATCCTTACGCTTTTGTGCCAGCGCTTCCTTTTGCTGCAGCGCAAAGCGCTCTTCTTCTGCCCTTTGTCGAAGCTCAAGCTCCTTTCGCTTCTTGGGTGATGCAAACACCCTGCTGAATGTGGATGTCTTGGGTTTTGTCATCTTGACTGCCGCAGGCTGGACATGGGAGTACGTCGGCTTCTCCAGCTTGACATTCAGCGTGAGCTGGAACTCGAGGTCGTTGGGCACGACAAGTTCGAATTCTTGTCCAATGGGTGCATTGCGAGCCAGCTCCAGCCAAGCTGTCGTCACACAGTGAACACCGTTGTCTAGAGTGAGGCTGAACCAGCTGCGCTCATCTAAGAAATAAAATGTTAGATTCGGCTGCCATTTTAGGATACGAAGAAAAAACTTACTCTTTGGAATTGGTAGGTCAAGGTCCTTGACACCAATGACCTTGACAAACAGGCGGCCTCTCTCACCCGCGTCTGGGCCGGCCGCATCAACACTGTATTCTTCTTCAACAACCTTGTTCAGAGTGGTCGAATTGCTCTCCTGGCCCGGCAGTGGCGGAACGGGGCTTAATATCGGCTGGCCCTTTCGAATACTGCGACGAGTTTGGCTGTTCCAGGGCTCCACTGTCCACGACTGCGGCCGATTCGACTTGATGGGTGAATTGTTAGCAGATCGTGCTTTCCAAGAATCCTCGGCATCCTTGTCGCTGGCAGACACGAGTTTGGTGTTTTGTCGCATGAGGTATCCGCGCTGAGAACGAGATGTAATATTAGCATCGAGTTGATTCTTATCTGGTGAAGTGTGCTGCTTCCCTGACACTTGTCGAGGCGAAGAGTGGTTGTGGTTGGTGGTCATCTGTGTTGTGTGAGAATAGGGGCGACTAAAAGCTACCTTTTGCGTTTCAATGACTCGTTCAAAGTCTTTATCCAAGCTGAGGCCCATGTCCAGGTCCAATGTCAGGCTCTTGTTCTTAAAGCTTGGATGCCGAGCCAGGAAACTGTCATTGCTCAGTTCGGCATCGTTACCATCTCTTGACATGAGCGCACGATGCTTGCTTGGGATCGATGGCACACTAGGTATTTCACCACTGACGTGCCTACGAGCCTCCCGCATAGCCACGATATCCGAAGGCGTGTTGGAAATCCTCGTCTTCAGCTTGGAACCGGAGGCCTTGATCGTTGCGAGCCGTTCGGGAATCTCGGGGGATTCTTTGCGGACAATCTCCTCTTCGTCAGAGACGGGGTTATGGATGACAGAGTCGGGAGTTTCCGATCTATCTTCCGATCTGTCTGCGTATGAATCGTCGCCCCAGCCGGTACCGTCGTATTCAGGTTTGGGGACCAGCTTCTCTGGAGTCTTGTTTCGGAGGATTTCGTTTGATACTTTTGGTGATACGTCGTGCTCTCCCTCCGAGTCCGTTGCCTCTGGTACTTCGCGATTAAATTCAAGAGCGGCTGGTTCAAGCTCAGAGCCCTCAAGCATAGAAGGGTCAAACGAAGATATCTCCAATGTAGCTTCGGGAGTGGCGTCCGATGATAGATCAGAAACCGAGAGTGCCGATTCGCTGACCATACTAGATTCAGCCTCGGTGTGTGTTTCGTCTTCAGTTCCCGCCGGAGAGACGGCACGGGGAGTCAGCGCCTCTTCGCTAACATCATGTTCCGGAGGCGATAATTCTTCCACAGACTCCTTGGCAGGTTCCTTGGCAGGTTCCTTGTCGGCTTCGGCGACGAGCTCCTTGACAAGCTCCTTGACAAACTCCTTGGCGGGTTCCTCGGCGGGTTCCTCGGTAGGCTCCTTGGCTGGGTCCTCCACGGTGTTCTCAGTGGGCTCAGTCTTAAGCCCAGACTCCGTATATTGGCTGTCATCACCCCCATAATGAGAGCCCGAAGCATCCAAGTCATCGTCAGATTCGAAGTGAGACTCGTCGTCATATTCGTCATCGTATTCGGAATCGTAGTCGAGCTCGGAATCGTCTTCATGGATAACCCGATGAATAATCACGCTGCTCTCCACGGGATCATCCTCATCATACGGGCCGTCGCCTTCATCATCATCATAAGAACGGTCGTCGTCTTCATCGTCCTCATTGTCCTCGTCATCCAGCAGAGAGTCTTCAGTTGACGGAATGGGAACATCGGGGTCAAGAGGAAAGTGCTGGTCTCGAAGGGGGCTCCCCGGCGGCGAAGAAAAGTTGTACTCTGATTCGGGATCCGACAATATCTTGCTCCCGTTGACACGCTTCATGATGGACTCCCTAGAGATGGGCTGTGGCAGCTGATAGTCTCCCAGTCCAGACATGTCGCCAAGATTGTCTTCCTCTTCATGGACCTCGCCCTCTTCGTCTTTGTGGATGTCGAGGGCGATTTGGCTATCGTGGCCGTCAGCCGTGTTGAGTGTGTCGTCACGGGACAGTGAGCTGCGACTGCGACCAGAACTTCGGCGAAGACGTCGCTCGCGCTGTTGTTCGGCAGCGGTCTTACCGCTGCTGTCATCAGACATCATCATGAGCTTCAGTCTTTCCTCAAGTGACATCTTGCCGCTGATGAAGTCTTCGATATCGGACTTTGTGGCTGAGGCTGGAGGTGGAACAGGTAAGCTTCTATGAGAACCACCCATCTTCTCCGGGTCCTGAGAGAGCGCAGGAGACGAGGGCACAGAGCCGGTAGACTGGCTTCTGACATGACTTCCTGGAAGAGGGGGAAGAGGGCGATTTTCTGCAACGGACCCGATGGACAGACGCCCCGAACTGGTTCCTGCCAGACCCCCTTCAGGCAGGCTTCCATCATACTCGTCATGCTCGTTGTTCATCAAAGAGTTGTCTCTGGCCCAATCATCGGGGCCGACGACTGGGGTCTTGTCTGTATCCTCGAGAGATGCATCGAAACTCTCATCATCGTGGCCGCCCATGTGATTGGGATCGTAGAGAAGATCCTCGTCTTCCTCCTCGTCCTCATCCATGGAGTCATAGCTGCCCTCGCGCGAATTCGTTCCGATAGAAGAGAGATCCGGAGTGGCCATCTCGTACTCGTTGATCTGGGGCGGCGCAGCGTCGAAGGTCACGCTCTTCGTGTGCCGATGCGAGGGGCGGCCGCTGGGAGAGCCGTCCACGGCAGATACATCTGCAGACCACATGCCCGTCTCATGGTCGAAGCTGCTCTTGAATTTGGATGGCGAAAGTGACGATTTGGTGGGTGAAGCCTGGTCTTTGCTGGGCCCTCTGGGCGTACTGGGACCAGAATTATCTGACTTTGTTGGACTCATGGGCGCGGGCACAGCAATGGACTTGTCGCCATCAGCGTAGTAAGGGCCGGGGGAGCCTACCGGCAAACCGTATGTGCTCTGGACCTTGGCTAGAGGTCTCTCGATCTGAGGAACTCGGGTTGGGTCATATTCCTGCTTCTGCTCGAGAGCCTTGATGTTGCTATTCTTGACGCGGGAAGCTTTCTGGAGACGCTCGATCGATGAGCGCCGGGTCGGAGAGGGCGAGCCGTTGCCGTACATGTTCTCCGAATTGCGGTTTTGCCAAAACACTCGCGGCGATGCCACCGAGTCGGCGGGCGAGGGCTGGAATGGAGACGAATCATTGCCGCTGTTTTGAGTCGACTTCTAAAAAAAACGCACACACCCCCCATGTCAGCGCGAGACATCACCACACACAATGTTGTTAAGCATTCCACGAACCTTGGTAGGAGACATTTGGTTCCAGCTAGGAGAATTGCGTCTCCTTTCCGTGGGAGAAAGTTCAGATAGGGGGCGGGGCTGGGGAGCGGCGTTGGGCGATTTAGCCGGTGACGAGCCTGGCGTGCCCTTGGCGATGCGCAATGGGTGCACCTGGAGAGAAGAGGTTGGAGGTTAGTATTTTTTTTTTTTTGCTGCCTCTCGTGTCGGGGGCCAAGTTTTTGGGGGCCACGTTGGGCGTACCGGTTCAGATGACATATCGATCGAAACTGGTCTGGCTAATCCTTGCACTCGGGTTGGGCTAGGACGGTTGACGCATCAGCGCGTAGGGCCGATCAGCGCAAAAGAGGTGATTGTGACTCGAGCGGAGGAATGCAACGACTTGCCGGCGTCGTGTGTATTCCTCGTTTTGTCGCAAAGGGTATATATAAATAAAAGGGAGGCTAAGGTTGGGGGACGGCAGCCTCGAAAACGAGCGTTTGGAATTGAACAAGGAGAGAGGGGGGAAAGGGAAAGGGGGCGCGAGAATATCAGAATGTTACGCCGGGTTAACTCTGTTCTCTTCAGTATGATTGATGATAAAAAAAAAAGGAAAAGGAAAAAAAAAAAGTTGCCTCGGAGCCGTCAAGTCGACTCGATCGTTGGCATCCAAAATCGATATCAAACGATGTCAACTTGGCGAGGTTCAGAGAAGGGGGGCCTATTCATTTGCAGGTCGGGAGTGTTTAAGGGAACATGGAAGCAGCAAATGCACCGCCGTCGGGCAGCGTGATTGGCCTAACGCAAAACAAAACACGGGCCCCTCAATGTGCCAGGGGTTGTCGTGGCAACGCGGCTGCTGGAGCACACTATTTTGCCTAGCCTTGGGGGGCCTTCCGGGGCACATCGCAGCTGAGGAGGGGTTGGAGGCGCGCTAAATCGTGCTGCGACAGGGCTCTCGTCAGGCGGCTTGCAGCCCAGCAGAGCACTGGGGCTTGTGCTATGTAAGGTATCCATGGAGAGCTAGCAGACGGGAAGCCTCGTAACAGCGCCCTATGAGCGGCAGCCAAAAACTCAACATGAACACCCGACCCGACTGCAAAAGAGCCTTGAGTCCATCGCCATGGCAGCCGGCAGGGGTCTGAGACGAGGCAGCATGCAAACAATCAGACGGCCAAGGAGAGGTTTGGGCGTCCCAGGACGCTGATTCGGCTGATTGCGCCGCACGATGCACCCATTCGTTTACGTACAGCCCTGATGCAGAGGCTATTCGCACCCGCATCTCGCGCTAGACGCCTGCAAAGCATTCGGCCTGCCCTGTTGCGTGTCGTCATCAGAACACATGCACAGCGGTCAGTTTCCGATGGATGCCATCATACTTTCATAAATACTCCGTTGCTCCATGGCCCATGTTGTTCTTTTTCCTTCTGGCCTCTTTTTTTCTCCTCTTAGCTGCTGAGCGGCGATCCATCTTTTCTTTCTTTCTTTCTTTCTGTCTTTTCTTCCTTCGGCCGGTGGATTCATGCAAGGCTCGAGGATGGATGCATGACAGACCCATGTCCTGGTGTTTACTTTTTGCTTTTGTTTACTTTGCATGAACGGCGCTTCTCATCTCTCGGGTGCTACTCCTTTATTGGTATTACGACCATCATCGCCACTCTTACCTGCAGGTGATTGTGAAACACGGCAACGCCATGGTTACCGAGAAGAAGGACCTGGGATTTTGAAAAGGACGCTTGAGCCAGCAAATTTCCAGGCCCTGGCTGCGTTATCAAAGATGTGCGGATTTGTGTCTTACAACCCAATTTGTGTTGCTGTACGCGGACTCGTATATACGGAGCATGACCTCCTTTGATCCACTCCGATCCTGTAAGGCTCAAATCAACCAACTCAACGAACCCAGGCAATATGTACATACTAGTAATACTGCAGTCCTACCTGAGGGCCACCAGATGGACAATCTTGTTTGATCCAGGGTGGTAAACTCTATTTTTATGACGGTGACCTGCACGGCACATTGCAACACAGCATGAAGACTCACTCCATCCACACTGGCGGTCCCTTAGCGTCGGGCCATTTCTTATCCATGGATTTTTGGGGGCATTTTTATTTTCTCTCATGTCAACAAACGGATTTCCTCAGACCCCCTGGCTCCCGTTCCACCGCACGCAATCATCAAACTTGACGCCCGTGCCGCCGAAACAGTCCAAGGCACTCCCTATCGTGAGATCGACTTTACCCCGGCTCAGCCTCTTGACCGTTTCCAAGTCCTCCAGTTGCCGACCTCCGCCGGCATATGTGACCGGAATGGAGCACCACTCTGCCAGACGCTCAACAAGCTTCTCATCTATCCCCCTTTGCAGACCCTCATTGTCCGCGGCGTGGATGAGGAACTCTGAGCAGTAGGGCTCCAGCAGCTGTATTGACTCTGCAGATGTTTTAATAAAACGAGCCCGTAATCAAATTACCAAGGGATTGATTACTGGGACTAACCTTGGTTGATTTCCATGTCTGTCAGCGTCTGCCACTTGTTCATGGCAACAAACCACTTCTCCCCCTGACGGCGACAGCTGAGGTCAATAACCAGCTTTGCCTTGTCTCCTCCCAGAGCCCCGAGAACAGCATCCAGTCTCTGCTGGCTGAAATGGCCATCCGGGAACAGATAGGACGTGATGATGACCTAACGAAGGAAGCATCCGGGTTAGCAGCTCGAGAACGATTTTGGTTGACGTAACACACCAGGGGGGTCATCTATACCTTTTCTGCTCCCGCATCAATCCACTCCTTTGCATTCGTATCCTTGATGCCGCCTCCCACCTGGAGTCTCCCAGGCCATGCCTGCAGAGCCTGTTTCGCAGCGCCGTCGTTTCCCCCGCCCAGCATAATCACATGAGCGCCCTCGAGCTCATTGTCTCTGTACAGCCGCGCAAAATACTCGGCCGGATGCTGCGAGACGTGGTTCGTCTGCAGGGCCTCGGACGAGCTGTCCAGGGTGCCGCCGACAATCTGCTTCACCTGGCCGGCGTGCAGGTCGATGCAGGGACGAAAGCGCGTCATGACGATGCGAGGCCCCCGGATTCGACAAGAGCGACAATTGCGATTGAGAATCGAATTCCGAGTTTTGTGACTCTTTTCAAAGATGATGTTTGCCCGCTATCCGCCTTGTGGGGCTGTTTAGTTGTTAGTGCTGTGGATGATGTGACGCCACCAGTTTCACGGCACTAAAGAAGGCATCGGCATTTACTGTTGTCAATTAATGTTATGCTTGATACAGCGTTGATCTCTTACCAAGATTTAATTGGTGCAATTTACGCAGATATTTGGCTTCAGATTGCCTACAGTAACTACTGCTCACTTGTCTAGCTGCTCAGTAATTAGAGGCAATCTGTTGATTCTAGGGTATGTACATTGGTAGTGTATTTGCCAGCAGTATCTTGAAATTGTCAGTTAGTTCTTCACACAGCCCTTTGTTTACTTTCTTCACGAGTTGTGTTTCAAGGCGTTATCCATCTCAAAGATAGCAAAATCATGTGGTGTAACAATAACAAACCTTTCCGCTTTATCATGTGAATTATTGTCTTATCAATATGGCTGTCAACGGAATTGGTAAACCCAAGTTTGACACTGGTAGAACTCGGCTACCCTGAATTTCATCCATCTGTAACTCCACATAGAAACAGCAAATGCAAGCGTAAGCTCCAAACAAGTTCTTTTAACTACTTCAGAATGTCTATTGCGTTTTATTGATGCCTTGAGGCGTTCTCGAATGATAACCAGTATCTTCAAGCCAACTCAAACGCTTCCGGCCAATGAAAACCTGCCCGCCCAGCCACGCCGTTTGTAGGCCTCCATAGCACAGTGACTGACGTCCAGTATTTTAGCCATCTCCAATAAAAGCTTCCTTTCTACGTAATCTCCCCCCCCTCAACGGACACCAACGCACATGCACATATGACCACAACCTCGAAACGTCGCAACGCCTTTTCGCCAACCTCCCATGAAGACTCTTGGATAATGAACGAAAGCGCCTGGGACACCGCCTCAATCATCACCACCAGTTCCGCAGACGAGTGCCACACACCCACCCCGTCCACCATGTCAGAACCCATCAACATCAAAGACGACGGCTCGTCCATCCTCACCATCCAATCCGTAGAGCACCACCCGAAAGCCGGCAAGCAATTCATGATTCGCGAGAAGCAAAAGCCGCACCGCATCATCACGCTATCCTTCGGCGATCTGGTCCTCATGGACGAGCAGTCTGCCGCACAAGGATGGCTCTGGCAGTGTGTCAAGAAATCCGGCTGGTACGGTTTCCGAAACGTCGTTTCCGGCTCGTACCTCGGGTATCACGGACAGAACAAGAAGATCCAGGCTACCATGCCGCATCACAAATCTCATGAGTACTTCATGACGGAGAGGCATGAAGACGGCGGCTATGTCCTCCTGACGATGCATGGCGAGGAGCTGTGGCAGGTGACAACCTCCAAGGACGGAAAGTCGTTGGTCGAGAAGAAGGCAGAGGAAGGGACAGGAACAGCTTGGGATTTTTTTGAAATTAGCTAGGCTCACACTCTTTAGTGAAAAATAGCCAGGCTCACGCTGTTTAGTGAAGGGAAATTTACCCACAAGAAATTTGGCGATATGCATTTTTCACTTTGGCGGCCATCACGATTAGGACTGGTATGGATACTTGGTATCATAATAAATTCATTGCACAAAAAACCCAAAATCCCCGCTTAACACGCTATATCTACGACAAAAGTACATTTTACTTCTTTTCCGCAGAGTGATCCTCGCGAACGCTATCCGACTGCGCAGCGTCCAGGCCTTCCAGGCCATCCAAGCCGTCAACGGTGCCGTGGAACATGCCCTGGATGTCCACGACAGGTCCCTTGTACGTCTTTCGGCCGCCGAAAATCCAAGTACCGCCCGAAATGAGGAGAATGATGCCAAAGGCGACAATGCAGTAGTTCATGTTGGCGGGGGTGACTGGAAGCTCCGGAGGGAACACGAACAAGACGGTGGTCAAGATAGCCCACATGATTCCAACCTTTCCATGAGAGTTAGCATTTTTGGTCTATACAAGTTTGCGAAGGGTGTAAAAAGAAAAGCTCACCAGGTTCATAATCCAGCCGAAAGGCTCGGGAATCTTGAAAGAGCGATTCTCCGGGAGCATCTTTCGGCCGCGGAGGACATTGATCGCCGGGGGAATGGCGTAGGTGACGCCGAGAGCCACAACGGACGCCGATGTGATGGCGTTGAAGGTGCTGCTAGAGCCCAGGAAGATGCAGCCAAAGATGATGACCCAAGCCACAGTCCAGAGCAGAGCGTTGATGGGCACGTCGAGAGTAGGGTGCACCTGAGCGAAGACGCTGCTGAAGGGCATTCCTCGGTCGCGAGCGAAAGCGTAGCTCATTCGGGTACTGGTGGCGACCAGGGTGACGGTGGTGAAGAGCATGCAGACGAGGGGGAACATGAGCAGGCACACGCTGCCAGCCTTGCTGTTGGTTGCGTCCATGAAGATCTGCAGCAGCGGGCCGTAAGCAGCGCTGATGACGTTGTCGACGTCCTTGATGCAGAAGAGCAGCGCGGTGAGAAAGATGAATCCAGTGAACATGCCAATGCCGATGCAGTACAGCATGATCTTGGGGCCCTCCTTCTGTGGCTCCGGGATTTCCTCAATCATGTGGGCAACCGCATCGAAACCTATTTCAAGTGAGACGAGTTAGTAGTGTCCTTTCTCTATGATCCAAGAAAGTGTTCTTTCATCTATCATCAACGTACCTGTCAAGGCAAATGCTCCCTGCAGCAATCCGAGCAGCCAAGCCATTCCATCGGGCCAGCCAACCTCATTGATGAAGTTGCCGTAGACAAACTCGCCAGACTGGTAATCCGGGGACGCGGTCGCCAAGACCGTAATGCTGATGATGACGAAGCCGGCAACCGACCAGAAAAAGGCAGCCTTGGTGAAGAGAGGCAGGATTCTGGTCATGAAGGCATTGATGACCAAGGCAATGAGAGCGAAGGCGATGTAAATCAAGAATTGATGCCAGGCCTTGGGCTCAAAGTCGGGGTGAAGCAGCGAAATGATGTTCATGATGAAGGTGCTGCCAAGCAAACCGCCGGTAGCACTAAGGGCAACCCAGCCGGAGACATTGATCCACCCCGTCACGTAGCTAATGCCGCGGCTCCATCGCTTCCATGAAACAATGGCGGCCCAGTGATACTGACCTCCGGCCGTGGGATAGGCGGAGAGGAACTCGGCGAGAGAAGCGGCCTGACACAGATTGCAGATGCCGGCCACGATCAGACCCCAGATGACGGAACTAGCGCCGCCGGAGGGGAGAGCGAGTGTGATTGAAGCGGCCAAGGCGGTCCATGTGTTGAGAATGGCAAAAGCAAGACCCAGCATAGAAATCAAGGAGAAATTCCGCTTGAGTTCTTGCTTGTGACCCAGTTGTGCCAGGGCGGCAGCCTCCGGGGTGAGGCCATGTTTGGGGTCGTTGCTGTAGTCTTCCATTGTCGTCTTGGGGAAGCAGGACAACTTGGAGAAAGGAAACACAAGAAGGGAAAGCGAAATGATATAATAGAGAACACAAGGAGCTAGTTGACCGACCCGACCGGACCGGAACCGGGAACGCAACCGGGACTGGATGATGCTCCAAGGCGTCAGACTACCGGCAGTAATGGGGGCAGTTGATAACGCAGCTAAGGTAGTGCGTAGAGTTCGGGACATTTCTCAATGGGCGATAGACAATCGGGGCCCCCGAGAACGGCCCATGTTGGGGACGGGGAACTGGAGAAATTTGGGGTCCCCCTTCCCCCAGAAATGCCCGTTTTTGATAAGACGATGAAACTCTGCAATGCGCTGATTCGACGGTGAGATCCCAAAGCCATCTAGGTCCAACTTCCCCATCCAATCACCCTCCCCGCCGGCCACGCGGATGCGCGAGTTAACTTTTCTTGGGAACTGCCCACGCGCGATGCTCCGAATCGTCGACCAAATAGGTGAAATCTAGAGATTCGTCAGATTGATGGCGTTTCGCCTCCAGCATTCCCAAGTCACGGGGGTTGCGGCTACCGATATCCAAGTGGGACGCGTTAGGTAAAGAGTGAGACGCCGCTTGGTGATGGTCTGGCCTTTGGCTATCGGCGGTGGGCCCCCCAGTGTGTGTCGCAGCATCACAATCATCAAGGTGGAAGCCTGGAGGACAGCTTGGTGCGCTAGCTGGAGCAACCCTGACTCGAGATCATCTCGGAGGCTATGGTCCAGCCCCCTGCCTTATCTCCAGATGCGTCCATTGAGCTGTCGGGGTAGTAATCATCATGTATAATGCGAATGGATACGGCCTCGTGGGGCCCATGTTCTGCGCACTTTGCCAGCAACCTTTCCAGATAAACTCCAGGTACCTTGCCTTGGTCTCGTTCCTGCACGCACACCGTTCTTCCATTCGGCGTAGTGCCTGGCTGAAGAAAAAACTTTGATGCATGCCACTGCAGATTTGGGCCACATGCCGTAGATCCCGCTGACGAGAGGGCTTGGCTTGATCTGGGCGCTGAATGGCCCAAGCCTCGCCAAAAGCCTCCAAACCGCCATCCCCAAGGCACGGCCGAGTCAAGACAGTGGCGGCAACTTTTTCCTTCTGCACATATTCTCCCCGGCCTTCGTTGCTGTTCCCCACACCTCGGTATGCGCTAGCACGCCACCTTTGCCCTTGCTGCTTGACACTTTGCTCCGTTCCCCGACATCCTCAGCCTCCTCTGCTGGTCGATTGCCCCCGACATTTCCCATGACATTTTGACAAGCTCGCTCTGATGGGCAATTCATTAGTCAATGATATCCAAAGACAGTGTATTCTTGTGGGTTTCCGGGATTCCACGGAGGCGAACCGGACACGAGAGTGAACCTTCTCCCCGCACTATGCAGCGCCACATCGGAACCGGTTCGAGGTTCTGAATCGGTGTAGTCAGAATGTTGCCCCATGTGTCGAAATGACACCCACAGAATGTCATGCCATGAGCTGAAATCTCGCCTGTCAATGGTCACGACGCGGTTCAAAATACCACCTTCCCATAATCCCCCGCAAACACTATTTCCCCAGCCTAACGGGGCCGCGGAGTCCCAGCCTGGGGAAGCGAAACCCTGGGGAAAGGGGGATGATGACCGGAACCGGGCAGAGTTGACTGAAGCTGTATTTTCCATCGTCACTTGTCGGATTACGGAGTCATGCAAGGGATCAAGATTCGCTTTGATACTGCCAAGTCTAGATCTCGTGGTGGCGTTTTTGCCACCGCCAAACAACGTGCGGCTCTCCTGGATGGCACGTGACTACAACTTGGTTGTTATCTTTCGTTCTAGAGGCAAGGTACGACGGAATCTAGGCACCAAGGCCACGAGATTCGTGTCAGCACATTTTCCTATCAGTTTGATGTTTATTTTAGCTATGTGACAATCCGTATCAGCGATTAGCCACCTCCAGAGCAACGCTTCCATGTTTCCCTTACTCGTGTTGATTTGACTATTGCGGAGCCTCATGCCGAAACTGGTTAAAGGGCACCCGAGCATCCTATCAGTGGGCTGATCGCCTTTTCTTGGTGAAATTGAGATTGAAAATGAGACATATATCGTCCTTGACTATGCTGACCCTGATATCCTTCGAGTAGCCTATTGGACGTGTTCCACATAACTCCTGATTGCGCTGATCCGATGTTCGGTCTTGGAATTGGATTTGTGTGTTGAAGGACACGGAATATCGAAAGCAATGATTGCTCAAACTGGCAGCGTCTTCCGAACGGCTAGACAGAAAATCAGTTTAGCGCGCGACTACACACAACCGGCAATCAAGGTGGCTACTTGAGCTGTCAAGGTGATTTGCCAAGTTCGGAATGTCCTGGGTCCGTCAACGGTCAATCCATCTGCCTGAGTGTCTCTACAAAGAGCCAGAGCAAGAAATAGGTGCCGGGCAATGCCTGTTGGAAATGCTGAGCCTCCCTGGGAGCCTCTAGTTCGAGCTACATACACCAACTCGAAAGCATTATTCTGGGGGTTCTCGAAATGAGGCACAAGTCATTTTGCAAACTCTTTCGCTTTGTGTTATACGTGTTATATAAGCCTGGTGCTATCTACTGTGAGGTAGTGTCGTCGAGCTAACTCATCCTGGTGTTGGATCTGATAGCTCCAGATATGATCTGCCTTAGCTGCATGACTTTGCGCCTTTACATCTATATGCAGACTTGGCTTGGCGCCCTTGCAGCTACATACTGATGATTTGGTTCTCTAGTATGTCGAATGGAATTCCATCACGGATCGCAAAATGCCCAGGTTTGCCTCGCGCAGCCTCGCGTCTTGCTCTGCCTTCCACTCATCGGAAAAGGGATAGGTGATATAGCCGTCTGGATCCATGACTGAGTGCGACTTGGACCGGTCTGGCAGCGCTAGAGGTATTCCCTTCTTGATACGATATATGAGGTCTGGATTCGACATGAACGGCGCGCCAATAGACACCGCAATGTCGGCCACCCCGATATATCTCTCGACAGCCTCGATGGCGCTTGTGGCATCGAAACCGTGGTTCAAGATGATTGGGCTTGTCATTCCCCACATACGGATGAGAGTGTCATTGCTGTCGCCGAATAAAGCTTCCGCAGAGTTTGTCTGCCGAGCTACAAAAGCCTCTACCAAGTGTAGATATGCGAGCTTCAGGCCACGGAGCTGCTGGATAAGATGGATGAACTGCGGCATGGGGTCGTGCATCCTCATTCCCTGCCAGGAACACCATGGCGACAGACGAATTGCGGAACGCTCAGGGCCGACGGCACCGACAACCGCGCGCATGACTTCAAGAGCAAACCGGGAGCGGTTCTCAACACTGCCGCCGTAACAATCCGTGCGCTGGTTCGATGTGTCTTGGATGAACTGGTCGACGAGGTAGCCATAACCGCCGTGGACTTCAACTCCATCAAATTCTGCTTCAAATACGGCGCGCCTTGCGGCCGTCGCGAAATCTTTCACCAGGGTGTCGATCTCTTCCGTGGTCAGCTCTGCAGGTGTCGGATGCCCTTTGCTACAAGGCATTGGGCTTGGAGAGGCAAACCGGACCGAGCCTCTAGGCAGGCCAAACAAGACTGCGTCTTCTTCTAATACTCTGGGATTTGCAACTCGGCCAAGTGCCCCGATCTGAAGGTAGATGCGCGACCCCTGAGCATGAACAGCGGCTGTGACGGCTTTCCATGCCGCAACTTGTTCATTCGTCCAGATTCCAGGAGGGTGCGGGTAGCCAGACGTGCGAGGAGATATGATGGTCATTTCAGTTATGACAAGAGACCCTGGATAACTGGCGCGTTCAGCGAAATAAGTAGGCACCATAGGGACCAAAGGCACGTGTCGCCGGCTATTGCGAAGCCTCGTCATTGGTGCCATGACGATACGACTGGAAATGGCCCCATTCCCAAGTTTTAGAGGGAGAAATAGAACGGTGTTTGCCGCTGGACAGTCCTTCGTTGCAGTGGACTCCATGAAGCGAATGGTCGATGATGTCGATGGGTAAGACTATGAGATCAGAGAGCTCAAGAAGAGCCAATATGATGTGGCTGACAGACAGACAACTGAAAGAGAGAGATATATATTGGAAGCATGAAAGCCCAGCCTATATAACCAGAACCCGAGTATTACGCACAGAGCTCTGTGTCTCGTGTAGAGCAGCTCAGCACGGTGACTCGTTGTAAAGACTCGTCTAATCCCCATACTTATAACAGCGAGTATCAGCCTAGATTTCATATTGTGCGGGCTTCGTTTAGGCACAATACTGGAGGCGATTGGTTGGAATAGCTTGCGGACATTCAGCTTGTTTGAGCAAAGGCTGACGCATCTTCACACCGTCTCATTGCTTTTCTGCCGAGCTACCAAGTTGATGTGGAGGCGGCAAGCAGACCCCCGGGATGTTCTGCCCAGAACTTTTCTGAGGAGCTTTGGAGCTTTGGTTGGTTCTTTGCAAGATCAACTAAGCTCTGGGTGGGCTCGATTGCAGGGCGTGCCTTGGACACGAGGGAGCATCTTACATGATAGTCTCGGGGGGGCTGTGGCTTTCGAGGTGGCGGGCCGTTAGTATGCCGTTCCTGGTGCCTCGTACGTACGTATGTAGACAGCAGGGGTAGCAGGTGGCGAGGATATCGTGAGGCTTCATCGACATTTGTGACCGTATCCCGGCCAAGGTTGTGGCGTCGAGAGGTCAGAAGCCAGACTCCTAAGCTGCAATATATCTACATCTAGGGTGATTCTCACATTCGTCCGGACTTGACGGAATCGTGTTGGAGCGATTGGTAATCCTGAGAAACCACAAACCACCAGCTTTGAAACCGTCATGGTTTCTTCCATTCTAGAGCCCCCCGTCGATGAGGTGCATATGCATACATGTCACGGCTTCAACACGAATGTCCGCTGCGGATGCCGCATCCCGCAGTCAGAGTCCGCAGCCCCGCGCGTTCATCTGCCATGCAATGCAACCCGGATAGACGGCCGGAACTGCCACATTTGGCCCGCGAGGCCATGAGTCGTGCGGGCGGCTGGCTGCGTGTATTTCCAGGCCATCAATGAACTGGAATGCTCGTATGTTTGCTTCACTGATGCTGTTCAACCCCGAACAGAGCAGCGCCCAGCCGTTCATTGGCCGGTGCGCGGATCGCGGACCAGCGAGATTGAACCCCCGGCTTAGCCAAATCACTTCATCGCCTGGCGTGTTGTGTTTACCCGTCAGTCAAAACCTCTCCTCTCGCACTGAAACTGGAATGCGACAAGGGCCCTGCTGTGTCAGGTTTTACCCCGGAAACCCTGTCAAATCCATCCCAAGTTGCCGCCGAAACGATTCAGCAACTGGCCTGACGGGTGCGATCTGCTCCACTCGGGACGGGTCTTTACCAATTTCTTATATACCACCGAGGTGTGATGAACAGGTTCCCGTCCCATATATAAGAACAAGGGGGCTCGCTGGGTAATGTAATTAGCCACCATGTCTTCCATGCGACAGGAGCCTTGCCGTCAATCCGCCTGCGCAGCCGCGCGCAAGTCAAGATGGCGCCTCTACATGTGAGCAGGCTCAGAGACGACGACATTCCGCTCGAGAGCCCGCCCATTACGCCTCGCTCTCGTTCCGACACGGAGAAGAGCGGCCGGCCGGATGAAGCCGAAGACGATGACGATGACGACGGCAGCGACGAAAACGCCCTGCGGCCCCCGCGCCCGGTCTCGCTCGCGATCTCGACGCATTCCATGGCCAAGAGGCCCGAGTCGCTGCTCCACGAGGCCTGTTTCCTCTTTGTCGTCTCCATGGCGCAGTTCCTCGGACAGACGGGCCTCGCTCTGTCCATCATCACCGCCCACATCATTGGCCGGAGCTGGGAGCATGTAAGCGACGGCCAGCTGAGCTGGTTCGCGGCTTCGTTCTCTCTGACCAACAGCACCTTTATTCTCGTCGCCGGCAGGCTCGGTGACTTGTACGGCCACAGGCGGCTCTTCATCGCCGGCTTCTTCTGGTACGGCTTGTGGTCTCTGCTGGCTGGCTTCAGCGTGTACGCAACGTCGACGACGTTTTTCATCTGCTGCCGCGCGTTTCAGGGCATTGGGGCCGGGTTGGTGCTGCCCAATGCGGTGGCCATCTTGGGGAGGACGTATCCTCCTGGGCGGCGGAAAGAATTGGTGTTTAGTCTCTTCGGAGCCACAGCCCCAGCTGGGTTCAACGTCGCGGGCATCTTCATCGCACTGTTGGCTCAGCGGGTGTGGTGGCCCTGGTCTTACTGGATCATGGCCGTCTTCTGCTTCAGCCTTGCTGTTGCGGGCATCTTTGTGATTCCCAGAGCGCTGGATCCGCCTCCGAGAACAGAGAGTTCGGTTAAGCAGGGAAGCAGGTTCGACTTTATCGACCGGATTGACATTTTTGGCGCCTTTTTCGGCATCACTGGTCTTGCTCTTATCAACTTTGCCTGGAACCAGGCCCCGATTGCCGGGTGGTCTAACCCATATGTCTACGTTCTTCTCATTGTTGGATTTCTGTTTCTAGCTGGGTTTGGGGTTGTCGAAAGCAAGGCCAAGTTCCCTTTGATCCCGACCTCTGTCTTTACGGGGGATCTTGGCTGGACTCTGAGCTGCATCGCGGCAGGCTGGGCCAGCTTTGGCATTGGTCTCTACTACTACTACCAGTTTATGGAAGTCATCAAGGGCGACGAACCGCTCCTTGCGGTAGGCAAATGGGCTCCGGCGCCAATCATGGGCGTCATCGCAGGCCTCACAACTGCGTACCTGCTCAGCCGCGTCTCACCGAGCGTCATCATGTTCATGGCAATGTGCGGATTCCTTATTGCAGCCACGCTTCTGGCCACAACCCCGGTCGACCAGACTTACTGGGCACAGGCGTTTGTGATGACATTGATTTACCCTTTTGGCATGTATGTGGAGGGGCGAGCCATTCCGTCCTATCCGTCAACGGTGATGCAAAATGAAAGGACTAACCTGATTCTTAGGGACATGTCTTTCCCCGCGGGGACTATTCTGCTAAGCAATGCCATGCCGCGCGAGCACCAGGGCCTCGCGGCGTCTCTCATTGCCACAACGATCAACTATTCCATCTCCCTGAGTCTGGGATTTGCGGGGACCATCGAGACCCAACTGAACCATCACGGAAGCGATTTGCTTCGAGGATACCGATCGGCGTTGTATTTCAGCGTAGGTTTGGCGGGATTCGGAATGGTCCTGACGTTGCTTTTTATGTTTGTGTCGTGGAGACGGAGCCGAAAACCGGCCACTTCGAGTACTCGGGCGGCTGTTTAGCTGCATCATCATGTCAATTCAATGTTTACGTCTGTAATTATGCAATCCGTGATATATACATCTACCTCATGTCAGGTCACGACGCTTTCGCCAGTGACGCTCTATAAATGAATAAGATTGTGTCCAACGCCATGGCTACCTACAAGTAAGGAGAGGAATCAAGGTTAATCATGTGAATAAAGTAACGCGGATGAATAACAGCCATCTTCATTTGACAAGGAATTTCGCTTGCGGTTTGTCCAAGGACCAAGAAGACCGGCGTCTCGATAGCGCTGACATGGCCGTTTAATGCCAAGATTTGACAGCCCGGGCAAGCAATTATTACATATCATGAACATACTGCCGGTGCGGAATTCCCGCAGCTCCGCATACCCGCATATCCGATGCTCTGTCTTGCTGCATCTCCGTCACTTGCAGAACTCGATCGGCCCAAACCATCATTCAAGGAGAAGCGATTCGAGTCGTTCATCATTGCGATTGCGAGTTGCGGCATTTACCAAATTGGCCGCTTATCCATCCTGAATCTCACAGCCGACGCGCACATGTTGTACCCCGGGCGGATATTCCGCAGACCATTGGCTCCGCAAACACACTGATCAGCAACCAGAACATGACATCCTCCTCGGGTGAGGAAGCGCCGGCCAGCTATGCTCGGTTTGCCTGCGATCCTTGTAGGAAGGGAAAACGAAGATGCGATCGGACCGTTCCCCGGTGTGCCCTGTGTGCTAGGAAAGGCGCCCAGTGCGTCTATCTACCGCGGCGTCGGTCTCGTCAGACATGGCCCGAGGGCCGTTCGCCCATGCCAAACACCCTGTCGAGCTCCGGTGCGACTGTATCACGCCCGGATAGTCAGTTGGATCACCGGATACCTCAATATACTTCTGTTGTGACGCCCGTGACACCCGTGACTCCTACAACATCCAATGAAGCCGCCACAGCAACTGCGATATACTTCATCGCTCCGCAAATCTTTCGACAGGCACAGCTTGAGCTGCCCCGGATCCATCCCTCTATACCGGCAGATCTATCGCCATTCGAGAATGATCCTTCCCGCATTCGCAATATTGCGTATACCTTCTTCGACTCGATCCACTGGTGGATGCCGCTCATCTCCAAAAAGGAATTCTTTGCACATCTGCTGAACCCCCTGTCGCAGCGACGGAGCGAGCTTAGTCTTCTCATCATATGTATGCAGCTGTACTGCGCACGCGATCTCAACCCAGGGACGGGGGCACTCGATGTTACTGCTCTGTATCATAATGCCAAGAGACTGCATTTCGAGATGGAGGCGGCGGGGGTGTTGTCGCTGCGGGTTCTCCAAGCTGGCATCTTGATTGCGCTCTACGAATTCGGGCAGGCCATCTATCCGGCTGCGTATCTGACGGTTGGAGCTTGTGCACGCCATGGTACGGCAATTGGGGTTAACAACCTGAGAGAGGAATCGCCGAGTGAATACAGGAGTTCACGCTCAATGTCCGAAGTTGACGAGCGGAGACGTGCGTGGTGGACCATCTTATTCCTCGATCGGTGAGTCTGAGCGAGGCATGGAGAAGATCCACTGTCTGATGTTGGAATAACCCTTTTCTCAGATTGTCGTTGACAAATGGATAGGTTTATGAACATTAGCAATCCAAACAGGCCCCTCGCGACAAAGAATCCGACTTTTGACGATTTGCTCCCGGTTGACGACAAGTTATGGGACGAAGGCGTAAGAGTTGTCGCTTCCAGTTTCATCATTACGCTGACAGTATCACTAGACTGCGAAGCCAAGCGACGCTTTCAGCATCTCTCAGGGCTTTTCCCTTAAGATGGGCATGTTTTCTAGGCTTGGACAGGCCACCTATATGCTCAGTCAGGCCCTCGATCTTGTTGGCCCGGATAATCACCAAGACCCGATGGAAAGGGACCAGCAGATAGCGCAGCTGAGACGAACTGTTCATGCATTGATTACGGTCTCAAACGCCGAAGCCAGTGAGAGAGAACTGAGGACATGTGCTGGATTCTGTCCCCAATTATCGATCTGTTCCAGGTAAGAGGGTTCGAAATTGAGAGCTGCGTGATATGGTGCATAATATTGACCGATTAAATAGCACAATATTTCTGCTTCAAGAGTATCAATGGCGGGCGAAGAGCAATGACATGGGTCTCATACCCAACTACATCTCGGCGAGAGACACTTCGGAAGAGACACTGTCGACCTTGGACCACCTGGCAACCACCGCCCAGGGCTTCCGAGACCAGATGGTTGATACGACTTCGGTTCTGGTTGCCACTCCATTTCTAGCGCATGTCGCATACCAGGCGGCGTTATTTCTCATCAGACTAAGTCGAGGCGAGCCCGACGATATCACAACTCGGAGGATGTCACTGTTCAAGGGCTTGCTGCAAGATATTGTTCCTCGCTGGAAAATGGCTAGTATGTTTATTGCTAATATGGAATCATGCTTTCTTGTTTCAGCATACTAACTGTTGGTAGGGGTCTATTTGGACATTTTGGATGCTCAAGAAATCACAACAGCTTCTGAGGCAGCGTGCGGCCCCCGACCGTTGAGGTACAGCCAGGACCCAGATCAATGATTGGACTCTACCGGTATATTGTGAAAGCATACAACATTCGAGATATCATTCGTAACAGAGGATGCGATTTTTTGCTTCCATTTTCAGGAGACTTGATGACGGGATATAAGACAATGGGAATACCATCTAGCCAGCATCTGGACATTTCAAAGTATTGCAGCTGCACAAAGAAAAATGAATCAATCATATACCGATGACTTAAAACATTTCAATATATACTAATTATTGTCACCAACATGACGATTGTTGAAAGTCAAGATATTTGTTCGTGGTGACCGGCTGTGCTCGGCCCAAGAGCCGGAATTCCCCCACCAGCTACCAAGCGCTCCACGTTCCCCACCATCGGATCACAGCTGCATCTTTTCGGCCTCGAGCCGTTCGTTTGCTCCGAATTTCCCACCTTTTGCTGCGTAATCAAAACCGCCCACGGATCTTTTCGTCTGGTTGCGCCCTGAAGCTTCCACCGGAGCTGTCGCTGTCGATTCGCCAAGTGCTTCGTGCTTATCGATCCCCCCCCTCCGCGATTAGAGCAACAGCCTTGGACAGCATCGACCCTCTCGATGGCCTCGGCGCCAATCATGCGAAGCCTCTCGAGGCGTCCCTTGCTGCACGACTTCTCGCCGAATCTCGCCTGCCGTAACTGCAAGCTCCAGCGTCGTCGATTTGCGTCTGCTCGGCCTCCAGTGTCGGGCTTGGCTGCTTTGTCCTCGAGGCAGCTGCTTTCTGTGACGGGCCCCGACGCCGCCAAGTTTCTACAGGGAATCATCACCGCCAACGTCGTCTCCAGCAAGGGCGAGCCCCGGACCGATGCTTTCTACACGGGGTTCCTGAATGCGACGGGACGAGTGCTGCACGATGTCTTTATATACCCGGTTCAGGGGGATGGCTTCTTGATCGAGGTGGATGCGGCGCAGATCAACGCGCTGGCAAAGTATATCAAGCGGTACAAGCTCAGGGCCAAAGTGGCCTTCCGAGCGATGGAATCCGGGGAAACATCTGTGTGGCATGCGTGGAACGACGCTCCCGGTTCGCAGCTCAACATCGCACCGAACGAATCTAGAATTGTCTACCAAGATCCTCGAGCGCCTGGCTTGGGATACAGAATCATCCAGCTTGCCGGCCAAAAGGCGCCCGAGGTGGACATTGACCAGACGACCGAAGACGCCTACACGATTCGCCGATACCTACACGGCGTCGCGGAGGGCCAGGACGAGATCCTACGCGAACAGGCGCTGCCCCTCGAGAGCAACATGGAGTTTATGAACGGCGTCGACTTCCACAAGGGCTGCTACGTAGGCCAAGAGCTGACCATCCGCACCAAGCACCGCGGCGTCGTCCGCAAGCGCATCCTGCCCTGCGTCATCTACGACAAGGCCAAGGCGGCCCCCCCGAGCCTCGTCTACGAGCCCGAGAGCGGCTCCCCCGAGACGCTGACGGCGGACATGATCCCCGCCGAGACCAGCATCGGGCGGTCCGGCAAGCGAGGCCGCAGCGCCGGCAAGTGGCTTCGCGGGGTGGGCAACGTTGGGCTGGGGCTGTGTCGTCTGGAGATCATGACGGACGTGGTGCTGCCGGGCGAGCAGGCGGCCGCGACGTTCAAGGACGGCGACGAGTTTGAGCTGGAGTGGGGAGAGGAGGACAACAAGAGCGGCGTCAAGGTCAGGGCCTTTGTGCCGGAGTGGCTGAGACGGAGGCTGGACGAACAGCACCAATAATGAGGATAGATTTGGTGCTGACGGGTGTGTGTATTACTACTATACTACTACTGCTATGAGGCTGCATGTCTCATGTACGATATTTAGACAAAAGACAATGATGCACCTTTCTTTGGATTAGATGTGGCTGTTTACAGTGCGATTAAGCTTGTGGGCGCACCTGCAAAAGTACACCCAGGGAGCGGTCTGAAGATTTCATATATCGCTTGCGACAAAGCAGTATAGACGCAAAGGCGATGCCTTACTTGTCAATTCAAAGGGTCTCTTTTGCCCCCTATTTTACTTTTTCCAATGCTCTCTGACCTATCCAAGCATGTTTTTCACCATGTCCAGATTTTTTTCGACTTTATTCCTGTTCCCCCTTCTCATGCTGTACCACCACGGCCTCCAACACCCCATTTCGCCTGAGCCTCGACAACACCAGCCTTGATAGGCGGCAGCTCCCTGCCCCGTCCGGTTGGCCACGCCAGGAAATTGGTTTCGGCGAGGTACCTCAAGAAGCGGCCAACAGCTTCCCTGCTGATGCCCTCTCCAGCACTCTCATCGACGCCCGTCCACCGGTCTGCATCGGCCTTGAGGACAGTAACGGCATTGCGATCATCGAGTTCTGGCGCTTGGGTGTTTGCGGGGAGATTGTTCGTCGCCATGTGGAAAAGAGGCATGAGGGCGCTCTGTTCCGCGTCTTTCTGAAGAGGACCTTCCGAGACAAAGGTCTCGAGCTGGGCCTTCCAGTGATCGTAGTCCACCTCGGGGACATTGTAGCCGTAGTAGCTTAGGATGGAGAGGTACTCGTTCATGCGTAGGCGAGGATGGGCAGTGACGTGGATGACGTGGACACCGACATCGTTGCTGCCGCTGTTTGCAGTTTCGGCCGGGACGGGGTTCAAGCTGGCTGCGACAACGACGGTTGAGACGTGGGAAACGGGGACGGCGTTGACCGAGTTTACAATGTGAGGACGGCTTGATAGCTGGATACATCCCTTGAGCATGCGGATGAGAAAGTCGTCGTTGTTGACGACGCCGGTGGCAGCGTCTCCGAGGATATAGCCGGGTCGGACGACAGATCCGAGGAGGCCGCGTCTACCAGCCTCGCGGACGAGCTGTTCAGATACCTGTGGTTTATCAGAATGAATGTTATTGTGCAGAAAGGGGGCTGCAGAGGCTACTTACCCATTTGGTCTGGCCATATCCAGTGCCGAGACCCGTGGAACTGCCCCTTAAGTCATCTGCTTCCATGACGGCTCCTTGTCCAGTCCTGGTCTGCTCATGTGATAGGTTGATATAGTGATCCGTGTCCAGAACACTTGTCGAGCTAACGAATGAGAAAAGCTTAGGCTTGCCCTGGTTACAAAGCCGCAGGGCATCGATTGTTGATAGAACATTGCTACGCTCCAGATGCTTATACTGCTTCACCCAGTGGACGAGGGCGCCGTTATGGATAACCACATCGACAGTGTCGCCAAGGGTCTTCCATGTGTCGTCATCAAGTCCAAGACGCGGTTGTGCCAGGTCACCAATGACTGCGCTGAGCCTGGTGGCCCAAGAGTCCTGCCATACGCCGTATCCGCGGAGTGACTTCTGGAGCCGCTCGAGGGCGGCTGGGACGCCCTTCGTTCCACGGACATGGGCGATCACGTGTACGTTTTCACGCTCAAGCAAGTCCTTGACGATGAAGGAGCCCAGGAAGCCCGTGGCGCCAGTCACAAAGACGGTCGTCTTGCCTGCGGGTGAGAGTGCTGAGGGGTCCGCCGTCTGATATTTGGCATCGAGGCTACCGAGCAGCTTGTCAAGTGACTGGGCATATTCAGCTTCACCGTCCTCTGTCGCGCCCGTATCTTCCTTGCCCCCACGCAGGCGGTCAACCTGTGTGCTAAGAGCCCTGAGGGATGAATTCGAGTACAGTGTGCTGATGGACACGTTGGCCTCCAGGTTCTTGCGGAGAGTGAGAAGAAGCTGCTGAGCAAGCAGGCTGTGCCCGCCACTTTCGAAGAAATCAGACTCGGGATGCAGAGTCTTGGCATTCAAACCATTGACCAGGGTTGCCCACAGCTCCGCCAGTTCCTTCTCGGTGCTGCTGAGCGTTTCCCACCTCTTCAGATCCTCCTCTGAAGCCTCTTCCGAGATCAGGGCCGCATCCGGGAACGGCAGATTAGGGCTGTCAACCTTGCCGTTGGGGTTCAGTGGCATCTTCTTCAGGCAGATGAAGTAGGTCGGGATAGCGTGAACCGGCAATCGAGACTTGAGATGATCCCGGACCTCCGGTTGCATGGGCCGGTAGCGCTTAGAGTACACGGTGACGGGCCCGATCTCGGTACCCTGATCCTCAGTGTCGTCCAGGCTGCGTTCTGCTAGCCACTTGAGCCACTCTTGGTCTTCAGGAACAATGTAGCTGACCAGTGTTGGCTCTTCGTTCCGATCTCTTCGAAGCAGCGTCTTGCACTCGCGGACCAACTGGTGCCCTCTCAGGTTGCTATCGATCTCATTGAGCTCGATGCGGAAGCCACGAACTTTGACTTGATCATCAGCTCTGCCTGTAATTGCGCAATTGCCAGAATCGTCCAAAAAGTGCCCCAAGTCGCCGGTCCTGTAGATTCTGTCTCGTGGGCCTTTGTAGTACTTTCTCCAGGGCTCGTTGGCGTGGTCGGCAACTTTGTTATCAGCCTCCACCCACGTCTGGTTGTCGACGAACCAGTTGTCGAGGAACTTTTCCTTGGACTTCTCCGGGTCGTTCAGATATCCGTAAAGTAGAATGTTAGTCGGACTCTCTTAGAAAAAAAAGAAAGGGCAAGTCTTATCTCGGCTAAGCCTGCTGCTCTCAACATGACCTCACCGACCTCACCAACGCCGCAAAGCTTGGTAATATCATCCCGCTTGACGATGAGGAGTTGAACGTTCTCGATACCCTTTCCGGCAGGAACAATATCGCCAAATTGATCCAATGCAGTCGGATCTTCGGCGTGACTCTTGATATGGTAGTATGATACGCTGCGGCTCGTCTCAGTGGTACCGTACGCTGCGCAGATGTCCGCGTTGGGCGCCAGCTTGCGGAGCGAAGCGCAATCCTTCTTGGTCAGAATATCACCAACGTAGAGAACCCACTTCAATGAAGGGAACTCTGCCTTGGCGCCACCGCACAAGATTTGACCCATGGCGGGCGTCAAATGAACCGCGTTGGGCTTGTGATCGCGGAACCACTCAGCCAACTTTTCGTGGGCAATATTCTCGCGAGCAGGGATAATGAGCTCTCCGCCCATGAACATTGGACTGAAAATGTCTCTCTGAATAGGATCATGGCTTATACCACTGTTATTGGTTAGCAGAGCTTGCGACGGGCATTATCTTTGGTGGGTGTTACCTGAGACAGGCAAACTTCGTGTCCGAAGTCCAGTTGAAAGTCTTGGCCATCCATGGGAAGTACTTGGCTAAGCTGTAGTGCCTGCCCAACACACCCCTAGAAATAGTCAGCTAATGTCCGAATTTGAAGAGTTGCCGGATCTCGTACTTGGGTGTGGATGTTGTGCCGCTGGTAAAGCTCAGGATGCTTGTTGAATCTGGCCCTACCAGAACCTTTGGAGGAGCTGATGCTTTGTTCTCAGTGTCGGTAAAGACCTCCTTGCCGTCAACCTCGCCTCCGGTAAGGTGGCCATCATCGCTCATCCGTAGCTCGGGTACTCGTATCTTGAGAGATAACTCCTCGTCAATGTACTTCTGGACACGCGGCGCGAAAGTACCATTCTCGTCCCTGGCTCTGCCAATTGTGATCAGAGCCTTTGGTTGCGAGACTTCGAGGTAGATCTGTTGTCTCGCCGGGGGGTACGCGGGGTCTAGGACGGTAATAGTGGCACCGGCAGCAAGAGTTCCCATGAAGGCGACGATGAGTTCGACGGAACGGTAGGCAAAGATCATGACGACATCGCCATTGGTGATACCAGCTTCATGGAGCTGATTGGCTAAGATGTTGGACGCCTCGTAGATCTGCTTGTAGGTATATCTCCTCTCGGGAGTGGTGGAGGAGGCCGTTTCCGTAACACACGGCGCATCGGGATGCTTCAAAGCATTCTTGTGGAATATCTCGTGGATGGCGCCAATGTAGCCCGACCAATCGAGGTCGGAGGTAGGATCAGGTAATCCCATGGCGGCAGCAACAGAATATAGCAAGATCTATACTGAGTGGGAAGATGCCTCGTAGCGAATGTGTCCTTGGAGTATATATAGTTCAAGTTGATATTCCGAAAGAGTCATCTCTATTGAGTAGGGCGAAAAGAATTCTGCCGCACTCCGATCTTCGGGAGGGGCACTGTGTACTATTATAGTAGGCGGTCGCCAGAAACCATTATCCTACTGGCTGCATGGCTTAAAGAGTGGGCTCGAGCCGGCAGCGGGGTCGGTATAGCGACTAGGGACTGCTGTAAAATAGCGGTTACAATGGAGCAGATGACGTGCAGCCGCTCGGTGCCAGTTCCGTTGCTGCTCGTACGACGTCTACCTAGTACTTGACAAATATTGTTTCAACAAGTGTTGCAACGACTGATTCATCTCTTCTTGTAATTCCCCCGGCCACAGCTGTATTGAGATTACTCATATTAATGGACTAGAGTTTCTGTTAAATAGTTACCCAGATTGCGCAAGACTGATACGATGGCTGAGTGTATCTACAAGGGCGTGTAACACTGATCCGCAAATCGACCATGGATGCCGGGAAATATTTTCATCTGATTGTACGAATATTACTACCCAATGTGCCTACATTAAGCTCATATGTAAGAAGTAAAACCATCTCCCCACGGTACATGCATTTTCCTCTATTAATCTCATCGCATGGTGTATTGAGTATGCGTGGTCTACTATTCGAAACTCGACCGGCTCCATTCGGTGGTAGTTGTGGGGTTCTGTATCAACATATTACATAGGCGCGGAATCTGCAGACAAATTACGCACTCGCTATAATCCAGCCTCTTGAGCTTTTCTTACAGGTAAACTTTTCAGTGAGAAGTAAACCTGCCTGGATCTGCTTTTGCTTAGAACTAGGCACGAAACCTAAACGCTCAGTAGGCCTTGTTCCCGGGACTACCATTAGAGGGACCTCGGGTTCACAGTAAAAGCACAGTATAAGCCACATGTGGCGCCCATATGGTTCATCCCCTGTTCAACGTAAATGCTACAAGCCAAGCAAGTGAGGATGACTGCCACTTACATGCACATCTCATAGCTTGAACGATTATTGGTTTGCTGACTGAAACGTGGTGGCAGCGAATAATCCTTCTGCGGTACTTGCAGGGCACCAACTCGATTCACTGGCTAAAAAACTGCGCCTTAATTTCATTTCCCAATAACCGCACTAGCTCAGAACATGCACATAAGCACTCTCTTAACACCTCAATCATACCTCATTCAACAAGGTCGAGAACCATCTCCAAAGGATGGGCTTAGGTCTATTGTTCTGGGCACTGCAAGGGTGGCCTTACGCGAGGGACGAGAACTGGACTGAAACTTGCTAATAATGAGCCATTCTGCACACCGTCCGTGGTTGGATCGTCAAACAGCCGTCAGCATCGCCTGAATGACGCATGATTTGCTTCCCTACAGATGCAATGGTAGGGCTGAGAGACGGCGCTCCACAACGACCCGGAGCTGAAAAGCGCTTGTTGAGTTGAGTTGCTTGATCACCTGAGTGGTTGACGGCAAAAGAGCCTTGGATTCTTGGCCTTTGCCCCCTCGACCTTTTTAGGCTTTGGCCTTTTTTTTTTTGATCATGGGTATTGGACGTGCTAAGATGCATAGCGTATGGTGAAGCTTGAAGCAAGGGACGATGGGCTATGGCTGGGGCTGACCACCTAGTCTCGTGGGATGCACACCATCACGAAGAGCTTATTGTGAGACCGCTTTGTAGCTGTGGTCATGCCCCTTCCTCCACCAATCGTCAGTCATTGTTTTGGTAAAAAGTGTTCACTCTGGAGAGGGTAACGGTAACCGACGATCTGGGCTTTGAGGGGAGGCCGCCTCACACGAGGACTGGTGTGAGTCTTCCGCCTGGTTTATATATATAGGTATATTTTATAAGCGGTGTCCTTTCTTGGGTCGTGCTTTTCGCTACTCACATCAATCACTCACCCAAGTAATCTCATACATAAAAGATCTTGCGAAAATCGTCCTGATGGGTTCTCAGCCTCCTGTCCACAAGCGCCTCATTGTCTGCTGCGATGGGACGTGGATGAATAGCGATAACGGCTACGTAGAGCCAACGCTGGAGCATCCTCAGGGGACACTTCAAGTACCTTCAAACGTGACACGAATCAGCCGATGCTTCAAGCGGCGCTGCGACGATGGAACCCTGCAAATCATATCATATGAATCCGGAGTAGGAACTGGTAGCAATGCCATTGACACCCTCACCGGCGGCGCATTCGGCCTGGGTCTCTCAGAAGTGAGAAGAACCGCAGTCTCTTCGGAAAGCAAATTGAGCTGACTTGAAATGTAGCGAGTCCGCGAAGCGTACTCATACCTGGCCTCCAACCATATAGACGGCGATGAAATATTTCTCGTCGGATTTTCTCGAGGAGCCTTTACAGCTCGATCGGTCGCAGGAATGATTGGAAACCTAGGCCTTCTCACCAGAGAGGGCTTGGAGTACTTCTATCCCATCTTCAAGGACATGGAGAATTGGAACAATGACAATTACGACGACGAGTTCCCGGGGCAGCCTTTTCCCAACAAACCCAAAGGACCAAACGCAGCCGCCGTGTACCGAAAGAGGCTCGAGGAGTTGGGGTATACTCGCGTGTACCAGGCGAACGGCGAGTTGATTAAAATTAAGGCCGTCTGCGTTTGGGACACTGTTGGTAGCCTGGGTATCCCTAAGGTTTCGTGGTTGGACAAGATAGGCATCCATCCCTCAAATGACGAATAAGTCTCCCTTCTATTCGCGGCATCGCAGGAAGCTAACTTTCACAGCACATATAAATGGCATGATACATCGCTGTCGGATCGCATAGAACATGCCTTCCAGGCACTTGCTCTGGATGAAACCCGTGCTCCATTTTCCCCAGCTGTCTGGGAACGTCTTCCAGAAAATAGGTTGACAACCGATCTTAGACAGGTCTGGTTCCCAGGAAACCATGGAAACTGTGGTGGAGGTTGGCCTGACCAAGAAGCCTCTGACTCTTCACTTGCCTGTAAGTTTTTTCGACATGAGAAAAATCGTTAGTAAAAGAGTTGAGCCGAGAACTGACAATTGGACAAACAGGGATGATGGACCAGATGGCATCTGTAGGAGTCGAGTTCGATTTGTCATGTCTCGAGAGGGTCGCACAGAAGACCATCGGCTACTACAAAAGCCTGCAAACTACAAAGAAGAAGGGTCCAAAATGGGCTGTTGATCCCATCTATTCAAGCAACCAGCCAGTGCGACCGTGGGCACTCGGATCCATCAATAAGGCTGGCAGCTTTATATACAAGCTCTCGGGATTCGAAGACAGGACGCCTGGTTTATACAAGCGAACCGATCCGAAGACGGACCGCGATACCAACATCTTCCTGCAAGATACCAACGAACGTATTCACAGCTCTGCCAGAGTACGCCTTGCTTGCAAGGGCCTTGGCTTGGACGACAAGGGGGTCTGGAGCTGTCCATCCCTATCCAGCTGGCAGTTGACGCATACGGATGCAACGTTTGAAGACCCAATCCCTCACAGCCCCAGCTGGTGGCAAGGCCCGCCTGATGAATCTGGGGTGGAAAAACAACAAAACGGGAGATGGATTTGGGAGTTCGCGGGGCCAAAGGGTTCTGCTCCGACGGACCCCAAGCAGAGGATTATGGTGGAGGAGCCATTGGGGCCTTATGAACGATATCTGCTTCAACTTTCAGAGGGAACGCCAAACGTCTATCTGTTTGCCGAGACTCAAGATATTGACTGGCAGGGGAAGAAGATTCCCGCCCTGAGAAGTGGCAAGGAGTGAGGCGGCCGAGGAGCTTTCGCTTGAAGATTGATGAATTTAATGGCAGAGTAATAACGTTTGACGGGCAATTTAGCGCATTTGATAAATTAGAGCATTAGGATATAATACGGAATTGGATTCAGGAAAGACGGCAATTTATAGATGTGAATACAGATGCAAATGGGATTTGCACTATCCTGAGTACCTGATGCTTTGTTCATTGTGGCACGTTTGGAGGTTTCTGAGAGTCACGTGACAGCGTATCAAGCTAAGGCGCGAAGGCGCGACTGCATTCTGCCACCCATAAAATCTCATAAGCATCAGGCAGGCTGCCATTTGAGCGACATCAAATTTCTGGACAACTCTTTTTTCTTTGTTAAAATTACTTATCTTTGACTGAGAGACAATCAAAGACTTGGCTCTTTTCCATTTCGACTTCTCGGCGGCGATATACTCTCTCCGAGTCACTCTACCAAACCATCATCTCACACATAAGTCGGAGGAAATCGACAGACTCTTGCAATGAGCGACGACAAGAAGGCGGACCTTTTGGGGTTAGCAAATGAGTATGCGGACAAGAACATTGACCTCTACGAGCTCCTTGGGGTGGATGCTCTCACTCCCAAAGAAGACATCCACCGAGCTTGGAGAAAGGCGTCTTTGAACTACCATCCAGACAAGGCGCGCGAGAACTTTGATGCAGCAAAATGGGAGCTATTCGAGAGGGCAAGGGACATTTTGTCAGATCCAAATGCTCGCGCGGCTTATGATCAGTCCCTCAAGGCCAAATTATTGCGCAAGCAAGAACGCGAGGCTATGGACAGGGAACACCAAAAGTTTGCCGACGACCTTGAGGCCCGCGAAAATGCTCATAAACAGCAGAGGCAACAGCAACAACAGCGAGAGCAGGAGAAGTTGGGTAAGGAGCGGGAGCGGCTGGCAGAGGAGCAGCGTCTCCATGAAGAAGAAAAGAAGCGGCAGGCTGAGGCAGCGCAGGAAATGGAGGACTTGGCCGAGGCTAGGAGACGACTCAAGGAAAAGAAAGAGGAAAAGGCAAGACGGAAGCAGGTCAAGGAGTCACTAAAGGCCACGGGCGCCGTTAAAAAATCCTCGGGGCCCGCCAATGGCGCCGTTCTGGTCCCTGGAGATTATCTCGTGGATCTCGGCTCAGTAAAAAAGATGTACTGGGAACTGGTTTGCGACAAGCTGCGGGCCGTTCAAGCGGTGAGAAACTTACAGAAGCTGGATGTAACGAACAGTGAGGAGCTCGAAAACGCCGAGAAAGAAATGAGGGAAGCCAGGCAACGAATCTACGATGCGGAGATGAAATTTCAGCAAGACGCCGCGGTCTAGTTACTCCTACGCAGAGAAAATGAGACACCACAAATCCATATTGGCTATATCATTTGTGTACAGCCTGGCACGAATTACTCAAAAATTGCCAGCGCCACGTTATTCAACTGTCTTGGTCAAGGCGAAGGATGCTTATAGCATTGCCTCCCATGATGGCCTCTGCCTCTCCCGACCCTTCACCAACAGCCTTGGTCACTGCTGCAGCATTCAAGCTCACGCTTTCCCACTCTCCTTGCTCATCTGTTTCAAGGGGTGGGAAGAAGGGGTGGTCGGTTCCAAACATCAATCTATCGGCGCCGCTGGCGTGTATCGCCGCCTTGAGTCCAACCTCGGAATAAATGACCGCGTCAAGGTAGATCTGTTGCTTCAAAACCTCCCAAACTGTCCGCCGACCCTTTCCGACTTTGCCTTCTCTGACAAGTTGTCCGTCATGCAGGACGCAGCTTTCAATCCTGCCCGCTAAGAAAGGAAGGGTCCCTCCGCTGTGGGCTAGGATCATTCTCAGATCCCGCACCTTGTCAAACACGCCTGCCAAGTACATCCGCGTCACTGCAATGGTGGTTTCCATTGGAAAGCCGAGGGCAAGGGGCAAAACATGGCCGTACTCTGCGCTGGCTCTAGGTCCCCATACTTCATTCGGAAGTCCATAATGCGGGTGCAAGAAGACAGTCAGGTGGGCCGCTGCCACAGCTTCAAAAATAGGCAGTAAAGCGGGATCATCGAGTCCCTGGCCCAAACCTGAGGTGCCGAGGATAATCCCTCTGCAGTATTTGAGGCCTTGTACATGGGATACCGCAGCCAGCACTGTCTCGAGAGGCGCGGTTAGAGGCAAAGTTGCGAAGAAAAACAAGCGTCCAGGATGCTCGCTGCACATTCGTGAAAACTCTTGGTTGACGGATTCAGCCATCTTCCCCGACTCAGAGGCACTCAGGAAATCAAGCCATGGATTGGCCAGAGATATGACAGAAACGTCGATGCCATGGGTGTCCATGAAATGAACCTTTTGAGCAAGCGATGCGAAGTGGGAAGTGAGCGGCCGTCCAGGAAGTCTAGCTGTGGCATCTTGAGTGGCTTCCTCGAGAGATTTGACTTCGGCCTCGAGGAGTATCAGGCGGGGATCTGGTGCCTGTGGAAATGTGCGGACCAGAGGGATTGCGGAGCGGGATTCGAGGATCTTGATATATGATGGAGGATACATGTGCGTGTGGATGTCCACAACGCGCATCTTGGACGCCGCCATCTCACACCGGAGATGAAGAATCGATCCTGAACAAACAAAGGTTCAGGCTTGTGCTGAGGAGGAGGAGGAGGAGGTTTGATGGTGGGACAAACTCATCTTCCCGTCAGCGGCATAGCGGGGGAGTGGTATAGCCCTCGAGTGGCTTTACTGCAGCACACGGGTTCGTTTCAGCGGCCTCCTCCTTATTAGCGACGCAGACGTTACACTGATACGCGGATCCATTGCCATCAAAGCAACACCTAACTGGCAAGCTAGAGAGTCTTGAAGAGGGGCATGGCACATGAAAGATCATTGCCCCGCACGAGTTCTCAACTCTCCACCATGATAATCAGCTCTTGCACCAGTCAGCGTCCAGCGAATCAGTCATCCAATGCACACACCCCGGACTAGGCGTACTAGCTGCCGTCTCTTGACCCCAGCTTATCGCAGGCTTAAGCTTTGGCTTGAGATACCAAGTGGTTTTTATCTCACCCGGTTTGAAAGAACTCATACGGTGGCACGACTTGGTCCTTGAGCGCCCGCGCTATCGCGTGTCAGAGGTTGCATTGGAATGGGGAAGTTTGTAGCTCTGCGCTAATTTGGACTTGAGTTTTCCATATAAATACCTATGACAATACATGTACCTGGGCTGAGTTTTCTTCATAAAGTACTCTGCTAGAACACATTAACATCCATGAAATTAAGCGTACTCTTACGCAAGCGAGCACACAATGGCGACTGATGCGGCAGTGAGCAAAGATGGGCTTTTCATTCCCGTAAGTACATTGTTTGACGCTCATTGCATGATGATGTGTGACGTTTGATCAAACGAATGGGCTTTGAAACTGATTTCATCCGCATTCAGCTCATCGACTTCTCCAAGTTCTTGAATGGCGACGCAACTACACGGCAAGAGACCGCCAAGGCCATTCTCAATGGCTTCCAAGGCGCTGGCTTCATCTATCTCAAGAACCACCCCATTCCGAAAGACACAGTAAAGCACACCTTTGCCATGTCGGCAAACTTCTTTGCACAACCTCTCGAGAAGAAAGCGGTACTAGGATGGACCACTCCACAGGCCAACCGCGGCTACGTGGCTCAAGGGCGTGAGAAAGTTACCTTGCTGGAGGACCATGCCGAGGTGGAAAAGGTTCGTAGCGCAGTGCCAGACTTGAAGGAGAGCTTTGAGATTGGCCGCGACGATGAGGCAGGCCACCCGAACAACTGGCCTAGCGAAGAGGGCTCCATTACTGGCTTCAAGACGGATATGAAGGACTTTTTTGAGCAGTGCAAGGCTTTGCATATTGAAGTCATGCGGGCTATCGCTTTGGGGATGGGATTTGAAGAGAGCTTTTTTGATCGGTTTGTTGACGTTGGCGATAATAACCTGCGGCTGCTACACTATCCGGAAGTCAAGTCTGAGATTTTCAATACCCCAGGCCAAGTTCGTGCTGGGGAGCACAGCGTAAGCGGCCAATGACACACTGCGTCATGATTTCTCAAAGAGTTTAACATGTTTGATATAGGATTATGGATCCATCACTCTTCTCTTCCAGGATAACCGGGGCGGTCTGCAGGTCAAGAGCCCCAACGGAACGTTTGTCGATGCAACTCCCATGGAGGACACCATCGTCGTCAACGCCGGCGATCTGTTGGCGAGATGGAGCAACGACACCATTAAGAGCACCATTCACAGGGTAGTAGAGCCGCCGCGGAAGGAGGGCGCGACGTATCCTTCACGATATAGCATTGCGTAAGTGGATGATGATGCAATATTTTGATGTGGCCGCACTCTAATGCATGGACAGATACTTTTGCAACCCCAACTTCAAGGACCTTATCGAGGTGCTGCCGGGGACATATGCAACGGAGAAGGAGAAGAAGTATGACAGCATCAATAGCGGCGACTACCTCGTCCAGAGACTCACCGCGACGTATTGAACTGGTTGTTGAGATGGCCAGCTTCAAGGCGAAAGCGCGTGTGTGCGTGTATAGGGAAATATATACGAGTATGATAATCCATTCCGCCTCGACGATTCGGCGACAAGGGGGGAGCGCCCGCGCTGCTCGGTTACATGATATTCCATGAATGAACCCCTGCGGCCCGGCCTGAGGATTCGCCAGGATACGGCCCATGATGGCAATTTCAGCCGCACTCTGGAGAGGGGCCGCGTCATGTGCAGCTTTGGAAGAGCCACGGAGTATGTGGGGGTGGCTTTTGGTTAGCGATCCTATGAGTGCGAGATATGATAACTTTTTGACTTATAAAGCTGCTTCCATCTCTTATCATCTGACCAAACCATGTCTTAAATCACTCGGCCCCTGTCATGGAGCTACTTGTGCCGTGTAATAATACTATGCCGTGTTATAGACGCTCGACGCACCTGTGCTTCTGAGTAATATAAGTCATTCAGCCGATGATGGTTTGGGGCAGTTCCGAAAAGGCCGGTAGCCGCACGGCTGAGAGTGAGATTCATCTGAATGATCAAGATATTGAAGCGTTCTTTATTCGCAACGGATTTGATGTGACAACTCGAGATGCGTGCGATGAGTATGCCCGTGTGCGATTCCCCAGCCTGGAAGCAACGCCGACATCGACGCAGGGCTATTGCTCCTATACGTTGAATCTATCAAAGCATTATTTGCTGCAGTTTAGGCCGGAGGCTTTCATGTTGGATATAGGCACTTGCAGCGAGGTGAAGGCTATATATGGCAAATACGCGCCGACAACAACGTACCTAGGCAAGATCCGAGACATCGTGATACAACATATCGACGACGAGATCGGATCGCCAGCGATGCACGTCTACCTGCATCAACGAATCTCGGGAATCCCTCTATCGGAGTTTCGGACGAGGCGGAAGATGAATGGCCGTGAAGCTGACGACAAGATATACAACAGGAGGCTGATGCACGGCCTAGCCAAGGTCTTTGCCATGGGATTTCGCGGGCGACAGCCTTTGGGAGACGTGGCGATGCTAGCGGGCAGCATATCCAAGGGCAGAATCGGGGAGTCGATGCGGTGGCGTCTTGGTCTTTTGAATGGCCTCCCGGGTGAAGATTTGCTCAGGCACGTCTCTGAAGCGCAGAGCCGGCTTGATAGCATAGAGGCATCGGATTGGTGTCTTACACACGGAGACGTTCTCCCGGGAAACATGATGGTTGATGCAAAGACTGGACGGTTGACGGGACTTATCGACTGGGCTGAGGCTGAATGGCTGCCCTTTGGAATGGCTCTGTACGGCGTTGAAGAAGTCCTCGGAGAACACGTTCCATTGGAAGGCTTCAGATACTATGACGACCACGAAGAGCTGCGTCAAGTCTTTTGGGGTAGATTCTTGTCCTTGACTAGACGAGAGGCAATACAGCTGAGACAAGTGGAAGCAGCACGAGAGCTGGGCATCTTGCTCTGGAGGGGCATCGCGTTCGACGACGGGAGGATAGATCGCGTTGTGGAGGCTGGGAGGGACGATTCGGAGATACAGAAGCTGCGCCTGTTTTTGGAGGCGCCGGGTGTGTTGGAGTGTTCAGATAAAGCGCATCACCAGGGTATTCTTTGGGAATTTTCGTGCTGGAGGGTTGAGTGGATGAGGAAGAGGAAGAGGAGGACGCGTTTGAGAAGAAGTGGTGATGAGGGTGGAGAGTTGGAGTCTGTTGTACAGAATGTCATGGGGAAGAGGTGACACGGTATGTTTGTTAGTTTGAAGTGATTTAGAGCGAAATGGCCAGCCAACATAATGAATAATGAAACTTTTCCTTTTTCTTTCATCTGATGCATGTTTACTATACCTAACGGGCTATTTATGGGTACATGCATCTCAACTCTTCATTCACCGGGGACAATGTGCAGCATAAATGCCGGCTCATCATTTGCCTTTTGATTCCAATCATCGTCAATACTTTACATTCCTTCAAGAGGCTCAAGTTTAAAGAAAAGCCCCAAAAACTCACACACCACAGCGCAAACATCGATACTCCAACTCCCTCTCCAAACAAAACACCCCTTGTTTACACCACAAGCCCCTCTTCAGCCGCCTCATCTCTCTCCAAGCGCTCCAACCCAGTCCCGACCGCTCCGTATACGCGCAGAGGCACAGGCACGTCAAAGCTCTCGCACGCCAAGTTCTCAACCGCTACGAGAACCAACCCCCCCTTGTCGTCCCTCGAAATCTGCTCCAGCAGAGGGAATGGCGTTTGCTGCCCCCTCAAGGCATCGTGCCCCTGCGAAGGCACGACAAATTCGACGCGAATCTTCCACTCAAAACTGATGCCGCTTGTGACAAATTCGGGCGTAGCAGAGATGGGTATCGTAGGGGTGAAAACCACCCGTCGGGTGAAGAGCGTGGATTCAGAAGAGGCGACGTACACCTTGCGGGTTACTCTGTGAATACTCGAATCTGATCGCAGAGCCAGCGTCGAATCTATTTTTTCTGACGATTCCAAGGTTGCATGCACCGCGTAGCATGGTATATCGGCATCTGAAAAGTCGATAACCATGGTTACGACCTCTCCTAATCGGTAAGCTGGGCGGGTCAGCATCACCACACCGACCCTCTGCCCATTCCGCGCAATTTCGAATCGATTGGCGCTCTGCTGTCCTTGTCCAGTCAGGTTGCTCTTCATAATGGCGAGACGAATTGCCTCTTTAGCCGAGGTCGTATCGTCAAAGCTCGACGATGACAGACGCCGCAGATCTGGAGTCGCCGTCGGAGACAGCAACGAGCCGCCTGCTTTATCCCCAGGTCGATTCGTCAGGCCGTCGACGTATGATAAAAAGTCGCTCATGGCAGCTGTTGCCCCGGTGACCTCGCGTTCTCTATGGCTCTTCTGCTGCTTCCCAACCATCTTCACCAGGGCTTCGTCACGAAGCAAGATATAGGGGTTCATGAGATCATGCCCGAGGATCTCGCCGTAATTGTTGACGCTCCCCAAAACACGGAACGGTACCTCGACGGTCCGAACGTTCTGTTCTCTAGCGCCTCCTGGTCTCTGGGTGCCAATGACCAGACTGTATGAAATCTTGATGGCCTTTCCTTTATGTGTAGGAGGCAGCCCTCTGGGGAGCTTGAATGTGTATTCAAATGAGCGGCTCTCGCCGGGAGCTAGCTGTAGGTCGACAAAGAGGATCGACTGCGGCGTGCTCAGTAGGGGAACGGCCTTTGAGTTTGCAACACCACGCATTTCCTTGATGGTGCTCAGCTCTCCGCCCCCGAGAAAATCGCCCAGTGAATTGCTTATGCTTCCCCAGCCAAAGCCCCGCAAGAGGCCATTCTCTCGACGACCCGATTCCAGTCCCACCACTCCACCACCTCGCCCGCCAACAACGGCCTTCTTTTTGACCTGTTCAAACGGTGCAAGGCTAATCAAGGAGCCATCTAGCGAAAAAGAGCCCTGGATTTGGGCAAAGCCCATCATGAGCGATTCGGTCCTTGACTGGTGCAAGGAGAAGGCTGAACCCCGGCGCGGATACGCTGGCCTCCCGGGACCTCTGGTCAGAGGCTGCGCTACATATTCCGAGGCCAACGTCTCGGACGAGTGATTGCTTATCGAATAAAATTCACCACTGCTCCGGGGTGTCCCTCCGCCCATGCTCGTGCTAGAGAGTATACGTGCGGTGAGAATCGGTCTGTCGGGCGCAGGCGAGATCTGCTCCTTTGAGCGTAGAGGGATGGGGCTGTCGACCGGCCCCGTCCTTGGACTTGGATGGTTATTGTTGCCCGAAGCTTTTCGCGGGCTCGCAACCGGTTCCGAATCTGGGGCGGGTGCAGCGGGGAATCGGAATTCGGGCATGGGGCTGGCCAAGGTTTTGGAGGACCTGCGCTGCACTGAGAGAGTTGACGACTGAGGGCTCCTTGCACCACCGCTGGGTATCCGACCAAATCGATCGGGAGGATATGAAGCAGTGAATAGCGGAGAAGCTGTTCCTCTTTGTGAGAATGAGCCTTGAGGAGAGTCAGTCAGTCAATTGGTTTTCTTTAAGTCATAACATAGCTTGCCGAAGTAGTTGCCATACCTGACTGGGGAGTAGAGGGCACCGTGGGCGGCCCGCGAGACGCAATCTGCAAGCTGCTGGCGCGGTTATGTGAATGACGCGGCGTTCGTGGGGAGTTTTCATAACGCGGCGACTGTGAATGCTCGTCGATGGTGCTGGTGGTTGATCCGATGGAGACGATGGAAACGGATCGTTTGTGCGCATGGCCCCGGGGGTCGCCGGAAACGACGGGCTGAGGCCATTGGACCGAGCCCTGCCGGCTTCTTGTGATGGGCGACGGCACGCTCAACGACAGAGCCGCACGCCGATGGCCTCTGGCCGACGCAGCCGCCTTGCCGCGGGTCTGAATGGGCGACGCAAGCCTCTGCCTCTCGGACTGCGACTGCGACGGAGGGCGCGAGTGAGGCTGCTGCTGCTGCTGTTGCTGCTGGTTTGCCTCGGGGGCAATGTTTCGAAAGGTGACGGTGCATTGGACCGCCTCGCCCGCGAAGACGGTCTGGTCGCGCCAGTGGACGAAGACTCGGATGTTGCTGAAGCTGTCGGACATGGTGACGGCCCTCAGCGCAAGGCGGGAGCAGGGCGGCGGCCAGGACGAGGCCGAGCCGACATTTCCAACTGTGCGCTGCGTCTAGCCTTGCCTGAGGAGCACCGCACAGCTGGGCCGAGAAGTGGTGACGGGAGAGCGAGGTGAAATGGCGATGGTCGGCTGCGGTTGAGGTGGCAACGTCATGGTGTTGAGTCGAGCAGCTGCTCAACTGGGCTCAACTGTCAATCCAGTGGGAGGCCCTGGAACAATCCGCTGGGGGCCGGGCGGCAGCCAATCAGCGCTGGGCTCCCCGCTGCTGCAGGTCCCTGGAAGCTTTTGCGCCCCTCACTGGCGCTTGTTGTTTGCACAGGGCAGGGATGTGTGTATGTTATTGAGTACTTTTTGCTAGGACCTACCTGTCTGGGTGCGCTTGAATGCCCGTAGTTTGATGTCTAACACGGCCAATGCTACCGTACGCTGATTCAGGCTAATGACGAATCTGTCCTGGGTTTGAGCTAGCCGCCAGTGGGATGGAGGATGGATGCAACACAATTGAACTCTTTCATTCAATGATATAGGCCTATAGAGTAGTAGCAAGAGTAGATGCGTATTTACTTGTATGTAAGAGGGAATTGGGAGATGCAAATCAGCAGCAGTTCTGCGGCAGGTTAGCCGACAGCTCATGTCACGTGCAATGCGAGCTGGCTTATCACTCATACCTTGGTATATATAGCAGCTTAGCACGAACCTTACACCTTCGGGCCGTGGTGGCATCCAATCATCAAATAGAAGCATACATCGTTGAGAGGATTTGGGTCCCGAACACCACATTTTTTCTTGGGGCGTCCTATGTTCGAGAACTCGTGAGGTATTTATAATGTTGTTGTTTTTTGCACTGTTTTTAAGGAAATAGAACTTGTACATTTGGCATACAGATACACATTCTCTTTTCAGACTACACTGTGATGTTTATTTGCAATGTCACATGTGCACAGGAGCTGCCTATAGTACTAGTTTCGAAGCGCTCGCACATCAATTGCTCGTTGACGACTATCTTAATACCACAGGGTGCCCTGCTCGAAGATGTTGTGGCTGTGAAGCCCACGACTAATCGTGGGAGGTGACAGGGGAGATTGTCGGTTGCCTCAGAGGTCAGCAAAGTCTATACTGTTGACCGTCAGGCATCCATTGCCATCGTTAATAACCCATATTCCACAGAGCCTAACTAACCAGTTGCCTGTAGTTTTTTAATCAGACGATTCAATGCGGCAACCTGAGCGATCAAATCACTCAGATCAGGGTATGGTCGTTGATAGGTGGGAGGGGGAAGCAGGACAAGGGAGCTGGTATGCCTCACATATGCGAGGCGATATCCGGAGCACGGCATGAATCTTTAGGAAAGGTATACCAAGGATGTTTCCAATCTGGAACAAGGACATGACGCTCCCCTAGCATCATGTGCATTAAACATGGCCGGTTGAGACGCATGAGAGCCCCGTGATGCCCACTCGTGCTAACTCCTCTGCATATTGATGCAAATTTGTTGGCACGTAGCGCCCAATTCTACCCGCAACAAATGCTGGTTGAACCACTGCAACCTCTAGGTATCCGCTCCCTGTAGGCATATATGCCATCGAGGGCTCTAATCTTGCCACGTCATGAACATATGGGTTGTCCCATTCATCGTTGGAAACGCGGCAAAGAGTCCCAATCGCCTTCGCTCATGTTCCACGCGGTAGCCGTTGGGCTGGTCAGGCGGCGAAGCTGGCGGGCTGCACTATATCACCATCCAATCGCCTTTCCGATGCTCACATATTGCTCTTTCATCGGAAGGGAGCAGCAGACAGATTTTCGGTGACGAGGTGGATACTTACATGTACGCCCGTGGACCTACAGGGGACTTCTGTTGAAGTGCGTGCTACAATCAGAACGACTGTGGGAACTCCAAGATTTTAAATTGCGAGACCCCAGTGTCACGCTTCCAAGAATTCGCTACGTAGCCGAGGGGCTGGGGCAACCGACAACATACCTGTAGGGAAGAAGGTCCCTCTCGCCAGTGTTTGATATTGATAACGGCACGAGAATTCAGCAAGCTCCTGTCTGAACGGCAACTCTATCCCATACAAAATGTGATGTATCAATTATTCAATCTTGTATCGAACTTACACACAACAGACTGCCACCCATAATGACGGTTCCCATCAGGTGGTGCCTAAACTTCAGAAGCATCCACCACCGACATCAGCTTGGCCGTCGTCTGTGTCTCTTCCCCCATCCCCAGCCTTCTAACAGAAATGGCTTCTGTGATTCTCTCCTCAAAGAACCCGAGGCAGCCTTGGCCACACCAGCTATCATTGTCGGTACGAATCAGTTCCACCACGAGGCGTAGGGAGCTGTCCCGCGTCCTGCGAAACTCTGCATCCTGAATCTTGTTCCGAAGATTCAGCAAATTTTCAAACACCTTGTCTTTGACCTCTTTGACTTCTGTGACGCGCTTGAACTCTTGCTTGAAGCCTCCTGCAACAACCTGGGCCTTGTTCCGGAGCTCTCCCATGCGCGCCCATGTATCTTGATGGAAACTCTCAAGCCGCTGTAAAGCCTCGATCTTATCGCGCGCCACTCTCTGCTGGTACAGATTCCTCTGCAGCCGTTGCTCAGCCTCCTCGACATCCCGCTTCAACCGTCCCCTGGTGCTCCGGCTGGGGACTCCGAGAAGCCTATTTCTCCAGCTCGAGGCTGCTTCACGCGCGTGGTGAACCTCGCGCCACCTCTCGCCCTCGAGTGCTCGAAAGAGACACAGGCTCTTCTCTTGCTCTATTTTGGCATCACGGACGCCTGCACATTGTATTTCCAGCGCTTCCATCTCACTTTCAAGTGTGAACACGAAGCGCGTGGCATTGTCGCCGTCGGCCATGCACATAGTCGCCTTCGTACCAATGTTCCACACAACTTGCCCGCCAAGGTCACATAGGGAGCTAAACCTCTCTGCTACCAGGTCTAACCTCATCACCATGCCTTTGTCGACTCGCTCGATGCGGGCCGCTCCCCGCTCAATGGTCAGAAGCTCTGTGACCACATTTTCGACGGCGGAATAGGCATTGTGCCCCGTATCGCGTAACTTCTCGTCACAGTCGCTCTCGAGGTGCTGGGATTCATCTAGTCTTTCGCACAGACTTCTCTGGAGATTTTGAGTCTGCCACTTGAAGAATATGAGACCGAAATGTATCCCGACTATAGTATATGTAACCATCAGCCAAAGCGTTACTATAGACAGACATAACTTTGTCATCCGGTTGACTCACCCGTCCTACCGCTGGGGTTCTCGCTGAAATCGACTGCGTCAAGATCTCCAGCTAGGGGCAGCCTGTTGATTTTCTGCGGGCCAAGGCCTACGGCAAATCCGACCATATTGTTGATGCTGATCAACTGTTATAGGATGAATGGATCACGATGAGTGTAGAAGTATGACTTTTGCGCACTACAAGTACTATAGCATTCTATAACGTCCATCAAAGACCACCAGGTCTTCGTACCATTAGGCAGAAATACATATGGGCTCGATGCATCGGTTTTCAATTCTTTAGGGTATTGCTACCTAGTATTTGGGCGGTAATACTTTTGCTACCTAGTCCTTGGGTAGTATACATACAGTGACTTTACTAACCTACTAGGTATTGCTATACTTGATGTATATTATCACCGGAATGTAACAACATTTGGAAAGGGTGCCAATTGAGCCAATAGAACCAAAGATCCGCCACTGCCAGCAGCTTATAGCTGGTACTGCCCTTGACGACTACCTATAACAACAAAAATCCTGTTACAAAGATGGCTTGGGCATCTGTGCATAAAGCAAGAAGAAAAAAAGCCTGCATTATGCACACCGATGCGGTCTGGCCCAACTCTTGATACCCAGATATTAAATGAAAACACACACAGGCATACCTATGCGGCCCAATAGGTACCTAGCCTTATCATTGTTTACTAGACGAGGGGGCTGAGGAGTTACCATGTAGGCTTAGAGACTGATGTGGTATTGACAGACGAGCGCTTCTCAGCGTTGATGGCGCCTCTATATATACCCACAGGTCTTGAAGGCAAGCCGTAAATCCAATACCTAGCACCGCACAATATCAACTGTACTGCTGTGAACTTCTCCAAATCCTCCAAAACCCTGTTCGACAGCAGCGTCTCAGCCAGAAAGCTCCAACACCCACAATGGCGGCAGCAGACGCTATTCAAAGCATCGCAGCCGCGGAGAAAAGGGTCCTCACTGAGGAGTATGGGGGCAAGTTATCGAACAAGTTTATTGATGAGCTCAAGGCTGCCACGCTGTTCCAGTTCGACTGGGGTGAATTGTTAAGCGCTGCCCCGACTGCCCTGTACTTCATGGGCTCTTGTTGGTTGGCCGCCGCGAACCCAACGGCTGAAATGATCTCTCTGGCTGAAGTAGTGCCAGATGGGGGCTTCAAGTATTTGACAAATCTAAGGAAGCCGACGCTTAGAGCGTGTCTTGTCGACGGTGCGTGCCTATCTAAAGAACCATACACTTGAGGAGGGAGGAGAAGAAACATACCTACTGATGCTAATATCATGGTGCCCATGCAGTGTGCAACAATGGCGGAAGACAGGCTTTCACCATTGCCGGCAAAAACATGGACGCCTTGCACATGATAAGCCGGCGCATCTGTGATGAGAGAATCGATATAGTATTCAAGCGCTTGGGGCCGTGTACTGCCAACGCAGACGCCCTCGAAGACTTTAACGATGCCTTGCAAGATTTGTCCAGAGACGCACACAGGTGTGCCGAGTTGGCGACTGAGATGCGTGAGGCCTTTAGCAAATGGGGTAAGATGGTTGGCGAGTTGAACATGTGCACGGAAAACCAGGTGGGCAGCACGAGCATCCGCGCCTACGACGTCGCAACAGAGCAGCGCATGGCCGAGATCGAAGAGAAGTTCGCTGATGACGCATCCGACAACACCAAGACGCAGGTCGAAAAGGCGGCTCGCGAACTGGCAAAGTCGGAAGGCCGACTCGACAGAGCCGTCCGTGAGGTGCCTGGCCCATGGGCGACGGTCATCCAGGGGGCCGTCGTATGCTATACCCAGACGATACCAACACTCATGGCTGGCGCTCTCCCTGCCATCTTTGCTGGGTGTACAGAACACAAAGTCACCCATATACCAGCGCAGGTCGACATTCCTCAGGAGATGCCGCCGCCGCCGTATGACGATCCGTCCTACGCCAGCGCCGCCGAAATCAGGGATCTGGTCAACCACTTCTACAGCTTCATCGGTAGTGACAGCGGTCCAATCGACTGGGAAAAGTTCAAGAGGTCCCCAGGGGTCAACGGAACTCTTCGAGAAGACGGGAACCAAGCCGGAGACTGTCTGGCCTACCGAACCCAAGCAGCGGGCGCCAACGAACCCCAGGGGCTGGCCTATCTCTTGGGCACCTTGCGAGGCCTGAGGCAAAGCACAGATGTGACCGGCACAAAGGCAAACAACAAGCTGATGGAAGCGTATGGAATTCTCATAGAGGTTGGCACTGAGATCCAGATCCACCTGAGCCAGCAGAACAAGATCAACGCGGTGGCCAACCCCAGCGATCAGGTCGTCCGGGGCTGGAAAGAAAGAGTCAAGAAGGCCCAGACCAACGTGCTTCATCTTGCGGCCTCAGCCAACGCCAGGTCCTCCAGTAGCGTCCCGAGGCCGTTTGGCAACGTAAACATCCAGAGCTGGCCTGACTCGTCGGTGCAAAAGGCGCAGCTTAGCACGGCATTGCAGTCGGTGCAGATAGCTCAAGCGGCACTCGAAAGCGCGCAGTCGACATATGATGCCGCCCGCGCCAAACAGGAGCAAACTGCAAAGGCCATGGTCAGGATCCAGGCCAAGCTCAAGAAGCTCCGTGACGAGGGGCAGAATCTTGAAAAGATCAAAGACGTGTTACGCGATTGCATCTCGGTCCTGGTCGACCTGGCTGTCCAGATCCGCAAGCTGGAGCAGTTCTTTATCATGCTAGCCAACGTCATCGATCACATCGTGCTGCCGCGGGCTGAGACCTTCACACGCACGATGACCAAAGTCGGCCGTCGTGCTCTGAGAGACGGCGCCATCAACGCGGATGATATCACCAAGCAGACAATATATACCTCGACTCTACAGATCAAGGGCTATTTTAGCGTTTTGCAGGACATCTCAGAGATGTACACGCTTGTGCACCAGCGATATATCAATGAGGGTGTTGACTTGTGCTACCGCCTGTCCAAGGGCACGGCGAGCAACGACCCCATGTCCGAGCTGCAGGAGACCTTGGCTAGTTATTCGGATAAATCAGCCAAGGAGATTGCTGCGCTGGCCTCTGATAAGCAGGCAGGGGTCCTCCAATCTCTAAAGGACCGCGCCCGCAAGGCCCTGGAGCACACGCAGCTGATTGAGAACGAAGTCGCCAAGAGGGGGATTGCGGTTGAAGAGTCGGCCAAGTTGGCTATAAAAGAAGGCGGGGAGCAGTACTGCGCCGATGCTGCGAGGATAGTGAGCAACGATTTGAGCGTGACGGCTTCGGAACAGACAGACAGTTCGCTCTGCTGAAGGCAGGAGTGTATTTCATTCACATAGCCCTTACAAGATACATGGAGGACCAAGGTCAAATCGAAACACAATGCTGCGTAACTCTGCTCGATTAGAATATCAATCCGAATTTCATCCTCCACACAGACACAGGCTGTACTGCAATCAGCTGACAAATATGCCTCGGCGTTTAGAGCTCCCCTACTATTCGCTGTGAGAGTTGGAAAGGATCGATGCAAAAGAGGTGTACAAGCCAGGCAGCCAATATCAACGGTGCAACTGGAGGAGGCGGAGCGGGGTTTTGTCCTTGGCTGTCAATCATTTTCACGCCTTTGCAGAGTTGGTCGGGATGCTGCCGTACATACCCATCTTCAACTGAATACACAAACAATCATTAATCACATTCGTCCCGTTGTTTCTGATGATGTTCCGCCATGCGAAAAGGCTGCTATCTAGAAAATCTGAACAAACAGCCAACCGGTCGATTGCTCTAGACACCAATGGCGATTCTACTTTGAATGCCGTGGTCCAAGACGGCGATGGTACCGGAGCCATTTCATACCAGCCAATTCGGTCCTCAAATAATTCGCGAGACAGTGCAAGTAAACTTTCAGCATTACCTCCACAAGTTGTTTGCGAATCCCGTCATGGCCTAAAGGTACTCGTCAGCCAACCAGTCGATAAGAGAAACGCCGTGGACATTGTCGCTATTCATGGACTGAATGGCGATCGCGAGGGAACCTGGACCGACAAGACAACGAACGTTAACTGGTTAAGTAACGCGTCCTGCCTCCCAAAAGACGTTCCAAATGCGCGAGTCTTCAGTTTTGGCTATAACTCGGCCACATATTTCAGTCGGTCCAACTCAGATGTCCAGGACTATGCCTCGGAGCTCCTTGCAGAAGTAAAGGCTCATAGGAGGAGTGATGCAGAGAAGCGCAGACCCATCGTATTCATCTGTCATAGCCTCGGTGGTTTAGTATTCAAACAAGTATATTCACCTATGCTACCTGATGGGAAAATAAATGTGCTGACCACTATTAGGCGATAGTTAGAGCCCATGAACAGAATCAATTTTACTCGTCCCTCATGGAAAGTGTCCAAGGAGTGATATTCTTCGCAACTCCGCACAAGGGCTCGAGCCTGGCTTTCTGGGACCTTATTGGAACTCGCATCGTTCAAGCTGCTGCTTTTGGCTTGGCAGCTAACCCAAACTTACCCAAGGATCTCAAAGTTAACTCGGAGATGCTAAACCGTATATCTAATTCTTTTGCATATCGGGGATGGAATATTAAAATTCGGAGTTTCTATGAAACGGAATTTATGCCTTTCCTCAACTGTCGCGTAAGTACTGGTTCCGATATTCGAAACCATTTTATAACCATAGCAGACGCTGACTATCAAATAACAAAGGTCGTTGATAAGGATTCGGCCAGGCTAGGTTGGGGGAACGAACTCGATATCGCATCAACGGCAAACCATTCGAGTATCTGCAAGTTTGCCTCGGCAACCGACCATAGATACCAGACAGCCATCGATGCAATACTCGATATCATCAACACATCGGACGAGACAGCCACTCCTAGTGAGTCTTGAATGTATATCAGCAGAGGTCCTAGGGTTCTGATTGTGTTTTCAGCACTCGGCGTTAAGGAGGTGAGCTGTATTGGCCGGTTGAACTCGGAATATGAGCATCATCTTGACCAAGTGGATAATCCGGTTAGCGGAACCTGTGAATGGATTCTCTCACATCACAAGTGGCAACAGTGGCAATCGTGGCCGCACTCATCCTTACTCTGGATTACTTCAAACGCAGGCTGTGGGAAGTCCGTTACCGCAAAGTTTCTTGTCAACTATTTTAAAAGTAAACGAGGTGTAAATGCATCTCAAAGTTTTGGTTACTTCTTTTTTATGGATGGTATCGCTGGTCAGGACAATGCGACTGCTGCAGTATCTGGTCTCCTTCATCAACTATATCGTTCACAACATGGTCTCATTAGACACGCCTTGAACAAATTGGAAGGCAACTTGAGTCATATCAGGTTCTCAACTTTATGGCAGATTTTTGTCGATAGTATCAATGATGATTACGCAAAAGATGTTCTCTGGGTCCTGGACGGGGTGGAGGAATGCGAAGCACAATCGCTTCGCCAATTCATGAGGGCACTGTCGGCTCTTTTTGAGCCACAAACCGCCGCTAAAGGTACTATTCGGAACTGCAATCTCAAGGTTGTGCTGCTCAGTCGTCCAAGCAGTTTAATACAGCATGCTTTGGGCCTATTCCCGGAAAAGGACTCAGTGAATGGTCATCTCAGCAACAAACTCAGACTTTCCGGAGAAGACGAAAACCAGGCACTTACAGCAGACATCCTTCGGTTCGCACACTCGAAGATTAATGAACTCATGTTAGCATCTGCTCTCCCGGAGAATGTATTAAAGCATCTACAAGAAAGGCTCGTTGCTGGAGCTGATTTCACGTTTCTCTGGATATCACTAGTCATTAAAGTAGTCGAAGATTCAACATTAAACGGCATTTCCGTTGTACAGCTGGAAAAGATTTTAAACACCACTAATTTGGACAATATTTATCAGCAACTCTTGGAGGGTCCATCCAGGGCATTTCCTTCAAAGACAAGGAAACTTTTATCCATTATTCTAGCCTCAGCCCGGCCCTTGACTGTTGACGAAATGTGTGCAGCAATAGAGGTTCAGGAGAATTATGATGTCGAAGCAACCATTACTGGCGGATTTACAGCCGTTATGGAAAGGAGCAACAACAGAACTGCTAGGAAGGGCACCAACTATCCAAAAGGTTGGGCAGAGAATGCCGACGCTACCGGTCAGCAATCGCTTAAAATGCTTGAGGATCAGCTTCACAAGCCCTTTGATAACCATATACGCCAACTTTGTGGTCATTTCGTTCGGATTCGATGCGGCAAGCTATATTTCGTTCATCAAACGGCACGGACCTTTTTGACCAAAGCATCTTTCGAACTGCGTTATGAGCCGCACCCCACGCTTGCTTTGACTCATGGCGTTTCAGGGGAAGAGAGAATACCTGCTAATGACTCAAGAAGAATATGGTATCCCATAAAACAAGAGGAAGCAATTCATACTCTTCTCAACCTCTGTGTAAATTACATCAAGATATTTGCTCGTGAAGAAGAAGAAGAAGATGATGATGATGAACTTCAGGTGTGGAATGAAGAGCAAATTGCGCAGTATCTTGAGGTATGTAGGAGAGATCCCTCGCGAGCTTTCTTTCCATATGCAGCGGTACAGTGGGTTCGTCATTACCGATCGGTTCGAGATATGCTCATGTTTAAATATGATGAATTCCTTCAGCCCGGCACAAAGCTTTTCAACGTATGGATCAAAGTACACGGCAGCTGGAGAGAGGAGCATACGACGCGAAGCGGAGCTAAACAGATAAATGGATCAGCAGATGACCTTCAAGTCCCTGAGTTCAACCCAATTTGGGAACTTGGCAGACAATTCGAGGAGTTCGAAAAATGGTTTTCTGGGAAATGGCGTGTCGCATCTACCTCTGAAGAGACCAATCAAAGGATTGAAAATCTAAGACGTCAATTCGCCCAGAATCCGAAGCTTCATACCTTGAAAGAATTTCTCGATCAAGAGGAGTGGACCAGTGAAGCCAGAAATTACGAGCTTCTGGCATTCAGAGTTGAACAGATGAATCATTTGTTCACCGAACTCACCGACGAATGGTCTCAGGCTATCAATGAGTATAAGGAATATAAAATAGTTCTTGCAAACCCGGAGCAAACAAAGGACAAGAACGCTACAGCACATATTCGAGACATTCGGAAGAAAATGCAAATGGAAAAACAGCTCCTTGAAGCCCTCATGCATTTTGACCTTCTCAACTTGAGTGAAGCAGGACTTGAAGGGGATGAATTCCTGCTTGGATATTGGCAATCGAGAAGCTACAGCGAACGCTATCAGAAAGACTACGAAGGGGACGAGAAGCAGTATGATGGTGGTGGCGGTGACGGTGACGGTGTCGGTGTCGGTGGCGGTGGAGAGATTGCGGATGAAGATAATATCCCAGACTGGATTAAGCATTACATTCGAAAGAAACACGGAGCGGTGATTGCTGGTAGGTCTCATGTTACTGCTACTCCCGGTATACATCTCCCAGGGTTATCAAACCCTGAGACTCTATCATTCGATGATAGTGTAGGGTTGAGATTGGCAAGTGACCAGTCTAAACAGCGAATGCAGATGGGTCAGACTCAGCGCTCGATGGGTTTACCACGAGGATAGGGTGCTGTATCGAGTACTGTGGCCGCTGGTGTTGTAAGGTACATGTATGCTATAAATGAGACGAATGCATAGGTCTCTGGTTGGCCGTTTCGTTTGGAGGGTCGCGTTCAAGCAATGTTGTCAGTGGAAATTATTCGTGCTTTTCATCAATCATATATCGAAATGCGTGATTCTAGAGCGATTGAACCATGGGTGTAAGTGCTCGGTTCTGAGATAGTGCAGCTTATCAAATCACGGTGCAGGGCACTAGATATTTCAACGTAGTGACTATGTACGTACGAAGTCATCTGTTATTGACTATAACGTCACAGAGATGCGATCCTACGTAACAACTGTATCAAATTACATGTACCATTTTAGCCTTCATCTATTTCACAGGCCTCACGAAAAGAAATGTCTTGTGCGTTTTTATCTCTCTTCAAAGCCCAACAGAGAGACAGGCCATACTGCAATCAGCCGCTAGAGGTCCTCAATCCCATCTGCCAGACTATCCTCGATAGATATCCAGCTTTCCTGGCCAAAAAAGTCTTTAAGCAACTTCTGGGCTCTGGCTATAGGAACAACTTTTGAATAGTCACGGCCTTCATTTTCGGGATCGTCAGGAAACTCCTGGTTTGGGCGTAGTTTGCGCAAAATGTGAAGCACATCCGTCCAATTGTACTCTGTTGCAAAGGCGAATATGCGTTCTGCTTTGACATTGGGGTCAAGAAGGGCTGCCACGTGTAGACGAGCGGTATCTCTGACATCGACGAAATATTCTAGGTAATGCATCATGCTTAGCAATCGAACTCTTGTCGCCGTAACTAGAATCTCTTGTTCACTTACGTGGTGGCAGCAATCCAAGGGCAGAGTAGTTCCCCTTGAAAAAGTTACGAACGAAGCCCATGGTAGAACCGTGCATATGCTCTGGTATCAGAATTCGGCCAAACTTGAAATTCATTAGCCAGTCCATTGGAAAGGGGGAAATAGCCCGCGAGAGAGCCAAGAATCATGCCTACATTGCAGTTTGGCAATATAGTGTTAAGAACAAACCCGGGCTTGTTCTCTTCCACCCACTTCCATGCGGCCCGCTCCGCTTCAGTCTTCGAAGCTGCGTACGTTGTATAGCCTTGTGCAGACTCTGGTGCCTTGCCGCTCCATGCGAGAGCGACAGTATCATCGTTCCACGTATCTAAGAGACTGTTAGGATATGTGTGCGTGGCTGGTGTATGCCATTTATACTTACTCTCGTCGACTACGACGCCCTTTTTGTTCGGCTCAGGAATGATTGCCGCAGTAGAAGACGACGTCAGAACGAAGCGCTTCACTGACTCTTGGCTCGAAGCCGCCTTGAGGGCATTAATCAGGCCAGCTCGGACAGCCGGTATGACTTTATGAGGATCACTGGTGAGCGAAAGGTCCGTGGCCTAGGCGTAGATTAGTGACCATGGTATAGAGATTGACGTATCTGCCCATTTCTTACCACATGGATGATTCCGTTCATCCCTTTGGCAGCAGAGGCAAAGGCGTCCTCTTCTTCCATTGCTGGCACGACGATGCTCTCATATCTGCCCTTGCCGTATTTGTCTTCGAAAAAGCGATCTAGCCATGGCTTCTCTTGCCTAACAGTTCCGCGAACATTGTATCCCAACTGTAACAATATGTCGACAATATGTGATGCAATATACCCATTGGCTCCGGTGACTAGCACCCAACCTCCGGGGGGGATAGCGTACTCGGAAGGACCCATATTGTCAGAGATTGTGCTTGGACCTTTCGATTGCTTTTGAACTCTTCAATAATCTAATTGTTGGTATGATGGTAAAGCTTCACTGCCACCAGCAAGTCATTACGAAAGGGTAAGGAAGTTATATTATATCAAGACGCCTGGGCTAATTTGCCCTAATAATCTTGATATCCGGACACAAGTTAATTCCGTCATCTAAGGCTTCCACTCCGACTGGAGCACTTGATTAGCTGCTACTATCAGATTGGGCGAAAGATTGATTCAGGCTTTTGAACCCAATGTTGGAGCACAACCATTTGTTGAACCAGCTACTCCAGTTTTGTTGACACTCTAACATTGATTATCAATGCATATGTAAGTATCGTCTATAGTATATCGGGAAAATATCCTCAGAAACATATTTCTTGAGTTTCTATTCCCACGAATCACATCATACCGGTAAGCGTGATGATGTACTAATTCCTCCCAAGGAAACGGCAAATACATCCATATACTAGTAGTGTGTTCACCGTTACAAATCAGCAAGGTTTAAGAACGTAGTGGTATTATATTATGTGGGACCTCCTTGATTTGGCAAATGGTGTACCGTCCATACCTTATTTCCGCTACTCTTTGTATATCAGACTAAAATCCGAGCAAAAGTGAAGCTCCACACTCGCTCAAGAATTATACAGTCTTATATTCATCTGACATTGTATTTATAAATGGCATACACGCAAGTGGTGACAAATCAAGATAGGATGGCTTCGCTAATAAGTTCGCTTAGGATTTCGGATTCCACACAGCAGGGATGTGATTTACTATAGTGAGGTAAATAGATTGCCAAGATGGCTGTCCTATCAGATAGTTACAGCCAAGGAACCGAGCGATATTTGGATGAGGAGACTTGCTCAAAACCTCCCATATGGTTGCCTCATGCAGAAGTTGAGCGCCAGGGTTGAGTGATGCCTCTGTATCACCATATTCGATCAACCTTGGCTGTTTCATGTAACAATCGAGAGGCAAAGGCCTGGGCGCTTCGGTTAACTCGAGGTCAACCTTGTGCCAGATTATATCCAGGGGGATTTCGTGGAGGTCCGAAGGTAGGAAATCAACCGTGGAGCCAAGAGAAAGGCGACGCTGAGATAAACAGTAGAAAAACTGGTCGCCTTGTCGGAGGATGGCTTTGGTGTGGGAAAATTCCAGATCTCCATCCTTCTCAGAGAATGTCTCGGCTTGGTCATAAACTTCCATGCTGCAATGTGTTGTCGAAGTTGCGACACGGTCACTTAATCGTCTTGTGTCTAGAGTGTCCGAACCAGCGATTCCGAGTGTTGCATTGGCAGCATTAGAATGGTCCTGGGCCGCCTAACAAGGTCGAAAAGGTTGTGCCATATGCCGAGAGATAGCTACGATCAGGAGTAGCGTTCGATATCTATTCCAGGTTATGTAAGCTTCAAGTGTTGGCTTGCTGGGTAGGCTACAGATTCCTTACCGAATATCAAGGGTAGCAACTTGCTGAGATCCTGCGAATGGTGGTGAATGGCACGGGTTGCTGTCGGACTTTGTGCTTCTCCCTTCACACAGAGCGGGGTTTCCGAATAGCCCAAATAATGCAAAAGAAGTTGTTACTGTAGCAAGTACCAGAGGGGAGTAGCAGAGAGTAAACAAGTGTTTGCTTAAGGATCAAAACACAAGCCAGCAAATTAGATGTAGAAATTGGCTGCAAGAGGGGCTGCGACTGAAATCAATCGTGAGTATGTAAATATCAAAGCAACGTGCTCTATCAAGGCATTTACCCTGCTGGGTATGCAGTATGCACACCTCTCTAATACACATCCGACCCGTGCACGGTGTTGTTACACAAAATCGTGGTAACCAACAGCATTCACCGCGTCCTGCTGTTGAGTGGCGCTGGGGCGTTGCCGCCACGTCTCATTTCCAAGGTCTTCCAACACTCTCTTCCTATTCAAACAGAGTCCTTCCGTGGGATGAGCTGAGAATTGAGAACGCGCAGAGTCAACAGCCATGGATGAAGATTCGCCAATACAGAGCTCGAGGGCTAATTCACATGGCACACGCGGCACAGTGCTAGAAACTGCTCAGCCGATTCATTCTACCAATTCCCAGCAGCCCAAGCCAGACCTCCAGCCATCCTCTGAATCGCCTCCCCTGCTGACAGGACTTCCCCGTGAGCTTTTGGGTAACATCGTGGGCCGGCTTGAAAACAGCGACATCAAGAATCTCCGTCTCTCTTGCAAGCTTCTTGCGAGTGCATTGGCCTTGCGCATCAATCGCGTCTTCCTTTCCGCGAACCCGCTTAACGTCAAAGTTTTCCGCGCAATTGCCGACCATGAGGAATATCGCCACGGCGTTACTGAAATTGTCTACGACGATGCCCGGCTCCCGCGATCTGCTTTTGAGGCTCAAGCGATACGGCGGCCCGAAATGTTGATCACAGGCCCTCCTCCGGACCCTCTCACGCCGTGGGAGGCAGAATTTCAGTCAACAGCTCAGGAAGCAGATGAAGAGTGGTTTCAAAGCGCGCGGAAAGAGAACCTACGAGAGATCAGCGCCCACAAAAGTCATACCAAAGGCCAATGGGACAGTCCCGCAAGGACAGAACAGGCAGAGAGTGAGATGTCATACCAAGCATCGTGGGCATACTATCAGGATCTGGTCCGTCAACAAGATGAAGTTATCGCAAGCGGTTCTGATAAAGAAGCTTTTATATATGGCCTCCGACAATTCACTTCATTACGAACTATCACCGTCACGCCTGCCGCCCACGGGATGTTGTTTAGCCCTCTGTATAAGACACCAATGATTCGAGCCTTTCCATTTGGCTTCAACTACCCTCTTCCCCGCGGTTGGCCGGCTCGTGATGAAATAGAGCCTGCTTTAGATGCTGCTCCATGGGTTAATGAAGAGAACGAAGCTTGGGCAGGGCAGATTAGAGCCAATTGGCGTGGTTTTCTGCTCGTCGCTCATGCTCTAGCACAGGAACAACACCACCACCAAGTGTCCGAGTTTCTCATTGATTCCAATCAACTTCAAACTGGGATCAGCGGTCGCCTATTTGAGCAGCCTTGCGAAGCGTACGCAGATATAGCGTCGATCCTCGAGCTTCCCGGCCTGCGACATTTCCATCTCTCCATCAACCTTGAGGGACAGCATTACTATGACTGGCCAGCGTTTCGGAGTGGTCTCATGAAGGAAGCTCTTTCTAAAGCTGTGAATTTGGAGCAATTCACCCTGGAAACTGATATGGAATTAGATGAGGTGGATGAAGAAGTACCGCCCTCGTTGGAGGACATTATCCCAATTAACTGTTGGCCAAAGCTTCGACATTTCAAATTGTGGAATTGGCATATTAAGAACAACTCTGATTTGCTCTCATTTTTAGGCCAACTTCCGCAGACCCTACAATCACTTGAGCTCGGCGCTCTGGCCCATTATCACTATGAGGAGAATTATGTTGATCTAGTACAAGATATGCGTGACGCCCTAGGTTGGCGAGAACGGAATATTCGCCCCAGAGTCAAGATAACCGTACCTCGCAAAGGTTATTATAGAAACGGTCACACTGTCCAAGTTGATAAAGAAGTCGACGAGTTTCTATATGGATGTGGTGATAATCCGTTTGCAGGAGAATCTAACGGTGGTGAAATGCCTCCTCGTGGTGTGGGGGTTACTCGTGATGCATTTCTTGAGGACTTTGAGGGGCCTTGGGAACTTTTACCTTGGCAAAACGCTCGCACATCCGGCTAGACATACAGTAAAGTCTTATACAACGTTGGCAATATATCCTGAAGAGTAGTTTTGGTTTAGCTTTGACCTTGAACCTTTACTTACAACAATCTACGTGCCATTACTATGGGTTGAAGCTCATTTGACTCTAGATTTTTTTATTAACTGGTAGATGCGTCTTTAATTGAACTAGAGGTCACATTTTATTGGCGTAAACGTTTAGATATTGACGCAGAGGTACACGTTGGCTTGGAGCCCCGAGTACTTGATCCGTTTTGACCACAGGATTCCAGGTGTGAGAGGTGCCTGTCTGGTGGGAGACTGTATTCTGGCACAATGCCGTAACAGCTATCCCACCGTCTGAACTTTATAAAACTCGCTGCACGTGGATGGCATGCCTGTCTGCACTGGTGGTGGCGTAACGATTCCGTCTGTCAATGTCGTTGTAAAAGTTTCTTCTATGTCATCGTCATCAAAATACCCCAGGGGGACGCCACCAGGCTCCGTCGTTACACAGTAGTATGTGCCAACCGCAAATCCTGAGCAATCTTGGTTGACTGAGGGATTCATGGAATAGAATTGATCGATTGTCAGGTAATTTAGATCAACGACTCTCGAGCAAGACTCGCCTGCGCTTGGCGCATACCAATTAGTGCAATTTGATGGCTCTCCACTTGCACGGGGGCTGGGAGGAGCTGCGGTTATTGATGGATCTTATGAGTCAAAGAGTTAACAACTCGTATTGGTGGTTTCTGGGGGCGCCCTGTATACTAAGGCCACAAGTCTACTACATTACTTACCAGGTGTAGGGGATACCAAGAGTACGCAATAAGAACTATTTGCGGCAAGCGTGCAAGGGTACGTGTAACTGGATATAGCGGCAGAACTGCTAGAAGTGCCGAAAGCAGTGGTTGGGCTGGCTGTGCAGGATGTTACTTCGGAGACTGGGGCGCCGAAAGGAGCGTCGTCTTGGTCGAGTGATGGATTCCAAAGAATAAATTCCTAAAATGACCGCTGGTTAGCTGGCGATATACTGATGGAGGTTTAGGAAAGAGATAAATCTCCGGAAGAAAAAGTGATCAATTCATACCTCGCGTGTAATTCCATAAAGCCAAGCCAGGTTCCAGCAGTCTGCAGCTAGATTTTCCGTAGTGTTTGTGCTATTCACATAAACGTAGCTTTGGCAATTGCCCAGAAGTCAGCCCTAAACTTGAAGCAATAATGAGAGGACCGGCGATCTTCTTACTCATAGCAATCTTTCCGCGTGTAATTCGCAATGGGAATGATAGAGTCGCTCACGGGCCAATTCGCCAGAGGATTGTCAATTTTTGGCAGTGAAGTAGAAGGAGTCTGGTTAAAGGGCGGTGTTGTAGCGCTAGGGCCATAATAGCCAGGATATGTGGAAATATATCCAACGGGCTGGACACAGTAATGGTAGCCTGGCTCTAAATTTGTACAATTTGACCATACTTCAGAGTTTAAGAAGATGCTGTAAATTCCGAGGTTAGTCGTATGTGCACTTGGGAACTAAGAACACGGCATGACAACTTACAAATCCTCGAGAAGAATGCCAAATTTCGTAGTTAGGAGAGAACAATCCTCTCCATCAGATATCAGGTAATAATGGGCGCAACGAGAAGTCGTCTGATCTAATGTTGGCGATGGGACAGAACTGTTGCAGATGTTAGTCGTGCTACAAATTAATCGTTTCAATTAGTTGACAGGAAATAGGAAACTTGCGCTGTTGTGGTCGCAATCACAGTTGCCCTGATTGTGTTACTAGTTATGGAGAATTGGCCTTGAGGGTTACGAAGGCATATGCTGTTACCGATGAAGCTCGCGAGATTCCTGTAGTATTCGATATCCTTGATTAGCATCTCTGTCATACGCCATAACATCTGCTCGCATCCTAGACACATACGAGCATCCGGGATCAATTTCTGGATTCCAAGAAGGTAGTTGAGCATAGGTGATGTTATTATGACTGCAGATGCCGATGCACGTATCATTTGAATTGACAGTATACTGCTGGCAATTACTCCTAATTGCTGCTGCCTCGGAAGCCGATACTCCAGCGAGGGTGAGAAGCCCCAGGCTCAGGTGCTGGGATTTCATTGCAGCTTTGCAGGCTGAAGTCTTCGAGTGGAAGAGGAAAATAATCCACCAGGCAAAGGGAAGGACACAGAGAGATTCCTAGAATGGATAATAAACTAAGACCAATTTGACAGAGAGAAAGACAAGAACATACGTGAGATATTCACAGCTCCTAATCCTTTTGATTCTATTACTTCAAGTACGATTGACTTGACCGCTAAATCCACGCGGATTGTTTGCTGAAAGCTGATACCCACTCCCTGATCCATCATGCTTTGATTTCATTGACTACTATTGGCGGGGCGGAGATCTCTCTCCCTCGCCCCCTTTCTCTTCAGTTTGCTTTTTTCTCCAGCTGAGACCAAAAATGTCGGTGAGCTCAGGATTCACCTCCGCTCGCGTCGTACTCACCTGAAAATAGGTCAGCATCGGACACATTCTCTCGGTCGCTGTTGGTCGAGATGTCCTGGAGATGTGGGACCGACGGAAACGCACAGAGGGGGGGAACCCATTCAAAATCCTCCCCAAACATGTTAAGGTTATAATTATAGTTATTCACACCTTTGTACGGAGTACATTTCACGCGTTTGTTGACCACGCTTGTCTGTATTCATTGCCCCATTGAATATGCACCGTATTGCACGCTTCATAACTACTGTATATTCACAACAACCTAGGAGTAACAGTAACGCAGATTAGGTTTCGCCTCTTTATATCTCTTTTGTATCTTTTCCCTATGCCAATCTGTCGGTACCTGTGATCATCTCACGACTTGAGACTCTTAGTTCCACTAATAGTACTAATTATCATTCTCCCCCAAGGAAAAAATAATTTCATCTCATTCCCCATTAGGCTGTCTACTTCATGGCTAACTGATCGTAGTTATTGCTATGGGATAACTACGGGCTCGACTATAGAAAACCAGATTCTTACATTGCTAGAAGTCCTGTCATGTCGTTTATTTGATTTAAATTATGAAACAAAGATAAAGATTCACATGTGAACCAGACTTGTGCTGACGTTGGTATGGAGAAGATTTTTGGGGGGTAGCAAACACGTCTATGCAGCTTTCCTATCTCCGAGTCATGAAAAGCTCATCCGACGTCGTATAAGGGAGCTGTTGAGCCTCATGTATTCCTTGTGTCTGATTAGGCAGACAGAGAAAAAGTACTTATTCCTATCGCCAATGCCTCTTGTTTCTACTAATCTTCAACCTTAAGAGCCTTTCGCTTTTCCATTATGCTATCACTAAGACAGCAGCCATCATGGCTCTTTGCCACCCTTCTACTTATAGTTCTGGTCTCTAATAATCCCGTTGTATTGAAACCCGTCACAGCATCTCCTCACCATCACCATCGCTACCAACATCATATCCGTCACGCAGAAGCCAACAAACTCTCAGTGGCGGGCAATCTCCGGTCATCGCCTCATCTCTCTGTAGATCTAGAAACAAAGGCAGACACGCCAAACGCTCCTGGTCAGGGCGATTTCACATGTGGCCCTGATAAGCCATGTTTCAACAAAGCCTGTTGTGGTGACAGCGGTTGGTGTGGCTATGGTCCAACATACTGTGGCAAAGGCTGTCAATCTAACTGCGATGCTGCTGCTGAATGTGGCAACTATGCTAAAACTTTTGGCGCCGTTTGTCCTCTCAATGTCTGTTGCTCTGAATTTGGCTTCTGTGGGACTACTGCAGACTTCTGTTCCAACGGGTGTCAGTCCAACTGTGTACAACCTAAACCCTCAGGCACACCAAGCAACATTCAAAAGAGGATAGTTGGCTACTGGGAAGCATGGAACTCACAGCACTCATGCGGAAACATGGACGTTGGAGAAATTCCCGTTACATATCTCACACATCTAAACGTTGCTTTTGGATACATTTCCCAGGACTTGAAAATCACTAACATGGACGGTGTACCATCTGAAGTTTACAGAAATGTAGGGAATTTAAAGGCTCGAAATCCCAGTCTAAAGATTATTATTTCGCTGGGAGGCTGGTCATTCAGCGACCCTGGTCCCTGGCGCAGCGTTTTCCCTACGCTGGCCGCTTCACCGAGTAACCGTTCCACGTTTATTCAGAACCTGCTGGGATTCTTGTCTGAATACGGATATGATGGAGTCGGTAAGTTAAGAAAAACTTCGGAACCCAAGAGACTTGCAATCTGTTATTGGAGTGTTAATCTTTTATGATAGATTTCGGTAAGTATTGAGCTTACATGGATCGCAGTAAAGCAATCTCTTCCGTGTGGTTTGCGATTCGCCCCTAAGTATTGCCCAACAGGCCAACGGGAATTTTGAATGGCCACTTTCAGACCCTTTGTGCTTAAATAGCAGCTAAAAGATAAACCAGAGCGAATGCTAATTCTATTTATAGATTGGGAATACCCCGGTGCGGATGATAGGGGTGGTAGCGACGCGGATGCTGCCAACTATGTTGCCCTGCTTAAAGATTTAAGAGAGGCCATCGATACTAGCACTAAGGATTACATTTTAACCTTTACTGCTCCCACATCATACTGGTATCTGCGGCACTTTGATATCAAAGGCATGGCAGCTTATGCTGATTGGATTAATCTCATGTCTTATGATCTTCATGGAACCTGGGATAGCAAAAACCCGATTGGAAGTCAAGTTCTTGCACACACTAACCTCACGGAAATTGACCTAGCTTTAGACTTGGTGAGTCTGATGTATCTGTTGGGTCTTATGATGGCCTTTATCAACCACTATGCTGACGGTGATGTGACCACGCACAGTTTTGGCGAGCAGAGGTCAAGCCTTCTAGCATTGTCTTGGGCCTAGCATTTTATGGCCGGACATTTAATCTCAAATCTGCATCTTGCTGGAAACCAGGCTGCCCCTTCAGTGGCCCTGGAGATGCGGGTCAGTGTACTGGCACCGCGGGCATCTTGTCATACAGAGGTTAGTGCATCTTGAGGCCTTTGGGCGGTGACAGCATTTCAGAGAAAATTCTGACATCGGCAATCGCAGAGGTCCAATCTATCCTTGATCGAACTGGTGCTACCTCATACTTGGATAAGGACGCAGCCGTCAGGTATATGGTATATGGCAATGACAGTTGGGTTTCGTGAGTCCTTACCTTTCTACGAGATGTCTCGGCCACAACAAATCCAAGGACGAGCTGACACGAATAATGCAAGATATGATGATGAGACTACATTCCAAACCAAGATTGACTATGCCAATAAACTTGGCCTCTCAGGGCTCTTGATATGGGCCCTCGATCTTGATAGCAGCGGACTCGATGCGCTCAGAGCCGTCTCAGGCCCTATTGGCCCCGCTGGAATTGACAGCTCGTACTCGCTTGTTGATCTTAAGAACTTGTTTCCAACGGAAGACCTTCCTCTCTCAGGCACTAGGCCGGAATTTGGTTTTGTTCCATTTGGCAGCAGTGGTTCTTTAGCTGACCCAAGCCCTGATTCTGGGCCATTCGGCTTTCTCTTAATTGCAGGCGACTCGCATGTTATCGCAAAATTGAGGAAGAGAGACGGTGATCCCGAGCCCATGGTTTTTCTTGATTGCCCCTTCGGTGTTAAAGACCAACCGAAAGATAAAGCACAAACGGCCAGAGTAACATGCCTAAGTGAAGATTTGAGAGAGTGCTTCCGTGTGTTGGAACGTGGGGTTGAAGGCACTATTGTCGAGATGCCAGACAATGTTAGTCTTGTTCTACACATCACTTTTCTTTAGACGCCGCTATTTGCTAATCAGAGTCTACTACAGTGCGCTCCGAATATGTTCGCTAGAGCTATTTCTCTAGAAATTTCAGTTGGTTGGTCACTATATACTCTTGTTACCTAGTACTTGATGTTTTAGAACACCGCTAATCGACGTATAGATCAGTCAATCCCTCCAAGTGTAGGCAGGGCTCCCACCTCTCCCGTCTATGACTTTTCTTTTGACTTCAACCTCGGCCTTATGAGAAGAGACACAAACAATACAAGCATTCGAGTGGATTACTCCAACGTTAAAGGCTACTGGGACCATCTTGTGGATACACCTGGTATCCAAAGCCGCGACGTCAACAGTCTAAAGTCTCGGTTTTTTGCTCCAACTACCGTTGACTGGAACTCAGTGTTTGAGAAAGAGTACTTTGATTGGTCTCCTAGCGACGCTACAAAGATTAAGGACGACTTAAACAGCATTCTCTTTTGGCAAACTGCAAGAGATTGTGATATCGAGGGCACAAGCTTCGGTGAAGGTTTCGGCGCTTATGTCCAAGGCACTATCGATGCAGACTTCTGGTTTGGGTTTTCTATGATTGTACGACTCCTGGCTTTTTCCTCTCGTTAATTGCTCATCGATTTTGCTTTCTCATCAAGAAGAAGTAGCTGACCAAATTACAAATAGGCCACGCTAAAGAATGCTAAACTTAATGTCGATCAAGCCCATGGTTTTCTTAAAGCAACTGGCAAGACAGATCTGACCTATGGCATCGGAGGCGTTGGAGATGTTGATATATCCAAAGCTCGCATGGGCAATCCAGCCTTGAGTCAGGAAGACATTGTTAACCTTAAAGGACACACTATTAATACTGCAACCTCCGGAGGACTCATCTCTTTTAATCCGTATTATAAGGTCAAGTATGAGATGGCTACACTAAATGGATCGGGTTCCCAAGACTTTTCAAGTAGTACGGTCACATTTGATGGACGAATGACTACGCGCATTGTTACAGACCTTGGCAATTTCCAAGCCAACTTCCCCCCTCAATCAGGTCCCTTCCAAGAGATTAATGACGAGAAGCGTCAGAAGAATAAACTTTCCATTCCTCAGGATGACGTCCTCTATGGTACTTCCTCCTATGGTGGGCAGATTGCCATTGGTACAGTCCTCACCTTTGGATTAGAGATGAAATTCCTGATATTTGGAGATTTATTCAAATGGGTTCTTGGCACGCCCAAGGTGAGTACACTCTATTCTTCACATCCATTAGACGTACTAACTGATGATAGCTGGAACTTGCATACAACACTATGGAAATCTTTACATTCTCTCAAGGGAAAGGGAGGGATTCTGGAAGCGTGTGTACTGGCTACGACGTGACGTGAGTTCAAAATACGTTTAACATTTGGGCTCGATGAGTTCTAGGTTGACTAACATAGCCGAAAACAGCACCAGTGTCTACCAAGTAGTTGACAAAGCGTGAGTACCACCCAGAGACATTTCCCCAAACTATTCTAGGCCAAAAGACTTGCTGGGCGGGGGGTAGGATTAGCATATTCATTTGGACATACGTCCATTGCTTATACTTAATGTACATACGGACTAATTCGTGCAACTATAGCGAATCTCTTGGTTGGGGTGATATTCCCAGCGATGCATTGGCAGAACTCACCTATGACCGGGTAACATTCCCTACATGCGTTTGTTTCATTTGGCATACTAATTTTCGTTCAAAGCAAAAACCTACCGGGGAGCATAAGTGTTATCCAAATATAAATAAGTCTCTACAGAAGAGAAACAGATTATTCCATCAAAATGCCTCTAAACCAACCACAGAGTCTACCTATGGTGGGATATTTACCTCTACCCATGATCGCACAAAGAATAATGCCCAGAATGAGTCTGGTGAGGATGCCCTCCACTCTCGACAGATAGGCTCAATGGGTGGTTGGGGCTACGGGGGAGACGCATTCATTAATCCAAATCTCTATTTCGGAGAAACTCGGGGCCTCCTCACATTTGGCGACGCCGAGCGCAAGACTAAATTTCCATGTGTGGATGGAATGTCCTGCGGCTATGATGACGAAGAAGGCAACCGGTGCTGCGGATGCGCCTCGATGGACTTTCGCTATGGTCTTTCCGATATGCCACCCTGCTCTATTTGTGAACCGCACCCAGACCCGTGGCTGGATTCACAAACCATCCTGAGAAGAGATGAGCAGGCCAACACTGATTGGTTCTCTCAAATCGACAAACGAAAACCCAACGTGGCGAGTATGGGGTTCAAGAAAATTTCAATTTGCAAGAGCGATTATTTACCAAAACAGCCGTATAAATATCCTTCTTTTCCTAATCAAGCGACCTTTCCTTGGGACGGCATTCAAAACGGCAAATGGGATACAGTATCCAAGTATTGGGGCAACACATCGGCTTCTTGCACAAATTGGAATGCGGGCAACGTCATGCCAGCAGATACCATATATATTCCCAATGGGCTCGGAGGATCCATCCCGGTAAGGCCACCTTACGAAAGTATGTATCTCGCCACCAATTCCCTTCTCTGGCATAATGCAGCGCGGCTAATAGAAAGCGACGTGCAGCTGAGCACCCGTTTGAAGGCCAGCTTATCGCCGACTTCTTCAACTTTTGGTTGATGAAGGGGAGATTGAACGACATCGATCCGACAGTGCACTACTCCCCGCCACTGGCTGACTGCACTTTCATTGATGCCTATATCAACGCCCCGAGTATATTCCCAATCAAACAAGCCAATGGACGGCGTAGACGTCAAGATGCCAGCCTTCCCGAAATTCTATTAACTGAACTCGGTTGCACAGATCACTTGGACAGATTGGCAATCTTTCTGGCAAGACCCAATCACAGAAAGGGCGGTGTAAGTTCCATCTTCTTGGTTTTTCATTCCTATATGCAATTAAACAAAGTCATAAGACTTACCATCTCACTTGGATGTCCGCTGACGCATATCAGATATTCATGGGAAACAAAGTAGTAGATATGAAGAAGTTCAAACAACAGACTGCGGAAGAGCAGCTCCTAGTAGCTAAAGAAGTTGGTAAGGCTTGCGCTATTCTTTGTAGCGGCTCTCAATTTGAGACTTACGAACTAACTACCTACTTCCCTTTGTTATTATTATAGGTCTAGTCTTCACCTACCTCAACTCACCAGAAATCTGGGACATGTTTTGTGCTTCATACGAGGCCATGTATGATCATATGGGCTTCTATGACAGTTGGTACTCTGTCAATGGTCCAGGTATCATAATAAACTTCCAGGCTGAATGGAAAAAGTATATTCGCACCGCTCTAGACGCAGCCGTGACCCGCTCGCGGACTGCGTTCGATAACATGTATCAGCAGCAGTATGTTTTCTCTCACGCCCCTAAACGCTGAATGAGATGGCTAATGAGTTTTTGTATAAATTATAGCAAATATGCACCGCTGGCTTCCCAATTTTGGCATGCATGGTGGTCCAACAATTTTTGGAATCGGCGTTTGATCAAGCTGGATAAGGTGTGCACTCACTTGGATAAAACTAAAGTCGTTTGATCACAATCGACTGTAATAGAAGAGTATGTTGTATTTGAGGCCTGATATCTAATATATCGCCAGTATATAGCTTTAATAAAGCTTCTTTTGTCACAACTTTAAGAATGGTTGAGTGATAATTTAGATGTTTGCGGAATGTAACATTAGGCCGGAAGCAGTGTTAAGTTATTTTTTTTATAAAGTAATATAGCCTATTACTTTAGTATTAAAGAGAGTAATTATATAAAGCACTTTAGTATTATTTATTATTACTTCTTATATTAATTTAATTAGGGTAGATTATTTTTAATCCTAGGTATATACTTATTTCTTTATATAAGAGGTTAAATTAGGTTATGACACCTTAATATAAATGATGTTTAGTAAGTCTCTTATTAACATAATTAAAAATATTTTAGCTTCCTTATATAACATCCATTAATAACCCCTAATAGTATTAGCTTTATAGTTAAGAAACTAAGTTAAATAAGGCGAAGGAATCTTTATATATATCTAAGGACAATAAGAAAATTAACTTTAATGTTATCTTCACTAATTTATCTATATCTTTCAAGTGTCATTTATATATATCACAGTTAGGATTCGCATTATTAGCCAATTATAGAGAGCATTCATATCGCGTAGTCTTATTGGCACACTGTATGCTATGGAAAGTGATGTCTTCTACACATCTGCGAAATGTCGTGGTCCATTTCTATTCCGTTGGCTGATCTTCCTCCAGTTGTGTAAAACTACCCTCTTCCTACTTGAAGCAACACACACAGTGATCTGGCGTAAGTTCATAAACTTCATATCTGAACTCTATATGTTAGTAACTTGTATAAAAAGAAGTGAAGAGCCGTGATAACTTACTATTGGAGTTTTATTTCAGATTTTCTGGCGAAAAGCTTACTGGTCGTACTCGCCATAGTTCTTGGTCCAGGGGATGTTGCAACGCTTGGTGATGGTTCCATCAGGCTCAACGAAGGAGCCGCAGCCGCGCTCCTCAACGTCACGCTTCTCATCGTATTCGCCGTAGTTCTTGGTCCAAGGGATGTTGCAACGCTTGGTGATGGTTCCATCAGGCTCAACGAAGGAGCCGCAGCCGCGCTCCTCAACGTCACGCTTCTCATCGTATTCGCCGTAGTTCTTAGTCCAAGGGATGTTGCAACGCTTGGTAGTTGTTCCATCAGCTTCAACAACCGAGCCACATCCAGGAGTGGGTGCGGCCAGGCCGAGAGCAGAGAGGGAGAGAACAACGAGAGATGAACTGAACTTCATGTTGTACTTCAAAAATTTGAAAGTTTGGTATAGTTTGTAATAATTTGAAGAATGATATGAGAGATTGGTTCTTGATTGAGCCCGAGTGATGAGTTGCTTGATCAAATTTATCAAACCCGTCTTGTCTTCCCCTTATATACTTGGGTCCTCATATTTCGCCAAGGTAACGAGGATCCGTGCTCCGAACATGGAATATCTCTTGACTCCGCATATGATTTTTTTTTCATTACATTACGCTTTCTCAAAATAAGACCAACTCGAGTATCTCGGCCTCCGGAAACAACTGTCAACGCATCTTTGGCCGTTGTAAAACTTCCACACGCCTTGGGGTATCAGAAGGTTCTTCTGAACAAGGAATGTTTCCCTTGACCGATGGTATGGCTGCAGCCATAATTCTGTTAGTGAAAATACTTCCCACCCCCCCGTACTACGTGTAATATATTGGCGTAAACGCTGGCATCCTCAAGGGGAGAGAGGCTTCGGTCGTTGATGATTCCATCATTCAGATTCCACTCCGAAGACAAGGGACGATACATCAGATCTGGCACTTCTTATCGACCTGCCAGGATCTGAGTCATTGAAATCACAAGATTTGATTTTTGCTACGTCATTAATATGGCAACTTCCTCTTCAAGGTATGAGGGTGGGATATCTGGCTCTTCAATACTATCAACTGTTAGCATCATCGTGATACTTCATGGACAAGACACAGTGCCAAATGGGCTGTTATAAACTGTGTCATAGCCTCGCGGCTAATATCTATGCTACAGTAGCATTGAGATCCAGCTAACTGCATGAGTGCTGACTGAGGTGTCCCCAATAGGTAAACCATGGCGAATCCCTCATCCTGCACTGATCTGACCCCGTGGAAAGTTGCCGATTATTAGTCAACCCGTCGGACACATCTTCCGCGAATCCTTGCCCAAGGGGCGTGTGGGTGTTTGCATGCAGTACCTACCGGCTTGATATTACCTATACGGAGTACGAGACAACTAGGTACATGCAGCCTAACCATAAGCATAAGCAAGTCAATGGCAATCCCTCTACTATCACAGAAGTGGAACTGATAGCGAAGCGAGATCCGCCCCGTACAAGGAACTCGGGGTAATGGAATTACTAGAAGCAGATCCGATGGGCAATGTGATCAACCCGAAATGCACATTCACGGTTACCAATTCGCCCGCGTCTCTGCCCTGGCATCTGAATTTGGCAGGTCCTTAACCTCTGGGACGAAAATAGTTTACGCAAGGAGATGACGGTCTGCATTTGTCTCCATGTCATACAGAGCTCCATATACTTTGTCAGAGACACTTAGCTGTCGATCTAGAGGCAGTTTTATCGGGCCGTTTATAGATGCCGGCGAATGACTTGATTGTAAAGGTATGCAGCGCATTATCTAAACTCGGTAGCTGTGCCTACGTACTGTAACTCGAAAAGGGAAAAGCAGGGATTCCGCTTTTAAGATGCTTCTAGCGCAGCTCTAGCGGAATAACGATTAATATTCTAATAACGAGAGTTCAATATAGGTACATGTAGTTTTATGCTCGGGCATGGATAGACCAGAATTTACCCAAGGCGCTTATCCAGATGCCGAGGTGCAAGCTAGGTACATGCAACAAGGCTCCTCAGTTTGACAACATCACCGAATGGAAGACAATACAATACAGAAATACTATGCTTCAAAGAAAAAGGCAGAATCCGCGAAAACATTTGTTGGAATAGCTGCATAAATGTAAATCTATACCTCAGAGTAATTGATACAAAGCTCTCCAATTCCACTTTACTCTACTGAGCTGAAAACTGAGTGACCGTTGACCCATTGAACCAGGTCAGGATATGCACGGCACTTGCGAGGAAACCCTTTTCCAATTACTTTTCCCGTCGCTGAAGTTTCCAGTACATACGGCGCTACGTCGCTGGAGCACGTCAGCACCATCCGTAGGGTCGAGACACAATGGTCGACGTGATGCCGTCGTGTTTTCTCTCCGCCGCTAAACGAGGGCAGTTTGCTGTAGTCCCAGTGGTTTCTATAGATGAATTGCCTCACAAGATTCTACACCAAAGTTTGCCGTATTAGCTTTTGCTTCAACCCGTATTTGTGCTCGTATACGTACCAGACAATGGATTTGATGTGCGCCTTCTAGTAAGCCGCCAACACCACCACCTTGATCTTTGTGCACGAGTCGAAAATCTCCAATCGTCGAGGACTTGTTCAGACTGCCGAGTGAGTCAAGCGGTACACTAAAGGCACCAACTACAATAGCAACATCAGCTTCTATGCGGCCATCAAGCACTGAGATACTTACAATCCCATAACTTTGCCCACGCTGCCTCCGACGCTGAAGAAGGGTAGCCGCTGTATACGTCGGGTTCGAAGAACTGATTGAACGTCGTCCATTCATATCGAACGGCTTCTAAAACAGGGCCTAAAACAATCCCAATTGAATGATTAGTGGAACTTCAAAGACATCATGACGAGGAATTGCACGCACTCGGAGGCGACATTCGCCGTGTACACTTGTCGTCAGAAACATGGTTTGACGCCCTCTCGATATAATACGACGAGGATAAAAACAGACAAAGTGACGCAAACGCAAAGAATATTCGGGAATGGAGCCTTTTCTTCCTCTCAAGGGCCCTCAATTCATCAAAAGACTCATCTGCCAACTCTTCATCATCAGAGGGCGTCGCTACTGACTGGTACCGAAGGTGCTTTGCGAGTCGATTTTTCCACCACATATTAGTTTCGGTAGCCAGCTAACGAATGGGTGTTCTAACTTCAAGTCTAGAATAGAAACGAAAATGTTTTCAGCATCGCAAAGTCAGAAAGACAGAGGGAAGAGCCATCTAGGCTTTGCAGTAAACCCTTCAATGCAACCCTTTCTACGATAGAACAAGCATTTCGCCATATGCAATACCTAGTACAATCCCTGATACCGTTACAACTAAGAGATGAGTAAGATCTTTCATCCGAACTTATTTTAAGCGCTTGATATACGTGTATAATCTTCGGTATCCCGGGATGCTTTTTGCTCTATGCACACGCCCCCTCCACAGGATTCACAAAGGTGCCTACGGTTAGCTTCCGGGACCCCCCCCCTGCAAGAAGATCTGCAGCTACAGCTACACTCCTCGGACGTGTTACGCGTGTTTTCCCACCGTTGTTTTGGTACGGATAAAGCGATTTCTGGGGTAAGATTCTCTGACGGTGAGTGGAAGTCGGGATATGTCGTTTTCGGACCCTCGGAGTCCGAATTGGATAATATTCCTAGTCCTTATCTAGACCACCTAGACAGAAATGGGAACGGAATATATACGAGATATACGAAGTAGACCGAAATACTAGCGAAATCTAGGCACATAGTAAGCATCTTCCTAAAAACCCTGCATATCTACATACCTGGGCCACATTTGCGGTTTCGTAATATTTTAGCGACCGGATATGCAAAGCGGAAAGGGTTATCACGCCTCGGATGATATGACGCGCTGGCACGGCAGTTTACCTACGCTTGGGGAGGTTACCGCGGCATTTGTTCTCGCACCGTTGTCGCTATGCGGCGTGTCATTGTCATAGGCATTGCGGCGGTGTTCTAGTATAGGAAATAATGAAGCATGCCCAATATGATTCCATCTGTTCGTGAGACTTTCCGTTCCCAGGCTGCTTCAGGCTCGGGCTGAGATAAAACTTCATTTGTAAATTTCCTCCAAACTATTAAGCACAACCATAAAAAAAAGAAGATCTAAAAAGTCAACTGAGAACCGGTATTATGCGGATGTTCTCCAGATCGTGGAAACTTCCTTGGCCATCTCCGTCGCCGTGGCGGTCTTCAGAATCTGTTGATTCAGCAGAGGAGCATGGCATGCTTGAGTCGCAACATAGAGAACGCATGCTGAGCCTCGACAAGGATGATGCCTCAGTTCAGAGGGTCTGCGCTGCAAGAAACATTCCAAGAGCCATCATCAGTTTGATGCTTTTCTTCGTGCCTAGCTTCCTTCGCTCTCCCGCCAATACTGTTGAACAGTCTCGCAACGGCGATGCGTCTACTTCGGCACTCGACGGGTTGCGTGGCTACGCGGCTCTGGCCGTTATGAACTATCATATTTTGTACGCATACCAGCCTTTTGTTTTCTACGGCTACGGCCTCTCTGAAAGCTCTGCTACGCAATGTGCACGGCCTCAAGACATACATCACCACAACAGCTGGTTTCATCAGCTACCAATACTCCGGCTCATCTATGTTGGAACTTGGCCAATCTCAGTCTTTTTTGTCCTTTCTGGATTTGTCCTCTCCTATAAGCCGCTGGTGCAATCTCGAGATTCATCTTCTGGCTTTACCAAGGCGGTTAAGTCTGTGACCTCCTGCTTCTTTCGTCGTCCTGTCCGTTTATATGGACCACCAATTGTCGCCAGCTTCATCACCATGCTCGCGATACAGCTTGGTGCTTACGAACAGGGCCGCAAGATATCCAACAATCCCAAATGGGTCACCGTCATTAGTGAGCAACACCAAGAAAGACTGGACTCTTTTGGTGCGCAGCTGTTGCATTGGCTTGACCAATCATGGAGAATGCTCTATGTCTTCTGGTGGGGAGACCTTCACAACCGCTACGATGTGCATTTATGGACAATACCCGTAGAGTTCAGATGCTCGTTGGCTATCTTCCTCATTCTACCGGTGTATATGGTGCTTCGGTCAACTATCCGAATATTTTTGATGATCATCTTGATTGTCTATGTGTATGCACTTGATCGTTGGGATGTGGCTCTCTTTTTCTCTGGCCTTTTGATCGCTGATACCACTATTGCATCAAGAGGAGACGCAATGTCCTTGAGCATCAAGAAGCCTGGCCAAAATTGGCCCGTGGTGGCCATGAAGGTGCTTCTACTGATAGTCAGTCTTTGGTTGATGTCAGCCCCAGATTTCTGTGTCATGGAGACTCCAGGGTTTCGACTCTTGGGTTGGTTGATTCCACCATCAGATCCAGCTCCGAATCGTTTTCTGCCAAATCTTGGTGGTATTCTTCTTGTATCTCTGCTCACTCACACTGAGCAGAAGAATGCTGCTATATCGTGGTTGCTCAATTCAGCCATACCGCAATATCTTGGCCGCATAAGCTACAGTCTCTACATTGTTCATGGACCTTTGATACACACTGTCGGATACGCCGTCCTTCCGTTCTTCTGGACAGTTGCTGGGACTGATGAGGTATGGAGATATGTCGTAGGGTTCATATGGGGGTACCTGGTTCTTCTGGCAGCGGTGATTTATGTTTCTGATGTGTTTTGGAGGGCTGTAGACATGACATTTGTTCGATTGGCCAAATCATGGTTTGCTCGTATGACTCATTCAATATAGACCAAGAGCTACGCGTAAATAGAGTATTGAAAAGAAAACCATTTGTTCATCCAGTTCACAAGCAATATATATAGGCATTTCTTTCAAGATGACATACTTTAATTACCAATTCTTCTAAACTTGTAAACTAGCCATTATGAGATATCATTCTGGTAATCCACCGTGTTCAACTCATGTTGTCCCGCCCACTCACGAATCCTCTCAAAATTACGGCACTTGTGTTGAGTATTAAAGTCAGAATCTATACCTAACGGCCTCCTCGTATCCGTCAGCATCAAATAAGGAGTCACGTCAGACGTGCATTTTAAGAATATTAGTAGACTGTTGATGCAGTGATCCACGTGCTATTTCAATGGTAAGCCATACTGTCTGTGTGGAAGTGGTGGAATTCTTACTTCGCGAACTTGCTGTGGAGTTCCGTCAAATGCTGGTTGCTTGCTATAGTCGTATTCATCTCGGTAAGTATACTGCCTGACGAAATCTAAGCAATGAATTTGATGAAAGACTATATGAGATTGTTAGCCAAAAGAAAAAAAAGATTTGGTTAAGATACATTACAACACTGTGACTCACTTTCAAGGTTTCCGATTATACCGCCTCCAACTTCTGGTTTGGCTCTTTTCCAGTCTACTTCCTTGGATTTGTTGAGTGCATCAAGCTTATCCAAAGGGATGTTCACCGGGCCAACTTCGATAAAGTCAGTCCATGAAGCTCATGTTAAGGTGAATAATGGACTTACAATTCCACAAGTCAAGCCATGCCCTCTCAAGTTCTGGGGTAGGTTTTCCCCTGTAGATAGATTTCTCATTGAACTTGTTTTGGAATTGAACATCGACATATTCAACAGCCTCTAGCGCCGGTGCTGCTCAGGTACGCAATCTCAGTATTAAATCTCCCATCACAGCTGCAATAGTCACTTACACCAGACTGAAAGTTTTTTTGCGCACTGCTCTGAGGATGGCTCCTTGGTAACAGCTGCCACGAGAAGGATAAGAACCGCAACAAGGAGGAAAGTTGTAAATAGCCAAGCGATAGGGCCAAAGAGATGCCAAGTCAATGATTTCAAAGGATTACGAGTTATCTTCTCTTGTGTACCAGAAGAGCCATCTTCTTCAACATCGGCCTCTTCTGCGACAAGGCTGTATCCATATTCAGGAGCCATTTTGAACGTAGAATCGGGAAACAGTCTCAGCAACAACAAGATGGCGAAATGGTTAAGGAGCAAAGACAAAAAAATGGTGACCGGATTGATACATAGGTACAGGCAAGAGGCCTAAGGGCCTAAGGTTTTCTTGCAATGCTGACCTCTCCAAAGGGATCAACCACGCTATCTTTGTTTCCACTCCCAATGGCAACCCAAGATCATTGTAGGAAAGTACAAGGCCTCGACCCTGGGTGCCCCCAGTCACAATTGTCCCTCCAATCAGCGCTCTGTATATGTCATGATTCATGGCAGTGAGTTTCACGACCAGCATTTCCGGAGTAACCCGAAGCCCGAGTCACGTATCAGAGAGTTTCCACTCTCTATCGGTGAGAGACGTGGCAATGGTGCCCGCTTACAAGTACACACCCTCTGCAGATGAGGTATGCGAAGGGCATCATCTTCCCAATCCCTGCTAGTCGAGTCGCCGACCAAGCATGGATGTTTATTTCGACCCCGCCCTTTCTTCCGAAGATTCTGGATGCACCGTGTTACAGCCACCCCCTCTCTTCCTACTCATGCTTGTCAGATCCCCCGAGAGATAGACTACTTGTACGATACTACACTAGTGTGGGGTCGCAAGCATACAAGCATAAGCCTGATTTATTCTTGCTGAGTCTATCATCGCAAAGTCTCCGGCCGTGATGCATCTAAGTGAAGGTAGCGTAGCAGGTTTTGGCTCAGGCTCTCAGTGCAATTCTTTGCTCCCCAACAACTGCAGCCTCGCCTTTCGTCCTCTGCTCCTCTCCACACCGGTTTTACACTCAGAAAGATGAAGTTCATAGATATGATATCCAAAATCAGGCCAAACAGCCTCGAAAAGGCGGACGAGCAATACCACGATGAGGATGAGGCCCAATCGTTTCTTTCCAATGGCAAAGAAGATGGTAAAGCCAAGTTGATCTCTTGGCGATTTATGGAAGATGGAACATTGCCTTGGAAAGTTGCGACGGTTGTACTTGCAGTCTCCCTTGGCCTCTCTTTATTCTTCGGCCAGCGAGTCCAGCGCGACCATAGTTATGAAACCGGCTTTATAACTGAACTTCGTCAGTATTTCATACATTGGATGAGTTGCGATTGCAAAGTAGTCGCTAACAGCTCCAGAACCTGCTATATCTGCCATCAAATTGAATAGACAACAGTTTTACGGAAATATTGTCGTCAACGCATCCAACCAATTTGAACTGATGCTCAACCCGAGCGAAGAGCGCTATGTCGGCCGCCCGACTGCAGAACTAGATGCAGCGTGGGACAGAATCGTAGGCAAGTCATTGTCAATATTACCGATGCCCTATTCGACTGTTAACATTTATACATCTAGGCTCTTACGTTGCCTTGACGGCAGATGAAGCCAGTAAAGTTCAGGGCCAAATCTCAGTTGACAGTGGCAAATATTATGTTGTTCCACACGTCCGACATAGTCTTCACTGCGTCAATTATCTTCGAAAGGTCGCGTACGACAAGTATTATCCGACCATTCGCACTGAGAACAAGCCAACAGTTCCCACGTTCCATATGCACGTTGGTAAGTCATTCTCTCTGTGAAACGATGTTGAGCAATGTACTAATCGACGGTAGATCACTGCGTCGAAATACTACGTGAGACGATTCAATGCCAAGGTGACCTGACTCCTGTACCGCATGTATGGTCTGAAGGAAAGCAAATGTACTTGGCCGACACTTCATTAGTACACACTTGCAGGGACTACTCTGCTCTCGTGAATTGGCAAGATGAGAGAGATGAGGCATGGAAGACTGGTAAGATTCATAATTGATGTAGAAGATGTTTAGGTCGTGTTAATCGAAGAGAGTTTGTTTTATTCATTTCTACCATCATCTTCCACTCGGAAACTTCACATAGCACAAATTTGTAGTTAAATGATAGGGCAGTAAAAATGCATATAAACTTCTCAACTATCCAAACTCTACTTATGGAATTCTAGAGAGTTGCACAACGTTCTTTGGCTTCTCCGGGAAATCATCAACCGCATGGCTCTGTGCCCATTTCTCTACAGGCTCCCAGTCATAACACATACGCGCGACGTTGAAGTTCGCCGTAGGGGCTTTCCTCCCCTTGACCCAATCATACAAAACGAGTCCCGTATCGCGGTCGCTACTCAGATTAATGAGTGTATAGAGATCAGACATTAGGTATATAACGTACCACTCCAGTTTTTGTCTCAAAATCTCTATGCAGTGGTCTACTCGTCCGTGCCACTCTTGGGGATTCTCGTCGTAACTGGCTTTCTCATCCGGATATGAGTCCATGTATGACGCTCTGAAGAGATTGTACAGGCAGTGTAGCTGGTGGGTGTATTCAAATGTCGCTAGATAGCGCCCGTCGTCAAGACGAACTGCTTCTTCTGTAAACTGTGGCATCGAGGCCTTGAATTGCTCTTCATCCACGCTGAAAGTCCAAGTTTGCCAATATTTTCCCCACGCATCATCAACTTCTTTTGTGGGTGGGCCCCGGAAAGGAGACGATTGATTGAACGTGCCATTAGTGCGTACCATGTGGTGGGTTGAGAGATCTGTATTATCCCAGAAAATGTCTACTGTTGCGGGATACGGTTAGCTCTCTTCTCGAGGGGGAGACATTAACTCTATCATACGGGGTGCCTGTGGAGGTGTCGATAAAGTGGGAGGCCGTGTTGCTGCATCGAGACCGAGTTGCTGACACGAGTGCCAATTTGCTCGTGGGATTACAGCCTGGGTGATGATGGATCCTAGAAGTCCGCCGCCGACAAATGGCAGGAAAGCCGAGGTACAAAATTTACTGCCCTCTCCTAGCTTCATCTTGTTGATATGCAATGTGTCGTTGATAAGGTCCGTAGTTGGTAATATAGCAGAGGTATGAAGGAGAGGAAAAGAGGACTGGACTAATGGGGGGCGGCCGGCTTATATATATGACCGGCAACCTGATAGGCAGTCATACATGGGCTGCTTTCTCTATCGCCTAATCACGTATATGGAACTTCTAAGGCTTTGGTCATTCCATATTTTACAACATATATTTAATACTTCTCGCACACGATGTCAATAGGGCTATTTTTCTACCTAAACCAATATCAACTACTCACGGCTGACACTATACAGATTTGGCACCTTATGCAGCGTGGTACTCTCTCTCTCCTTCGTCCATTCTAGAATCTTATCAAAATTGCGGCAATTATGCAACGTGTTAAAATCCGGCGACTCCTTCTGGGCCTTTTCTGGGGTCAACATGATTAAATATGGCGTTGTGTCGCCCAAACACATGAGCACCTCCCGAAGCCTCTGCACACAACCGTCAACTCGAGCCATTATTTGCTCCTCCGTACCTTGGAATGCATCCAAGTAAGAGTAGTCGTACTCTTCCCTGTATGTGTGTTGCCGCAAAAGGTTTAAGCATCCCAGATTTCTAAAGACCTCAAGATAGGCCAAAGCGCCATTGCCGCTCTCTGGCTGCACTAATTGAGTCTCTGCATCATCTAAACCTGACAATTTCTTTGTTGGGATAACAATGGGATAATCTTTCTCTCATTGTTAGTATTCAATAATGCCTAAAGGGCTGTTGAAAAGATACATACGCTGCAATGAAGCGTTCCACACTTCTTCAAGCTCTACGGTTGGAACCCCAACATAGATTGACTTTTGAGAAAAGCCATTCTGAAACGTTTGCCAGGTATACTCAACTGCGTCCCATGCAGGAGCTTCTACATGTTAGTATATTATAGGTGATAACTTCGAATCTCACTACTTACACCATGAAGACACGCTCTTGGCACATTCCAGGTCGCTTGGCTCAAAACGTTGGCCCGCAAGGAGGAGCACCAACGAGAGTGCCAGGAAGGTAAACGAGAGGCCAGCATAAATGCTCTTTGATGAAAACATTTCAGATGTGAGGTGAGCTCTATTGTTGTCCTGATGGTGGAGGACAATTGCTCCCTAATGTGCATGTGCGTTTGAGAGTGGAATATGGACTTTGCAAGTCTTAGTCCTTAGGGGGGCATCGATAACTCCCTGAAACCCTTCAGCCTAAGGTCGTCATAGCTTGATGGTTATGCTTGTCTTTGATCTGCGTGGACGTTTCTAATCTTAGCGAAAGCATCTCTATCCGTGTACACAAAGTACTTCCCACGTCACTTCTAGATTCTCGCACGAGTAATGGCGATGAAGGCGCTTAAGCGCCCAGTTTACAATGTGACACGTAGCAACGACTAGCAGGGTAAACACTGTTATTACTCCGTATCGGCAAACTTTGGTATGGGGTGTCGGTAAGACTACGTGTATCTCCCACGGAGTGAAGAAATCGCCCTTGTTGCTATACAGTGTCTAAACGGGGAATGAGAGATTGCTGTGTGTGGATTCTTTGGACTAGGTGCGACCATCCCTGTAGATCTCACGGAATACTAGTGTTACCGTACAGCCATTAGGCGTAGTCCTCCCCTACCTCCTCCGTAGGGCTCGAATCTTTCGGATCTGACGCAGATAAGAGGGGTGTGCCTCTTAACGCGGGGCGAAGAGCGGAAGGGAGCAAGGGGGGTAAAGCCTTAAACGGGAAGCAGACGCCCCTACGGAATAGGCTGTTGATGGAGACAGTAACCCTTGTCCTCTATGCAAATCCTCACGCCCAGAAGGGGGTACGGAGTCCTAGTTTATACAACTACCAGTATATTCAGAGGACGAAAGAGGGGGGATTGTAATAATCGCCCCGATGCAAGTCTCCGTTCAGTCCGACGGATACCGACAGTATCCCAAACATCTGGATGATCCGGCTGACACCTGGTAAAGCGGATATACATATGTGGTTGCATCAAGATCTAGGCTCTTGAGTTAGTCACCAATTACTAACACAACTAATGAATTGTTGATCTTCCGCAATGGGTTGGCTATTCTTAACTCGACTTTAGCTAGACACAACTAACTTGCCGATGACTCGCAAATCGCCTTTAGTTACACAGTTGAAACAAAGATACTATTTTTTATCTTTGCAATCCTGAGTTGTCAAAATGAATGCCATCTACTCTGTGCGAGCGCTTCAAGATTCACTACTGTCTCGCGCCAGTTGAGAGCTGCGAGCCAAAATCAGCGCTTTGCGTCCAAAAAGTCCCCGCAAGTAGAATACATCATAGATGCGTAAGGTAGAGAGCGCAGGAGTTGAAGAAAACTTATTTCGAGTATCCAATTATCACAAGTCTTCTAAACAGTACAAGTTGGAGCCTTTGGCTGCATTTTGCTATCGTATTTTTTTAAATCGTAGAATTATTATACTACAAGCTGGTTGCTATATCTACCTTCAAAGTCAAGAGAAATCTGAATCAAATCATACTTTATGGTCGTTGTGATCCTTGTGCTTCAGAAATTCCGGCTCCTCAAGCCTGCTGCTCTTGAGCTCCACGTACGAGTATGCAATGGGACCTGGATCTTCAAATATTTGTCCACAGTGCTTCACGTGGCGCTCATTGTCGTATCTCGGCTCGATCAATACCCCCGTAAACCGTGCTCGTTGTTGTTTTCTCCAGTAGTAAAAGCAGTGCATGAAATGCCACCGGGTCGTAGTCCAAAAGAAGCCGTTGTTATCTGCCAATGCACCGACTTCGTCTATACTCAACAGTCGCGAATGCTCTGCATCCACCCAATACTGCCAAGTGCCGTTCTCTCCATCTCCCATCTTTTCAAACTCGGCAACTAATTCACTGTCGATGCATTGCGGAGGCAACCATGCGGCGGCAATAGTATCGTATTTACAGCCCATTGTGCGTGCCTCAGCCGTGCTGGAGCCGCAGTCACATCTGGTCCCCGTTGAAGTAGGTCGCGATTGCATGTATACTGCAATAGCAGCGGCTAGGGCGAGGACAACCAAGATAACATCTTTGATTATAATGAGGATAGTCACATAACCAAGTTTACTTCGCTTCCGAGGCGCAAGAATTGGATCATTCTCATTGCCTGTTTCCCCGAGTTCGATCCTGTAGAAACAGATGCATCAGTATTCTGAAGTAGAGATCAATGTTAAACAGTAAGACTGAGCAATCCCACGCTTACTTTTGGTATTCGTGTACCATTGTTCAATAGAATTGGAATTTTTTTTAATGCTGGCAATGATGAATGAAGTGGTATGAGGCCAACATTGGCACCAAACGCAGCGGAAAATGATGATATCGAAGTGCCTTGACACAAACGTCGGTTCAACGTCAAAAGAGAAAAATAATCTAACAATTGGTGCCTCACCGCAACCTAGGACAAGAGACAGCCACAGGACAGGGCGCCAAAGTCAGCTCGGGCGGCGTGACTTGAGTCAAGCATCATTGTCCAAAATCTCGAATTACGGTAAGATAGATACGGAACCCCCCCTGTGTTGCAAGGATCAGCCCCTACCTGTATGCATGCATTAGTGTCGTATCCCATGCGGGGTGTGAAGAGTTAGGATACAGATTCCATTCCGCTATCCTGGGGGTATGGGGACTTTTGAGCCCTACAGTAGATGCAGCCCGAGAGTCAATGTAACCGCACCTCAAATGCCGTATCTCAAATAAGCATTTGCCTCGGTTCCGCCTCGTCTACGCTTATGCAAATGGCGGGATAGAGCGGACGATAGGGTGGATAATACAGCGGAGAGTCGAACGGGGTTTTCCCGTTGTGTTGTGGCAAATAACCGTATCTGACAGCAAATTCGTAAGCATGTGTAAAATTAGCAGGTTTACTTTGGGCAAAAGAAAATCTTAGATATGTAACGTACTCTATTCAGGAAGGTGATAAGAATGCTAGTTTCACAGCCCAAACATGTATCATTGTGGAGGCTTAGGGTAGACTTTTACTTCCATATGTATAGAGTAGGTTTATGTAGATATTGAGACTGACCTCAGTTAGGACAGGGGTCCACGGAGAATTGAAGCTTAGATACATGCGATTATAGCCCTTCTCCCTCGTCTTGCTTATTCCTAGTAACCGTCTCGGATTTTTCACCAAGATCTTATCTTGCTATGGGAGCCAGCTTTCCAAGGTCGGGAACAGGCCTTGATGGGAGCGTGTTCTCATAGATGTTCATAAACCGCAGCAACGTCTCTTCCTCGCCGGCCTTGGCAATTAAACAAGTGCCGTATGCCCTGCCATTGTACGATAGAATTCCAAGAGGAACATTGGCGGTTGGGTAGCCTAGTTTACATTTCCAATTAGTTTCAATACAACATCCATCTTCATGCTCTTCTACACACCTGCAGCTGCGCCATGGATCAGCAGCGCCGAATCAGTGGGCGCAGCAATAATGTTCACCCCTTCAGTATCGAAGGTAGAGTCCAAAAGTTGTCTCGCCTTTGCCCGTAGGCCCTTCTTGAGAAACTCAATCTCTTCTTCCTCGTCGGCGTTGTCCAGACACTTGTGAAGATCATTCTGGTCAGGGAATGCTGAAGAGTGATTAGCGACCTTGAGGAACTGCCAAGTGGCTCAGATAGCTTACGATGAGGGAGGGCGTCATCTTTGTGCTCTTCATTGAACTTGATAACATCAGCAAGCGAGCGAACAGGCGATTCCTCGTACTCCTTGAGAAAATTGTCAATGGTTCTGTTCTTGCAATCCCAAACTATAGTTCGAATTAGTCGTGTAAATAGATTGATGCAAAACCGTCACTTTAATCACATAAACTTGAACGTGACTTACATGCAATCTTCATAAACGCCTCTTTGCCATCGACGGTCAACTCTGAAACATCCGGGACAACAACAGGATAATGGATAACGCCTCCAGCTTCCTTTAACTTAGAGACAACCAGCTCGTAAGTCTCAATCTACTCAACGTAAGCACTCAATGAACGCGACAAAAAGGTCATATCAACGACTGACCATCTCTTCTGCTGTGCCCTCATGATGTCTACACATTGAGTCTCCAAGATTCCATATCCTCGGATCAACGAAGCCAACTGACAAATTTTGCCAGTCTTTTTGTCCTGTAAAGATCAGTTTGCGACCCAGGAGTATCTCAGTTACAGGTACAAGATCATTGGTTGATTTCGCCATTGGTCCGGCGGCATCGTAGAGTTCACTTAGGGAGAATACTCCTGTCATATCAACATCCCCAACCGTAGGCTTGATTGCATACAGGGCGTTTCGGGACGCAGGTACCATAATCGATCCTGTAGTCTCACTGCCTATCGACAGAGGGGCAAATCCAGCAGCTACAGCTACCGCTGGTCCTGTCGATGAGCCTCCGGGTGACTGTGCACATGCTCCATTAGACGAAAGTTTAGGGTAACAAGGTGACTAAGAATGGTATTGAACGAACAGAGTGACCAAGGATTGTCTCATTATCCTCAATCTTGCCAACATACGGAGACAGCGTCTGGCCGCCGTAAGCAGACCACCCAGGCATCATGGCTGAGGTCTTTAAGCCACAGAACTCGGTCAAATTGGCCTTTCCCAGGATGATGAGGCCAGCATCTATTAAGTTTTGTACCAACGGAGCATTCTTTCTGCATTTGGCTTGCACCAGTGCGAAAGAGCCCGCAGTTGTAGGCATCCCAAGCTCTGAAGCCGTCATAATGCTATCCTAAACCAAGACACAAAAGAAATGTATCAGAACTAATCGAATCCAACATGTAGATAAGCTCATACCTTTAGAACAATGGGTATGCCATGGAAAGGGCCGCGAAGAGCTCCAGCAACGCGCTCAGCATCGAGCGCTGCTGCGGTGTCTCTAAGAGCATCTCGAGGAGCGAGTGAGATGAAGGCATTAAGGGCCGGATTATGTGCATCTATCTGGGCGAGGTATGTCTCAATAATCTGAACGCTATTTAATTTCCCACTAACTAGTCGCCGTTGCAGCTCGACAGTTGTCGCTGTCAATGGGTCAAACAGGAGAGTAGACATGTCGAGACTACGGTATGGAGAGATTCAAGAGTGTACTGTTGCGAGCCAAGTGGGCGCGACGAAGTGAAAGTTGCTACCGCGAGTATACAAGAGAGCGATAAAAACCAAATACGACAACTACGAGCTACTCGTATGCCACAAATCTGGCTAGTCATGATGGGCGAAGTGGTGTGTTAGAATGAGTTGCATTACCTGCCTGATTTGGCATCTATGGATTACCTACCCGAGCACTAAACTTTATGCAAGCGTGGCTAACTCTAAGCCGTAAGTCAGAACCTCTCATAGGAGAATCCGGAGGATTCAAAACTTTTCAGTTGGCATTTAATATCAGGCTCAGCAATGCTAACCCGGAATTGTAAGCTTGCTAACCTGCATCCAACTTTGAAGAGCCTATTAGCGGGGTAATCTCTGAGATGGTTGGATAGTTGTCTGGGATCCTGGCGGGTATTATCTTGATTACTATACGGACAAGGGGTAGTATTGCTCTATTAGGTGTAAAAGCCTCGGAATACGACTGTTGGTATTGTCTGGTATGCAGCAAAAGCTCTAAGGATATAGATTCGAAGCCGTACCGTGACTCGAGGTAAGACGAAACTTACTGCAAGAGGAAAGGCATCTGCAGGCTGATCAGACCCAAAACCTGGAAGTACTTGTGTAAGACTCATGTTTTTTGTGATACCGCGAGGGTTCAGAAGACCCATTTATCAGCCTGATAGCGGAGCATTGATATCATGGCGGAATCCGAAGGGGACATGGAATTTGCAGGATTAGGAAAGGCATTGGTCATATCGATTTTTGTTGACAGCACTCGGTAATATTTTATCTCATCCGGACCACAGTGCAGTAAGCTCAACCACCCAAGCCCACTTCCTCTAAAGCCGGGAGCAAGGGTCTATGCGGGTAGTAGTTGAATCGGGCGCTATACTCGTACATGTTGTATGCGGAGATTCCGTTACGCCCGTGTTGATCATATTCATTCAGATGGCAGAAATACCCCATGTCCGGTTATCAGAAGCGATACCGTGTGCTCGTATGTAACCTCGTCTCTCGTCTATTCGTATATCCTCTATTTACACACTCCCTCCGTACTCGTACACACGGGCAAGTGCCGACCAAGATGCCACCCCCTCCCTGTATGATGATCCCGTCTTTAGGGCGGTTAAGCTCCGTCAGCACTAAGACCTGGAAATATCGTAAGTGGATCATGAGGTAACTCTTTATCTGCAAAGCATCACTTCATGTAATTGCATGGTAACAGCACAGCCGACGAGGCATTTTCCTTTGTATTACTGACAATACAAGGCTCTTCGTAGCCTAATTCCCATGCTCTCTTTGACCGATCCACTCATTCTAAGAGAGAGCGTACTGTACGGCCTTCGAAAGAATAGTCTGAAGTCGGCTGACAAGCGGTATTGGTGACGAGTCACGGTACATAGGCACACCCAGTCTTCAGTGTACCTGTGTGCTGTCTTTGAAGCTTGGGCGTTTTGCAACGTTCAGTTTGCTACTCACAACCTTCTCTTTTTCGACGGACATTTTGGAAAGCCAAATCCCAGCTCTCCTGGCTTTCTATTACAATATGGCCATTCGTACATTCACAGTACTCTTGTTATTATGCCGATCAGTATTTGGTATTCAGAGGTCATTTGTTCTTGACCAGCAATGGGCAAACCATCAGCAATGCGTTGATATGAATGGTGACCAGGCATTCCAGCCCAGCACTGCATCTTCCCTCGTCGTCACGTTTGATGCTGCCGCAGAGGGCTCAGTGAGTGTGGTTGTCTTTGAGCTGGGAGATGAACATCTAGGAGGCATTCACCTTCCTGGTACTCAGGACGTAAGTTGCACCTCCCAAGCTTCTATAGTAGAGACATCCGGTGGCTTGTCTAACACCTCTATCACATCGCCAGAAAGAAATTTTTTGCAACTCACAAAACGTTGAGCGGAAGCTCTGCAAAGAAAGCGAGATTGGTCAATTCTTAATCTCGGACCATGCTAGAGCGAAAGCAAAGTACCCCATGATTACTCGCGCCATCGACTTGACGAAGCCCATAGCGATTGTGTATCCCGTCCAAGGCCCAGGCTATTTCTGCGCCGCAACGTACAGCCAGTCAGCCAAGTCGTACTCAGGTACATTGTTGGCGATCGATACAAATGGGATCCTCCCAGCGTTCCGGGACGGCTCGCGCGCCATCTATACATTCTTGGCGCCGTTCTGGTTTTTGTTGAATTCTATATGGGTCTATTTCGTTACACACCGGGCTTTGACACAGCTTATAGACCCTTTCAAGGCTGTGCTAGGCACCTTATCAATTGCCCAAGTTGGATTCAGATGGGGCTACGTACAGCTTGAGGAGTCCAAAGCAGCATCTACTTTGCAGATTTTGTGGTACACTCTCGAGCTGACCCAAAACTCTCTCGTCATGTTTATTATCCATAAGTTAGTCACTGGAAGTGAAGCTTCACCACCGGACAGCATGCGGTCAAAGATTGTCAGAAGGATTATCCCATATGCCTATCTGGCTATTTTCCTCGCTATATTTGTCCTTGCATCGCTCGCAGACTTTACTGCTACAGCTGAGAGCATTCGGCCTGCCATTGTTACTATTTTTCTCGGAATCTATCTGTTCGTCGGCGCTGCTGCTGCTGCCTTTATGCTTGCAAGACGACGTACTACTACTCATGAACACCAGGGAGGGTTTTCAACGGAAGATAAACTCATTCGAAAACCACTCTCATTTGTTCTTGCGGCCCTATGTATCCCAATCATTGCTATTGCGGGTTTCAACATCTGGGCAATTCTAAAAGTCGGTGGCGACGGTGCGAAATTTGCGCACATGTTCTGGCACAGTCGCTTCGGGGTCATTGATATGCCATATGAACCACTGTTTCTTATATTGGTCATGGTTGTGGCGGGGCTCAGCACATATCAAGCACATAGACATGATGAAATGGCAGACATGACGAGCATGGAGACTGACGGTTTGATGACCTACAAACCCGTATCAATGGATTCGAGTGAGTTGGTAGAAGAGGAAAGGGAAGAGAAATAGGTGTGTCGAGTGGAGCAGTGGCCTTTGTATGTCATTTATGAGATATACTTACATGGCAATGGAGCCATATGAGGACAGTAGGTAGCGTCGAAGATATAAAACAAAATTGTGCGCATACTTTATTTCTACATATTCTGCGGAGCTTATATATTGGTATCTTGAGACTTCTATTGCTAAAATCTGATACTATTTGCGAAACGCTATCATTGAACTCTGATCGCAATGCTGTCCCCTTCTAACTGGGCTCCAGAGTTCTTACCCACTGATCATTTCATTGATGTTGAGCCAGCCGCTACTTGTCGACATGACGACTGGGGAATGCTCGCATTACATATCGTGCTCAGATTAATACAGGATAATGGCGGATGCTTTTAGCAGTGCCTAAAACTATTGTCACTTAACACCAACCGTCTAGAATTGTGTCTAGGGCAGCAGAAGAGGCTATTTCCCATATAGAGAACGTATCTAAACCACAGTTCAAAGACGTTGCAACGTCTATATCGCAACGCCGTAAGCATAGTGCATACCTTGCACTTACACGAGCTCTGTCAAGGACTTCTTCAAGTCTGTACACCCTTCAACCCTGCTTTAGTCTTTCCAGAATATAAATCTATATGTTGAGTTTCTTACAGCAGGATACGGCTATTTTGTGTATGTTACAACGCATAACGCAGGGACAATCCCGGGGTGGTAATGTGATATACACGTAGTTATTTCAGTACAATATGGACCCAATTGAGCCTTCATACGGAATTCCGCATGAGGCCTATCTATAAAGCGGGGAGCTTATGCTGACCCAAGGCACTATAAAAACCACGACAACCCCTACATTGCATTTTCAGCGCTCCAGAGACTACTAGAGTGCTCACTACAGGCCTCTCTCTACACCATGTCGTCCCCCAAGACCGTCGACACCGAAAGTGCTGGGCTGTTATACAACCCCGACAACGAGCATGAAGACGAATGCTGCTCACATTGCGGGCGAGCATACAAGCCGCTTTCTCATCAGCAGGAACGAAGCAAAGCAACTTGGATTATCATCTGGATCCTTCTCTGTGCACTTTTAATCAACATAGGCGGGCTGCTGTTACAACTACACCGAGTTCCCAGTGGCGTGCAGAAAGACCCTTCGTTGCAATTATACTGTAAGCTCTCATCTAGTCAACTCTATCGCGTCTACCCTTCGGCCTAACTTTCAATTACACAAGCCCCGGTTAATGACCTGGTGGAATATGTTCCGCATCTATTCAACAGGAGTAGAGGAGAAGATAAAACGCGGTTTCAAGGCTGGCCAACTGATGAAATCGACGATAACTGGTCATCATTATATTCACGTTAGTACTGCCACTCCTTCTCCCATGTTAACACTGATTCAACCAATGCTAATCGTTGATCGTGTTTGTAGCCGGCATGTTAAGTGCAATCGATGCTCATACCGCTTCTCTGTTGCCTGAGCGCACAGCCCGCCTCCCACTAGAGGGGAGAGAAAACGAATATGTCATGACGCTCGACATATTCCACCAAATGCACTGCTTGGATGTCGTTAGGATGGCTTTATACCGAGATCGATACGACAAGCATTTCTACTTTCCCAATGGTACGATAGATTACTGCAAGTGGCTGCATGTTGGTATGTCTTGTCATGATCCAGATTAAAGGAGGACGCGTGGACTTATTTTTTCCTTCTCCCAGACCATTGCTTGGACCAAGTCCGCCAAGCGCTCATCTGCCAAGCGGATGTCAGCGTTGTTTACTTTGAATGGAGTGACGTTGTGCAAGGCCTTCGGCCTCGAGTCGATAACCAGCACACCTGTCGTAATTTCGACAAAATCCTTCACTGGGCCGCTGAACACACGGTAAGTGCGCACAATTGGCACCCCAGCAAACACGTTGTGGAAGGACACGATGGAAAACTGGAAATTCAGAAAGGAAGAAATCACGCCCTACCAGGTCAAGGAGAATGCAATGCTGTGTAGGCTATCTAGGTGGATTATAGAACGAATAGGAACAGTGAAGATATATACATACCTATGTAGTAGGCCGAGAAAGCTTAAACAGGAGCGAGACGCACGGTGCATGATGCGAGATGCTCCTAAAGGCGGAGATCAGCCTGCATCACAGCATGAATTCGACGATAACTGTTACTCCTGTGATATTTTGGAGCTGAAAGAGTCTATTGCACTGCTTGTTTCAACTATCTAATTGGATGACTTGGTCATGGTTCAACTGCTGCTTGGGCACAGAGGAAATACTATTATCGGATACAGTACAGCCTGGCGTTGAAGGAGCTAGCAAAGCATATCTAATTCAACTGTGATAGAGTTATCTAGTTGTTGAAAGATATGGAGACTTCGAGAAGTGGTGAAATTGTTTCTTGCTTCTGGAGCGAATTAACTTTGGACAACCCGTTTAGCTTACAACATGCTAAGAACTGTGTATCAAGGATCACAACGAGAGCAAAGGTGGCGGTAGCAGCAGTGCCAATGAAAAAACATTGTGGGCACTTCAATTTTCTAGTTTTATATTGTTCAGGTGCGTGTTCTGGATCATGTTCACAGTGTACATCAAGCGGAATCTCAGCTTGCGACGTGTTTTTTATACTAGTATTATACTCTACACGATCTATGGAAGAGCAAAAATTCCATCATATGATACCCATTTCCTCAGATGACACTTTGTTAATTCACTATATTGCAATAGGTATGAACTGCCAGAGCTGGTTGGGGGTCTGGCGATCCGGATACAGAATAGCAGGAGTGTTGTCGTCGGAGCTACCATAATTGAGATCCATGACAAGATTTGGGAATTGCACGCTCTCAATTCTAAGAAATGCGTTAGTTGCGAAACTATGAAGTAATATGAATGGGAAAGACATGAAAAGAAAGAAAAGAAAAATGCCTACTGGTAGGTGTCAGACTTGACGTTGGTGATTTTCCAACGGGTACTCTCGTTATGGATGGGGTTGTATACGGATGTGTCGAGCTGCGCAACACTACCATCGACTGGATAAAAGAGTTAGAACGAGTCTTTGAGGAATTATAAAGTTTATTAGTCTTATTGCGGATGAAATCGTGAGTAAACAAAGTTATGGAAACATACCGGGAGCAGTGATCCAAGCGTCGCCAATGACGGATTTCAGACTATAGACACCCCGGCGAAGAGTGGTTACAACCCACTGCTGATGTTGGTTGTTGGTAGCCTGTCTTGTGCTTTAGATGTGTTGATTGATGAATATTTAACGGGACATATAACTCTGGGGTGAAACTGACAACCCGACCACACCCTCAATGGGGCCATTGAAGGGGTTAGCCGCGTTATAAATATCAAGGACTGGGTTGCCCGGGAGAGTGCTGGCGATGATGTAGGTTCCGTCCTTGAGGGGCATGATGAATTATTCTCGATATATACCTCTCGTATGAAAAGAAGAAGAGGAAATTGATTGCCAAGGTGTTTATTCAGTGTCTTGCTTCAAATAAGACGGATATGATGGATCGCTCACCGTTTTATATACTTCTTTACTGTATGAAGAAGCTGTCATTTATTTGTAAAATGACGAGAGCAAGCCATCTCAGCTTCTCTAGATGATTGCTCGCATCTAGACGCATGACTACCGGGGCGCAGCAGTACCTCTCACATTCCTACCATCTGCGGCTGAGACGTGATGCCGCTAACTATTGAGGCGTTGGTCATGTTTACACAGGCTGCTTACGATGCAGTTCCAGAACATGGCTTTGGAGTGGCAGTTGCTAGCCGAGCAATCGATAGTTACCATCTAATATAGCCCCTTCTATCCAATAAGAGCATAGACTCATCACCATCCTCAGAGCTGAGATATCTAGCTCCAGGCGCGTGGCGGCACTCACTGCACGTACTATTGATGAATGCCGTTCCCGACTTCTGGCTACTAGAGCGTCAACGCATAGTCAAGCATAAAATTAGCCTTATTACTGGCCAATAATGATGTTTACAGTTTTCGTACCCGTGCCGACCTGCATCTCTCAGACCGTTGAGGCCCCTTTAGCATGTCTTGAAGTAGTTCCAGACCCAAAATAGTGCGAGCAAGCATGTGTCCCGGCTGCGCTAGGTATCGGCGCTCGCGAGATCCCGTTGTGTAAGTGGCTGCCTCATCAGAGAAACACTCAATTTCTGACATCTGCAACCTGAAGAATGGTATAGCTCATGATGTGGCTGGCATAGCACTCTCGTCAGAGAGCTGAGGGGCCTGATGGTGTAGCGCAATGGGAATATTTGGTCCCGTGTAATCGTCACCGCAGTGAATGCCGCGATTGACTTACAGCAGGTTGCTAATTAATGAACTTGGAGAAGAAGGTTTTCTTTGGGCAGGCCTTAGGGAAAACTGAACTTATCCCTTGAATGTAGGGCATTCACCTTGTGTGGCCATGCGAATATGGACCTTCACATGGTAAATAGGTATTTGGGCATAGCCACAGCAAATGATATTAACACTGACCTCCAAAGCGCAAATTCCAGGTCGAGATAACAGTCTCATATACATAATCATAAATATTTCAATATAGACGAATAACCCCCCAGCTCCAGCTACCAAAACTCATAACAAAGCTCGCGTACATATTATATTACATACATCTTACGTCGCATCATGTCGCAGAATCATAAGAGCTGTGATGCTTACATGGTATCTTCATAATATACACCAAACGCCATTCGTACAAGTACAAACAAAACGCCAACAATTTTACAAGTTCGATGTCATGGAAAAAAGCAGACAAAAACAGGCTGGCCCGTCTCACATCACACACGCGCTCTCATATATAAAAACAGTCGCTCCTTTTTGGGGGGGATTTTTTTTTTACAACCCCAGCTCCCATGACTCTCCCCAGAGCTCATTAAGATTAAGACCCAGCAGTTCAAGGCTTGGGTCGAGGTTAAAGGGCTGAGTATTGTCATTCACGCCCCATGATGGATCCACAGAGACTGGCAATGGTGCTGGGAAGGCAAATGGCGTTACGGACTGAAAACAAAGTTAATATCATGGTATGCAGAAAAAATGGAAGACGGGTAATTACTACTCACCTTGGTTCCGTCAGGCAGTTCCAAACCAGGAACTGGGCCAATGCCTGGTCCAGCAATTGGGCCGATGGGAGGGGGGTGAAGAGGAGTGCCTGGCAGCGGAGCCGACGATAGAGGAGGCTCCTGGTTCGCAAGAAGCTTATAATGGAGATTAACAAATCTCTCGGCCGACGTAGACTTGGCCGCCTCAGTCGTCTTGGTTCCCAGATGAGCTTCGAGGAGTCCCAAGGCCGCGCACATGATGGAGTATCCCCACGGCTCGTTGTTGCCGCAACGCAGCAGACGATCTTCCTTCATGGCAATGCACTTCTCGATGAGCTTCACCGTATGGTGCGAGTTGATCATGATCATGTTAGTCGACCCGCGCGGCTGCAACATCGTAACACTGCAGAGGTTGATGGCCGTTGTGAGGGCGTCCTCTCGCAAGAAGTTGAGTGCTCGTACACCCTGCTCATACAGCTTATCGTGTAGAAGAACCATGTCCCGCGCAGCATTGTAATAGATGATTTCTGAGTACTGGTACTTGGAGTTTTGCTTGCGCAGCTTGAGGTAAGGCTGATGCAGAGGGGTAATGTATTGCCGCAGCTGGACGTGCAGCAACGTATATGCGATCAGTGGGTTCTTCTTGCTATCGCTGTTGCTTTCGGGATTCATATCCCAGGAAGGGAGAGCGTCGATTTCATGAGTCAAGTCATTGGTATATCGAATGACTTGGTCATAGTCAATCTCGGACACCGGCCCAGTAAGAAGACGGCTGAGCTCGAGACGTAGAGGCAAGCTCCGTCGCGCCAAGTTTTGGAACGAGGAATACGTATACTCCTTGGCCGGCTTGGAAGGTGGCAATGTCGTCGTGTTCTCATCAAAGTCTTCGTCGTCCAGGTTCCGAGGAGGGTTGGTATCGAAGTGAAGCTGGCTCACCAGGGTCGGCAGGCCGTGGTCAAACGACGCTTGCATATCAAACTCCTGCACCGTTGCCCATATCCTCCGCCGCATCTCTTGGTTGTATACGGTGATCTTGCCGCCCATGTGACTCGGCTCACGGTGCAGTCCGACAGCGATGCCATCGCGAATCAGATTCCCCGAGCTGGTCCAGAAGCGCTTCTTCTTAATAGTATTGACGCGCTTGCCAAGGTAGAGCAGACAGGCAATCTGATAGTGAATCAGTCGCCGATGCTTCTGGCTCTGCCTGTCTGCCCACGCGTCGCACGCCACGATCCACTTTTCAGCCATGTGCCGTGGCTTCGACATCATGCCAATGAACTTGAGCTCATCGTGGGTGTGCACGCAGCTTGCAACGGCCATCATCGACAAGACCAAGGCCGTGAAGGCTGCGTATCTCTGGTTGCCCCCAGGGGTCCAAAATTCCGCATACTCCTTGCGGAAGGTGGGCACGTGTACAATGCGGTGGATCTGCTCAAACTGATCGAGATAGACATTGATGAGGGCATCCGCCTCTTCTCTGGTAGGAAGAAGGGCCTCAAGCTCCGGATCCGGCTGCTCAAAGATGGTCTCTCGTTCCTCCTGCCGGCGCTTGCGGTCCTTGCGGTCATGCAGAATCACCGGCCGCAGCCACTCATCCGCCGTCTCCCGCATAAAGGGACACAGGCCGGTCAGCTCGACAAAGGCCATGCTGGCGTTGTGGGGGCCAAAGTAACGAGTGCGGAAGCCTTTGCCACGGAAGAAACGCAGCTCACCATTTTCACCTGCCATGCCGCTCTTCTGGATGATTTCCTGCTCTTCCGCGGGGGGTCTCGCCTCACCGTCGGCGCCCTCATCCTTCTGCGTCGACGGCGAGTTGGTGCTGCCCACGATGGTGCTGCCGTCTAGGGACGACGACGCCCCGGGCCTGGTGAGCAGGTTCTTGAGCTGGGTAATCTCCAGCTCCAGCCTGCGGATGCGATCATGGTCCTGGCGGGCCAGCTCAGAGTCTCGGGGGCCAAAGCCCGAAACCGCATCGCCAATCCCGAAGCGGCGCGAGTCCAGCTGCGCAAAGGACGGAGGGATGCCGGATGATGCATTAACGACTTCCCCGTTGCGTGATTCGTAGCTGCAGCGATCAGGGGTGCCGCTCTTAATGCAGCGCTCGCATGGAAAGCCACGATCGCACGAGAGCTTGCGGCGGCGGCACTCGAGGCAGCTCAGTCGCACGCGCTGTCTCTTGCGAGCCGGTGGTTGGTCAGAACCGTGTCTTGATACCGAACCGCCGTCGGAGTCCGGGCTCTCACTGCGATCAGCCATGGCGAAGATATGTCGGAGTTACGACGAAAAAAAAGAGACAAGGAAATACTGCGCAAGGCGAGAGGAGGGGTCCCGGGGTCAAAAATGTTTGGTGGTTGAGATTTTTATCAATCTGATCTGATAAAGAATTTGCTGCAACGTGTGTCATGAGCGCCTTTTCGGGCCAAAGTCCGAGCCGACGTCCGACGCTCTATTCCGGAAGCAGAAGGTATCGCGCTGCTTAGTCATTAGCTGGCGTTGCGCGCCTCGGACCTCCGAGTTCACATGGATGTGAATTAAAGAGCCGGGAAACCTCAAGAATACGCCAGTCCCAGTCCTTTCTCGCTATATATGTTGGTACATATGTGTATGTTAGTTCCGGCTCCTTTTTCCGGCGTGCGCGGCCTTGGTCGTATGTAGCTCGTGCGTTGTCGAATATGACGAAACGTCGTCGATGTGATGAAAGGGAATTTACCCGCTGAAATCCTTTCGCGATTCGCGAAATGGCTGCCTCGACCATCATTATATCTCTGCCTCCAGCACGATCCAAGCATGGCAGGTTTTGCAACCCTGGTGCGCAGCTCGCTCAGACTTTCCAAACTGGCCAAGCGCGGCCCCGAACCGCTGATGAAAACTGACATATCCGGCGTCCTCCGGCGAAACAAACCCACCGACTCAACCCACCCAACGGGATGCCCTCACCTCCGGGTCCGGAGCGTCCGCCATTAAGCATTCGGCTGTCTATCGAGTTATTCCGTAATGGTTACTCACCATGACCAGATTCAAAGGTAATTCGACCTCTACAAGGGCCATGCCCTTGAGTCTGCTTTCTCTTGGGTACATGTAGACTCCATCGGACCAACAAGCACTTTGAAAGCCAACGTGGAGCTAGGCCAAAACGTGGTTCTACACGAACCAGCTAACGACGGATATTGGCTCTAATTCCGCAGCTTCGTTGCATCAATCTCCACCAGGATCAAATCCCTTGCCAGGAGTTCGAGTGACTCACGGACTGCCGGTAGCATTGCGGGTCCGAGAATCGAAGATTGTAGGTGCAACCATTATGCTGCCGATGGCCATCCGGCCGCGTAAATGGCGCTTACACGTGAAGCTCGGTCATCCATCATCTACGTAATGGAAACCGCACCCTCAATGCTGTAAAAGGGACGATGGTGCTCTGCATACAATAACTGCCTTCTTGCAGTTGGATTCCATTGCTTCATTGAGTTGATGTGTGTCCCATTTAGTAAAGCTGTGGAATCTGCACCCATTGAACACCAGTTGTACAGGAAAGCTGCTATACGCATACCGCCATGAATAATCATTGTGCTTCAAAATAGATACCCAAAAAAATTATAAACCCGGGAAATAACCAAACTGTTTATTTCTCTTAATTACACACCTATATTCGACCCGGATACGGAAATCGCAAGATCACAGCGACGCAACATGAGTCCAGGTTATCTACCCAAGTAAGTCACCATGGGCGCGGTACGGCAGGGGATATAGCATTCGATGTATGCGGAAAGGTCGATTGATTGCCGAATGGAATCTAAAATTGCCCAAAGAACGACCCAAAAAAGGGCAATAGATCGATGTCCATATCCACGTGGCACAATCATACTACCCTGTTATATATCTGGCACTGAATGAGTCGAACTGCCAAGTAGAGATATTCGGCCAAGCATTCGGTACCTGCCTATGTACATGTATTGATTAGCCGCCGACTCCACTCTCAACTTCTTCTCACATCATCATCAGCTGACCCTACGGAGTAACATCATTTCACTCCCAACACTCAATTAAACACCCTTCCCCGGCTCAATTGGTCCCAGAAATCTCTTCTTTCAAACCGTCTCACGACGGACCAAAAACATCATGGCGACAAACCGTGCTCCTCCCTCCGAGCAGGAGATGAAAAGCCGCATCATCACTCATATGAACACGCAGCATTCCCGCGAACTCTCCCACTACCTCCGCCACTACGCCGGTCTCTCCGCCCGCGCTGCCACGGCCTCGCCCGCCATTCAGGACATGAGCCTCGCCGGCATGACCATCAAAACCCGCAATGGCACCTACGACGTTCCGTTCTCTCCTCCTTTGTCATCCTGGGCCGAAGCCCGCCCTCGTGTCATCGCCATGGACGTCACTGCTCGCGAGGCACTCGGCATCAGCGACATCTATCTCACAGAATGGGCCAGGCCCAGAGGCTTCGACTGGATCCCTCTCGGCGGCGTCGTCTTTTACTACATCTGCTACGCTGGCTTGCCATGGGTTGCCCCGGGGAGCGCCGTGTGGGAAACGCTCAGGGTGGTGTTTCCAGGAGGCCCGGAGTGGTTCTTGTGGATAGTTAGGTCGATTTTCTGGATAGTCTTTGGTATACACACGGTAGAGGTGTATTTCCTTGACAAATGGAAGTTGCAGAAGCACGGCGTTCCGAGGTTCTCTTGGGTGTGGTGGGCGTGGGCCAGCAACATTTTCTTCGAAGGTGTGACGACGTGGAAGAGGCTAGACTCGATCATTGCCGCGAAGAGGGCTCAGAAGGAAGAGAAGAAACACTGATTTCCGTCTGTCATGCAAGATAGATTTGCGTAGAGAAGGGGCGCAGCAGCATCGAGATTATGCAATAATATCTTAAATTTCATGCGACTCTCGTCTATATAGATAGCTATGTAGTCGTCTCGGTGCTTTCAATTGACAGGCCCCATTTCCATTCTTCTTCATCTCTTCAAAGATTCGCTTTAGTAGTCACCCGCGTAATTGTCATATGTGCCCTGCATTGCCTGTGTGCTCACCCATTCTTCGCTAGCCAACCCCCTCACGAATCTATCTTCGAGATCGTCAGGGTCCTTGTGAAAATCACATGCGAAATCGCACACGGGAACCGTCTCTTCGCCGAAGTATTTGCATATAGATGCGTGTCGGCAGGCGTTGATGCTCTCGCAGTAGTATGCTAATGCCTGCAGACTCCTTAATCGCGACTCATAATTCGAGTCGGCTTTTGTGTCGCTCCTTATCATCCGTGTGACTCGTTCGAGATCCTCTCGGCTATAGTATAGGAAACAATAGCTGGCGTTGCCATCGCGACCTGCTCGCCCGACTTCTTGGTAATACCCCTCAAAGGACTTTGGAAGCCTCCAATGCACGACGAATCGTACATTATCTTTATCAATGCCCATGCCAAACGCTGTTGTGGCCACGATGATATCATAGCCTGGCTCATTGTTGATCCAGTTGGTCAAGGTGTCTTCCTTGACGTCTTTGGGCAGCTTCGCATGAAAGGGTCGCGCGCCGACGCCTGCGTCTCGGAGACTGGCTGAAAGCGACTCACATTCATCGCGAGACGTGGTATATATGATGCCCGAAACATTTTCGGTTCTCTCACGCTGCTTCACCAGCTCACTCTGCCGCGGTTCGGCGCGCCTACGGTCATATACGGCATGTATCCATTTTAAAAAATCTGATATTCGGTTGTCGTCCTCGTCTTTGGTGTATCTGATCTCCAGATGAAGATTGCCCCTCTCTGGACTCATCAGAAATGTTTTTATCCTTTCCGGTGTGGCATCGAGGCGTAATATGTTGAGGATATCTTGTCGAACTTGGGCATTCGCCGTCGCTGTGAGGCACATGATGGGCACATCTGGAAACGTCTCTCGAAACCAGGATAGTCGTTTGAAGTCTTTCCTAAAATCATGGCCCCACTCCGATATGCAGTGAGCCTCATCAATGGCGATGCGAGCAAGCTCCTTTTGTCTGTGTACGAGCTGCAGGCGCTGGCGGAACCGCGAGCCCGAACACAGCTCCGGGGTGACGTAAAGGAGTCTGGTTCTCGGGTGGCCAGTTTCTAGATCTCGCTGGATGCGGTCTCTCTCATCAGGCGACGTATTGCTGTTTAAAGAACTGGCATCGATCCCTGCAGCTCTCAAAGCCTCTACTTGGTTGATCTACAGGTAGCATCATCAGCTACCAACACTTATCGACGGGAACCAAGCTGTCGGCCAACCGTACCATCAAACTTAGCAACGGCGAGACGACAATCGTGACTGGCGGGGATGCCCGTTAGTCCACCTCATTCTCCTCTCTTCAAGGCGACAACTCACTGCCTTGATCAATCACGGCGGGCAACTGGAAGCACAGGCTCTTCCCGAACGACGTGGCTGCTTGGACGTATACATCATGGCCGTCTAATGCCGCCTCAATAATTTCACGCTGATGGGGCCTTGAGTAGCCGATTGCGTGTGAATGTCAGTTTCAGCCCTGCACACGATGGAAAAAGGACGTCCGCCAGAGAGGGAAATGACGGCAAGAACAACAAATCCACCAAGCCAACTAACCTGAAATCGTCCTTGTGGAATTGCCGCCGGAGAGTGAATCCGATGTCCGTGCATGAATTTGCCCTCTGCAGGGGGGGCATGGCAGAGAGAATCTAGACTTCAGGGCGAGGCAGAGGCAGAGGCAGAGGCGGGCATTGGCTGGGACGCGGCACAATGGATGAGCGAGTGAGTGAACAAAGATCTGCGCAGCATCGAGACATTTGGGAGCGCCGCGGACGGACAGATCTGGTGCCAGTATGAGGGCTTGCTGAGATTCACAGGGCGAAGCTTCAAGTTAGCTCGCGTTAGAAGCATTTTGACGCTCTTCTAGAACGCGTATGGCCACTTTCGGGGACGCGGGACATGGAGTACCTTAGTACCTGGTACGGTTGCTTAGTGGTGCTGGGCTTGTATTGGGTACGTGAGCCGAGGACACGCCGTAATGGCCTCCCGCATATTAATAGAAGAGCCTTACAAAGTAGCGAATACCTTGCTAAGGAGGTGTTGGCTGGTAGAGGCACGTGTTATCTGCTCTTCACTCGTGTTCCTCTGGATGGTCGCGTTGTTTCGTTTCTTGTGCACGGCAAGCATCCGATCCTGCAGCTCCTCATAATCCATCAACACCCTCTGTTCGTTTGCTTCGATTGCTTGTACGACGCGGAAACGCTGTGATCAGGTGTACGAGTTACAAGTAAACAAATCAAGCGTTGCAGGCCGTTTAAACACTGTTCCCCATAATGTATTATAGCGCCATGCTAGCGTCTCCTCTCTTCGACTGCTTTTTTTTCTCTACCCCGGCTGTATTGCGGCCAATGCGAAGTTGAACGCATTCCTGAGTCCTGCTTGAGAGAATCCATAGCCAAAATAAGCACTCCAGTTACCTGGAGCAACCAGCTGGCAGGATGAATATGGCGAGTTGATGAACCGATTACGAGTGCACATGAGAAGTTATCCAGATTTGCCGTGGACGTCATAAATGCCCAAAAGTAGCCAAAACCCGTACCCAGCGACTTATCTGAGCTTGCTCCGTAAAGTAACATGGAAGTGCTCCATTGCCATGGTATTCAGCCTGAGAGATGGGATGACCGTTCCTTATAGAGCTACATCCTACGTTAAACATGAATTTGGAAATATTACTTTGTAGTGGTGATGCCAGTACATCACCGGCCGACCTGGTAGGAAAAGGGGCCGATGAAGCGCCCAACAAGTGGCGATATCAGTTTTCCAAAGTACGGAGCTGTACAGTAATACTCCATACACTCCGGACAGCCCCATCCTGCTTGATGAACGCATTGCTTCCCGCGCTCGTGCTTGCAGGGCATGCGAGTCAATGTTTATGCATTTGAGCAATCCCGGATGATGCGGTGGAGTCGCGAGCACCAGTACGAGTATCTAAGGTTCGGGCAGATACGAGCAGAACTACCCCGGCCGGCGTAGCAGCATGAATACCGTCGGGTATGATTGGATTGATATACATGTCCAACTGCTGTATACGGGAGCCCCCATTGGGGATTGAAACAGCAAATCCTAGAGCAGCACGGATTATGTCCTCCAGTCGATGGATCAAGTCAGATGCTTATACACAAGTTGACAAGCTACGTGTCTATTATCGATCGATGATGCGTTACAGTCAGCTTCGGAGCTCGACTAGCCTGCGGGCGCTCTAAAAAAAGACGCCGTACAGGTATGCGGTCCCCTATCAGGGTCGTTCTCAGGGCGAGGTTGGCCAGCCTAGCCGCTGTGGCTTCAACCCTCGCAGCGACCCTCGCACTGTCCTCGCCAACCACCCGCTAGTGTTTCAGGGGCTCTAACCGTCCAGCTGTGGCCCCGGTCCAATCAGTCCAACCCAATCCGATCCAATCCCGCCAAGAGCCTCACGTCCAAACCACGTCCAACGACCGGCTTCTCTCTCGCGACCTCGTTCGTGTCTCTGGCTCCTTCAATCCCTTCTGCAAGGCGAAACGGCAAAATCTTCTCTAGGCGCCTGGCCGGGCTTTGATCATGATGGTCTCACGTGCTTCGCTTGGTCATTCGTCGCAGTCCCGATCTGCATAACCGCAAAAATTCCCCAGATTTCTGGCGCGAGGGTTGGAGAGGGGGCTTTTGAAACATTTTCTACTCCCCAGTGCCTCGGCCCTGCAAGGCGCCCAACGGCCGAACCAGAGTATCTGATACAGGTGCTGCTGTTCCGCCTCTCTGGGAGCGTGTGTGTGTGTGTGTGTGTGTGTGTGTGTGCGAACGGAGAAATAAAAAACAGAGGGTTGGTTTGAACAGCTACCACCTCCCGGTTAGTCGCCATGGAGCGACCCGACCGAATGCCTGCTGGCATGGGCGCAAGTCCTGGAGCTGCTCCTGGACCCCCCGCCGCTGCTCTCAGGGGCACCGGCATAGGCATGGCCATGCCCGATAATAACAATCCATCTCAAGCACGTCGTCCTCCTCTCACCACTGCTCCTTCGAACGGCCAGCAGCCGCCCATGATGCCGCTACCGCCGCTGCCCAATGGCCGGAATGGCCCGTCTCCCAATGGAAACCCGCCTCCCACGCCCATCTTGACGCCCGCTCAAGTTATCAGTCTCACCCGCGAGGCAATGCGACATGCCCTCGAGAATGAAAGCCAAGCTGTCGACGTCGGCCCCGGCCTCAAGTCGGGCGTTACCATTGACCTGAGCCGCAAGGGCATACAAAAGCTCCCCGAAGAGGTGGTTGATATAGTCAAGAACGAGCTGGAACGGTGAGCAGCCAACAGTTATATGATTTTTTCCCTCCGAGAATAAAACTCTCTTCAAGAAGGAAAACATGTAGCAAAGGAGAGGTCTTGTTTGCTGACTAGTAGCTGTTACAATATAGGCTCGCTCTATCACACAACCAGCTTTCGTCTTTGCCCGCTCGTTTTGCCGAGTGTGTTTCGCTTCGATATCTCAACATTAGAGGCAACCAGATTAAAGAATTTCCCTTGCCTGTGCGATCCCACATATCCCTTTACTTTGTCTCATCATGACATGGACCAAGTCTAACATGTGCATTAGCTTTGTGAGCTCAAATCTCTCGAAATCCTCGATCTCGGCCGTAATCAGCTACGAGTTTTGCCACCGGACATTGCGCGGCTTTCGTCCCTCAAAGTTCTTTCGATCCCAAAGAACCAGATCCGAGAATTGCCTGTTTGCCTGGCCGAAATGGCCTCGCTCCAAGTCCTCAAGTTTGAAGGGAACCCTATAAGCTTCCCCCCACGGGATGCGTTGCAAATCCCATCTCCAAGTCCTTCTGGTGAAGGATCTGGAAGAGAGGGCGAAGTGACCGAGGTGGCTATCACGGCTCATATCAAGAAGTTCATGAAGTTACACGTCATTAGCGGCCGTGACGCGGAGGCGACTGGCGACGAATCCAGCGAGGGCACTGACACTCCGCGGATGCCTCTCAGACGCATGCCGAGCGGGCGATTCCCGATCAAAGTGAGCAGCTCCGATGTATCGGACATGCGGATACCCAGCATTGGAACACGGCCTCCTCCCCCTATCCCATCACGATCGCATTATCGAGGCCTATCGCAGCAGAGCACCACCACCCGTCGACCCGGCGTCATGCCGTTGACGATTGGAAACATCAACGAGCGCGGACGCAGCAACTCTGAAACTCTGATGCATTCGGAGAGATCAAGCAGTCGTCAACGCCGCATGGGCATACTCGGGAAAAAAGCACCCTCGGATTTGGGCACGCTCGATGAGGTTGAGAACAGCAATAGATTGAGCCACTACCGAGGGCTGAGCCATGGCTCTGCTATGCAGGGGACTCAAGTAACAACATCCAAGAGCCCAGCAACGCCTACAGACTCTCTCCAGCGGCCAGTCTACGTGAGAAGGCTTTCCGTCCTCCCCGAACGCCGTCGGGAGTCCAAGATCTTTGACCCTGTGATTGAGGCCGCCAAAGGCATTCTCTATTCCGTATTTCAAATCCACCCCATGATCCAGATGCTCATGACCCTGACAAATGATGGGTCCGCAAAACGCTCGAGTCTCGAAATCGTCTTCTACAACACCAACTCTCACGTCGAAGAGCTGGAACAGGAAATCCAGAAGCACGACATGGCGGCAGCGGAGGATGAAGAAGGCCCGTTTGGAGACAATGCCAATGTTCACCGCGCCTGCCAGACTCTGGTTGGGGCGTATGGCCACGTTTGCACATTGCTGGCCGATAATATCGATACTTTTGTCAACAATGGAGATGCTCGTTATATTCGGACGCTCCTGATGTTGATTTATAACAGTATAATGGAGCTTCGCGTCACTCTCTCTTCTGTGTCTACGGAACACAGCAAGCATAGTCTTCCCACCTTGGAAGCCCCCGACAACAGCAATACTATTAAGCCTTACTTCCGTGAGGCGGCTGCGGCTGCTCCCGCGCCTGTTCCCGCGCCTCAAAAGCCAGCCCCCCCTCGAAATCGCAGCGGTCCCATTATGCATAACCCAAGCAACCTCAGAGTGGCTACCGACATACCTGTTCCGTATAATAACGGAGGCAGTCGCACTGCGAGACTTGCGTCGGCAACGCCTAGATCTAATGATTCGTTCCCATCATCATTTGGGCGCGATATCAACTCCGACTTTTCCGAGGAAGACGCCCAGTTCGACAAGATATACCTGGCCTTGCAACGGTCAACAGATGTCGTTCTTCACATCTTGCCCAACTTTAATGTTCAACTGACGGGAGGTATTCGGAACGCCATACAACAGCGAGCCCCGAGTGCAATGATACGGGACTGGAAGAACCTCATTGCCATGTGTAACGATGCTATCCAACAAACGGAGATTTTGAAGAACCGATTGTCTCTCATCAAGCTGAAGGACCCGGGAGTGCGATCTCACGCAGGATTTTGGAGCCTATGCAGCAATTTCATCTCGGCCTGGACAAAGATGGCTTCTAAGATCAAGTCGGAGATTAACACCATTCCCCTGCCGCCTGACACTAGAGCTCGATTGCGGCCCGTTCATCAGAGCATGAAGGAGACAAGCATCATCATCATGAACTCTCCCTGGAACTACATATTAAGGCCAGCCGGCGGTCCCCCGGGGTCTTATCCGCCAGGCGTTCTATCGCCGACCACGCCGCAGGTCCCGATAACGCCTCAAAGCGCGGCCCTGGGCCCGGCCATGCAAGCCACGGTTGCTACGCCTCAGACGGGATCATTTGCGGCAGTTTTCCAAGGCAACGTCTTTGACCGTGCGGATACGCTCATGGCCAACCCTGGCATTTCCATGTCCTCGCGCACCGGCACCATGTCAAGAGGCCACTCGGGATTCAACTCACTGTCGTCGATTTCGTCCATGTCATCGGATGGCGTCCCGACACCGTCCTCGGCCTTTAGTCCCAGTGTTCAACTAGGATCCGCGCCATTTCGTATGAACGGAGGGAAAGTAGCTCTTTGAGGCGTTTTCTTCCCTCTGGATTTCCAAAAAACAAAAGCCAGTTATCAGTACTGATTTATTCCTTCTCATTTTCTCCATTGTTTGTCTTTTTTTCCTTCTCACTTCCTTTTTTTTTCGTTTGGATCTCGCCGTGTTGTTTTGGCCGGCGAAGGGGATTCTTGCATAGCACGTACTTGAATGGATTTCACGAATGATTATTGTTGCTTTGGAACAAAATGTTTGGCTTGAAGGCCGGAATGCTGTTACGTTCATTTTTTTCTGCATAGCCCTGGAGTTATGGTTTTGTTACGACAATACTTGGTGTGATGGCATTGAACACCCGACAAGATCCTTCAATACCAGATTGCCTTTGGAGGAACATATCTAGACTCTGGGGCAACGATACCACGACGAACAAGTTTTACTAGTAGAGGATAGAGAAATGGGAAGCACAAAGTGTTGGTGTATATTAGATTAGTTGTCACGTTGACATTTTTGTTTTTACTTGCCTTCGAATTTCTTGTGTGGTGAAGGGTCTTTTTGGGAAGAAGGAGAATCCAATAAAATTGATCAAAATGGGTTGTTAGGATGTATTTTTTGGTAGAAGAATAAAAGTTGGTGTCCCTGAAGTTTATAGTGATGGCTGCATGTCTTGCGATGCTGCTTTGTTGCTTCTACTGCTTGTAGCTGTTGTCAGACATGAGGCCTTGTAGTGTCAACTTGAAGTCTTCTCCTGACATGCACTACCCGGTATTGTAACACACCTCAGCTCTTTTAAATATTAAATACTTGTTTTAATGGAACCATCACCATACGAAAGCATCTCTCAAGGCATCAAGACATCCCTCATCCACTACAATACAATACAATGGGGGAGCATGTACGAGTACCTTAGTACCTGTAAGCAGCAGCACCGCCATTTAGCCTTGCATATGATCCTTGCCAAACTGCCGACCTGCCATGCACCCCCCACAGCAGCATGATGTCAAAACACCTTTGGGGTTGGATCGATAGCGAAACAAGTGCGTGTGATTCAATGTTCAATGCCCTCGAGTCTGTCTTTTGCCTCTCGCACCAAATCCATTAGCCCCAGTACACCAGTGTGGAAGGAAATGGAGTGACGCCCGCACATCAACACATCCAAAATTGCTGTGCTGCGCCGTGCTACAATCGATTCAACGTTGAAAGCAGTCGACAGCAACAAAGAGAGAGAGACAGAGTGGCAAGGATAACGAAAGATCCAAGTCTCTTGATACCCCAAAGCTGCTCTCTTTGGCGCAAACATGTCGTCCAGCGGCCGGCGAAGATCCGCCAACTCCAGCGCCATGGCCGGCCCATCATCATCATCATCGCCTCGCTGGTTCTCCCAAGCCCAAGCCGCCTCGCCGCTGTCCGCCCCCTCCGTGGTGACAACCTCCGCCTCCGCCACGGCCATGGCCTCTCCCGCGCTTCATCCCGCACTGCAACCGACGCTGCCCTCGGCCCAGACGCAGCGGCACGTCTCCGAGGCGCGCGCCGCCGTCGTCGCCTCCATCGGCAACATGCTCGACTCGGAGCTGCAGTCGCGCGCGGGCATCCTGCACGGCAACGCCACCGCGCTGGAGAAGCAGGAGCGCGACGTGCTGCGAGCCACCGACGGCCTGCGCAAGGAGACGCAGAAGCTCAAGGCCGAGGCGGACAAGGCGGCGCGCAAAGTCAAGGAGCTGGGCAACGTCCAGAACTGGGCCGAGGTGCTGGAGCGCGGGTTCCTCGTGCTGGAGGAGACGGTGAGGCTGGCCAACGGGGGCGAGGACTCGGACGAGGCGGGCAGTCGGTGTAGCTGTAGCTGTAGTGAGTGCGGCAGCGAGTCGGACATGGACGTTGAAGAGGGCGACGGCGGCGATGGAAACGCCAACAATGGTGTCGAGGACGGTGCTGAGAGGAGAATGGATGTGGATGGCATGTCGGATGCCAGTCGAAGCTTGATGGACCTCGACTCGAGCACCGGCACGGGGCGAGCAAAGGGGTCCGAGACGGCGTCTATTTCGACGGGGTGATGCCGAGGCCATCTAACATGTATGGCGATGATAAAGAGATGGAATCAACACAGATGATGGTACATGGACAGAGGTCAGCTATTATAGTAGGTAGGTAGCCATGTCGCCATATGATCAGATAGATGTATACGCCATATAGGTAAATAGTACATTATAACCATTGCTATCCGACTAATTTGTTTGCACATGGCAAGAAATCGTGTTACTCCCTTATACCCTCTAAGCTAGTCTATCGACCCGGCTCTATTTCTATCGGCATACTCGGCAGTAAGCATCACTACAAGCTCTTTTCGCTCCATCACACGGGTGTATCTATATCTATAGCGTAACCCCTCTTACAACAGCCCTGGAAGCATGACGAAGCGCTTCTTCTTGTACTTGTCGCCAAACTCCTTGCGGTATGCCCTCTCCTTGCCCTTGGCCCAGATGAACATCTGGATAGCACCCATGGTGATGAAAAGCGCAACAGACCAGTCACGGCTAGCGGTGATGATGCCCGCCCACGCCAGAATCTCGTACATGTAGTTGGGGCAGGTGACGAGCGAGAAGCCGTATCCGTGCGGGATCTTGCGCTCAGTGCCGCCGGCCGACCGCAGGGTGGACAGGTACAGGTGCACCAGGGCGTTGCTAATCTCACCAAACAGGTAGAGAGCGGTGCCGACGGCATCGACAATGGGGTCGTTGGCGCGGGCGGCCAGCGACCAGGGGCTGTAGTAGATGGACCAGGCGCAGAGGGCGCCGGAGATGGCCCAGTAGAAGAAGCTGTTCTTGAAGATGTTGCGGGCCGGCATGGTGTTTGCCGAGAACTTGTGGACAAAGAGCGTCTCGAGCTCGCGCTTGGCGAAGTGGGCGACGATCATGCCGAAGCTGAGCCACTGCGTTGGCGACATGGACGGGTCCTTGAGCAGGTACGGCCGGGCGGCGACGGCGGCGCCGTGGATGAGGATGGGGCCCAGGTACTCGACGACGAAGACAGTTCTCCACGCGATTTGGACGCCTGGATGGTTGAGATTTATGTCAGTCATGATGGGATTCTAGAAGGCAATCATCGTCATCCTCCATACCAAGATCCTTGACCAGCACTTCGCCAGCCTCGGCAACATCCTTGTCCTCCGCAATCACAGCCCTGCGGTCCTTGAGCGTCTTCCTAGTCGACGTGTAAAACAGGCCAATGCGGTTGTGGTCGCTGAAGCCAGCTTGCTTCGCAATCAGCTTCTTGACATCTTCAACCGTCGCGTTGGCAGGGAGGTCGATGGTTGGGGGAAGCTTCTTGATGGGCTGCTTGGGAGCTATGCAGGCCAAGATGAAGATGAATTAGTAAGATTGTGCCATGCGGAATAAACTAAAGCATTGTAAATGCGGTGATGGTACAAATTACTTACAGCGATTCGTCAGCTTGAGGGTCGTTAGCGAAGCCATTTTGACGTTGCAGAGCTCTGGTGGCGATGCGAGGTTGCAAGGGAACAGACACGACAAGTCGTTGGGGAAAAGACCGGCTACAACAAAAAAAATTACGGCTTGGTTCAATGTTAGGTAGTTTCCTCGGGACTTGCAAGGCGGGCGGGGTGTGGAGGCGGCCTTCGAGGTACGCGGTACGGGGGGTTCGATAGCGGGGTACGGCGCCAGTTACTTGAGCTGGGCGGCGAAATCACAGCGTCAGAGAGGTAGCATTGAATCGGCATCAAGGGACTGCTATACTGCTTGCGAGGTACTTGGGAGCTTGCTGGGGAGATCGCCGCGGGATCTTTTAGGCCATCACATGTTGAATTTGACTGCCCGTGTAATTCAGAGTGTACAGTCGAAAGAGTCGGTTTCGTGAACGGGTGAAGAGCAAAAAGTTTCTCTAATCATGCCTCATCTCTTCATCCTCCACCAGCCGTCGTCACACTCCATTGTTGACTTTGCGCCAATAAGAAAGCACATAAATGGGGCGGTGAAATAAATGGATGGCACCATCACCTTATTGTCCTCATCTCTCGCATCCGAATGGTCCACGATCTATTTGTGTTGGCCTTGTTGTGTTGTTGTTACACCACGATTGCTCTTGTTTCATGTTACAGGTCGAGTGAATGAACAATCAACAAAAGTGGCCCCAAACTGCCTTGGGGGAAAATCATCCTTACAAATTTCACAACACAATCTCACCAGTTATCGGCGATTAACCAAAACCTCTGTCTGTCTATAGTGAATGCAGAGTTGGGAACAAGTCTTTGAACGGTCAACATCTGGTGATGGCTTCCGAATCAACCATCCAGCAGATCATAGTCTGCCAAACATTAGCCGTCATTGTTTTCGCCTTGTGGTTGGAAAGATCTCAAGTGAATCAAAAATAACAGTAAAGCAGCCGACCTGCATTTCTCACCTGAATGTTTGCTATTTGTGTCTGCTTGCTCCTTTGTAATACTAAAGTATCCTCATATCGTGTCTTGGCGCTTCTCCTACAAACCACAACACCAACGATGCATTCACGATAGGTAAAATCCATCGTCACACAATATAAGGAATGGTCCCCACCTCATGTACCTATGCAGAAGATCTAGTAGAGGCCCCGAGCTGGCTGGCTCTTTTGATAACAAATTTTGCTTAGGCGGTTGACAGTCTCAGGGCAGCTGCCAGCTGCCAGCTGTATTCTCCAGTTCCAATTCCGGGGGACATTTGGCTTATGTATACAGCTGTATCAAAGCAATCCTTCGGATAGAACGCGTATCAGGACAGGAAAACAACTCGCGTCTCGCTTCGTTCCTCCGCAGTGTTATTTTCTTCTTATTTTTGGGCTCCCCCTATCCCGACTTCAGCATCACCGAGTTCCTTGCGTCTAATCGACTTCTTTTGCTCCTTGGTCTACACGGCAGACCAATCTTAACACCATGGTGATGGCACGAGACTCTAACGGCGCGATGAACCCATTCGCGATGCCCTTCATTCCACTTGCTTCTCCTCAACCGAGCTTTGCTCTGCGGCGCACCAGAAAAACTCGCTCAACTGTGCGGGCCGAGGGACATGAAAGGGGAGATGCTCTGTCATCTCGAGGCCAGGTAATGTCGACTGAATTAGGGCAGGAGGCTCATGGCACCCTTTTTGCTCATTGTTTCGCCTCATTGATCACGCAGACCGGGTGCAAGGTTTCACAAGTTCATGTGGTTGCTAATAACGTGTGTGATCTCAGACATCCTGTTCCACTACTTCAACTTCTGATCAATTCGTCAGCGATACCGCCACTTTGTCTCAGTCCAGTGTTGAAGCCTTAGAGAAGGCTTCTTATGGCCCAGAGAGTGGTCAAGAAAAGAAACACGACAGCCCTGCTGCTAGCAACAGTATCATCAAGCGCTCGGGTCCAAACACTGGCAACGAACTAGCCTCGGGGCTTCCTGAGACTAATGTCCTTCAGACGTATCACCTATCTGGCGAAAAGATTGCACCAGGCGTAAATGACGGTGCTGTCCCGGGCAATGTTCGCTCCCACAGCCATGCAAAATGGGATTCAGTAGCTTATCGAGTCGCAGGGTCCCCAGCTCACTTCCATGGAGGTTGTGCCAGCACCGGAACTGAGACCACCGGGCGAATACCCGCACTTCATATACCCAGGTGTCCCTCCGCTGCCACATGGTAGTAGCTATCCCATTTATCCGCATCCTCCGGTGTTACCTGTGTTGCCATCACCGCCACCGCCGCCAGGACCTTGCATTCCATTGCTTCAGGTGATTCCCTGCCACATCACGGATGTCTCAACAGGTCAGCCGTTGCCGGATATATATACTTTTGCTCTCCAAGTAACCTATCAGCCACTACCAAACTCCGTTATGCCAAATCCTAGCTTCCAGGCTCAGGACCAGAACCCAAGTCCTCTTCAAGAGGAGATGAATATCATAACTCATGGATGCCCAGCGCATCGACCTAATCATCCAAGATTGCTGACACAGGCAGTAAACGTACCAGAGAGCATTGATCAAGTGCAGATTCGCTCATTGGTGCGTGATTTCCGGCTTGGAAATTTCATCTCATAGTGTGTTGCTCGGGTTGAGACTTCAACGACTAACTCGAAGAACAGAGCGGCGACGAACCGAGAGTTATCTTGGATGATCGACACCTCGCCGAAATACCCAGTGACGACGCTTTTAGAGCTGAAGCCAAGCCGCCAACTTTTTGTTGGGACTGCACCGAGGTGGCGGCCTCGCCATCAGCTGTCGACGGCCCGCAATCTGGGGAGGAAAATGAACGGGCTGAACAAAGGTCGCTGCAACACGACTGCCACGTGCTGTTCAGCTCTGAACATCATCACAACGCCATAAATGAGTCAACCCAGCCAGGTAAGCAACATCCCACCCAACTCTCCCATACTATCAGACACTGAAAAGCGATTGATAATGATGAACCGGAAAAAAGATGCCTCGCTTTTCACGATGCAGCCCTCCACCAAGCCGGCAGCCAAATACTCGAAAAAGGGTCCAGTCTATGATAGACCTAGTCAGAACCAAGTCCCGGCTGAGGTAGCATCATGGTCGCAGTCCAAGAGATGGCTAAGTTCGGAAACCAAGGAGCGCAGGGCATTTCAGAAGATGATGCTCAACCTTCAGTTCATGAAGGCCGACCAGTCGCCTTTCATCCCAAAGACTCCTGCGGAATTGACCAAGTTCAAGATCTCTCTTGCTGAAGCCAGACAACAGAAGCTTGCCCACGAGGTTAGCATCCTGGAAGAAAAAACTCGACAAAAAGAGCTGGCGAAGGCGTCGGGCTTGGCACTCTCATCAAAGCCACAGGTCACTCTGTTCAATGGACGACACATGGGGGACAGGCTTTCTCCGGTGTTCGCCGCTCAGAATTGCTTCAATCAACAAGACATAGCTGAAGTCAACGGCCGCGTGGAATGGCCATCGCTAGCTGAGCTAAAAGAAGAAGGCGACAGGCGTACTAGATATGGCCGATACCTCCCGCTTCCTCGGGTCAACGTCGTTGCTTTCAACATCCCGGAGGGAGAGCAGGAACACGCCTACAAAGCAGACGGAACCATCTTGTAGGAGAAGAAGGCCGTGAAAACCGGATCCTGGAACATCCCGCCCATCACGTCATCACTCGAAGACGACTCGGACGAATTGCCGCAACTCGAGATCGCCGATCTGAACGGGTTTATGAGAGACTTTGTATTGGATATTCAGAAGCATGGGTCATGAAGAAAGAGGGCATCAGCAAGGACGATACCAGCGCGTATGTGTCACAAAATCGTCCGAGAAGGAGAAGGCAGTGTCATTGTTTTTCGATAGGGCTTTTGAACTTTTCGTTATGATGGGTCAGGTCAGGTCAGGTCAGGTCAGGTCAGGAGAGAGGAATCTGAGAGGATGCAATTTAAAGAGAGAAAAAGTACGAGACGGCAAACTGGTTATTAGGGCAAGAGAAACAGGAAATTTGTCAATGTAGTAAATCTGACCAAGCCACGGCTTTAGCTGAACGGTATTAAATCTCGCAAGTCGTTTTACATAAAGAAAATTCTCATCAAAATTTCTCAAGCGTGACTGCCGTGACAACGATCAAGTGACATCCACCACCTTCCGCGTCGAGTGCCATCAAGTCGCGACCATCGTGCACTAGAACTTGAGTACCCATTTAGCGAGAGACGCGCAGTCACGTGCATCCCACCACACACGCACACACAAATTTTTCGCGCGGAAAAAAGCACTCCCGAAGAAGCCCTGAGGCGAGGTACGTACCGCGGGCTAGCGTAGCCCACAACCACAATTTTCGACCCAATTCAGTCCTCCACTCTTTCAAGCTCGACAAAAGTTTCATTCCTCCCACAACCGACAAGTCGATTGCCCTGGTGAGCACCATTATCATCAGGTAAGTCTTTGCGGCCGTGATCCTTCAGCAGCGTCAAAGGAAAACTCAATTCGTATCGACATTCGTCTCCCGACTGCGGAAAACGAAACAGCGTTTACTCTTTGCTGCTGCTGGAGGGGCAACCGCCTTTTCCTTCAAATCTTCCTTTACCCTTTGATCGAAACTTCATTCAGAGTTGCTAATACCTCTTCTCTTTCTCCCGGAGTATAGAACTCGCAATCATGGGTATCTCTCGTGACTCTCGCCACAAGCGCTCCGCCTCCGGTGCCAAGCGCGCCTACTACCGTGCGTACCATGATATATGAAAAAAATATTCCGAAAGCCCGTATGATCTTAGGAACATACGTTCTGACCTCCGTCAACAGGGAAGAAGCGCGCTTTCGAGGCTGGCCGCCAGGGTGCCAACACCAAGATCGGCGCCAAGCGAATCCACACCGTCCGCACTCGTGGTGGTAACCACAAGTACCGTGCCCTGCGTCTCGACTCCGGCAACTTTGCCTGGGCCTCCGAGGGCTGCACCCGCAAGACCCGTGTCATTGCCGTCGCCTACCACCCTTCCAACAACGAGCTGGTCCGAACCAACACCCTGACCCGTAGCGCCATCGTCCAGATCGACGCTGCCCCCTTCCGACAGTGGTACGAGTCCCACTACGGCCAGTCCATCGGCCGTAGACGCCAGAAGGCCCAGGCCGCCAAGGAGGGCAAGGAGGTCGAGGAGGTCAAGAAGAGCAAGTCCGTCGAGAAGAAGCAGGCTGCTCGCTACGCCGCCAACGGCAAGGTCGAGTCCGCTGTTGAGAAGCAGTTCGAGGCCGGTCGTCTGTACGCCGTTGTCACCAGCCGTCCCGGCCAGTCCGGCCGCTGTGACGGTTACGTCCTGGAGGGTGAGGAGCTGGCTTTCTACCAGAAGAAGCTGCACAAATAAACTCGCAATGGCGTGAGTCGGATGGGTGTTCAAGGATTTTTCGTTATCTTGGGCATTTTCAGGGCATGAAGAGCTTTACAACAAACAAAGCATCGGAACGGGTCCATAGGGAAATGAAAAGCTTTTCTGCAATCATGTTAACTTTTTTTTCACGTTGTTTCATTCAAGTATGATAATGATACAAGAAACAAAACAATTCAAGACACCGTCTTTCCGCTTGAGCCCACACTCGTACTTGAACTAGACTAGTAGTTGTATTTTTTTCGCATGTAATGTTCATATCCCATGTGCCCTAGTAGCTCCTTCGAGCAGGCTAGCATTACCGCCTACGCACTCAGAAGGAAAAGGGAATCATCAAGAGTCTGAACAAGTTATTTTACCACCAGGAGGTACTAGGGTGTAAATGGCAGCTGCACCGGTAGAGTCCATCTATTCTCACTGTTGATAAAAACATCATATTTTCCCTCCGTATCACTGCAAAAGTCTGTCCTAAAAAGAGGAAATAAAAACATGCATGTCATAATCCTGCTAGAGCGTGAATGCTGTTTCCCTCAAAAGTCCTTCATCTCATCACCAGCCAGTCTAAAACATGGCTGGGCATATGTGCTGCTGATCGAACCACTAAAAGAAGAAGAAAGAAAACTCCTTACAAAAACAAACTTTTTTTAACAACAGAAAATGGGATGATATCAGAAAAAAGGAAGGGGGTGGATATGGTAGTCATGATGGCGGATTGGATTCTCATGGAATCATGATGCGTGATCATAATGCGAGAAGAACAAGAAGAGGGAGGGAGGAAGTAGGGAGTGTAACAATAGTGGAATGTGGCGATCGCATTGCAATTTTTAAAGAGGACTGGAGCTCTAGACGAATTGGCGCTTCAACTCAGTCCACTTCCGGCTCAGGGTCTCGTGTTGACCAGCAATCTGGCATAGTTAGCTTCTTCTCTTCCTTTTTTTCTTCTCCAACCCAAGGATGGCGGTCTAAACTTACCTCCGCATATCGCAGCTTTGTCTGGACCAGCTCCTCTTCCAGCTCAGCCAACTCCTTTTCAACCTTCTCGTTCTCCAAGTGAACCTTTTCATTACGCTTCATCAAGTCATCGCGCTCGAGCTTCCAGGTTTCCTCAATCTCCAAGGGTTGACTCTCAATCACCCTCTTGAGCTCTTGGACTTGGTTCCTGAGGGCCTCAACCTCATCCTTCAGCTCGTCGTTCTCAACCTTTGTGTGAACGAGTTCCGTAGCAAGGTCAGCTTGCTCGCGGTCAGCGACCTCAACTCTCTCCTCCAACTTTCGGACTTTGATTGTGAGACTCTGATTGTTGGTTCGGAGTTCCTTGACTTCAGTTTCCCGCTCTTTTTCGGCCTTTGTCTTTTCTTCCCACTCCGCAGTGTATCCTTCAAGAAGCTCCGCGGAGAGCTTGATTTCACAGGCATCTCTCACTAGCTGATCTGCTCTGTAAATCTCCTTGTCAATGCTTGAGCTGGAGCTGCCGAAGAAGCCATTCTCCAAGAGACTTCCTTGGCTAGGGTCCTTGTCGATGTAGACATCAAACAGCTTATCTTTTAGATAAGTGGTGAGTTGCTGCATGTCAGAAATCTCCAGCAGGGTTGCGGTATTCTTCTGCATCAGAACGATACCAAATCGAATAATAGCAGAAAGGCCTTCTGAGAGAATCAAGTCGTAAATTCTCAGGACAAGCTGGAGAGGGAAACGGTAGGCGAACAGTGTGAGGAACCATGGCGTCGCGTATAGGTGGGGAGAGATGCCCCTCCGGTGAAGGTGGCAATACAAGGCGGGCTCAAGGTCTTCCAGCAGCCGCTCAAACTGATACAAGTGTCGATGAAGTCCAGGCATATCATGGATAAAGAGATCCCGCAGGCCGTAATGGTTCATGAGGCGGACAAGCAGGCAGAATGCCTCCTGCTCCGGCATGTTGAACAGCAGGGGCATAATCAAGAAGTTCATGCCCTGAGCATAGCCAACACCTTCATCAAAGAGAGCATACGCCTTGCAGACGCCGAAGAGACCCTCCTGAAGTCCCGCGGCCGCAGCGTATTTGGAATAACTGGTGCGGGCACCGAGGTCACGGCGAATGACCTTCTCCAACCTTTGAATGGAGGCAATGTCTTCTTTCTCTTTGCGCATCCTCTCTGCCACGGCCGCAGCCTGGGCCTTGGCGATGGCCTCAGCATTCTTATCATTCCTATCCTCTTTCTTGTCACCCTTGATACCCGATCCACCAGACTGTTCAGAGTTCACAGACGACGCAGATGACGCTACTCCGTCACCGCTCTGAACACTGAGATTGGCGTTGCTGAAGCTGCTTGCTGCGGTGCTGCTGCTGTGCCGATTCCTGTTTTCTTTCTCCGTTCCTCTAGCAAGGAGGTCCCTGTAAACTCCCTCCAAGTCCTCACTCTTGCTCTGTGCCAGCACTTGCCAGATGACGCCGCGAATGGCACTGGGAATACCAGTGGCAATAGCTTTGTTCAACTCCTCGGCACTCGACCGTGCAACAGCAGCGGGGCCTTCGTAAACGACGGATTGCCATAGGTCCCAATCGACTTGTGACGTCGCCGTCTCTGACGGGCCAACGTTGATGCCGACAGCCGTTCCAGGCGCCAAGCTTGCATTTGGAGGGGGCAAGGGAGATGGGGGAGGCAAGTCAGCTGCCGGCAGCGCTTCACCCTCGGCGGTTTCGTCCGGGATGTCCTCAGTATTTATGGTAAGCGGAGCACCAGATTCCTGCTGCATCCGAAGCACCTTGAATCGATCTTTGAGGCTATTCCGGTTAGATGCCTTGCCATCACCCTCTCTTTCTTCCTCAAGCTTGCTCAGCATCATCTCAGGGTTGCTACCCACAGTACCGACGGAGCTGGCAGTGTTTCTTCGGGCAGATGGCTGGGTGGTTGGAGTCAAATTGACGTCTTTGTCTTTACTAGAATTTCTAGACAGCCAGGAGAATGGGCTGGTCAGCCTCCTGCCTACCGGTGCAGGGGCGGGCGTGGGAGCCGCGGCGGGTGGTGCTACTACTGGAGTAGCGGTCGAGGCGGTGGGGATGGGCGGCAAGCTCTTGTCCGGCGACGAAGGTTGTACAGCGGCAGTGGTATTGTTTAGAGAGGTTGTTCTGCTCAACTGGTCCTTGTCAGAGGGGCTCGCGGGGTCTGCCGAGGCAATTAGCAACATGTAAGCAAAAATTAGTTGTGAAGACGGTGAGAGAGGCGTACCCTGGTGTTGTGGGGCAGCATCATCGTCCAAATTGACAACATCGAGATTTGATGTTTCGGAGATGTTTGAGATGCGATGTGACACTGGCGATGAGCCGCGCGAGGGCGGTTCTGGCTTTTCCTCGCTCTTGACTGAATTGGCGTCTTCTTCCTCTTCCTCTTCCTCGCTGTCGCTATCAGCATCGGATTTGGTGGCATCCGCCTCCGGCGGGGGAGGTTGAGGTTTCGAGGTGGACACAGATCTCTTGGTCAGGGATCGTACGGAGGCGGCGTCCACGGCGTCTTCGAAGGCATCCTGCTCAGCGGTCTACACTATTAGTCCTTGATCTGCCATTTCGTGTGTTGTGGTGGGATGACGCTAGACATACCGTATCAGCATCGGAGTCGGTAAGGGACGGGCGTCTCTCCTTCAGCGACGCCTTGCTCGAGTGCTGGGAAGCTGCGTCGTCTGGCTGCGGCATGGCTCCCTTGTTGATATGCTTGGCCTAGAGGATGGTTTATAACGGTGTATTGAGAGGCAAAGATCAACGACGAGCCATCAAGAGGCTCTATATATCCGAGGTGCGGTTGCTTGCCAGAAGCCGGGAAGAATATCGTTTGACGGTGTGGAACCAATGCAGTATAGATCAATGACAATTGTAGCAATGAGCAGAAAAGAAGTCGTCAACAAAGGACAAGTCTCACAAGAAATGACGAATGCTAGTGTTGTGTACAGAGTGCTGTTGCCGGCTCGTCCCAGCTGGTATGTACAGGTTCAAGGTCGAGAGCTTGGAGATTTTGTCTCAGGGAGCATGCACCCAGCATGGATCAAATGGGATGGGGTCGGGCGTCTTTCGAGCCGCCAACAAATGGCACGTTTCCCCTGGCTGGCCGCTAAGCTCAGTGGTCTCGACAGTGCGTAGTGGGGGGTGCGTAGGTGGCTTTGGCGGGTCTTTAGAGCCTAACGTCTCCCGTTCTTTAAAAAGAAGAAAAACCAGACCTCCATACCTTGACCTAGCCACACACACTTCGACAGCCGGCCAAAGGGGGGCTAGCTCTCTCCGTCCTCACAACTGACACCCACGGAGGCGAGATAACAGCTCTTCTGGCGGTGTCCAGGGTCGCGTGCTGCTCTCCTCTCCGCGGCCAGACATCACCAAGCGGCAGCTATTCGGCAACGCTGGATTGATATGGGTGGGTGGGTTTGGTGGGTGGCCTAACGACCCCTTTTTTCCGTCTCCTCTTTTCGCATGCCGTTTGCTTGGGGCAGCGTCGGCGGGTTGGGGAGGGAAACAACGCTTCACTCGATCAAAGCGAGCACCGTCTTGCATCTGTCTACGGATTGGTATACACCAAGAACGTGGCCGCATTTACAAAATGGCGTGGCAAAGACAGAAACCATGAGACGCAAATCCTCCACCTCCAGCCAGCCAGCCCCGCGATACACGAGCGACGGGGTGCACTCGGGGCTCTTGAAACATTTGCAACCTTGGTAGTAAGTAGTAGTAGTACCCAAATCAATAAGCGGCATGTATTGCTACCTAGATGGATACCTTACGGACTTGTCTTGCATCTGTCATTCAACCCCAATCTGGAACAATGCCTAAATTCTCTCACGATGGTGCCTTTGACACTAGCCCGCCGTTTTGACGGTCTGTTTCAAAGCTCCGTGGCAGGTGGCTTTTCACCCCCAGGTTGCCTCTTATCGGGGTTGCACCGGTGCAATCACTTAGCAACATCTCCTTCGTATTTGTGAAACTATTCCAAGAAAGAGACCCTAATTCCTGGCTTGAGTTTATCGTGGATAGAGGTTGGCTGGCTGGTAAGTCCCAACGAAGTCGATGAAGCTCCAGGGTAGAGCCATAATACCCACCTTTTTGATAGCCATGGGTCCCTTGCTTAATCTTTTGCCCAGTCCTGAAAGCAGATGGAGAGAGCTCAGGAATGAAACACCCGACATGAATGAGCTTCAAAAATTCACAGGTGCTGTAACATTATACTATCAACCTGGGAGAGTGGTTGTGGTCTTTTTTTTACAGGCAGCATCACCCGACAGGTGGCTTGCCGTCATGTGCACAGTACACGATGCGTCATGCGACTATTACGATCTTTATCAAACCCGCTGACACCTCAAAGTAGTTTTGGCTCTGGCTTGGATGCCCCGGATTCGAACCAAGCTGACTAGCTGCGATGACAGGGTACCAGCTGGGGTCCGGGTTATTTCATTGATATTCCGCATATACGAAGTTGTAGATGGTTGCTGATCGATCGAGATTGATGAATGATACCTTGTCACGTCAACTGTGGCTTGTTACATGGTTCTTTGATTTCTTCGTGCATATTGCTACCAAGATGGTGAGCACTCAGACTCAACTATACACATTATTATCCAGTGATTTGAAAGAATGGAACAAATATACGTGCATCCATGCGCAAACTTTATACAACGTTTAAGCTCCCTGTATGTAAGATACGAGTGTGGCGGCGACTCGAGTGGGAATTGGTTCCAAGGTTGTCAAAATAGATAAGCTCCAGCCCCCCCGAACGCCCACCGACCTACCTAGTAGGTAGCAACACGAGCGAGCGGAGAATCTAGACGTGTGGTTTGATCGATTAAGTTTGACATCAGTTACTACTAATTTAAGCATGACTTATCATGGTACTGCAAATTCAAAATAGAACTGCCTACCTTCATGTGCATGCTTACCATGATACTGCAAAGCCAAAACATAAAACTACCTCTAATCATGATGCTGCAAATTCAAAACATAGAGCTACCTTCATGTGCACCCGACGCATCAAAAATTACCAGCAGCCTCCGCGTCGTTAATGTCTTTGGCTGCGGCTGGTATCTCAAGTCCATGTACTATGGTGGGTTGATTTCGGCCACATCAAAGTAGCTTTGTCTTCAAAATGCTAATATTCAAATTAAACATATCAGATACTTGGTTAGGTATGCTGCCTCTTTTTGCCCAATGAGCAAATGAACCCTGCAGCCAACAAGAACCCGTATCAAGGCGTTCAGTGTGATATTCCCACTCGCTGGCTTCACGAACCTACATTAGTATACCCAAGGTATCCGGGTACTGATTGGTCCCATAGAAACATGGCGAGACCTGCAGCACCCTTGCCTTGGACCGACTTGATCCGTGTCTCTCAGTGACCGACCTACATACACGTACGAGTACGGAGTATATTTTCCATTCAACGTTGGAGGTTCTTTGATGGTTCTGCTTTCGGGTAAGCAAAACCATGTCGGCGCCGCCTGGCTGGGACCAACGGCACACGGTGCAAAGGACGAGCCCACTCATTGCCCAGAGAATACTAGCCCTTGGCGATGCTAACCATATACAGCTAGAGCATCAATCAGATTCGTTCATGTTCTTTGACCTCCAGCTCAAGCTAAGCCTGTGCATCTGCCGCTGTTGTCCGCTGCCGCCTTTGTCGTAGCGCTCCATGCCGCCTAAAGAGAGTGCGCAGCGGAGCGTTATAGCGTCGAAGGGGGGCTATTACTGTGCTGTGCCTGTATTACGGCATCCCTCTCCCTGCTCAGCCCGCCCCTCACTGACGCCTAATGCCGATGTAGGCAATTCACACTCATTCACTCGCATCAAGTGCGGGACAGTGGGAGGAGCTGCACCACCACGCCTATTACCTATTACGCAAAGGCCCACTTGCTTCCGCTGCTCAACCTGACGTTTGTCAATCAGCATCTCGTTTTTTTTTCTCTCTCCCAACAACCTCTTCTCTCCACCTCTCCGCCCGTATCTTCACGACAGAAACGTCTGCAGATCGTGTTCGATCCCCTGATCTGTGCTCTCGTGTTTCTTTATTTCCTGCGATACCCCTCCCCGCTGCCCGCCTGGACCCTTGAAGCCGCTGTTCGAGGACGACTGCACTCGCCCTACAACTCGCCTTCAAGCTCGCTCACGCAGCAGCTCCTTTCATACCCAGTCCTCTTCCTCTTCCACCACGCTCCCCCTTGATATTCTTATACCTCTGGGTGCTCGAGTTTTGGTTTTTCGTCTGTTTAGTCTACGCATCGGACTCGACTGCAACAGGCGTCGACCTTTGGCGAGCCCTGCTTGTGCAACTAACCCTGGTAGGCTGGCCGCGAAGCAATCCATATACATCTCGATACTTGGACGGCCCCCCGCGGTTCGGCTTCAGCCCAGCCACCACTGTTCCCATAGCATCAGCCGTGTACGCGGCCTCTGCAGCAAATACTACTGGAGCATATCACGACTGCACAAGTCGCGCTGTCGCGCCAGCGGATAGCCGGATCGAAGTGGAGGGGGAGTTGATATTTGTTTCTGCGGCTTTGCCGCTCCTGTTTTCACCATGGGCAAGATCACAAAGGCGATGCAGCCTAAGCATCGAGAGACTCTGGTACGTCGCATCATGTCAGGGCGGGCGGGGCTGGGGGCGAGCCGCGCTCTCCCACGCACCCACCACATATCTTTGACGGAAAATCATCATGCTGACCCTTTCTGCCTTTGATAGTCTCCATGGCTAAAGCTTTACGTCGATTCTGCATCAACAGCCCCGTTGCCCCTCCTTCCGCAGCAGCTTGCTGATTTCCCGACAAGGTGGCCATTTGGGCGCGGAGACCTCTACCACTGGATTCCATTGTTAAACCGATTCGATAGCGTGCTCGAGCATTTCTGCAAAGTCTATAAATTGAATGAAGGCCCTCAGCGGCGTGATTTTGGCTGCGATGTCCTGCTCAATCATGCAAAGGATTCGGCATTCGAAGGCGAGAAGCAGTGGGAGATGGACGACCTTACCCAGCTCGGCTTCCCCTCCGATGGTGACAGAGAGCTGATCGAGGCTGTTTTGAAGTTTACTCGCATGCTGCTAGAGCACTGTGGAAACCGCAGCATCTACGCCAGCAGTGCTCACCTCAACGATCTTCTCAACTGCATTCCCCCTACTGTTCTCATCGCCACCCTCGAGGTGGGATCCGAGTTGGCGCAGAGATATCAGGCATCGGTCAAGCGGATAGGTAGCGCCTCCCGACACATCAGTGCCGCACTGCTTGCCAATCATTACAACATAGACCTGGAGCGCGTCCAACAGGTTGCATTGCCGTTCGTCAAAACGCCCATTTTCAACCTTTCCGACCCGTCGCCGACTAGTGCGCCTGCTTCCACATCTAAGGGAAAGGATAAGGTGGTTGCAGGTGGTGGCAGCAGGAATGTAGCTACCATGCACGCCAATGATCTTGTCGCCATCACCACTGCTGATGATAACCGGTGGAGCTCTTGGGGCGATGTTAAGGTCTTCTACTACCCCCAGGAAACCACATCGGTGCAGCATGACGTTCCAACCGAGGCGGGGCGCTCGAATCTACCCTCGACCCCCACTCCCCTCCGTCGAAGCTCAACGATGAACCCTCAGCACACCCCAAAGGCTCGAAACGCTACTGCTGGCGAGGAACCATCCCCTCTGGGAACTCGAACTTCGGGATTTGTGGACGACCATTCTTCGTCTGGCCAAAAGACGTTCGAGTTGCCCCAATCCGTCGTTGCCTCCCACTCGATCTATGAGCTCATCACCAGGTGCCCTGATGATATGCCCCAGGCGGCCAAATATGAAGCCTTTCATCGCTTGAGAGTAGCCAAGTCTCTCATCAGCTCCCAAGAGTCGCGGCAGCAAATTCTGGCAACTCGGCTGCTGGCGATAACTAACCTGGCGTATATACATTCCGAATCAAACTTTGTCGAGAAAGTCCTTCGCCAAGATATTGACGAAACCCGCCGATTTCAGCTCGTATATCAGCTTGCTGAGTTGATCCATCCATCCGCCGATGGCGCAATAGACGTCCCTTTGAGGCTGCAGACTATTGCCCTTGCGCTCCTCGAAGCGGTATCGAGCTTTCACGCTCGATGCCAAGATGTCTTGTCGGCCTTGAACGCGAATGTCAACCACGGTATCCTCCTTTACGTTATCAGAAAGGCTGTCGCTGGAATGACTGAAACGAATGCTGGGGACGATAGCGATAAGATGAATGAGATGGACGAATGGCGGAACAATCTATTTTCACTTACCTTGCACTTGTCTATGGCTACTCGCGTGGGTAGTGAAATGGTCTCCGCCGGGTTAATGGACATCCTTGTCGAAATTCTCAACATTCGATCCATCATTGCACAGCGCCACCATTCAATGGTTCTTGCCTTCCTAGATGGCTTGATCTGGACCTATCCGAATGCATTTACTGCCTTTTTCAATGCGGATGGATTGGATGCCGTTGCCAAGCTAATTGTTGATACCATTGGTGAAGCTCGCAGCTTGCTTCAAGCATCAAAAGGCATCAAACCTGACCAACAGTCCAGTGCTGTGGATTACGAGATTCCATATTACCAGCAACAGACACTTAAGTGGATACTGAAGTTTGTACATCACATCATGTCCAACTCGTACAGCTATAGCGGCAATACAGACCGGCTCCTGCGAAATCTTGCCGAGAAGTCTGACTTGTTGGCCAATCTGAGGGACATCATAAACGACAAAAAGAGCTTCGGCTCAGTTGTCTGGACAAACTCGGTGACCATCCTCAGCGATTTCATCAACAATGACCCAACGAGCTTCGCTGCTATTTCAGAATCAGGCATGATCAAGACCTACCTTGAAGCCATTACTGGACAGCCGATACCCGAAAGCCATACCGCACGGCTTGCACGGCGGCCATCAGACGGCGGGGACCCTAATACTGTGGAGGTCTCTGCGATAACATCGATCACCGATTTCGATCAACGGCCTCACCCTCCTGAGGAGGACACCGTTCGGAAGTCGTTTGGCCGGCCAGTTGCAGCAGGCATCTTGGCGTCCTCTGATGCCATCAATGTCGTTCCTCAAGTTCTAAACTCCATCTCTCTTAACAATGCGGGCATGCATTTAGTGGTCGCCTCTCGGGCGATTGAGAGCTTCTTGGAAGTCTTTGAAAGCCCTGCGCATGTGAAATGTATGGAGACGGATACTGAGCTTGCTAGCAATGTTGGTGCTAGCTTTGACGAGCTTGCGCGGCATCACCCCCCCCTACGGAAGGCGATAGCCAACGCAGTGATTGACATGGTCGCCCGAGTACGCATGCTGGGCATTGAGAAGGCTCGACTCGCAGGCTGGGGGGTTAAACTGCTCCCCATTGGCAACCTCCAAACCGCGGCCGAATCAACTGCGGCGGCCGGCGCATCCAAATCACTGCAGGAATCCGACGTCGACATGTCCGACATGGCCGTGTCGCAAGGCTTGGAAGTCGACAAGCGTACCGAAACCGAACGAGAATCTCCGTACGATTCGTATACACCCTACATTTATGCTCTATCTACTTTCCTGACGACCTACTTGTCCAATAACGTCTTGAAGAACAGCTTTGTGGAGAGGGGCGGTATCGAGTTCCTTCTCGACATGTGTCAATCCCCTAGCCTTACGGCTGGATACGGCGATTCCATGGCATCTCGAGTCCTCAATCAGGTCGTTTCTCAACTGGTTGAGCACGGTGCTGCCCAGGGCTTAACATCTCTGCTCTACCGGGCTCAGCGTGCCATCGACGTGCTGGAGCCATTATCAACCAAGACGGAGGCAGTCCCTCCTTATTTTGCGCCTTTTCTGGCTCCCGACCTAGGCATTCAGTACACCAGCGCCGAGGCGGCTGAGATAATTGCAACCGGTACAAATATTGTCAAAGCCCTACTCAACGCTCAGACTTTTATCAAAATAATATCTGATTGTTTCGCATCCTCGAGATCCAACTCACTCCAGTTTTACCCCATCAATGTGTACGATTATTATCAAAAGCTGGTAATCTCAATCGGGCCATTGTTACGTGGAGTCCTAGCAGAGGAAGCAGGCGAGCTTACGGCTGTTCCCCAGCATTGGTCTTTAAGACGTCAGCCACCGCCTGTAGAAGGCGGCAACAGAGGCGCTGGTGCAGATGCTGAAGCTGACGACACGTCGTTGCCCGACGTTCTCGGCGGTACGGATAGTTGGAGACCTAATGACGGAGCTGATAGCTCCTCGGCTGCTCGTCCAACAGAACAGGAACAGGCTAGCCCCAGGTTCCAAAACTACGAAACGCTGCGAATCTTGTTACACCCTATGATCCCCACGTCATTCCCGCTCTTCCAGACCATAGGCAAGGCGCTGCTGCCCAGACGTGAATCGAACCATGGCGACCCGTATCACCGACCGCGTCACTTGGAGATTGCAAGAGCGCTTGCCGATACGGTCCTCGACCACCTTGGGCCATCTGTGGCGACCCCGGAGCCAACGTCAAAAGATTTCCACTATTGGATCATCATGCTTCACACCATCCACGAGATGCTGATTGACCACCGTAAGCTTTCTCCCCCAATTTTTTCCCATTCCTTTTTCATCAGAATGCTAACATTTGCCCAATAGCCTCAGCTCGTCAGAATGACCGCTCCAATGTGCAAATTATCATGCCTGTTCTCCTCGCATTCAAGGAGCGCCGTGGTATTGAAGTACTCAATTCTATGCTTCGCGTTTTTGCAAAGACGGTAAAGAGTTCTAGCGCAGCTACTGCCGATGAATCTTCAAAGGTCAAGGTTGCCGCTTTTGGTTTGAAGAAGATATTGGACTTGTACTTCATTTTGGTCAACGGAAAGTACATCGCCGACACGCATAGTTTCTTCAACCTTCAGCGACAAACAGATCGGTCTCAAGTCGTTCCAAATATTCACAATCAAATTACCGTCGAATTCAGGGCGCTCATACTGCCCGTTGTAATGGAGCTTTGGGACTCAGAGTTTGTGGAGCGAGTGCCAGACCAGACTGTTAAGCGACTCGTGGATATTTTGAAGATGGTGTCGCTAGGCGAGAATGAACTGTTGCTAATGCCAAAGGACAAGGTAAGCAATTTCTACGTCTTTCCCAGGTCAAAATTACCATCGATGCTAATCGTTTTAGGTTCCTTTTATGCTCCTCAACTACACAGACGTGCGATTCAACTGGCGGTCCGTTAGAGTCCTTGTTCGCCAGCTTGCTGACGACTACGATGATGGTCTAGCACAGGAGGCCGTGTATCGCACGCTTGGCAACGTTGTTACCGCCCCAGCATACTGTACTGCACACGAAGCTGAGTTTGCCGGCGCCAGAAACCCCGTGCCTCCTGAGGATGAACCGGATGCCACGTCCTTGGCCGAGGGGGCTACGCCAACGACGACTAGCCGAGATGCTAGCGGTTCTCGTGCTCCAGACCCAGAGGCAATGTCGTTGGATACATCCCCCGATACATCTGCTGAAACATTAGATGACCTGATCTCTCGCCTTCCTGAGAACAATGAGTTGGCGAGCGAAAGTGGTGCTGACACAGCGCCAAAAGCTGCAGAACCGGCTCCCTCCAGTGGAGAAGCAAACCCAGCAGCTACTCAATATACCGCGGCCGACTTCAACTCACTCAAAGATGATCTTGACAGTCATCGAGCAAAGCTACGCGAAAACCTCATTGATCAATGCCTTGACGTTATTCGCGCCCATCCAGATACGGCTATTGAGGTGTCTGAGCTTATCACCACCGTTGTTCTGCGACATCAAAATGCTGATGCCCACGAAGAAGTGGGGTTCACTCTTACGTCTGCTTTGGCATCTCTCGGTTTGGAAGAAGACGAGAAAAAACGCAACGGCAAGTGTATCGCTGCATATGCCCATCTACTTGCGCTATTGCTACAAGATGAGATGTTTTTCAGCCGAAATATCGAGACACTGCGTGATAAAATCGACGACTATGTAGCGTTTCTCAAAGTCCCGCCATCAACGCCGGCTGAAGAGCTACCGCCTTGGATTCCCTTTATACTACTAGTGCTGGAGACGTTGCTGAGCCATGATGAGAAACCTGTTGCAGCTCAATGGAAGGCGCCTAAATCTTTAGATGAGACCGTTTCAGAGCCCATCATCCAAATTAGGACGCCTTTGCTTGACGATCAGCAACGATCCAATGTCCTGGAGTCCCTTTTGGATTTGCTCCCGCGCATAGGGAAAGAGGAGATGTTGGCAACTGCCATTCTACGAGTTCTCATCATTCTTACTCGTAGGCGTTCGCTGGCGAAGCAAGTCGGCGAGAAGAAAAATCTGCAAAGACTCTTCCTCATGGCCAAGCAAATGTCAGGCGCGGGATCTGAACGTCTGAGGCAGACTAGGCTGACGGCTCATCTCATCACCATCCTCCGCCACATTGTAGAGGATGAGGACGTTATCAAGCAGATAATGAGAGCAGAAATCAAGTCGGATCTTCCCAATCTTCAACGTACCCAGCGCGGCCATTTAGACGTGTCCACCTACCTCAGGGCGTTGGCACCAGTTGCTCTGCGTGCGCCCGATCTCTTTGTTGAAGTAACCAATGAACTGCTTCGGTTCTCACGCTGGAATGCACCCACCACCGAAGGCGCCCGACCCCAAGCCTTGGTTTGGAAGGAACAGGACGAGGGGAACGCTAATGTGGCTCAAGCGGATACAGAAGCGACTCAGAAAGATGAAGTTAAGCAGTCAACTGAGTCAGGAGACAAGGAAATGCCAGACGCACATAAGTCACACCATGACAGCAAACGCCCCGTGGTCGAAAATCCGGACGGAGTCATCCATTTCCTTCTTTGCGAGCTGGTCAACTATCGAGAAGTCGAAGACAAGGAGATACCAACAGTTAGCAAAGATGTGAAGGTAGAGAGCGAATCGACGGCTCCTACTGAGGTCCAGGATGTCTCTTCTGTCGATGGCGGAGCTATCGATGGTAGGGACAAGAAGCCGCCAAAGCCTACGTTCAAATCAGAAGAACATCCCATATTCGTGTACAGATGCTTTTTGCTCAGCTGCTTGGCTGAGCTCTTGCAAAGCTATACCAGAACCAAGGTGGAGTTCATCAACTTCAAACGTAGCGCTCCTCCTCTGACCACCAACACCCCTGTGAAACCGCGGTCGAGCATTCTCAACTACCTAATTTACGATCTGCTGTGCCAGAGCAACCTGAGCGGCACGTCGGATAACATAGCGTCCAAGAAGAAGGCCGCAACTTCTTCGCAGACTCAAAAGGTTTTGGTTGCTTTGGTTTCAAAAACCAACGAGAAAGTGTTTGAACGCAAGCAAGAGAAATACGCATATGACGACGAGCTAGATCTACTCTTTGTTCGCAAGTTTGTTCTCGACACCATTTTGAAAGCCTACGAGAAGGCACCACTTACCGATGAGCCACTAGAGGTTCGCTATGCAAGGATGCAGTGCCTAGCAGAGCTGATGAACCACATGATCGGCGAGAAAGATAAGGAGCAAAACTCTGGATCTCGCAACGTTGATACCATCCAGACAAGATCCCAAGCACAGCTTCGGCGTCTCATGTATGAGAAGGGCTACCTGGATAAGCTTACGTCGTCTATTGCCGAGATCAACTTGAATTTTCCAGGAGTCAAGCGGGCGATTAAGTATATTCTGCGTGTACTTCGAGTTTTGACTGATACTGCGAAAGAACTTAGCCATTCCAACATCTTGGTATCTGACTCACAGGTTGACCAAAGCGACGAGGACTTTGCATCTACTTCATCCCTGTCAGATCTAGATGATGGCCGGGAGGAAACTCCCGATTTATACCGAAACTCTGCCCTCGGCATGCTTGAACCTCGTGGGGAGGATGATGAATCCGAATCCGAGGAGCCAGATGACGACGACGAGGATATGTACGGAGATGAATACGACGATGATGAGATGGACTACGGCGATGAAGGCATGTCGGATGATGAAGATAACATCAGCGACGAAGACGAAGAGCTTGGTGAAATGGGAGAAATCGAGGGACTCCACGGTGAGCCTGGAGTGGTTGAAGTCATCATGGATGATGATGATGATGACGACGACGACGATGAAGACGGTAGTGAAGACGATGACGATGACGAAGTCGACTCTGCTGATATGGAGGATGTTGAAGACCGAGTTGAAATTGTGGATGAGGATGGAAACCCCATCGAAGATGACGGAGAATCCGGATGGGAGAGCGAGACCAGTGCCGAAGAAGATGAAGAGCCAGAGGTCGACGATATTGACTACGAGGCCGACGGCCAAGACGAACACGAGGCTCATCTACACGGTTTGGGCCCTGGAGATCTCCTGGATAACATGGCTAGAGCGATCATGGGTGGTGACCAAGATTACGAGCCCGAAATCATGGAGGCATTAGACGAGCATTATATGGATGATGGTCACGAGGAAGGAGGTGAGTAACGAGTTTCTGCACATATAACAGCGTGGTTCCGGCTAACGCCTTGACCAACAGATGACGACGAGGAAGAGGATATCGAGGATGAAGAATATATCTATGATGACGACTATCCACGTAAGTAAATCATTTCACGACTGCATGAGGATGCTATCTAACTTGGCAAATAGTCAACGAGACTTTACCGCCAATGCCAGCTCTTGGATGGGATGGATTCACGCCGGAAGTTGATGATCGACATCGCCAACTCTTCTTGCTTGACAATAATAGACGACCTGTCTTTGCACGGATGGGCGATCGCAACCCCTTCCCTCCCCGATTTATGGCTGGGTCGAATCGGGAGCTTAGCGGTAAGTTTAAAGAGTCCTTTGATACCTCATTACTGTTTTAGATACTAACGCTTTCTCCGTAAAAGATTTCCGCAGCTACTTCTCTCGTAGCCATCGTAATAACGGACAGCAGTCTAACGCAGATGATGGCATCAACCCGCTACTTCGTCGCAGCGACCAGGCTCAAGAAAACCAGCCACGACCAGGTCAATCAAATTCAATTGGCCTTCGCTTCCCGGAGGGCTTCTTGGGGCCAGGCAGACACATGATCGATGGCCCCATGGGTTTCTTAGGAGAACTCATGGAATTTTTGCCCATCATGGGGCGCAATGGTAACCATAACCAGCATGCATTCCATGTGCATATCACTGGTCCTGGGGGTACTAGAAGTGCGGATCTCGGACCCATTCGTGGCCTAAGAAATGATCAGCGCCGAGATGCTGCGGCTCAGGAGCCTCATCAAGCGGTTGCTTTCACCCCTGAATCAACCTTGGATCGCTACCAGGAGGAGGCCAGGATGATTTTCGGTGGTAATCCCGCTGTGGAAGCTGCACGGCTCGGAAACGCTATCATTGCGCAGCTCACCCCTGCAGCGATGGAGCTGGAGAGGAAACTGAAGGCAGAGGAGGAGGAGAATCTGAAGCGTCAAGAAGAGGCTCGAAAGAAGCGGGAAGAAGAAGAGCGCGTGGCAAGGGAAGCTAAAGAAGCTGAGGAGAGAGCAGAAAGGGAAAGAAAAGAGGCTGAAGAACGCGAGGCCGCTGCTAGACTCGCTGCTGAAGCTGCCGAAGCCGCCGCTCTTGCTGCCAGCCAAAACGCTGAACCACAGCCCAGCGAAGAGAATCGCAACCAAGGTAGTGGAGCCATGGAAGGGGTTGAATCGACCGAGTCTGGCGACACCGCAGCGAATGATGGCGCAAATACCGCAGCGAGAGCCAATCTGCCAAGAGTCACAACCATCATCAGAGGCGAGGAGGTTGATGTTACTGAGTTGGGTATAGATCCAGATTACCTGGCTGCTCTACCCGAAGAATTCCGAGAGGAAGTCATCGCCCAAACCGTTAGTGAGAGGCGATCTCAAGCCCGCGAGGAGGCTGCGTCAGGAGAAACAACCGAAGTGTTTCAGGAATTTCTCGATGCTCTGCCAGAGGAGCTACGGTTGGAAATTGCGCAACAAGAGAGACAAGAACAGCGTCGTCGTCATCGTGAAGACAGCCGCCGTCAGGCTGCTGCTGATGGCCAAGATGCAATTCCTACGGAAATGGACCCGGCCAGCATCCTACTTACATTCCCGCCTGAGCTTCGTGAACAAGCACTCATCGACCAGGGTGAAGATATCATGGGCCAACTTCCTCCAGAAATGGCAGCCCAGGTACGAGCATTGACTCAAAATCGTCCACCAGTGGTTCATCAGCAACGAGGTATGCGACCAATCGTTCTTCCAGGTAGAACCTCCCTCAGCGCAGCTAGAGCCGCCTTACAGGGACGAGGCTCCCCCGATGGACAAGGGGAGAATAAGTCTCAGCGTAGGGCTGTCGTGCAGATGCTCGATAAAGCTGGCGTAGCCACCTTGCTACGTCTAATGTTTATTGCACAACAAGGTTCTATCCGGAACTACCTCTTCAGCGTATTCGCAGACGTATGCGAGAACCGACAAACTCGCCTGGAGGTTATCAGCACTATCCTGCAAATTCTGCAGGACGGTAGCACAGATATGAATGCCGTCGAGCGAAGTTTTGGCCAACTCTCGCTGAAAGCTAGAAAGCAGAGAGACAAGGATAAAGATGCTGATCAGAAGGCTCCGCAAGGCCTTAAGAGGACCCTGACTACTATTGGCAGCCTGACCACTTCTGGCCAGACAAATTCTGAGACATCTCCGTTGTTGATTGTACAGCAATGTCTAGATCTCCTTGTCGACCTATGCACCAAAAACCCGCACATCCCTTGGCTGTTCTTGACAGAACACGAGTCCGTGGGGTCTTCGCTCAAGAGGAGCCTTAGCCGTAGAGGAAAGGGTAAGGACTCGAAGGCTCATAAATATGCAATCAACTCCCTTTTGACTCTGTTGGACCGCGAGCTTGTAACGGAAAGCTCGCTTGTCATGACACACCTCGCAGACCTGCTGAACCGAGTTACTCTTCCTCTTCAAAACTTGGAACGTCGACGCAAGGAGACACAAGATGAGGATGCATCGGCTCCAAAGTCAAACGAAGCAGAAACCAAGGCCGTTGTCACGGATACGAATGAGGCGGAGCAACAAACTAGCAACGACCAGATAGTAGAGGGTGAGGCAGCATCCGAGCCAGCGGGATCTTCCGAGCAACAGAAGGCCGTGGCGGAGGATTCAAAGGAGCAATCGAAGAACACGTCACAAAAACGTGCCCGTCAACTGCAGCCCCCAATCATTCCACCGCAAAACCTCACCCTCGTGGTTAGAGTGTTTGTTGCCAGAGAATGCAGTTCGAAGACGTTCCAGAACACCATCTCTACCATCAAAAACTTGTCAGCTATACCCGGAGCCAAGACCATCTTTGGCCAGGAGTTGGTTAGCCAAGCTCGCTTGTTGAGCAGCAACATTGTGTCTGATCTAGACGACTTGCTTCCTCATATTGACGCGGCTACGTCTGGTACTGAGATTCAAGGGGTTGCCCTCGCCAAGTTCTCACCTGGAGCTTCAGAGCAGAACAAGCTTCTCAGAGTTCTCACCGCACTGGACCATCTATTCGATGGCAAGAAGAAGTCGGACGACGTTGAAGAGGGTGGGCCCAGCGAGACTGAGAAGCAAGATCTTGTCACTTCGCTCTATCACAATTCAACGTTCTCTACAATGTGGGAGAAACTGAGCGCTTGTCTTAGTGCCATTCGACAAAGAGAAAACATGCTCAATGTCGCGACAATCCTGCTTCCGCTGATCGAATCTTTGATGGTCGTCTGCAAAAACACTACGACGAATGACGATCTCTCACACAGCCAGATTGCGAAGGACATGCTGCTGTCTAGCCCACAGCCAGAATCTCGTACGGCGAACCTCTTCTTTACCTTTACAGAAGATCACCGACGTATCCTGAACGAGCTCGTGCGACACAATCCGAAGCTCATGTCTGGCACTTTTGCTCTGCTCGTCAAGAACCCCAAAGTTTTGGAGTTTGACAACAAGCGCAATTATTTCAACAGAAGTGTTCACTCGCGGAGCGGCCAGAACCAGAGCCGACCATCATACCCGCCGTTGCAGATTTCTGTTCGCCGAGAGCACGTATTCCATGACTCATTCAAATGGCTTTGCTTCAAGTCAGGCGATGAGATGAAATATGGCAAGCTCAACATAAGGTTCAATGGCGAAGAGGGTGTAGATGCTGGCGGTGTAACGCGGGAGTGGTTCCAGGTTCTCGCCCGGCAGATGTTCGATCCCAACTATGCTCTATTCATCCCGGTCTCGTCTGATCGCACAACCTTCCATCCGAACAAGCTGAGTGGCATCAACGATGAGCACTTGAGGTTCTTCAGCTTTATCGGTCGCATCATCGGCAAAGCCTTGTATGAGGGTCGCCTCCTTGACTGTTTCTTCAGCCGTGCTGTTTACAAGCGCATCCTCGGAAAGTCCGTCTCTGTCAAAGATATGGAATCATTTGACCCTGATTATTACAAATCTCTTTGCTGGATGCTGGAAAATGACATCACCGACATCATTACGGAGACCTTTTCTGTTGAGGATGATGAGTTCGGTGTCACCAAGATTGTTGACCTTGTCCCCAACGGCAGAGAGATTGCGGTAACTGAAGAAAACAAGCACGAATATGTGCGCGTTGTGGTTGAGCATAAACTCCTATCCTCGGTAAAGGATCAAATGGAGAACTTCTTGAGTGGTAAGTTATCATTTCGTGACTGTGACTGCGCTATTGAAAGCATTGTCTAATTTTTCCCCTTCCAATTAGGTTTCCACGACATCATTCCTGCAGAGCTAATCTCAATCTTCAACGAGCAAGAACTGGAGCTCTTGATCTCTGGCCTTCCGGACATTGACATTGACGACTGGAAAGCCAATACTGAGTACCACAACTACAGCCCTTCGTCTCCACAGATCCAATGGTTCTGGAGAGCAGTCAGATCATTCGACAAGGAGGAACTAGCCAAGTTGCTGCAGTTTGTCACCGGTACTAGCAAAGTTCCTCTCAATGGATTCAAGGAACTAGAAGGCATGAACGGAGTCAATCGGTTCAATATCCACCGCGATTATGGAAACAAAGATCGCCTTCCATCAACGCACACCTGCTTTAACCGTATGTTTACAATTCCCCTCCTATTATTCGATCCTTGCACTAACACTCCCTGACAGAGCTTGATCTCCCCGAGTATGACAGCTACGACATACTTCGCTCGCAAATCATCAAGGCAATTACACAGGGCAGCGATTATTTCGGCTTCGCTTAATGGTGATGATGGAGAGGGTGTGATTCTACAGAATGGTAACCAATATATGGCATTAACATTTGGGTGGCCGAGAGAAATATTCTTGGCACTTTATGACTATTTATAATGCATAGCTCTTTCATCACTCATGGAGGAGATTTGAAAGAACAAAAAAGACAAAAAAAAAAAAAAGGGGGGGGGGGGGGTGGGGGGAACAAGGCTCCTTACTCGGAAATCTCAGCTTGCTAGGAGAAGTGCAGATCTCTATGGCATTGACGAGATATTTCGAAATGGGATGGCATGGAAAGCAAGGGTTATGTTTGGTAGGGGTGGTTAAAAAAGACATTGCTTTCAAGTAGATTAGCAGGACTACCTAGGCTTAGAATTGGGCAAATACAATAGGTTTTTCATGAAGACATTTCTCAACGATCTTGAATGTATGGCGGCCTCAATTTCCGGTACTCAACTGCATATCTCGTAATAGATTGATGCCTCATGAGACATTCAAGATGTACGATGCAATATACGTCTACGTATGGGACTCGAACATTTGAGCAAATACAACCCCACGAGTGAAGATGGAGCAAAAAAAACGAGAAATTGTCAAGTACGGCGCCATGAATGCATTTTGAAATACGTCGATATGTTTCTAATACATTCATAACAGGTGGACCCAAAATTAAGCCCGAGAGATCCTCACTCCCAATGCATGCAAACCACAGGACCAAGGTATGATGATTCCCCTTTTTTTCTCTTTCATTACTATAAAACGCCGAACCCTTATTTGCGCATGGAGCTTGCTCGTCGCTTGCGGGCATCGGCCTTGTGGGCCTTGGCCTCGGCGACACGCTTGGCAAGGACCTGGGCGTACTCGTTCTGTTTTGGAGATTGTTAGCATTGTGAATTGCGGGAGCAGAAGAGTTGTTTTTAAGGAGAATACTCACGGCCTCGTCCTTGACCTTCTCGGCCTGGCGGCGCTTGAGAGCGAGACGGTGGCGCTTGTGCTGCAGGCGCTGGGGGGTGACCAGTCTCTGGATCTTGGGAGCCTTGGTGTAAGGCTTCTTGCCCTCGCCCTTGGGCTGGACCTCTCGTCGGATGACGTACTTGCGGACCTATTGTTTTGCCAATGGTGATTAGTTCCATTGTTATACTTGATTTCTTTTTCTTTAACCTCGGCACCGGGCCAACCCTTTTCCCTCGCCCTCTTGAAAAGGCGGAGAATAAAGAGTTGGCCCAGTTGTCTTCTCACACTCTACCCGGACTGCCATTCCCTCCACCGCAGCTCCGGGTAGGCGATGACCGAGTATGGGTACAGGGTGAAACATACATCGTCATCCTTGGTGAGGTTGAAGAACTTGCGGATCTTGGTGGCGCGCTTGGGTCCGAGGCGCTTGGGCTGGACAACGTCGGTCAGGCCGGGGATGTCGGCATCGCCCTGCTTGACAATGCTGAGGGCGAGGACGGACAGGTCCATGGCGACGATGCAGCCGCGGACCGACTTTCGCTTGCGCTCGCCGGTTCGGCGGGGGCGGTAGCAGGAGTGGCCGTCGGAGAGCAGGAGGCGGACACGGCTGGGGTGCATGACACCCTGCTTCATGGGGAAACCCTGCTTGTCGTTTCCACCAGTGATGCGGAAGATGTAACCCTTGAACTCGTCGCCGACAGAGTCACCGGGGACCTCAGCGCCCATCTATATCATCAAGTTAATTCTCGAATTCTTTCTGCGTTGGGGAGATTGCTGGCATAAAGCCTCGGAAGATGTGAGGACGGAAGAATAAAGGTTTTTCGATATCGAGTGTGGTGTTCTTCTCTCGTCGATAACCAGAAATCCCGTCCTGCTCTCGTTCCGTATTTTGGGGGATGAGACGTACGCGCTTCTCCATGAAGACGGCGAGCTTACGCTCATCCTCAATGTCGATGAGCTTCTGGCTGCCATTGGCAGGGTAAGAGATGTTCAACTATCGAAGAGAAAAAAAAATCATGTTAGCGACGACATTGAAGTTGACACGGCGGCGGATTGACAAAAAGCGCTGATGATGATGTGCTTGCAGCATCTGGCCATGTCGATGGAGAATAGATTCGTTCCGCATTTGGGGGGGGAACATGAGAGCATGGGTTATCGTACCTTCATCTTGCCAGTGTTGTGGTGGTGCAAGTTTGGCTTGACCTGGCTCGCGTGAAGTCGGCTTTTGGTGTTGAAGGAATGGGTAGGGCAAAAGAGCGAAATTGGGGCGGGAGTTGAAAAAAAAAAAAAACGAGAAAATGTTGTGTGCATTCGCCTAGGGCTCCATTTTGGCGTGTGGGAAGTTAGTCTGGCCAATCAGAGAGGTTTTTTGTTCACTGGTGGGGTGCCCGCCCGTGGATGGTTAGCGCAATCTCCCAGATACAGCTTTGGTAAGAGTGTGGCTGGGGCATTTGCACCAGCCTCTTTGTCCTGGGGCCCGAAATGCGGCGTCGATCCATTTTCTGCCTCTGGGAACATGTGGGGCAGGTTTCTCATCTTGAGCTTGTCTTGAGATCGATCTTGCTTGATGAGATTTGTGCAAGCAATCATCTTCTCATTCGTACATCATTGCTTTCGCCGTTTCAGCGTTTTTGCTGTTATTTTATTTTATTCAAATCAATCCTTGTAAGCATTAATTCAACCATGTCCTCCTCCACCGCCAAGCTCTACCCGCCATCCAAGCAAGCTCCCACAACCACAACCAACCCCCTCCCAACCCTCCTCCAAACACCATCCGGCCTCGCCATCCTCGAACTCCAAGGAAGTATAAACCTCCCCCAAGACACCCAAGGCGAGACGCTCAAAGACGTCGAATTCGGAAGACTCGAGTTTCCAGAATATTCCCCAGACGCCATCGGCACGGCTTGGATGAAGCGCGTCCACATGTACATTGGCCAGCACCAGCGGCTGACGGGCGAAGTGAAGAAGCTCCCCAAGGCCCTTGCCGTGGTGAGGAAACGGCAGAATCGGATGCTGGAGAGCTCTTCTGGGCCGTATATGGAGGAGGGCGATAACCTAGAGGTGGTTGATATCGTCAAGTACAAGCTCATGTTTGCGAATAGACCAGAACCTGTTGGAACGGCTCATGCCCCCGCTTCATGATGGCTATGGGAAGGAAATCTCCTCGTATCTCATCTCTTCTCTGTACACTGTACATAACTCACAGCATTAACACAATAATGAGGCCTTTATGAACGAGTCATGATGAAATATGAATGCAATTGTTATAGATTCAGGTTACTTATGTTCATTTGTATGACATTACCATCACTTTTCATATATAGGCAAGCGGGGGACAGAAAACCCGAAACCGAAATTATACACCAGTTCTTTAAGTAACTGCTACTATATCTATATCTTCTTTAGTAACGGCCATTGTAGTTATATAGTAAAATTCGGGTACCAGCTGAATGTATGCTCTTGTTCAGTTTGCGGTCTCGATGCTTCTGACCTCTACTTCACAAGAATACTAAACCATATCTCTTCCAATGGAGCAGTAGATCATGCCAATCATTACACATATACTCTATGTCATAATCTAAACACCTAGCTCAGTCGCTCTACCAAACGGTATTCATGCCGCAACACCCTCCAACGGCTTCGTTCTCCCCAGCCCATCCCGTCCATAATAATCCATAGGGTAGATGCCATCACCACCATCCTCTTTACCCCAACCCCCCCTCTTCCCCAGCGCCACAAGCGCCTCATAGGGAGTCAAGAGCGGCCTGGGAAAGGCGTATCCCCAGTCGATACTCAGGCGCGGGCACGCAACCTGCACCCAGCACTCGACATCGCTCATCATGGCAAGCTTGCCGGGGAAGATTTCGCTCAGGAGCAAATCTACCTTGGGGATGCCCCGCTCGGCCAGCTCCCGCTCGATCAGGGCCAGCGTGTGCGGATTCCCCTGGCGACCGAGCGATCCCAGGATGAGGCCCCAGCGACGGGCTTTGCGAGCAGTCTGGATGGCGGAACGGCGCACCGACTGCATCTCGTCGTGGCCGTACGTCTCTCGCGTCAACTTGCGCGAGTATGGGTCGTACCGGTAGGCAGGAATGGCCGGGTTGTGAATCATGATGCTCTCGAGGTGGAAGCGCCCGTCGCCGAGATAGAGAATCAGGTCGATGCCATCCTCATCCCGCAGGCGAGGCGACGTGCACCCCAGAATCTCACCCTTGCTGAGCGGCCCGATCTGAGGCACGACGACGCCGAAGCCAGCCGCTTCGAGGCTGCTCCGTATGCCGTGGATGGTGGCGTTGAACTGGATAGTGCCGACAATCGCAATGGTCTTGCCACTTGCAAAGTTTCTCTCCAGCGAGGCAATCAGATGCGCCGTGTCGATGCTGATGTCGACAAAGACGTACAGCGTCTTGATCTTGGTCACGTCCACGGGAATCAAGCAGCTGTGCGCATAATGCACCAGCAAGTCGCAACCCAGCGCTCGCGCAGTATAGTCGTCGATGCAGCACGCGCCGTACGTCACATCGCCCATGATGAGCGTCTCGACGCCGGGGCAGAACTGCGTCACAATGTCCGAAATGGTCGTCGCAAACAACAGCAGGCCTTCGGGCATCTGCAGCGCTACTTTGCGCGCCCCGGACTCTCGGATTCGGTGTATTGTCTTTGGGATTTCGAAGTTGTAGTTGGCTGGTAGCAGCGCTATGGCTTCCTTGAGGCTGGGGTCTTCTAGTATTTCTTTGGGGACTCTGTTTAGAAGTCGGGGAGCTCGTCGAGGTTTGGCCGCTACATGGTAGGATGATGTCAGAGAGCCGACGAAACGTTTTTACTATTAAATAGTTGCAACATACCTTGAACAGCACCGCTACCTCCCTCCTCCGTTGATCCCTTTGCTGCCGCCGCCTCGTCCGCCGCTCTTCGTCCTACAAAGCGCCTCTTTGGCTGTCTTAATGCCGGTGTCTCATCTTTTGTAGTGTCGTTGTCCGCTCTATGAACTTCTAGTCGCGCTTCCTCGATATCTGCCGCTGCGCCAAGATCGACGAGCGCCCGGTCGTCTTCCATCTCTGGCGGGTTGTCGTCGTCTCTCTTCCTCCTACTTTTTTTTTTCTTTCTTTCTCTGTTGCCCCTCGTTGCCCCTCGCCTGCAACTTGTTGAATGCTTCCCGTCCAAGGTAAAGTCAACGATTTCGATATCGTATGCGAGATAATATGTGTTGATGGCTCTGGTAGTCCGAATATCTATCAATAAGCAATTCGAGAAGATGGCAAGGTTAGCAGTTGTAGTTGCAACTGACAAAAGCTTTTACACTGAAGATGGCACATCCAAAGGTGGGGGCAGGCGGCCCCACAACGGACTTATACAATCATCATGTACACATATCAATCGCTTCACTTATACCACTGGCAGTACAAGACATGATTGGAAATTACACTCATCAACCCTCATAATTATTCAACATTAAACCTACTTTCCGCTTTCTCTCTGTCTCTGTCGTATAAACACCATTACTACTGCAATAACAAACTTGCTCTCTCCTACGAACTCTTCTTCTTGCCATCAATACTAAACCTGTAGCTCGCCTGAACCACATACGGACCATCGTCCGGTCCCCAGATCTGCTTCCTCCCCCATTCCGGGTTATTAATGCCGTCAATCCAGTCCTCCACCTCCATCACCAGACATCCGTACTTGGGAATCGTCCTCGGGAAATGCTTGTTATTGTGCAGGCCCTGCGTCTTCTTCAGCGCCAGCGTGCCGTTTTGCCCGTTGCAGCTGTACACCTGAAAGGCCGTCTGGTCCGAATAGACATCCAGGTGGATGCCCGACCAAGGTGAGGACAGACTCGCGACAGGGCCTTCAGTGCGCCAGTCAAAGGGGCCCAGGGCCTCCCGGTTGACGAGGTAGCAGGTATCTGATGTCTCTGTCAGCTCAATGCATATATTCCCCATCTCCCCCCTTGATAACATGAAGGAAGATGCCAGGATCCTTACCAAAACCGGTACAGTTGTTGCCGCAATTCTCCTTGATGCCACTCTGCTGGAAACCCTTGCCAAGCTGCTTCGGCTGCGACCAAAAGTCATTCGCCGTGTTCTTCTTGTTCGCCAAAATATCCCCCGTCGGGATCAAGAAGCCATCGACATCCACGCGCTGCCCGCTATACGGAAGATGCAGCGTATGGTTCAGCGCCGTCTGGGTCTCGTTGTTGGCAAAGCCGTCCAGGTTCCAGTACGTGTGGCTGCTGAGCATGATGGGCGTCTTCTCGGTCGTCGCCAGCGCCACCATCTTGAAGTCCCACTGGTTCTCCTTCACCGTGTACGTGATGTGCGACACCACCTCGCCGGGAAACCCTTCCTTTCCGTCCGGGTCGACGATGCTAAAGGTGATGCTCGTCGCGGTGTGCGCCGACACGGTGAAGTTGCGCCAGTCCCAGCCGTCCGGCCCTCCGTGCAGCGTGTCCGATCCGTCGGGCGCGGCCTTTGTGGGATTCTCGTTCGGCGGCGTGTGATACGTCTTGCCGTCAATGGCAAAGGTGCTGTTCTTGATGCGGTTCGCGTACCGGCCCGGCACGCCGCCAAAGTGCGGATGCTGCTTGTCAATGCCGTAGTAGGTGGCATTGTCGAAGCCGCCGACGAGGTCGCGCTGGATGCCGTAGCGGTCATTGATGAACAAGTTGGAAACGGAGGCTCCATACGGTATGAAGGACGCCTCGATGCCCTTTGCGCGAATCCAGTATTTGCCGTCCTTGTCTGGGCCGCTTGCGCTGGCTGTAAGCGGAAGGGCAGCAGCCGCAACCAAAACGGCCAAAGAGTTACCCGTCAGCTTCATGATGAGCAATTCTTCCCCCGAAGAGCGAGATCAAAGACAATCAGAAGTTCGTAGTAGCGCAGCTTGTGAAAACAAAACCTCAGCCCCTGTAGAAGAGCCAAGCAAAGGGAGATGGCCCAAGACATTCGTAGATCGGGAAGGCCCCCATCCACGCATTAAGTACTCCAGAGACTGCGAGTAACACAGCACGACGCAACCGCGCCCAACGCTACTCTGGTAACCTTGCACACAGCATGCGGCATCTCGTGTCTTCGGCTTCTTTGTCCATCCGCATGACGCAGAAACCCAAGTCCCGGCCAACATATCAATGTCCACAACAGGCAACCAACCACGATGATCCCAGGGGGCTGGAAAAGGGAATGAGAGGGGTAAAGGTTGGCTTTCCCCGGATTTTACAAAAAAAAGGACTAGCTAAGCGAACAGAAGGCACAAGTTCCCGAGAGAGCGAGGAGAGAACAAGGGGGGAAGTGAGCGAAGGATTGATTTCGCTTCTCCGGGGTTGGAGCGGTTGATCAATGCATACGAGCATGATGTCACCTGTTTATGATGTAGGGTGTAGGAAATCCCGATGCAAATGCAAACAACTGGGGGAAGCATAACAATCCCCAGGATTTATGTAAAGAGGTTTTGGTTTTAGTTTTTCTTTTCTTTTCTTCTCTCCTATTCATGCCATTTTGATTTCCAAAAACTTCCTATATACTCCGTAGATCACGACAAGTTGAACCGAGAACCAATTCCCAAGACATCAACCCACCTCTTCACATCAACATACCTAGTCCATGTAACCTCAAACGCGGGGCAAAAGCAGACCAACAGATCAGATACAATTGCAACCTCGATCCCTTCGTTCCTCCCAACTAACAACCAAACCACCTACATGTATCAATACCTACTAGGTAGTATTTACACCTCATAGGTGCGCCAAAAGGGCTCCCGTCGGAACCAACTAACACACGCTCATCTTTCAACTCCCAAAACTCCAAGTCTAATACGCCATTATACGCCAAAGTAAGCGCTCCAATAGCTACAAGCCAAAATCAACGAATCTTGCTAGACTACACGGGAACCACGGCTTTCCCCCCTAGCTCAGCTGCTTACAGGGAGGCGCATTCGCATTTCAACGGCTACTTCCGCGCCACTCAGATCGCAGTCCTCAATGCCTTTTTATTACCCAAAAGACCAAGTACGTACATCATCCGGGATTGAGCGGTGAAATCCATACCCTGCATCATCAGTCCATGTAATTCACGTTGCATTGCATCGCCTCGGCCAGATCCTACTGTACGCGAGACCAAACCCGCACACGGTAGACATGCTTGTTCGCATGAAACTCTTTTGGAAATCGACTTGACATTTGCTCTGCTGCCTATATTCACGCTACAACCCTTCTGCATTATCGTGTCAGATTGCTGTCCTCCCAGCGCAAGTCGGAAATACCAAACAACAAAAGAAAAATAGAGAATAACAAGTTCCACACCCAGGGTTTATGCACCTCACTTTCTACCACGGGTAATATCATACTTCCAAGCCAGGTAACTAATTTATACTGTACTTCTGCTCCTCTCCCGAAAAGAAAACACCAGACGTCGCCGGGGAGGGATCCTATGCGTCAATTAGGTTCTCCTCAGCCTGCTGCCTGTCGTTTGAGGCCACTTCGGCTCGCGCCTTGCCCTTTGCCTTGGCGTCCTTTTGAGATCGCTGGTAGAACTCGTTGAGGATCTTGGCCGGGATACGGTTGAGCAAGTCCTTGGGGTAGATGCGGAGCAGGCTCCAGGCCAGATCCAGGGACTCGTAGATCGATCGGGACTCGTACGCGCCTTGGCTGATGAACTGGCGCTCAAACTTGTCCAGGAACTCGAGCGACAGCTTGTCCTCGGATGACAGGGCCTCCTCACCAACGACAGCCTTCATGGCGGCGGCATCACGGCCAATGGCGTACTTGGCATACAGCTGGTTGGACACATCGCCGTGATCCTTGCGCGTCATGCCCTCACCAATGGCAGACTTCATCAAACGCGACAGCGACGGCAGCACGTTGATGGGCGGGTAGATGCCACGGTTGTACAGAGGTCGGTCGACGAAAATCTGTCCCTCGGTAATGTATCCTGTCAGATCGGGGATGGGGTGGGTAATATCGTCGTTGGGCATGGTCAAGATGGGGATCTGGGTGATGGAGCCGTTTCGTCCCGTCACACGGCCAGCTCGTTCGTAGATGGTCGACAAATCCGTGTACATGTAACCGGGGAAACCACGACGACCGGGAACTTCTTCTCGAGCGGCGGAAACCTCACGAAGAGCATCGCAGTAGGCCGACAAATCAGTCAGGATGACCAAGACGTGCTTCTCGAGCTGGTAGGCGTAGTACTCGGCTGTCGTAAGGGCAAGACGGGGGGTAATAATACGCTCGATACTGTTTGCGGTGCGTCAGCCAACAGCCCTCTGTAGGGTAAAGAGAAGAGCACTCACGTAGGATCGTTGGCAAGGTTGAGGAACAGAGTAGTACGCCCCAGACTGCCGTTCTCTTCAAAGTCACGGGTAAAGAATCGAGCAGTCTCCAAGTTGACACCCATGGCACCGAACACAATGGAAAAGTTCTCCTCGTGGCCGTCATGAACACCCTTGTTGGTAATTCCCTTCTGCTTGACCAAGCCAGCCTGTCGGCAAATCTGAGCAGCAATTTCGTTGTGCGGCAGACCAGAGGCCGAGAAGATGGGAATCTTTTGTCCTCGAGCGATCGAGTTCATCGTGTCGATGGCCGAGATACCAGTCGCAATCATTTCTTCGGGGTATTCCTAAGACATGTTAGGTAATGCTGCTCGACCTACGAGGCATGCACCGAAAAGATGCAACTCACTCGAGAGAAGGGGTTAATGGGACTGCCGTTGATGTCGAGGTACTCTTCTGGCAGCACCTTGGGGCCCTTGTCGATGGCTCGTCCAGATCCATCAAAAATACGGCCAAGCATGTCCTCCGAGACACCGAGCTTAAGGTTCTGGCCGGTAAACTTGACACGAGTCTGGATGTTGCACTTCCTGTTAGTCATCAGCCCTCTGGCGATGGGCGATGGGGCTCACTTGCCTTTTTCACATCGATACCGGGAGTACCCTCAAAGACCTGGACGACGGCTCGGTCACCTGCCCCCTCTCATGTCAGAACGCACATTCCACGCAGGCATTGGCGGCGCCATGCTCAGATATAGGTATATTATAGGAAAGGAATCACTACCCACCTCGGGCTTCCAGAACCTGTCCGTTTCTCTCCGTTCCGTCGGGCAGCGTAAGAGTGACGATCTCATTGTATCGCGGGAATTTGACCTATACGGCAACCAGTCGTCAGCATTGTACATGGCCAATCCTCATTCCATTTCACGCCATGACAGCTGGAATCAAATAAACTAGAGGGGGGAGAGAGTGCGGAGATGCCATACATTCTCGACAATAACCAGCGGACCATTGACACCGCTCACGGTGTTGTACTGCAGTTGCGGCACAACTGAGTAGGATGACGAATTGCGTGGGTCCGCCATTGCTGCGAATCTATCTTGTGTTTCTGCTTTTTTCGGCCTGCGTGCAGCTGGAAGCTTCCCCTCTGAAGCTGTATCTCTCCAAACCTTGGCCGGCTTTCGATGTTATGCGGTCACGGCGCAGCAACCTCAAGTAGCCACGAATTACCGTCGGGGGGGAGAAGTTGAATGCGGAGGAGCGTATTGACCGAGAAGGGGAACAGAATGCGAGCGAGCTAAAAAGGTGCAAAAGAGTAAAAAGAGGTCGGTTATTCGAGCAGCGAAGAAGAACCACCGAGCTCGAATATCGGAGATGCGGTCGCAAAGGGGAGCTGGCGAGATGGAAAGGAAGATCAAGGTCGGAGACAGAACAAGAGAAGGCTGGAAGCGAAACAGCTCGACAAGAAGTGGAGACTGGACAACATAGAGAGGAACCGCCGCCTCTCAATGGCCTTGGCGGTTCTTGTTCAGCGAGCGTCGTTAGTGGGTTTAGCGGTTGTTTTGGGGGGGCGCTGCTGGTGCTGAGGGCCTCTGCGCTGCGCCAAAAAATAGACCCCACGCCGAGCGCCTTTTGGCTGGCTGGAGTCATGATTTGGACAGCGAAGAGCGGCCGTGACATCACATGACTGCTAGCGGAAGGTTGCTTGGAATTGCGTCCCAGTCCATGTACCTTGGTAACCTTATCTTGGCGACGGTGCGTTTTACACAAGCAAGAATCTCGTACTGCTTGATAGGTATCTGGTGTTGGTATTATTTGCCAAGGTACTCTCCATACATGCACTCGGCCATTGAGGACAAAGAAGCCCGTTACAGACAGAGACGGAGCATGGACGCGGTACCGAGTACCTCTCCTGAGGGGAACAAAGCACCGGCGGTCCAAGCTTGTATAGAGGTAGAAGCTACCCCTCCAAACTTGCATCGGCATCCATTGGCAGCGACACGACGGAGGAAGCTCGGTGATCCCCTACAAAGAACGACGACTACCTACACCCTTGTCTATAAGCACAGCAACAGACCTAATTGAGATTTTTATTGTTTCAAATAGAAGAGAGGTTCAATTTATCTGACAGAGCTGGTTTAATTACTATTCACAATAGAGAATTGCAACAAGGTTCAACACTTCAACAGGGTCGATGGAATCTCTAACCAAGAACCAAGCTGTAAGCGCAAATCATACAGCCCTATTCAAGCATGGAACATGAAAGGCAGAGGTAGGTATGTGTGTGTATATTTACTTGTCAATATCAATTCATCCTCGCTTCTTCGTCATCAGCATCACTGCTCTATACCTTCTCAGCAGCCGCAGCAGCCTCGGCCCCCTTCCTTGACCTCGCCCCCAGCACCGCCTTTCCCACCGAGCTGTCATTCGGCTTGCCTAATTCCTGCGTAATCCACGCTCCAATATCCGCCATGGCATCCAAGTCAACGCCCGTCTCCATGCCCAAACTCTCCATAAAGTAAACCATGTTCTCCGTCGCCACGTTGCCCGTCGCTCCGGGGCTGTAAGGACACCCACCGAGCCCGCCCACGCTGCTGTCAAACGTCCGGATCCCATGCTCTAGTGACACGGCCGTGTTGACCAGCGCCTGTCCATACGTGTCGTGAAAGTGCATCGCAATGTCCTCTGTGCGGATGCCCGCCGCGCTCATGCACTTGAGCAGTGCGCTCGTCCGGGGAGCGGTGCCCATGCCAGTGGTGTCGCCGAGCGAAATCTCGTCGGCTCCAGACTCCAGCAGGTCAGTGGCGATCTCAGCCACCTTGTGGGGGTCAACATCGAAGCCCTCAAACGGACAGCCCAGTACCACGGAGATGTAGGCTCGAACACGGAGTCCCAGGGCCTTGGAGTCCTGGATGACAGCCTTGAATCGGTCTAGCGACGTCTTGATGTCGCAGTTGAGGTTCTTCTGCGAGAAGCTCTCCGTGGCAGCAGCAAAGACGGCCACCTCCACCGCCGGCTTCTTCACATCGGGCTCCAGTAGTGTAGCAAACCTGCCGGGGTTCTGTTTCAACAGCGCTTCCGCACTGTGGAAGCCCTTTGTATTCGGCGCGAGGAAGGAGTAGGTGATGGGAACGGGTGCGTCAATCTTCTGTTGTAGGATGTGCTCCATGATCTCGCTCGAGTTGGCCATCTGCATCGCCTCGGATCAGCCGTCTTTCTCCTGAAAATAGAACAAGCCCTTCTCTTACCTGTGGCACCCATTTCGGCGCTACAAAGGAGCCGGCTTCAATCGTCGTCAATCCCGTCTTGGCCAATCGCTCAATCAGCTCAATCTTGGTCGCCAGCGAAATGGCCCTTTTCTCGTTCTGCAGTCCATCTCGCGGGCCGACTTCGACGATCCTGACTCGGCTGTCGGATGACGTCTGAGGGCGGCTGGCCGTTGCAAAGCCTCTGTGCACCCTCAGCGGTGAAGAGCGCCTGCAGGCCCGGCAGATGGACGATCGAAGTAGAGACATGGCGAGCGAGGGAATGGGATCTGGTGGAGAGGCACCGAGTCGACGGCAGAAGAGGCGAGGGTTGTGTTGGAGCAACAGCAACAGCAGGTCCAGTATGAAATTATTAGATGGCAATTGGGAGCGGCTGCACAGAGCGGCGATTGTCGCGTATTATCGGCCCGTGGCACCACGTCTGGCGGCTATTGCAAGTCACGCCCGCCAGTTTGGCCCGGCGTCGTCCTCCGCATTCCTCGGCCTTAAAAAAGAGGGTTGCCTTTCTCACAACTGTCGGGCCGCCGACTAGCCTAGCGCAAAGGTGGATAGTAGATCGATCATTGTTCATTGATGTTATTGTGGCTAAAGATACCTACGACTGACTACTGTGCTTGAATTTGGAGGCAGAGCGGTTTTGCAAAGTTCACTCATCAAAACCCCAGATTTATACAACGTAGCGGCAGTCGCGGGATTCCCTCGACTCGCATTTTACAAATTACATATCTTCTCTTGTTACACCAATTGCTCAAATCAACCTTTGTAGATAACAGCGTCTGTTGGCTTCTTCCCATTTACAGATTTGCTTTTTAACATTAAAAACTGAGGCTTGCGACCTAATAAAGAAAATACACCTCCTGTCCAAGAGGACGCAGGGGCGGGATTAGGCAGTACCGGTTTGCACAGTCCATACCCTCACTATCCATGACTCCAACAGCAAAGAAACAACTTAGTACTCAGCCTCCATCTCCTCGTTGTCGAGAGAGTCGGCAGCAACCTCCTCGTAATCGCGCTCCAGAGCAGCGAGATCCTCACGGGCCTCGGAGAATTCACCTTCCTCCATACCCTCACCAACGTACCAGTGAACGAAAGCACGCTTCGAGTGCATGAGATCGAACTTGAGGGAGAGGGAGGACCAGGCCTCGGCGATGGCGGTGGTGTTGGACAGCATGCAGCTAATTTTGCGCGTCAGCTTGGGCTCATGCACATACACACATTAGAGGGGAAATCTTGGTAAATAAAACTTACACAGCACGGTTGACCTTGGCGAGATCGCCGTTGGGAACGTTCTCGGGAGCCTGGTAGCAGATACCGAGCTTGAAACCAGTGGGGCACCAGTCGACGAACTGGATGGTGCGCTTGGTCTTGAGGGTGGCGACGGCGTTGTGGGCGTCGTTGGGGACAACGTCACCACGGTACAGCAAGCAGGTGGCCATGTACTTGCCGTTGCGGGGGTCACACTTGACCATCTGGTTGTTGGGCTCGAAGCAGGACATGGTCATCTCCTGGACGGAGTTGGCCTCGTGGGCAGCCTTGGCAGCAGAGATGACGGGAGCATAGGCAACCAGAGGGAAGTGGATACGAGGGTAAGGGACCAGGTTGGTCTGGAACTCGTTCAGATCAACGTTGAGGGAACCATCGAAACGCAGGGAGGCGGTGATGGAGGAAACAACTGCGTGGGCAAGCGATTAGCGCATGAAGACTTGACCGGAACACAGATTCGACTGCCACTTACCCTGAGCAATCAGGCGGTTGAGGTTCTCGTAGTTGGGGCGCTCAAGACCGAGGTTGCGACGGCAGATGTCGTAGATGGCCTCGTTGTCGACCATGAAGGAGCAGTCAGAGTGCTCCAGGGTGGTGTGGGTGGTCAGGATGGAGTTGTAGGGCTCAACGACGGAGGTGGCAGTCTGGGGAGCAGGGTAGACGCAGAACTCGAGCTTGCTCTTCTTGCCGTAGTCGACGGACAGACGCTCCATGAGGAGAGCACCGAAACCAGAACCGGTACCACCACCGAAGGAGTGGAAGACCAGGAAGCCCTGAAGACCAACGCAGTTGTCGGCAACACGTCGGATCTTGTCGAGAACGCCCTCAATCAGCTCCTTGCCGACGGTGTAGTGGCCACGGGCGTAGTTGTTGGAAGCATCCTCCTTGCCGGTGATCATCATCTCCGGGTGGAAGAGGTTGCGGTAAGGACCGGTGCGGACCTCGTCGACGACATTGGGCTCCAAGTCGCAGTAGATGGCACGGGGAACGTACTTGCCCTGGCCTGTTTGGAAGGGTTAGAGGTGACATATTCCCAACGACACCATATAAAAAGGAGGCGGGGAGGAAAAACAAAACAAAAACATACCAGTCTCGGAGAAGAAGGTGCTGAAACCCTGATCGGGGTCCTGAGCCTTGCGCTCCTCAGTGAGGTAACCATCGGGCTGTATGGGGAGAAAAAAGACGTTGTTAGCTTCGCGTTTTGGAGTCGTGGAAGGGTTGTAAACAATGGGCTCAAGCCACATGTGCGAGAGTGGTGGTGGTGTACCTGGATACCGTGCTCGAGGCAGTAAAGCTAGAGAAAAGGGAAAATGTCAGCTCGAATGGTCAAGAAAAAAACAATGGCAATGGCGAATCAACTCACCTCCCAGCAGGAATTGGCAATCTGGCAACCAGCCTGGCCGACTATCCTCCAAAAGTTAGCATCGTCAACTCGCGGTCTTGGGCGTCCATGATGCGGTGAAGGGACGCGTTTGTTTGGTGGGGAGACAGAGGGGGGGGCCCAAAGGTAAAGGGGCTTTGCCTCTGTCGAGCTAGCACGCACCGTTGATGCTAATAACCTCACGCATTGTGAACGCTTTTTCTTTTTGGTTTTCTGAAGGGTTGGAGAGGAAAAGTAGGAGTGGTGACTTCGAGGTAGCAAGAGTGCAAGATTGAGCCCGGGGAAAGAAGAAAAAAGGCTTTTATTACGGGGTTCCAGAGGGAAAAGGTGGTGAAAAGGACAGGAGGACGGACAAGTTGCAGCTGGTTCGTCGGGAGAGGGTCGAAAACGAGGTGGGGTGGGAAATTTGGACTTGGACAGGGGCTTCTCACAGCAAGAGGAAGAGAGGGGAGGTTTGTTGACTTTTTGGTTTGGGACTGGGCTGGACGGGGGGGGGGGTCCAGGCGTGGCTGGAAGTGGTAAGCGCGTCTGCGAGCGCGCCCCTGTCGCCTCACCGCTCTGGGCGGGCAGCAATGATTATTGCCGAGATGAGAACAATTTTAGTGACTTTTGCTGGAGGAGGACTTGTGAAGACAAGTGCAATTCATCATGGATGGGCGATGCAGATGCAGACGGATTAATCGTGTTGATGTTTTCCATTTGAGCAAAGAGGTAGCTATAGCACCCAAGCTACCGAGTTGAGGTTGTCAACAGTCCTCATTAGGGGGGCACCACAGCTCACAGAGGGCATGTACTTGTACATCCAATCCTTTTTCATACGGCAGAATATTGTGGTGCCCAAAAGGGGGGGCCTCGATAAAGCTACCAAGAACCGTGTACCCCGGACAGTGACACCAGGCTGTAACCACTGCACATGTTCCATAGCAGGCACATGTACCTTGAAGTCTGGTGGGAGACTTGTTGCCATGATCTGAACCCTCTACGCATACAAACAAGTCTTCAAGTAAAGTCATCAGTGTGAACATCTTTCCTCCAGTTTCCCCGTCAATGTTTTTCTCTCTTGCTGTACCTAGACTGCCTACTGTACGCGTCTCATTGGCCTCGACGCCAGACAGGCGCCACTATAGCCGCCTAACCTCGAGCTAAAGCTGTGCGGTGCTTGTACCTGTACCGTCCGGAGCGTCTCCACCCCCTCAGAAGCTCTGAACAGGGTCCGCTATCGCCTTAGATTACCAAGCAAATGACGGCAACAAAATGCAACCAGATGCTTTACTCTCTATCCCTCCAAAGGGAGGCCAAAGGCAAAAATCACGAGATGCTCGGCTAGCACCTGTTCTCACCAATAGGGGGGATGTGGGAGAGATAGAGAGACGCAGAGTACTTGTATTGGTCTCTAGCTCCCGCAAATGGCCCAGTCTCCAGGCTACTATATACTCGTACTTCCTAATAGGTTAGTAGGAGGCAGCTCCATCCCCCTTCTCCCTTCAAAATCCAACCTCTCGACAACCAAGGCGATTTCATATACTACCATCGTGAGAGAGCGAGACAAGACCACAATATGTATATGTACCATCAATTGACCCAACAATCATCATCTTCCGGCTGCTTCCCCCGACCGCCGCTTCCCCTAGCTCCCCCTTTTGCTTGTACCCGTACCCTTCTGCCATGCTCTGGATTAGCCCCAAACAAGACAGACCCTCACGACAGGGTCCCTCCCGAATCAATGGTTCGCCCAGACTTGCCAGCAAAGCTCTCCACTAAATGTGGTCAAGTGCTGCTGGCACAGTCAGAGAGCGCGGCACGAAAAAGCTCCATAATGTCATCCATCCAGTCTTCATACGAGTATGTACCAGCTGCCTCCTGACGGCCCGGCGATCGCTGTGGTGTGTTTATCACTCCGTGTAGGTACATATTAACCAGCAGCAGCAACTCAGCTTTATTATTACCTGTACCTAGGTAGCGGCACTAGTAGTATTGACTGCCATTGCTAGATTCTCGTACCCGTGTCCGTCATCAGCCCTTCGCATCATCAGAGCCTGTCAAGGACGGAATACGACATGGATGAGTTTCCAGAAGCGCATTAGAACGGTAAATCTTTAAGGATATCATGGCCATACCTGAGGCCCCAGCTTGCAATAATCGCTACCCCATACTTGACGAGGTTGCGGAAAAGGAGTAGAAAGAACACCATCATTGCCTGTGCAAGCACACATATGCATCAGCAAAGTAATGAATGCACAAGAACCCATCCCATACTATTCATGATAGATAGACTCATACAATTCCAAACACAAGAGTGATGATATCGACGATTGTTTTGTATCCATCCATTGACCAAAAGTAAAACAGCAAAGAGCCCAATTGACTGCCAGCCGTGCATCCCCAGTACCAAGGTACGTACCTCAAAGTACAGCCAGCCAATCACAGCCGCGCACAGCCGACACAGCCGTCCAAATCTCAACGTGCTGCCTCTCAATCAAACAACAGCGTATCGATACCACTTCACATTCATCTTCATCCCCACCCTCTTCACCAAAACCAACACGTTCAACTTGACGCCAATTAATTACTCCCATAAGCAATACAAACACGAAACCAAAAAGGCCACCAATTCAACAGCCACAGCCAAAAACAATGCCGCCAACCCATCACCACTCTAAACCCATCTCACTCCCCTTCCTCCTCCCCTTCCTCTCCCTCATATCCCCCTCCCACGCCAACACCGAAAAATCAATCTTCACCGCACCCCCGCCCTCCTCTCTCTCCCTCTCCGGCCTCGACGCCGCCATCCCCGTCCTCGGCCCTTCCACAAGCTGGTCCGTACGCACCAACCTCAGCCGCGTCTTCCCGCAAGAACAACAAGGCCACCCGTCATGGCTACTACTCGACAACCTCACGCCAGGCCAACGCTATGAGCTCCGCGTCTGCTGGTCCGCACTTGTAAGCGTTCTAATCCACGTAGTAAACGAAACAACAAAAACTCACAAGCCATCAAAAAAGGAGCCGACGGCATTCACCCTAGACACATACTCCCTCACCACCGTCTTCTCCACCCCAGCACTCCTCCAATCCCTCACTCAACACGCCAAATCCGCCCAGCCTCGGCAAAGCCAAAAAGACTCATCACCAAACAACGACGGCGATAAATCCGTCCTCCTCCTGCGCGTCCTCGCCGCCGCCGACTACTTCTCTCACCATTCCTCGCTCATGAGGGACCCTCCTCCCGTCCTCGTCGATTTGATCCTGGACCCGTACGTCTACAACGTGCTCCCGCAGTCACTGGTTCCGACCGTGTGCTATCTCGTCGTCGTCGGCGTCGCGTCATGGTTTGTAGCAAGATGGGTGGCCAGTTCACTAACTGCAATTGCCGGCCCTGTTGAGAGTGATCAGACAAAGAAGCAAAATTAACATATTTCATAAAAAAAGAAGAAAAAAGTAATATTTTGAGATGCTCTACCTCCACAATATTATACCTAACGGGATATCACCTCCTCTCTCAACAGCCCGCAAGTCCTTGACAGCAGCCCGTCAACGTTCTGCTCTTGACGCATTCTTCATATCCATTTCATCACATCACATCATGCTTTCCGTCTCTCTCGTAGTCTACATATGGAACAAAAAAAAGTGAATAAAAAAACCCAAATGTACCACCCTATCTACACTTATATCATCATGATTCTACCTCTCATGCCATACCACATGTTACTTTTTTTAAGATCCACCGCCTCCCTAATGTCACCGCATTATTCGTACGTGAAATGATAGATCCGGCCCCTTCTTAGCGAGCAAATGATGCCAGTCAGTCGCGGTATATGGTCATTTTCTCAGGAACCCCGCATTCAAATGAGCAAACACACAAGAATTCATGCATTCTTCTTCTCCCAGGCGAAAACATACGACACAGCGTGGAAAGTCCTTTAGTAGCCACCACCATATCCTCCTTGGCTTGGGTGGCTACCATGGGGCACGGGAGGAGGGCCTGGCTGGTAGGGCTGCTGACCATAGGGTTGCTGGCCGCCCGGGGTACCATACGACGGGTTGTAGCCGCCGGGTGGTCCGCTTGGCGGAGGAGGGTATTGCTGGTGCTGTCCGGGCGGCGGAGGGAACGACTGTTGATGTCCGGGAGGCGGGGGGTACTGCTGCTGTTGGCCTGGAGGAGGAGGGTATTGCGGATGACCACCCGGCGTCGTTGCACCGTAGTTTTGCTGGTGCTGTCCTCCCTGAGGAGCGCCATATCCAGGCTGATGCTGTCCTCCCGGTGCGCCATAGCTCGGTTGGTGTCCGCCAGGTGAGGGAGCTCCGTAGCCTTGCTGGTGAGAAGGAGAGCCATAGCTTGGCTGCTGGGGGGTATAGCCACCGGCCCCGTGTTGTGCGCCATGCTGGTCGTGCGATCCGCCATACGGGCTGGGAGCAGGCGCCGGGCTATGCGAGTAGGATTGGCTGCCATATGACTGATGCCCGTAAGTCTGGCCGCCCGGTGGTGCTCCTGAAGGCGGTGGAGGGAAGGAGTTTTGGTGATTGCCAGAGGGGGGGCTTTGGTGTGTGCCCGTATGTGACGACGATGGCGTTGCGCCGTGAGTAGATCCGGGAGGGTTGTAAGTGGGTGCCTGTCCAGAGTATGTATTACCGCCCGAGCCGGAATTCGAGTAGCCATAGCTCTGGTTCTATAGATGGTGACATCCCGTTGGTTAGCCTTTCCAATTCTATAGCCGCCAAGAGGTTGAAAAACAAGTGCGATGGTTGCTTACACCGTGACTCGGCTTGTCTCCTCCAAATAGGGAGGACAAACCACCACCCACGACGCCGGCCAGACCACCCTGCTGATGCCCACCCTGCTGATGCGAGCCGCCGCCTGATGAGCCGCCATGGTAGCTCTGCGACTGCGAAGGCTTTCCACCGCCGGAAGGCGAGAACAGGTTCGACGCCAGTTGTCCCACCAGCTTTCCCGCGATGGAATCCTTACCACCGCCGCTGCCGTGGCCGCCGCCGCTGCTTCCATGCGAACCGCCTCCGAGGAACTGAGCAGCCAGGCCGCCGAGGGGATTGCCGCCTCCAGAGCCGCCGCCGCTGCCGTGGCCACCAGAACCCTTGCCGCCCATGAGCATGTTCATAGCCATTGACTAGAAACACCATTGAAACCAGACGTTAGCACACATGATGATACATCCACAAACGCCTCCGCAGAGCTGCCAAAAGAGACTCTGCTTACCCCAAGTCCTCGGTCACCATCAGGCCCGTCAGGACCCCTGCCATCTGGCATGATGGGCTCCATGCGTCCATCGGCGTGTTTGATGGTCTGCGAGCCGTCCGGGTGTGTGATGACCTGCGGCGCCGGCGAGCCATAGGGGTGCTCGGCGCCTGGAACCGGCGTGCCCGTCTGAACGGGATCGGTGGGAATGTCCCATTGGGAGACGCCCGTGGCCAGCTGGACGTAGTAATACTTTCTGCTGGAGCCGTCCCACTGGGCGATCCAGCCCGCTGGCAGGCTCGGGGGCGCAAACGTAGGCCCCTCAGTGCCTGGAGTCGAAGTGCCCGCCATATTCTCGGCCGATGGGGGAGAGAGAAGTTGTCTTTCTCTTTGCCTCGATTATATCGCGAGCAAAAGTGGGCGGTTCGAGAGGAGACGGTGCGGTCTGGAAGGCCGTTGGCGGGGGAGGGGGAAGATGGATGCTAGGCTTGCGAGAAGCAAGGGCCCCCCTTGGAGGGAAAAGGGAAAAGAGAGAAGAAGAAAAAGCAACAAAAAAGTAAGAAAAAAGGTTGACGAGGGGAGAAGCGAAGAGAAGAGAAGGGGGCGGAGACTAAAAAGAGAAAAAGAAGAGGAGAAGAGAGGGAGCGAGGGAAAAGCGAGGGCCGGGCGAGTTTGCGATTGTCACCCAGGATTCTGCCAAGTCAGTAACCAAGGTCGGTCAAGGTGCTCTGCTCGTACCAGGACATGTGCCCAAGTAACCGCAAAATCGACATGTGGGGTTGCGTGAGCCTCTCTCTGGTCTGGCCTGGCCTGGTTCTGGGCCGCCGGGTTGGGGATAAATGGATCAAATGGAATGGATGAATTTTTTTGGATTTTTTTTTTCGGCTTTGACTTTGGCTTTGTTCCTTTGTCCTTTGGGAGAGTGGCAAGTCTACCTATAATACCCCAACTTTCCATGGCCACAAGTAGGTACCTCGTAGTGGCATCCAGTATCCCAAAATACCTTCTGTTATCATGGCATATGGTTACTATTACTAAGGTATGTCCTATACAATCCTTGCGTCAGATGCCTGTACTTTGTCTTATGTGAGTGTGAGTGAGAGCGAGAGTGAGAGCCCAACACATTGATCACATCACCTCATCCCAGCACTTCGGGCTATTTCCCATAGACGGCGAACCCATCTTGTTAGTACAAATGGTTCTGCCATCATCTACCTGTGAGCATCAGGGGTCCGTCTGCTGATGACCGGGGCAAAGTCGCCCTGTCCGCCTTTTGGGTTGATGCCAGGTCGCAATCAAACAATGCCCGGACTTGTATCTACAGCACCAACGATTGCATGTAACACTGCAATCCTTGATAGGCGCCAAGTTGGGTACCGGCAGATGCAACCACGGGCAAGGCCCATCGATCCAAACTGCTGCTCCTCGGCCCGGTAGCCTGTACTAGCACCCAGACTGTCAGATGCCCCGGCGCGTAGGTACCCGGAACCTGCATCGCTACCTAAGACTCCCTCCCACTCCGTATTACACCTAACCCGATTGCCCAGCCCGAACACAAAGATGCCTTCGAGAGGAACCGTCATATTGATTGATCCCTGCATCCGTCGAATCATGTTTCCCTCCAGCGCTTCCAGCTCGACTCGTGTGGCGCAGCTGTGCAGCAGGACCTTCGTTATCGTTCTCTCTTGTCTTCTGTGCTTTGTGTCGAATGTCTCCGGCCTTTGTGGCGGCTCACGTGCTTCGGCGATGCCTTGGTAGCCACAGAATTTCCTCTCGTTTCGTTTCGTTTCGCTTTGGGCGGCCTCCGTTGGAACGGGCTTCATCATCCGGCGTGGCTTTGCGCTTTGCGGTTAATTCGCGGGTGGCCTCTTTGATGTCTTGTGTTTATCTACTACCTACTCAGGTACCTATGCTATGCTGAGCTTAGGCGGTATTAACAGGTACTGGTCCGATATTGATGCTATCCACAACCATGACGACAGTTTACAGGCGTTATACAGTCACGACACTCGCTTCACAGACAAGGCATCAACCATCGTTATCGAGACAACTTTTGTGTCGATTTTCCCCTTTAATTGAATCTCCATATCTAGTAGGTATCTTAATTCATCATATCTCATCCAGTGTTCACTGCCCTGTCCAAGAGTCTTCCCCTAGACTCAATGCAAAAAAAAAAAGAAGAAGAAGAAGAAGAAGAAGAAGAAGAAGAAGAATAGCAAAGTGTGCCTTTGGTTGCCGGCAACCGCTTTGACGAAAGAAGAACAAAACATGATCCTAAATCATCCAGCAAAGAAAAAAAAAGGTACAAGAAAGAAAATCCAATGCAAGTGCACATTTAAGCCAAGGCACGTTCTCGCTGGAATCGCTCCGACACAAAGCGTCGTCTGCGAACAAAGTCGGAACCGCTTCGCTTGTTCACCAAGGTGAGAGAGTCGCTTGTTCCAGGCTGGCACGAAGTTCCGGGCGCCACGGGCATGGAGACAGACCACATCCCAGAGGCACATCGCTGGAACGACTTTCCATCAGACGCGCAGCTCCACTGGCCCTCGCTGGAGCAGGCCGATCCCGCGGTCACTGCGCCGTTGGACGGGCTCGAACCACCGCTGGCTGGTTTGGTTGGCTGAGGAGCAGGAGGGGCGGCAGAAGTTGCGGCCGCAGGGGGAGGAGAGGTCTTTGGCTGAGACGAAGTGACGGCCGGGGCCTGGCTTGTGAGGCTGGCGATAGTAGTCGGCTTTGCTGTTGCTGGTGGCTGCTGTCCCACGGGTATGGTGATGAAAACACCGCCCGGAACCTTGGAAGCAGGAGGATACGCTCCCGCAGGCTGAGTTCCTTGAGGCGGAGCAGCCACTGGACCTTGTACAGAGGAGGCAGCCCTGTTTCTCATCATGTTAGCCACAGCTATGGATCAATTTGGGAGGAGAGTGTTCGACTTACGGTTGGCCTGCTGGGGGAGCGGCAGGAGGAGCTCCAGCTGGAGGTTCTCCCTTGCATTTGCCCTGTCCAGGAGCTATGGTGCCCTTTACGCTATCGTTGTCGACCTCGGGGCCTGGATTCGGGAACTGGACGTCCTTGCCCTCCCAGGTGCAGACATCGTTGCCGACATTGGCAACGAAGATGTCAGGTCGGCTGGAAAAGGGGATAGAAGCATCGCGTTTCTTGCCGGCGCCGATGGTGACAACGGCGCAGTTCATGTACATTTCGCGGTTACCAACCTGGTTGAACCAGGTCCAGGCGAACAGGGCCTCACCAGCAGGGGCATCAGTGGGCACGGTGAATGGCCAGGTGGAATCCCCCTTGGGTGGACATTCGCCTATCCATGAGTGAATGACTTTGAAGGTCTTGCCTTTGTCGTATGAGAGCGACGCCTGGCAACTACCTCCAAAATGGTTGGCACCGCCGGTAACGCTGAAGCTGTAGGAGCCTCCAGGGGCCCAAGTGGCCATGGACGCGCCCAAGGCAGTGCCGAGAAGCTTGTGGTAGCCCTTGCAGGGGAAATCAATTCCGGTCGCGTCGAGAGGGTTGGTCATGGAGTAGTCGATGTCGTTGGCAGTGAGACCGAGTGTGTTGTACTTTGAGCGAAAGGGAGGAGGGCTCGTCATCTCCATGTGGCCGTTGACGACGGCAGCCAGTCCGAGGACAGCAGCGACGATTGTCTCGGTGAGCTTCATGATTGTTGGTCGTCGAGACGTTGATTTTGGGAGCGAAAAAGCAATGAGGGACGTTGGGTATAGAGCAAGAAAGGGAGAGACTTGTGATGGCTCTCCAACACAGCGAATGATTGTTTTTACTTTTCCTTTGGAGGAGGAGAAGGAGGAGGAGAAGGAGAGAAGAATTTGTGCGAGACAATAATATTGTTGTGCGTTTTGATCCGATGAATGAGGGTTCTGGCTGCCGGCAGCTGTCAACGGACTGGCGGATATACGACCGACTGGCGGAGCGCTTCCTTGTGTATGTGCGTATGGATATACTCGGGATTCAAGACCAGCTCGAATCGAGATGATGAAAAGGATTGAAATCAACCACGAAGAGGTGGGAGAGTGAATGGGCTATTTAACAGCGAGTCACAGCCGAACAGTAAGGACTGAACAGAAAAGGGAAAGGGAGAGAAGAAGAGAGAAGAAGGAGAGGAAGGGAATGAACAAGCACAACACGGTTGACTGTACAGATGGAACACGAAACACAAACACAGCATGTGAGGAGGAGCCCAGTCTCCCTTTATACGCCAATCGCTCTGCTTGCGCTGAGCTGTAAGTGAGAAACGAGAAAACAACAGCCGCCCCCCCGGTTCAATCAGCCGCCATCGCTAGCATCAAGCACACGCCATGCGATACAAATCCACCCATCACAGGGGTTAGCCCAGCCTCGCCATTCGTCTGCAGATCAGCGTGACAAGAAGCGAGAGCCCACGAGCTTTTTCACTTTTGCCCGTTTCAACGCAACAGTACGAGCCAAAAAAAAAAAAGAAGAAGAAGGATAAAAAGAGAGTTAAAACCCCGGTAGCCACCTCCAATGTAACCCGTTCATGATAGCCGCGCAGAGTGTACATACATCCATCCAATCCATGTCACAAGCGTAGATCACTGGGCGGCTAACACGCAGCGTCAAGATGCAGGCAAACCGCCCTCAACCAACCACATCGCCGCACAACCCCCTGTCGTGAAACATGCATGTTTTGGAAACAACCGACCACAGCGTCGCATATTGTCTCTCTTATTCTTGTTCTACTGAATCCCCTTCATCCCAAAGCCAAGGCACCATTGGATCAATGAATCAAAGTGTTTCCCATGTCCCGGAATCCACACCAACCAGCATCAAGCCTTAAATCGACCTCTAAACCCCCCAAACTTTCCCAACTACTCTACACACAACCAGCAACATCCAACAACCCAGCAAACAAGACAGCAAAAATCTCAAAACACTCACGTCATGTAGATCACATTCCTCTTCATCCTTCATCACCTCCAAACACAACGACAACGCACAAACAAACCAGCAGCAATTATTGGTCTCCGTCCACCATGTCCATGATTCCCTAAATTCTCTCTCCATCCACCAACATCTCGAAAAAAAACATGAAACCACCCTCTATAGAGCTACTCCCCCTCGAGTTTAGCCCATTTCATCCATCCCTCCCAAGCGGATCTTGCCGGACTATAGTAGGGGCTACAGTCAAACGAACGTGCCAAGTCACTAGATTCTCACCGGACGCATGCCTGGCTGGGCCCCCAACCAGTAGTCGGCGGATGGTCCTTTATTGTCTAAACAGCGTCAATACAAGGGCTACAGCTGTGAATCACATTCACGCTACGGCAAAAACCCTTGCTATTTAGAGTATTAAATTGGGCCTCACATTATGTATTTTCATCAAGATACGAGTACAAGTAAATGATGGAAGAAAAGAACAGCATCCGCAATTGCTATTGTTACCTACTTACAAAACGTTCAATAGGGTGAGAACAGTCATGACAGCTAATGAGCTTCTGGGCTTCCTATGATTTCCAACCTTTTGGCCCAGATTGTAGAGACTTGGATAGATCACAATCGTCGCATGGTTCAAAGTCCTTTCTCTCGCTTTTGGTCCTGTCAAGGACTTGCTCGTGGCCTATGTGGCCCGTTAGCCCGGATATGCACCATATATACTCATTAGATTAAAGATTAACGACATTATACCCGCTGGCCTACCAAGCAGACTCCAGAGCACAGAAAAAGCGAGACGGCGAAATAAATCAGTGCATATATTCATCAATATAAGCACCCAATCAGCTCATGAAGTAGTGCTTTTGCAATGGAATGCCTAGTTTTCGGCTAGTACGTAGATTTACTATATAACTACTAGGTGTAGTAGCAGTTATCATAAATATATAAGTATAATGGCAGTCACTAAAGAAATCTAGACATAGTAGTAGATACTAGAGGAATATAGATATAGTAGCAGATACTAGAGAAACCTAGACATAGTAGTAGATATTAAAAACGAAAGGCATATAACCTGTCGCCATTAAACCATATAACTTATTCAATCTTCTGGGCACCACCAGATGCGCTCGGTGGTGTCTTACCGCGCTGCAACGCTGAGCAGTCCAAGTAGCAGCTGTTTGGACCAGGTTGATGCTCATGATATGCGCAACGTTCTTCTACTTGAGACAAGGGCATGGACTGGCGAGGTCTCTTTGTATAGAATGCGATGGCAAGGTCGGCACGGAATGGTTTAGGCAGATCTTTCCTAGTGACCCATGGTTGCGTCCACCAATGTCCACGTCCACGGTAAGCATACAGGTACATGTCGACGAGAAGGCGGCGAGCGGCTGATGGTTCCGGAGTCCCATCATATATGCGGCGGATGACCGGTTCACTAGGGAACCAAAACTGACCGCCCGATGCCTCGGTGCTGAATTTGCTCAGAATGGCATCCGACACAGCGTCCTTGAAATTTATATCCTGAAGAAACTCTCCCAAGGCATATGCCTTTGAGAGTTGTACGTATTCAGCGTTTCCTTCTGGTCCAGGACTGTCATTGCGGACTGGGAGTCTTTCAGAGAACAGCCACTGCAGATATATCTCAAAGATTTCCGCGTCTTCTTCGTCAAGAGCAATGGATCCGCTAGTAGATGTCTCCCAGTGCGCCTTCACGGCTGCTTTGAAATAGTCCGAAGTGTGGCAGATCAAATGCTCATGAACGGAGAACGCCACAGGGTTGGTTGATCCGACCGTGACAGTAAGTGCTCTACCTCGCAAACTACAGTCCAGTTAGACCAGGATCAAAGACGCAGGCTTGAAGGACTCAGGCTTGAAGGACTCAACTCACTCCAGGGACCCATACTTATACGTTCTCAGCTGAGTTATATCCATGATATGTAGGATCATACGACTTGAATGCTGGAAAATCGATCGACAATTGTTGAACTAATTAAGAAATAAGGAATCTCGAGGAAACTATATAGAAAGGAAGAAGGAGGAGGACACAGAACAAAGACATCGTCTTCAACACCAAACGAACAAAGGGACAGTCGCGGCTTGTAGCAGCAGGAGGATTGCGTGTGCCCACACGTGACTCTCAAAACGACTTCTTTGTGTAAAAGACTTCTTTGTGTAAAAGACTTCTTTGTGTCAAGAACAAAGGCTTGACAGGGCTGTGGTGGTTTGCTGGTCAAATGGACCGAGGTAGAAAGCACAATCTTTCGAGTTGCTGCGTTCCATTTCCCAACGTACCACCCACCGTTGCGTCACCAGACCTGTCTGATGATGTTTGCAAGCTCCGCGCGCTCTTGGTCATCCAGACGCGTGGCTTGTTTTCGATACATCTGGAGGACTTGGCAGGCGTCGATGTAGTCGTTCGTGCCTTCGATAAGGCCCACGGTCTTCTGTTTCTTCTTCTTCGGGAGCATCATGTCCGCCATCGTGAGGTGCTCAAGCACGGGGTCCGGAGACTCCCGTTGGTTTCGGCATGCTGGTTGGCGTTGGCCTGCGAACTGCGGCTGGGAGCGGCAACTTCAGGATCGTGTTGCCAGCCTTCAAGGCGGTTGTGTGATAAAATGGCTGCGTGCTCTTTCTTAATACTCATCTAAACAGCATCAATACAATGTCTGCATGCACATTGACATGAGCTGTGAATCACATTCATGCTACCAGATCAATCATCATCTCACGTTGCCTAGGAACGCTTTGTGTGCATATTGTTCTTCTTCAATCACTCGCTCAGCTGACCACTGCATGAGATAGTACCTATACCTAACTCTACCTTCAAATCCATCAGATAAAGCTAGCTGCACTCCTCAAGGCCCCTGAGTTTCTACCCGCTTGAGCTTCAAAAGCCATCCTTGGTTCCGCTGTGCACAGACTCGATCCATCGCTTACTACTCATCGCAGTGGGCTGACAAACCGGGCAGTTGCACGCATCCTCCCTCCCCTTGCCTTCGATCAATTGCCTCGAAGCAAGGCCATCTTCAACGGTAAAGGGCAGTCTGTAATTTCGAGGCATCATCGTAGCTGGTCATCATTTCATCCCATTTCTCTTCCTCCTGCAGCTGCAGCTTCACAGCTGCGACTTCTTTCTCCCTCTCCTTCTACAACGCTGCGGCTGTTGCCGTGCTCCAACTTTGCTTCCCCTCTCCGCTCATGGTCCAGTGCCATGGTTCGGCAACGTTCGTCCAGAGCCATGTTGCAATGCAGCATCATGCTGACCAAATACATGTTCGCTGAGACCATCGCCGGTCTTTGCCGTCAATGCCACCTTGTGCCGCTCATCCCGCCGTTTAAAATGTAGTCGTCTTCCTCCTTCGTGCTCTATCTAAGAGCTCGTCAGTTGGGGGCTATTGCCGCCAGCTCATCAGCGAAATCCCATGCCGGAGTCGCCCATGCCTTGGAGTAAAGCTCGCGGGCTCAATATTCGAGTCATGTTCCGGCATAAATCGGATTTCTTTCTCTCACGGGCCAGGTCATCGGCCACGTGGGCATACACACATAAAGAGAGTCGTCATCCCAAATGTAGACTTGGCTGTAAACGCTCATGGACCGCCATATCACAACTGTTCGATGCGCCTCGTTACCTCCTTTCCTTTTCATCCACCTCCCCCTCTTTTTTTTTTTGGTTGGAATGAGTATTGTAAATTTTGTTCCTTTGCAAGATAAAACTACCGCAAAGTAATCCAGAGCTGTGATAGAAAGCCAGAAACTGTCGCGGTGAGCGAGTGGCAGCCAAAAACCCCATAGATATGCAACGCTCAGGGTGACTCTTCTTTATGTCCTTTGCAAATCTAGTCGTGCATGGTCCAATTTCCTACTTGGCTTCATCCGATCCCTCCACCTCCTGGCTCTTGGGAGATGTGGAAGATGTACGATTGGCCTGCGGGGCCGGATGAGGATGGCTCTGCGGCCCATGATGTTGCTGCTGTTGCTTGTTGTTGCTGTTGCTGTTGCCGCTGTTGTTATAGCTGCTGGGTGGCTGCGGGCTGTAGTGATGCGGCACTTGCTGAGGGTTCGCGGCGAAATGTTGAGGCCCAGGTCCGTTATAAGATCGCGTATTGGACACTGCAAACGTCAGCCCCGAAAGTTCCCCTCCAGTTCAGTATCAAGGGCGTCACTGACTTGGTGCACTGCTTTGTGCTGGGCCGTATGCCGGCTGGGTATATTGGATGCTGGGGCTCATTCCGTACATGTTATGCCCCTGCTGAGACCCCTGATGAACCATCATGGGTGCGGCTGGCCGTCCCGGGCTGGGATACCCGTTAGCTCCTGGCACCTGCTGCGGCGGGCCAGTGGGCGGCATGAACTGTGGATGGTGTCCACCTGGATACATCAGGTGAGGGGCCATCATTCCCTGAGGCCCCGGAATGAACTGTGGCTGCATCATCATTGGAGCTCCCATATGCCCCTGCGCCGGCACGTAGTGCGGGTTGTTAGAGTAGCTCCTAAACTGACCGAGCTGAGGGTTACCGGCACCGAGGAAGACGGGTTGTCCATACGGGACCTGAGCCCCTGGCGGGTACGCCACGGGCAATTGCCCCATACGGGGCGAGGCAAACGACTGGGCAGAGTTGGAGTGCATCATCCGGTGGTCGTCGTTACCGTAGGGCTGGTGAGGCACAGGCCCATGCTGCGGTGTGTGCATCTGCATCGGAGGCATGTGTGGAGACTGTCGCGGCATCATGTTATGCGCGCCTTGTTGGAGGTGGAAGGGCAGCTGATGCTGGTGAGCCATCTGAGGCACAACATGAGACGGGTTGGGGGTAGGCATGGAGGCGGCCAAGAAAGGCTGTCGGTCAAAGTACTCCTTGTAGGTAAGATGCATGGTAGACTCGGCCTTTTCGTCATCCTGCAGCTGGCGCCACGTAGGCAAGGTGTCGTAGGATGGCCGCAGACCACCATTGTCGTCCCAGTTCCTGCCCTGAGGCGGGACAATGGTCTTGATGTGTGACAGGATGTAACACTTGTTGACATCGATAGCCTTGGTCTTTCGGCGGATGAGCTGCCCCTGAGGATGATTGGCAGCATTGGCGGCATTGGCGGCATCGGTGACGTGGTTGGCGGCGGATCGGGGGCTAGATCCTGCACTCGGATGTCCATTCGGGTTGAAAGTCGGGGCGAAGGGACTGGGTCTGAATTCGTTGCTATTGGGGTTCAGTTTCGCTCCGAGATGGCCACTGTGCCGCCGAGCGTAGTCCGCGCCGTTAGCAGGACCAGTGGGCGGCGCGCGAATTTCGGGACCGACAGCATGCTGATGGGGGGCGGGAGGCTGAGAAAACTTTTGCTGTTCCACATTGCGGATGCGCTGCGCCAGCGTGCCATTTGCATGAGGCTGCGGCGCATGCTGAGGACCCGCGCGGCCGTTTCTGTAGCCGCCTTGGTTGTGATACTGCTGTTGGGTGAACTGCTGGCGAGGGCCAGTATGACGATTGGATCCGCCGTTGGGGGGCGTGGCCTGGGGAACAGGGGCCCCTCGCGCAGGCCGGGTTTCGACAGCGGGAGGTGCTGTTGTCGAAGCCTCTGCACGCTTGGGCTGAGTCACGTCCTTGGGTACGGTGGCATCCTTCTTGACCTGAGCGGCGTCGGTCTTAGCCTTGGCCATCTCCTCTGCATTCTTCATTGCCTTGGCCTGAATCTCTCTTTGCTTAGCAGGATCCTTGGCGATGATGGATACAAGATCAGAGGGAACCGGCGTCGAGAGCTTGAAACTGGTTGCAAACTTTTTGAGCTCCGTCAATTTGACCTCCTTATCCGCCTTGGCCTTGTTGCTTCTAGCCTTCTCTGCATTGAGGCGTTGCTGGGTAGCAAACGACTTGAACTCCTTGAGAACATCACGTTCAACAGTCGATGTTGCACTGGGGGCATTCGGGGGCAAGTGAGAGAGCGGACGAGAATTAGGAGTGGGGGTCGCCCTGGTGGTGGTCGCTTGTTTCTCTGCCGGTTTGTCCTCCTTCGCCTGGGGGGCGGCAGCGGCATTAGCAGCAGAAGCAGCAGTGGTAGCGGGAGTGGGGGTAGCAGCTTTGCTTTCCACAGGCTTGAGGGTTGACGATTGAGCTTCAGCGGGCTTTTGGGTTTCGTTCTTGGCCTGGGCTCCGTTCTTGAGGGCATCAGCAGTCGCAGCCTTTGATGACTCAGACGCTTGCGAAGGTTGCTTCTTCGGCACAGCCTTGATCTGCGAAGAGATGATTGCTGGGTCGACGGGGGCGCCCTTGACAGTGGCCTGTCCAGTTGGAGCTCGTTTAGCCGGAGGCATGTACCGATTCTCCCGCCCAGATGCCAGGGGGAGGTCTTGACGGCGGACACCGCTGTACCTGTTTTGATAGTTTAGTATAAGAGTAAGCAGGGTGAAGAAGCCCGATGGATGCAACTCACTTGTCTTCCTCATTATCATCGGCACGGTCCTTGGGGCCAGAGTAGTCCATGACACGTTCCTCGGCTACGTGAGCAGTCATGGCTGCACTGCGCTCAATCTCCCTAGCCTTCTTGTCGGCGGCTGCAATTCTCTCTCGATACTGCGGGTGGTCCTTGTTGATTGCAGTGGTATAGATGTTCTCATCGTAATCGGTCTTGAGGCCAAAGAGTCTCTCGTTTTCAGCAAACTGGTCCCAGCCAGCGGTGGAAGTAGATTTCTCCAAAGATCCATCAATGGCATCGTTCTTATCAGGGATCCATGGCTGCAGAGTTCTCTGTGCTCCAAAACGGCCGTTCGAAATTGCAGTGTCGGTCCTGAAACTAGATCGATTACCTAGAGACATTGTTAGATTTTGACATCTGCTTGACGAAAAAAACTATCTCCCCAAAACCGTGAGGAGGTAGTAGCCGTAATGACAGCAACTTACCGTTAATTTTTCCATCCACCTTGACCGAATTACCCCCGCCCTGCTGGGCGTCTCTTCTCTGTGGCTTCGACATCGGTATCAAACTTTTGCCGTGGGCGCAACTTCCCAAATAGTTTTATTACACCGCCACAATGTAAACCACTCGTCGAACTGGCAGGAAACGTTGGCTTGAAAAAGCTCACACGTTTGTCGGTATCGGGATCTGAGGCTGGGGAACCTGAGTCACCGGAGGGGTCGTCTCGAAGTATGCTCCAACCTGGGCAAAAAAGTACATGTCAGCATCAAGACACGGGCGTATTTCAAAAACAAAGCGTTGCCATAGCGCATGGGATTGACAGAGTAGGATTGCGAGAAAAGTCAAAACAATGCAGTGTAGCCAATGCATCCCAATGCGGCCAATGCAAGGAGACAACAAAGTTCCTCCACCACGCGGAAGCAGCTAGGGCTTGCCGACAGGCTCTGGAAAACGAAGCGGTGTCCACGGGGAAAGTGTCTGAGAGGTAAAATCGGGCCAGACGAACCTCGCGATTGTGACGAAAATGGCTTGTGTCACTCGAACAGGCCACCGAACCGGGGCAAGTCGGGGGTGGCTGTTGGGGAGGATGATGTTAAGTAGGTTGGAGGACAAGAGAAAGGAGGGAAAGAGAGAGAGATGTGTCGAGGAGAGTTTGCTTGTGGCCAGCGCTCGCTCCTGAGACGCACAAAAGAAGTATTAGCGGATCGTCTGTGGAGGCGCTCGCAGAGCAGAGACCACGATTGTCGTCGACTGATAGGCCCAGGCGCAAAGAGAACCGTTCCGGCAAAGAAAGTGGCGGACTTGTCAAGGGGGATGAGGGGTTGACAGCGGGAAAAGAGGCACAAGGGAGAGGGCGATGCGAAGCAGAGAGAGACAAGAGAGAGAGAGTAAAAAACAAGCATCAACAAGACGTATCGTGAGAGGCGTCGTTGATAGGCAAAAAAAGGGTTCAGAGGCGGCGCTGGTTCGGTGGGGAACGGCGCAAGAGAAAAAGAGGCCAAGGAGGCTCACCTGGGCTTTTTTTGGAGAATGCAGAGGTCAAAGGGCAAACCAAAGGCTAAGTACAGGTCGAACGAAGAACAAGAACCAAAGGAGAGGGTCGAAATGTCGGCCGTGTCGTCCAGCTCGCCGCTGCTACGATTGCCTCGCAATGGGCAGAGGGGGCATGGAAATGGAAGAAAGAAAAAGAGAGTGTGAGAGAGAAGTGAAAGGGAGGACGAGGCGTCTATCTGGCGAGGCTTTGTCTTTGAGCGGATCATGGCATGGAGCGCTACCGCCACTTTCTTTGATGCTGCGACCCTTGTTCACTCTTGCCCCGGGGGGCTAGAACAACGGGCAGACAGACGGCAGAGGTACAGCTGAGGTACCGGGATTTTGCAGTTGGTACGGCTTTCAGGGAGGCGCTACAAGCGTTGGGCGAGTGGGAGGCGCTAAGCCGGCACAGTAGCGACATCTGGAATACCTGGCCACCCGGCGACTTGGTGCCCGAATGAACGAGTATCCAGCAGGTAGTTGACATGTGGACCTCAAAAGTACAGCGGATAGCATCAGGTACACGTGCGATACCGATTCCAAACCACCTCCAGTCGATGCTAATACCCCAGGTAGCACTACCAAGGTACCCGTTCTGTATGCTAGGTGACTTGTCCTGCTTCTGGTTCCTGGCTTGGTTTGACGCTGCGTGGCCATCCAGCGTTGGCCTCGTCGATGCCGCCTGCAGGTTGCTGCTGCTGATGCTGCTGCACTCCAGTCACTGCACTGCGCTGTTGTCACTTGCGCTTTGGGCTCTGCAGCGCGCCCTGCATCAGTCCAGAGGTACCGGTACGCGGCAGGGGAGGAGCCCTTCCAAGTCCTCGCTGCGTTAGCGGTTGGCGGGCCTTCTGGCGGGCCTGGAGGGCCTAGAGGGGGCCTGTTCCGAGACCTGCGGGAGCGGCGTCGAAGCCTCCAACACGCCGGGCTCAGGTACATGTACTTGGATTCGTATCTTGCGCGCAGGGCTCCGCACCAGAAGCTTTAAGCGTTTCTGGCCGAAACATGGGATTGACATGGGCGCGTGAGCACCGCCGGCAGGACGAAAACTCACTGCTAATGCTCGCTAGGCACATCCCGAGAGAACACATGGGAATCTATCAGTCCTAATCCAACCCCCGTGCCGCTTCTGACAGCATCGTGACAAAGGGAGAAGAGAGAAAACAGCGTGGCGGAACGAGCTCTTCATTGGGCACCGCGCCTGCGGAGCTGTTATTGCTCGCATTAGCAGAAACTCTCTTTGGCCTGGGGGGGCGCTGGGGGGGAAGAAACAGAAAATTGACTGGGCAGAGAAGATTCCCCGGCCTCTTTGGGGGCTGTGTAGAAGGTACGATTGCGTTTGGGGAGAAACGACACTTTGAATGGCATGATGTCCGTGATGGAGGTGGCACCGCATAAGGCGCTGCAGAAGCGCAAACAAAGGCGTGGAGATAAGCAGGAGACGGAGCGGATGGGTTATTCGATTGCGTTGCCGGGCTTCGAACAGGCTGAATATGCAGCAAGCGCTGAAACGTAACAAACGCAGAAATGCAGCATCTACCCGTACATTTGGAGTCTTTCCCTCAGTTGGTTCTGATCCTTGTTGGACTTATACTTTGACTTGACATCGGACAAGATTCATCTCAACTCTGGTAAGTGATGATCGCAAGCCCGTCGTCCTAATCCAGACTAGCGGCGTGTCCGCAACATGTAATGTAGCAACTTTGCATTGCCGAGCTTCAGTTATAGGCAATGTGCCTGAATCTCCCACTCGGCCAAATCAAATAGGAATTGATAATCGCGATTGAAGAAAATAGAGACACTTGATTTACGACTTCTTCAATCGTTTTGCTTGCATCACTACATCAAATTCATCAGCGTCACCGTCCCTGTAAAATCTACCAACAAAAAAAAGACCCCTCCCCCAACGAACCAGGGTCTCCTCCACACTAAATCCAACCACCAAAATCTCCAGCATCGCCAACTATTTCCCTTCTTCCCTTTTCCCACCTCCAACTCTCCTCCCACAAGACTCTCTCTCTCTCTCTCCACACACAATCCAATTCGCGTCGCAAATCCTGCAGCCATGGCCCCCTCCAAAAAGGCAGCGCCCGCCTCCTCCCCCGTCAAAACCGCCTACCTCATCCTCTACAATGCCGTCTCCGCCATAGCCTGGGCCTCCGTCCTCGAAAAGACGGCTTCCACGCTCTACGCCGGCGGAGGCCCCAGCCTCGTCTACGTCACCACGGGCGAACAAACGAAATGGGTTCAAACCGCGGCCGCCATGGAAATCCTGCACTCCCTCTTCGGTAAGCAACAACAATCCCAACAACGGTTCCTCAATCATCAAATTCCTTTCTAACGCGAAAAATCAACCCTGCAGGAGTCGTCCGCGCCCCCCTCTTCACAACTCTCATGCAGGTCGCTTCCCGCTTCCTCCTCGTCTGGGGCGTCCTCTTCCTGTACCCGTACCTCGCCGTCGAACTGCCCACCTACAGCTCCATGCTCATCGCCTGGTCCGTCACCGAAGTCATCCGCTACTCCTACTTCGCCCTCAGCCTCGCCGGCTTCACGCCTCGCATCCTCACCTGGTTGCGCTACAACACCTTCTTCATTCTGTATCCCATTGGCATTATGAGCGAGTGCTCGCTCATCTATTTTGCTGCCGTGGGACCTGCTACCAACGCTACCGAGTATCCCTTGACTCTGATGCCCTACATTCTCTATGGCATTTTGGCAATCTATGTTCCAGGTAAGTACATTGTCTTTTTATGGCCTGCAAGAGTAAATTATCGCAGACCAAAAGATCTAACAAGTTTTGCAGGCGCATACATCCTGTATACTCACATGATGGCTCAAAGACGAAAGGTCTTGCGTAGCTTAAAGACCAAGGACGAAAAGGCGACACAATAAGCGGCAAATAATTATACAAAAGGAGCAAGGATCAAATCTATGCAAGACATGGTCATATTTGCATACTAGATTTGGCAGGAGTTTTTGCGATTGGGATAAATAGACGGGCAGAGCGTAACATTGGAAGAAGAAGAAAAAACCAAATACGGTGTGTGTATACAGACAGTAAATAATGCTAATCGTAAAAATATTCAATCCAACCGTCTTCTTCGCGCCAATTGACACCCCCCATGTACCGAGTATCTTCTATTTTCATGGCACATCATGGTAATACCACGCCTTCACCTCAGCTGCTGGAGCTGCCGGGACTGCCGAGATCTAGATTGTGGCTCATGGCTTCCATCAGACCAATCCCTACGCACCCAAGAGCCAATCAAGCCTGACGAATCTTGTAACAGCTTCTCGAATGCCGGGTTCTTCTTGGCTTCAAACATGCCTATCAAACACCATTAGCATTCTAGAACGGGTCAATCGAAAAGATGAGACAAAAGGGGGATTCATACTGATATGGGCGTTGATCTCGTCTGGCACACTATCATTCACAGCCGCTATCCAGTGCCCAGAAGGCTGCTTGTTCGGCACAACGCAAAACGTCCTGTCCTTGCCCAGCACGGTGCCGACCATGCTGACCGTCTTGCTCTCCGCCCCCTTGCCCAGCCGGGTATACAGATTGGCGAAGCCCACGTTCAGCTCCGCGCTCAGCTTCTCCATGTACGCCACTCGCTGCTTGAGAGCCTCAGGCCGAGCAAGGCAGCCCACAAACTCGAGGTGGGAAGACACCCAGGACCAGCCAGTCGAGATGTGCTCGCGGTTCATCCACGCCGCCGCTCCGCCCGCCGCCACGGCCGAGGCAGCAGCTCCGTACATGGCAATCTTTCCCCAACCCCAGCCGCCATCGTCACCCTTGGCGGGCGGCGCCTTGGTAAGCGCGGACGAAGCAGCCGAGGCCGTGGCAGCAGCTTCGTCGCCGCCGCCTCCCACCATCTTCCACAGCGATCCCAGCTGTCCAAGAGCCGACTGTGCCGTCTGGTAATGGCCCTCAGCACCGTACGCAACCACACCGGGCGCAATGCCCAGGTACGGAGTATCGTAGGCCAACACGCCCTGGATGCGAGGAAACATGAGGTGATTGAACGTCGGGCCGCCACCAGACTTGTCAATGCCGTCTTCCGTGTAGATGGGCTTCTCAGCAGCCAGTCCCATGACCGTCTCTGCAGCGACGATGCCGCCCATGGAGTGTCCGATCAAGATCGTCCGGACGGATGGCTCGACCGTTGGCGATGCCGTGCCCATGGCGACTTCATAGTCGATGACTTTATCCTGCAGCCTATTTCCCGCCATTCATGTCAGCCCTGTAACTGTGACTCTTCTTCAATGGCACCCAAGAGCAGAATGTCGCACTCACCAGCTGCGGAACCTGCTCACGGCCTCACCCAAGTCGCCCCTCGTCTCGTATTTCGGATACACCAGCACCTTGATACTAATGCCAGGCAGCTCCCGTATCACCGCCGCGCGAAGCTCCTCGACAAACGAGTAGTTGTCTCCAAACGTGGATTCGCCCCCCTGCAGCCCATCAACAGACACAATGCGATTAGCTCAAGTCCAATGCCACTTTAGCACAATTGAAACCCCCCATTTCGCAATGTCGTTGGCAGCCCATCACCACAGCCCAACGACCATGCTCCTCAACACGGATTCTCCCCCACCACGCACGACCCTGTCTGTACAAGCGGTGGAGGGGTTGGAAGAGGCCAAAGCAAACACCAAGACAGAAAGAAACAAACGTACCTTGAATCCATGAATAAAGCATAAAATAAGCGTCTTCTTCATCTTGCCGTCCTCCGCGGTGACGCAACTGGCTGTAACTCAACTTGTTCCCACGACGGCCGCCGCCAGCAACTCGGTGGGAGGAATTCGGGGTCTTCGTTTTTTTCGGTGTTGCTTCAGCCGTTAAGAAAGCCCCATGTCGCGTCACTGGGCATCGAGGAACTGCAGGGTGCCCGCCTTGGGCTGGCGCGAATGGGGTATAAATGGATGCTCAAGAGGTGGCGAAGCTGCGGCAGATGGCGTTTGCTGACGGCATTTGGGCACTGGGCAAGTTGCGGTACAGTGTACAGTACAGCGCTATAGCTCAGTATAAGGCAGCCCCGCTAGCACTAAAGGCGTTTGTTCAGTCAGTAGAGCTAGCTGTTAGTGTCGTTCACATGTTTTTGGCTCATCGTCAAACAAACAAACATTGTCACCACTGTCATGTAAAACATTGCTGCTTTTGCGTCTGTATCAACGTCTATTAAGAATACATTTTACTACTTTATCTAGACATGCACAGGCAGGGAGACAATCAACCCAAGAAAAGACACGGCAGACCGCCACAAGGACAGTCGCCATGCTCTCTGGACTCCTCTCCTCTTCCAATCCTTCCCTTCCCAATAGAAAAAATTATTAAGAAAAAAAGGGGGGGTCCTCTGGTCATCCAAATATGCCGCCCAGATGCTTCAGCCATCTGCTCTCTCTCTCTCTCTCTCTCTCCATGTCAACCTCGTCTTGTACATTGCTGGTATTTTTGGCCTGCCTGGACCTGTCCTCGCCTTTCCCTGAGTTGCACACGATATAAACGCCGATCCTCCCAACGCCGCAGAATACATGATCAAACAAGCCGCTTGCGGGGCAATTCGTCGGGAGATGTTGTCCTCCTCCTGGTGCCATCAATTTTTCTAATTATTCTCCCGCTGGCAACCGCATAAACCCCCCCATTTCGTCGTGAGTAGGCAATTCCCCTGCTCTCTGGTCATAAAAGAGGAAGAAGGGTGTGCATCGTCAATCTCGTAATCATCCTCAGTCTTCGTCGCTTTGGGCGGCAGAGCGAGCGCCATTCGCTTCTCTGGCCGCACTGGAAATGATCTTGATACGAGTTCCGCTCGGTTGCGGGGTGCTTCCGTTGCCAGAAGGCGCTGCTGATCCTGCCTTGCCACCTTCTTCCAACTCCAGAAGCTCTGGGTGTGCGTCCAACTCCTCCTGGTATTTCTGGGTGAAAAATTCCTATTTTCAAACAATTAGTCTTCGATATGCTAAATGGCTCCTCTCTGTTCAATGTTGACTTACATCCATCGTTTTAGCATCCTGATACAGGATGCTGCCATCTTCGTTGTATGTTTGACAATTGCGTATCAGCAAGTCAAAGTCCTTGCGAAGGTCGCCCAGGCAGTTGTACTCCTCCTTCTTGATACGCGTCTGAATGTGATTCATGCAAATGGGGTTTTGAATAATCACATAGTAATCAGCATACTCGCGCTTCGGAGGCAGCTTGACAAACGGTCCGATAATGAGACGCTTCCCGGCATCAGATTCGTCATCCTCTGCCGGTGGCTCGATGTCGTCCACTTCCAAGTTCATTAGACTGTCGTAGAGCGCCCGCAAACTCTTTTGCAGAACCTCTCGTTGCTGCGCCGACATTCGAGAATCAGCGTGGGCGGCAGACTTGCTGGGCCGTCCCTGAGGGCCGCGTCGCTTCTTCGTAGGAGGCTCGTCATCCCCTTCTTCTGCCTTTCGTTTGTCATTCTTGCTACCAGGCTTGCGGCCTCTCTTCTTGGGCGTCTCGACTTCTTCCGTGCTAGCTCGACTAACCGTGGGCGAGTCGTCAACTGAGTTTACTACACTCTTCTTGAGCCTGTTGGCCTCTCTCTTGTCCTTGCGAGCTTGCTTGCGTGCCGCGGCCGCTTCTGGAGAATCCTCGTCATCATCCACAGCCATTAACCATTGCTCTTCTGTTAGGCCATCGTCGTATTTCACCTTGGTACGCTCACGAGCGCCACGACCAAGAATAACTTCTTCAGCATCATCGGAGATGGGATTGCCCTCGTTGAGATAAATATCTGGCAGCTCGTCTTCACCCATCAGTCGAGACTTTCCTTTGGGACCGCCATAGACGGGGTCCTTCTGCCTGTCATCGTCCAGCTTTTGGAAAACTACAAGCTCATTGTCGTTACGAGCGAGTAACATGTTGAGCTCCTCATCTTCCATCTCCTCTTGCTCGCCAGACTCGGCCATGTCGGCAGTTTCCAGCAAAGTTCGAAGCATGGCGTCTCGATCAGTCTCGGAGGATTTGTTGTCGAAACGACCTGCCTGGATGACTTTGCCGTCCATGTCCAGCTTGAACCTAGCGCGTTCCAAAATCTTCTCTTCAACCGAGTTGGAGCTGATGAGACGCAAGATTCGCACTTCGTTCTTCTGGCCGATACGGTGAGCACGATCCTGAGCCTGCAGATCCTGATGAGGGTTCCAATCAGAATCGTAAATGATGACAGTGTCGGCCGTTTGCAGGTTAAGACCCAGACCACCGGCACGAGTAGACAGCAAAAACAAAAAGTATTCAGAGCCAGGAGCGTTAAAGTCTCGGAGGAGGTCAGATCGCTCATCGGATTTCGTTGTACCATCCAAACGTAGATATTTGTAGCTCCGGTAACGAAGATAGTCTTCCATAATGTCCATAATGGCCGTCATCTGGAAGAACATCAACACACGATGGCCGGTCGCCTTGTACTTTGGTAGAATTCGATCTAGCAGTTCGAATTTACCCGCCGTTCTCCAGAGGAGGTCGTTGCTGATGTTGAGGGGGTTCATGACATTCTCGACAACATCAAACACAAACGGATGGTTGCAAAGCTTTCGCAGCTGCATAATCATGTTGCTCAAACCGCGAGCACCCGTCTTACCACCCTTGCCATCGCTGACAACCAACTTATTGTGCGTAACCATCTGCTTGTACAACTTGGACTGCAGAGCCGAGAACTTGCACTTGATGACCTTTTCGGTCTTGTCGGGCAAGTCTTTCTCGACATCCTTCTTCAGACGACGCAGCAAGAAGGGCCGCAGAACCTTGTGCAGACGTCGAATGACGAGAATCTGCTCTTCTTCAGTGAGCTCCATCTTGTCCTGGCCACCAGTGTTGGCAAAGGGAGTGTTGAACCATTCATCAAACGTCTTGACAGACTTGAAGATGTTTGGCAAGACGAAGTTGAGCATGGCCCACAGCTCAGAAAGGTTGTTCTGAAGAGGAGTACCGGTGAGAATCAGACGGAAGCGCGTGGTGTAGTACTGCTGAATGGTGGCGCTGAGCTTGGATTGCGTGTTCTTCATACGATGACCTTCGTCGATGATCATGTGGAACCACTTGATCTTGCTGAGAATAGGCCGATCCTTGATGATGTACTCGTAGGTCGTCAAGAGGACCTGGAACCGGCCCTGTCGAATCTTCTCCTGCTGCAGTTTACGGGTATTGGGAGGACCCTTGTACACGACGCGAGCTACAGACGGGGCCCACTTTTCGAATTCGAGGTTCCAGTTGGTAAGGGTACTCAATGGAACAATCACCAAGTAGGGTCCGCTCTGCTGCTTCTGCTCAATCAGGTAGGTGATCAGACTGATGGTCTGGATCGTCTTTCCGAGACCCATTTCGTCGGCAAGGATACCGTTGAGGTTGTTATTATATAGGGATATCATCCACTGCAAGCCCTTGATCTGGTACTCCTTCAATGAACCTCCAACCAGGATGCTGGCCTGCTGGGTAACCTCTTCGCGGATGCGATGCGCAACAGCGTAGTAGTCAATCTTCTTACCGCTGTCCTCTTCGTCAATTTCGCTCTCTTCCTCAACAAAGGTGCCCGCGTCGGTACCATATGTCTCGGCGGCTTGGCGCTGCTGGGCCTTGACCGACGACGCAAGCTGGTGCAAGAAGCCGTCGGTCTGCTTGAGCAGATGGGTGATACGAGTATCCTTGGCTTGGTCGAGCAGCTTGAGATAAGCTTCCTCATCGTTAGCTTTGAGGGCCTGCAGACGCTGCTTGGCTGTCCTCTCAATGCGCTTCTGCTCTTCCTTCTCGATGTTGAAATGGTGTGAGTACATGAGTCTGCTGAGTTTGTGCGACTTGTTCTTCTGGGCGGCCGCAGTCTCGGTAATCTCGGCACGATGGTTGTAAATGGCCCGAAGGAAGTCGTTGTGCTTCTTCTTTTCGCGGTTTTCGCGAGCATCACGCTGCTGCTTCTCAAGCTTCTCTGTAATGCGAGCCTCGCGGACATTCTGCTTCTTCATACGACGGTAGTTTGTCCGGTTGGTCGTCATGGCGAGGTTGTCGTAGTGCATCATCTGGCGGGCAATTTTCTCGCGAAGAGCCCGCTGTTTAGCGTACAAGGCCAAGCTCTTCATTTCAATGACGGCCTTGACCTTGAGAGAGTCGTCAACCTCGACATCCTCCTTGGTAGTGTCCCAGTGGGCAATGTTGGCAGGCAGATTCTTCAATTCCGAGTACCGTTGGCTCATGCGATTGAAGACGACGACTTCTCTTTCATACCGCAGGTGGTCGAAATCGATGCCTGTCGGAAAGACACCTGGAATAAACCATCGGTTCTTTCGCTGTGCATGATCAAAATACTTGATGGAGGATCGAATCATGCTGGTGCCATATGGTGATTTGACAGTCTTGTAGGTATGCGGCTTGGGAAGTAAGAGCGACTCGTCTTGAGCAGAAGGCTCGACGCCATTTGGCGTAGACTTGGAAGCATCCGAGCCGGGTTGGGGAGTCTTTGCCGAGGCCGGAGTTGGAATCGAGGACGTGGTGCCAGCTTGGCGTAATTGACGCTGCTGGAAAATGGCTTGCTGGAGCTGCATAGAGATGCCGGCGTTCTTGCCAAGAAGCTTGAACGCATGGATCTGTTGTCTAAGCAAGCCCAGCTGCTTTTGCGTGAAGTGGCTCGACGATGAACCGGAGCTTGATGGCGGGGGGATGCTCGGGGCAGCGGCGGTGGGTGCATTCAAATTGGGCGCCGCAGTCGTCGCTCCAATGGCGTTTGGCGCAGCCTGCGTCGTTTGGGGCCCGTTTTGTTGCGGGCGACCCGGGTGAACGCCATTGAGAGTGCCATTGGCACCATTGGCAGCGGCATTTTGGGCGTTTTGAGCATTCTGGTGCATCTGCTGCTGAGCCTGGATGTACTGCTGCTGAGTTCGTCGCATGTTGTGTTGCTGCTGGAAGTTGAGCAGGAACTGTGAGGCTTTCACATATTCGGGGTCGGATGGCGGGATGCCCTGTTCTTTCATTTGCTTGAGTTTCTATCCGAAGAGTGTTAGCTTGGCGTCTAGGAAGAAGACATGGCAACCAACGCGAGATGGAACAAGTATAACCGAGTCAAAAAAAAAAGAAAGAAGAAGAAATAACAGGCGCGTAGCTGCATACCTTGAAGACCTCTTCGGCCTGTTGCTTGGTCGCCCCGGCAGGCATTGGCGCGCCCGGGAGCTGGACAGCGGGCGACATCTGTACTGATGCCATGGTGATGTGTTGTGATGGAGTTGGGCCAAGAGCCGTTTAACCTGTCGACACCCCAATATGTATCTCGATGGTAATCCACCTATAAACAGTGCATAGCGAGGAGCGAGCGTGTGAAAGTCGTGCCCGGCGTGTGCGAGGCTGGCGTGGCTGTTGTTGCGACTCGGCGATGGGGCGTCCAAGTAGAATCAAGGATGGATACCGGCAAAAAAAAAAAGTTGCAGGCGGCGCGTCAAACCGAGCAAAAGAAATAGGTCACGAAGGTGAAGAAAAAAGACAATGCGCGGCGAGTGGTGTCGTAGGGACAAAGTCACCGGTTTGGTGAGACTGCGAGTTGGGCAAAGGGCAAGGTGGAAAAGGCGTCAACGGTCAAGATCCGGGCCCGTGGGAGATTGCGGCAACGACAGCCTTGCGACGCTCTTAGACGCGGACGTGGGGGATCTCGAGGCGAGAGGTTCAACCCCAAGCCAAGGGGGCTCCGAAGCGGATGCGAAGAGAAAAAAAAATCCTGCCCAGGGGGAGGCGCGGCGCGTCGGATCGGGTGCCGCAGGCGTGAGCGGCGTGCAAAATCGCGTGAAACACGAGGTTTGCGACGATTGGAGATGGACGCCGATGGTTTGCGAGGGGACCTGGCGGTTTTTGGGATGCGCGCGCTGGCTGATGATGGAGTGGTGAAGACACAACTGACAAGATTCGGCGTGATGGCTGGTGCGGTTCTGGCGCGGCTGACCACAGTACATTTGAGCACGATGCCTGCGCACGCCTCAGGCTGGGGCTTGGGTTGGCTGGGGGGAGGCAAAGCCCGGAAGAGATTTCGCTATTGGGTTAAGGGGGTCACGTGATGGGATGCACCGCTATCTCTCTCTTTTCCTCTCTCTCAGACGGGGAAGAATAAGAGTGGGGCTCAGGAACAACAAGGTACCTGGATACTATAAAGAGAGAGGGAGAGAGAGAGAGAGAGAGTTGCAGAGAGTTGCAAAATGAAAGCAGCAAAATCCATTGTAAAATCATGTATAATGGCAGCTTGCTTGGTAGAATACTGGCAATAAATAAAAGATGGGTACACCATTATCATTATAGGTAGGCAGCGATCCAAAAGATGGCTGCTGCTTTATGTAGATGGATAGATGAACCTTGATTATACGTTTACGCTTACAACGACACCAAACACATATATACACACCCTCGAGAAGCTGTTTACCGCTTCGCACGCTTCCTATCTGGACCCTCCTTGTCGTCGTCATCGTCGCTCAGCTCAGCATACTGCGTCTCTGGCTGCGTCTTGTTCCACGCCTTGGTAAACATGGGGTCGCTCTGGGCCTTGTCAGCATACTTCAGCAACGCTTCACGGGGATCCTCGTGCAGCATCTTGGCCAGAGGAATGTTCTCCGCAATGTGCCGTTCGTCTGGCTGGCTCTTTTGAAATGGCGTTTGCAGTGGCACCTCAGGCCGTCGGGGATCCTTGGACTTGCCAGTACCCGTGACTCCAGCCTTGCGCGAGCCCTGCATGGCCCCAGGCGTAACAATGGAGTCGCCCGAGATGCCGACGTTCTGGTCCATTGTAAACTCGGGATTGTCGTCAATGTGACGTTTCTTGGGCGCTCGCGACATGACCTCTACAGCACCGCGGCTGGACATGGAAGGGTTGTACAAGACGTGCGTCTCGGCGTTCGCTGAGCCTGTGACAATCTGGTTAATCTTGGGGTGCCAATCCACAGCAATCAAGGCCGATCCTGGCGTGATCGGAGTGACATGTTCTGGCTGCAGATTGCCAGGGTTGAGGATGTGGAGATGGCCCGTGGCCGAGCCGGTGATGATGCTGGCGGAGTTTGGTGAGTATCGAATATTGCTCGTGGGGTAAATGTCTGAGGTGGACAAGTGCGACACCGTGACAAGAGGCCTGTCAAACTTTCGAGTGTCCCAAAGCTTAATGAAATCGTCACCGCCTCTCGTAACAACCATGCGGCCGTCAGAGGAAATGTCAATGCCGCTCGTCCACGTCTGGGGCTTGTGTGCCTCTCTGATCTCGCCGGCAGGCCGGGTAAATGGCCCGTTGCCGCCATACATGACCAGGGATCCGTCTAGAGCGGCGCCGATTAGCACGTTGCTTCCTTGGGCAGAGGCCTTCCACGCGACAGCAGTCATTTTGGTCCGACCAGCTGAGCCCGCGGCCTTGGACTTGAAGACTATGACATCTTTTTGTGAGCGCTTGTTGTTCACGTCCCATATTCGTAGGGTGCTGTCAGTCCCTGCCGTGACACAGAGATTCTTGTCGGTGGGATGCCAAGTGCCGGTGGTGATTTCCGAGATGTGTCCCTTGGTATTGTGCATGTCCCGAAGATACATATCACCCTTGACGAATTCTGTCAAGATATCTCCATCTCGCGATATTATTCTTGCCTGTGGGTGGGCGCATACGCAAAGCAATGCGCCGCCCGCCAACGGGTTGAACTCAACGAGGTGAACTGGATGGGCCTCGGCACTGGCAGCTGTTCTCTTAGATACAAACGGGTCGATACTGCGGAATGCGCGAAGCGTTGTCGGCGTCATTGACGCGAAATCGTGGAGCTTGACGGTACAGTCTAGAGAAGCAGAAGCCAATCTGCCTCCTGCAGGGTCTAGAGACACGGTGGTGACGGCGCGTTCTTGAGTCTTGAGAACAAGCTCATGCGATACTGGGAATTCGTCCTCGTCATCGGATTCATCCGAATCGTCGCTGTCGTCGTCGTCGTCGCTTGAGCCACCCTTATTCTTGGATTGCTGTGCTTGTTTCCCATGCCCATCTGTGCCACTTGTTGCCGAAGTCGTGTCCACTTTTCTGCGGCTTCGTTCGATTTGGGCCGCGATATCCGCCTCTTTTGACTTCTTTCCGAACGAAGTAGGAAGAAACGCCCTCATGGGATCATCCTCAGCCAGCTCCGGAGCCTCGATTTCGTACTCATCGTCGCTAGCCATGCTGAAAACTCGGAATGTCCAGGCGAGAGAGACAGCGAAGCCACTTACGACGGAAGAAGGCAATCTTGTAGGAGGAAAGGGAGGAGAAGAGGCGCGAATTCAGAGTGGCAAATAGAGCACACCGGCGCAGCAGTGAACAGAGGATGCCCAATGGCTTTAAATGTATCTGCGTTGAGGTAGGCATTGGGTTCCTGACCGGGCTGACTCAGCCAAAGCTACCTTGTGAAAGAACAGCCCAACTCGAAGGTACCTATTGTGCAGCATATACTTCAAAGGTAATGGTGCTGAGGTTGTTATTGTTTTACTGAAATTAATTGCACATTGAAATCATGCTGTATGCCAATTAGACACCACCAATGAGCCATGATTGAATCATTTGTTACGCTCATTTGCGAGCTATAGGTTAGCACCTTGATGCGTTGAAGCAATCGCAGTACGTCATTGGCTCCACACCGAATAGAAGGCTTCACCGAAATCCGATCTCTGGCGCGTGCCTGCGCGATTGCTTTTCAATCTCCCTTCATTCGACCTCCAGGAACAACACAATGCCGCCGGAGCGCAGTATCGACGAAGATGAGGAATACGAATCTTCTCAGGATTCCGACTTCGCGCCGGACGACGCGCCCGAAGCAGCGTCTGGCTCCTCAGACTCTGAAGAAGAAACAGATGGAGCTTCTGGAAAGCGTCGACGACCGGCGAAGGACGTGAAGACCGACGGAGAAGAAAATTATGACAATTCAGGCGACGAAGCGATAATTGGAAAGGGTCGGAAACGGCAGAAAAGAGCCAAGGCCAAGGGCGAATCCGTAGATGACGAAGGCGGCGAGGGCGGCTTAATCAAGACAAGGAGACAACGTGCAGCAGAGTATGCTCCAACCCCGCTACTACGATTTAGTATACTGGACATGACTAAGAGCCGAATAGAAAAGAAGAGCGCCAGTATGTTGCGAGCAGAGGGCCTGTGACGGTCGACATCGATGCTATTTGGGCGGAGATGTTGGCGGGAGGCACCCCAGCCGCTGGACAGCAGAACAGTGAAGAAGGCAAGCTAGCTAACGGGAATGACACGGCCGCCACAAACGAGAATCCCGATTTAAAAGAAGACGAATCTGCCATGATTCGCATTAAACGCACATACAACTTTGCCGGTCGAGTCCACACCGAAGAGAAGCTCGTAACTCGCGACTCGGCCGAAGCCAAGCTCTACCTCGCCTCGCAAGGCGAAGATGCGCTACCAGATTCACTACCGATCAAAAGACTGACCAAGAAAGCGTTCCGATCGGCTTTTGAGCCCGTAGTAGAGGGAATGACCAACCGCTCGGATCTAAACCTTGGGCTAGCCGCCAGGATGAAGGCGGCCAACGAAGCTCAGGCAAAGAAGCTCAACACGGTGGAGAAGAGTCGCATGGACTGGGCCGGATTCGTGGACAAGGAGGGCATCAAGGACGAGCTGGCGCTGGCTGGCAAGTCCAAGGATTCCTATGCCTCGCGGCAAGACTTTTTGGCCCGGAGCGAGGCCATGCGGGAGGGCGAAGCAAGAAAGGCGAGGGTGGCGGGGCGAGTGTAGGCTGGCTAGAGGCATTGGCGTTTGGAATGATACCACGGCTTGGGTTTGGGTTATGCGTAGAATGGCGATTCGTGTGTTTACATGTTGGGATAGAAATGGCATATGCATCATGGTGGGTTTATTACTGCCAGTCTAGCTCAGGCTCCCTCCTCAGTTATATGCCCTGGGCCCATCTACTACAGAGATCTTTTGTTGAATTGAACTGTATATATAGATCCCGTAAGATTGTCACTGCTATTATCACCAGTTAAAGATGTCTGTTTACTCCCATCCGACAAGATTTCTAGTAGTGGAGGTAGTTCAACCGGACTTCTCTAGCATCCTACATATTGGCTAATAGTCTCCCGTTCAATCATCAGCAAATCAGGCTTAGGTCGAGTCGTATAACGGTTAGTACAGTCGCTTCACATCTTCGAAAGAAAATGCGGAGCGCGCGACAGACCCGGGTTCGACTCCCGGCTCGACTACGCGATTGCTTTTTGCAGTTTTTTTTGATGGAATTGTTGAAGATTTGATGCTATTGCGGTTGGATGGATGGATACTGACTGGCTGGCTTTTGTTTTTGTATGCATTGCTCCTGTCAGTTATTCTCACGTTGGATTTTACACGACCCCTCCTCACTACCTAATTAATAGGGTAGGCTGGTTCACAGATCAAACTTCAATACTCGTCACGGCCAGTATGAAGTGTACGATGATAACATGCTCTATTGGTACATACAATTATCCGCCAAACAAGTGCTTGCTTTACGACTTCCATCTCAGCTCTACCGAGTCTTGTGATACTTGAAGGTTGATACGCTTAAAGTTTGCCTCGCTGGTCACCCACTTCCGGTCCTAATTCTAGAACACAGCACTGTTGACACAACATCGGCCTGCCCGCTGCAAACACTGCATCTGAGTAACGAAACACATCGATCGTTGACGCATCACGACTTAATTGCTAACGTTGTGTTGCTTCTTTGGTCTAGTTTGCATTGTATGCACCACGGTTAGTCCTACGCAACTATCACTAACAAACAAATTAATAGCACGGCATGAATAGAGCTTCTACCTAGCAGTCTTCACCTCATCCAACAGAACCGTGTACTAATCGATATATACTACTATACCTGGTAGGTACTGAAGTTGAAACTGGCTGTGCCGACTTACAAGAACATCAGTATTACTACCTGCTTAAATACCGTATTCCAAATTCAATGTCAAGTGCTATTTATGTGTCTTGAAGAATGAGACGTGCTACTCAGCATCTCCTTCCCGGATATCACCAAACACAAGATGGTCATTCCTTTCCATCTACACAGCGTAACCTCCCTTCCAGATACCCGAGCACTCGGCTGATGGAGTAGAAAAAGGCCGGCAAGGCACGCAACCCCGAGTCCTAGCCATGATATCTTGACATCTCCTACAACCACCACAAACATCATCACCATCATACCTATCTTGATACCTCACAGCACCTATTACCAAAAGACTCAGCGCAATGTCCTGCATATCAACAACAATCCTCCTCCTCCTCACCATCTTCACCTCCTCCATCCTCGCCCGCCCTCCAGACATCACCTTCCTCTGCAACGAAATGCCCGAAATCTGCACCAACATGTGCTGGGCCGTCCGCTGCGCCCAGCCGTCGTTCCCCCAGACATTCTCTCTCGGCCTCAACCCCTACGGATACGGCTCCTCCAACAAAACGCACATCTCCGCCAGCTGCCGCGCCAACGACCTGTGCGGCACCCAAGGCTTCAACAAAACGGGCCATCGCGGCGTTCCAAACTGCGCCTGCAACGCTTACCCTCTGTCCGTAACCTTTGAAGACGCTGCGTTTCCTCCGCTTCCCCAGCACCACCGGGTCTCGAGGTGCGTGCCTGAAGAGGAGCAGTGCATCCAGCGCAGCCAGCTGGAGCTCTTTGCGAAGCGGCTGCGCCAGCGGAGTGATCGGCAAGGCATGCGTCAGCTCTCCATCAACTTTGGCAATCCGGGCGGCATCAAGTACTGCAACAACGACCCCTGTGTCAACGACGGATTCGAGGTCCAGGACGGCCGTGTCAGGAGAAAGAGTCGGCGTTCCGAGGCGCCCATGTTCACCTACTACAAGACAAAGTCCGGCATCATCGTCGCCTCGCTTGAAGACATGGACATGCCGTCGCCGATTATACGCCGCGTGGGCAGTGGTGAACCGGTTCCTCCTAGCTTCAGGACTTGGTTTGAACGGGCTCACGAGGAGACGGTGCACATGATGGAGGATACCATCGTCCGGCGACTGTCGGACCAATCAGTCGGTGTCTATGATGGTTGAGCAGACTATAGGATAGTTGGTAGTTAGTACTGCATCACGTTGAGGGGTAAAGGTTCGGAATAGGGGTACAGGGAAAGAAAATCATAATTCCTATGTTGCATGCTAAATTCGTGGCGACTCAAAACATCAATGCTTCCAGTAATCGTCCCAGGGTATCTCAGCTTTCCTCACAATTGTTCAAAACGCCCATATCCATAAGCAATGCTTTCAAGCCAAATGTCCATCTTCCTTGTCCGCGCCGCCAAGTGACAGCTACCTGACATGTACCTCCAGCGTGTCCATGTCGTCGATGCCAGCATCCTCCATAGTTTGATGCTCCTCAAGTCTCTCGCCATCAAACCAAATGCCCACATCCTTGTCTGTTCCAATACTTCTCTGGGTCCGGAATCCAATAATGAGCGTCTCGACTGTAGTTTCTTGCAGCACACCCAGCTTGACCACCTCCATGTCTTTGGCGACGAGCTTGATGCGTAGTTTAGCCCGCTTGTCCTCTTGCTCCTGCGTCGGCTCTTCCTCCGATAGCTCGCCAGCCTCTCTCTTGATACGCATCTCCTCCTCAAGTTCCCACTGGAGGAAGCCTTCCGCGGTCCATGCTTCCAAAACGACCTTTGTACGCCCGTCCTGCAGGCCCCCTTTGTTATACTCGTTGGCGATGATTTTGCCATCGCCTTGCGGCCTGATTCCCAGCCCAAGCAGGGAAGAATAATTATACACCTTCTTCCTCTGCCAGGTCAAGATGATGTCGCCGTCCGACTTGATTGGTAGCTCTACGCCCTTCCTACGTTGAAGCGCAATCCAACTATCCCGTATCAAGCGAAGCGGTCTGTTGAATTGGTATTTTATATGGGCGACTTTGGTGTTGGAAATGTTGGATCTGACCATGATATCGGCTGCCGCGTCCTTCTTTGCGGTTCTCTCGGAATCCATTTGCATCGTATCCTTGTCACGGGCGCGCTGTTCTTCGGCCTTGCGAACATACTCGCTGAACTCATCGTCATCTTCTTCCACCTCTGCTGTCGCTTGAGTATCGGGAACAACATCAAGAGGCCGCGCGCCGATGATACCCGAACCAACGAACTCGACGCTATCGTCCCGTTGGTACGACATATCAGGCGCAATGGTACCGGCGTTCTCGTCGTCCGAGTCGAAGCCATCCTTAGTGGAAGATTCAGAATCGATTGAGACCAGCGGCGCACCACTCGGCGTCACAGACTCTTTCCTAGGGCGTTTGCTCGGTGTGTGTATCTTGGAGTTTGACCGTAATGACCGCTGGGATGGGGAATCGTTAAAGGGATCGTTCAAAGATTCTGCGGCCGACCGGCGTCGTTTGGCCGACCTTGAGCCTGGTTCGGAGTCAAGTCTTGAGTGCTTTGAAGGTGGAGGAGTAGCAAGCTCTGTGCTGTTGCAACGTTAGCATGGCCAAGGATATGGCTTGAAAACCAGTGACAGCAAGGCTTACCTGAAGCCGTCTCCAACCGGCGGTAAAGGCTCGTCTACAGGAGTCGCCTGAATCTCCTCGGCCGCCCCCGAGACATCGTCGGGAGGGTGTGAAGCCTCTTCCTTGTCGGAATCCAAGAGCTGCTTGTCTGCGACATCCGAGAGGCGCCGCTCTTCCTCCGCCTGCTTTTGCTTCCACTTGTTAAGCTTCCTCTCTCTGTCCGCGGCCACGATGGGCGCCATTTCCCTGGATTGGCGAAACAGATCCAGGTCATCGCCATCGTCACCATTGCCGTTGCTTCGTTTGCTCTCCTCCACGGAGACAGTGGGTTGTGATGGTGGCGCCACATTGCGCAAAGCCGTCGGCTTAAATGGAAGCTTCTTCTTCCTCACTGGGGCGGCGGCTTCATCACTCATGGTGGGGAGTTGCTGGGAGACCAGATACAGCTTGAGATAGAAGAAATGAAAGATCGGCAAAAATAAATCGCCGAAACGGCGCAAGAAGATGGGCTGGGGGCTAGCTCTGGAGCTTCTCTGACGATATCTGGATATTCCGTCCTATAAATACTGTTGTTGCGACAGTGTGATGGCGCGCAAGAGACGAGCGTGTTTACAGCGCTCGATTGAGGGTTTACGGGCTTTGTTAGGGGAAATCACGGGCGCGTGCACCGCTAACTGGCCCCGCCGTATAGCGCATTCAGAGTGCTAGAATGGTACCTGCAAGCCGCTGGCCTTGTCCAACGGCACAGTGCGAGCCGTGCCACATTTGAAGCTTTCAGCCACGATTTGAAAACAGGGTACCTTATCCTTTATCAAGCTCGGCCTCTAAACTTCCCCACGACAAAAGCCCATTGCCAGCAGCCCCTCGACTACAGCAACCATGGAGAACAACGGCATCTCACAAGCCGAGGGAAAGGACCCTTCCAGCTTCCTCAGCGACATCATCGGCAACTCTGTCGTCGTCAAGCTCAACTCGGGCGTCGTCTACAAGGGTAAGTTTTGGGCGCAATTAGGCGGATTGGTTCACTCTCACTCTCTGACTCTTGCGTGTGATTATGGTGTATAGGAGAACTGCAGTCTGTGGACGGATACATGAATATTGCGCTGGAGAAGACGGCGGAATACGTCAACGGCGTCAAGCGGAGGGAGTACGGAGATACCTTTGTGCGAGGCAACAACGGTGAGTGAATGCGTCTTTGATCTTTGATGTTGCAGCCTAGGTATGAATGAAGCGAGCTAACTCGAGGCCAGTCATGTATATCTCAGCAGACTCATAATGACGAGGAGGATTCTTTTAATGCACTCACGGCTACTTAATACTCATGTCCCCTTTCGTTATATGAATATGATATACGATGTTTTCTAAGGATACAAAGAGATATCCTGCTCACAGCTTCTTGCTCCATGCCACCAGAGTCCTTCCGTGCACGGCCACTTCGCCCTTTTCATTGATCTCGCCATTGTTCTCGTTCACCTCCTCATCAAACAGCACCTTGAACGCAGCCTTGTCCTCGCCCTCCAAGGTAAACACATGGCTCAGCGTGTTGATCCGGTCCCACACCGCGCTCTTTTCCAGCCAGACCGTCCACGGCAGCTTCTCCTCCCCAATCGGCGTCGAGAACAAAGGCTTCGCAGACTTGGCCTGGCGGTCAAACACCTGCGGCCACTCATTGTTGCGGAACCTCGGCGGGCCAAAGTCGGGCAGCACGAAGATGCGGGCGTTGAGCGTGTCTTCCCACTTGCTGCCCGCCGGCCACGATCTTGGCTTGTTGTCTGTGCAGGTGTTCCATGTTGTCAGCCCTCCCCCTTCAAGAGAAGAAAAAAACCACGTAGTAAAGCGTGAAAGCAAAAAGATGTCCTTACAATCTTCCACGTTCCAGATCAAAGCCAATGAGCCTCCTGGTTTCAGAACTCGATGGATCTCTGCCAGTGCAACCTCAGTCGCAAACCTGTTGTTTGATTTCACGGCCAATCAGTTTTCAAAAGAGGCATTCCATCTCCTCTCGTTGTTCTCTCACAACGTACCAGTGAAACGCCTGGGCCACCACAATTCCATCTGCCCATCCATCCTCAACATCCATCTTCTCCGCGGTGCCCTCCTTCACCTCAACCCCCCTCAGCTTCTTCTCAGCCAACGTCTCCCTCATCGACGCCGTCGGCTCCACCGCCAGGATCTCATATTCCTCTGGCCGCGCCGACAACAGCTCGGTGAACTTGCCCGTACCAGCTGCCAAGTCGACGATCCTTGCCTTGGACTTGCCCGCCAGGCCAAGATGGGTCAAGAGGCTCTGGACTGCCTCTGATGGGTACGACGGTCGGTGCGTATCATAGGCCTTGGCGTCTTTGAAGCCGACTGATGAGGCATGGAGATACGCTGCAGACGCCATTTTTCAGGACGCTTATTGGTATTTACAAATATTTCGCGTGTAGAGGATGTGGCATCTATTTCTTTACGGGCTCCTAGCTGATTATATAGATGATCATCTCGACATTTCAAAGGCTTATAGCCTCATACTTGTAGCCCACTGGTGCGGAGGTCCGACAACAAACCCGTACTTATTCCCGAGCCGATGAACCGGCTCCGACTGGTTCAAGTGCCGACTCTCGAGGATGATCTCAACGACGGATTACGTCTTTACGTACTGTATAGACTGCAACGAGAGAAATTATAGTCAAACTCGTAACTATGGCATTTTCTTCTTTATTCTGTCTTTTTTGTTTGATAGCTCAACTATTTGCAAATGACCTGCATGGCAAAATCCTCTAGTCATCATCCTTGTCTTGTTCCACATAAACTCATAAACGGCGTCCAAAACATTAAGTCATTATAAACACACGAAAATCATGGCCCAGCCAAGAATCTCTACCACCATTCTCCCCCGTCCGTTAATTTCGCACTTGCGTATAAAAGGCTGCTTTCTTCTGCAGCCTAGAGGGGCCCGGTCTTGCTCGTCGGCCCGCTGCTTCTGAATTGTCTGCATCAGAGCTACTGTATCCATGGTCCCAAGCCGCGGGCGGAGGTGCGTCGTATAATTCGTTTGTTCCGGTTCTAGATAGATCAGAGCAGTACTCTGTAGCTCCGGCGAGCATTGGCTTCGAGCTGGCGTAAGAGCTTCTCGAGTGGGGAATCACAATCTCGCCGCCCATGGAAGACGAAGCCATGCTGCTTCGGTTGGCCGAAGAATTGCGAGAAGCCATTTGACGGGCAATGCTTTTGCGTTGAGCTTCGACCGACCCTTTGGGGGTATCCATATCCACTGGCTGCCGGTGTCGTGACTGTCGTGCATCGTTTGAACCGGCATATTTGTTTCGTGGAGGCGTCGAGGTGCTTGATGTAGGCGTAGTTTCGCGTGACGAGGATGGCATGGCAGTCTCCGTGGCATCCACTGGAATATAGTGCGCCTTTCCCTTTCCCTTTCTCTTTGATTTCCCTCTTGGATCTGTCGAGTCGCCAATAAGAGTGGGAGAGCCGGTGACGTGGCTGGCATCGGGCGTGTTAGGCCTTGATATCCAGATGCCTTCGACCTGGATACCCTTTTGTATTGCGCGCACCCCGAATGGAATATCGTTGATGCCGCGTGCGTTGATACCGCAGTACCGCATCTCTGCCAGCCGCACTCGCCGTTCTTCGTCTATCAATTCGAGCCTCGCAATTTTACGGTTGGTCCACCAGAGTCTTACAAGCCCAAAGGCAAAGACTAACACTATGCAGCATGCTAAAACCTGCATAAAGGTCAGGTCAGCCGACAACACAGCTGAGAGATGCAGAAGGATTGGCTTGGGAGGGCGACTTACAAATGTCATTTCCTCCCATAACTGCCACCCAATGAAGAAAGCACCCATATCGACGGAGGCTCCTGGAGTTTTCGCCGCCAGGACCGGTTTGTATCAGCGGACGAGTTGGAAGAAGCAAGGATCTGAAATCCGCAGGCTTTCTTCTGTTGTTAAGTATTTTCCGAATCCCAAAAACAACACCCGTCCCAGCAAGAAAGTAAAGTTTGAGAGAAGAAAAAAAAAACAGAAGAAGTAGAAGAAACGAAAGTGTGCAAAGGTCCGAGGGTGGCTCGAGTGTAAATCCACGTGGCGGTGGTGAGACCAAAAGCCTTTTGCCAGAGGAGGAGCGACACACACAGCGGAACCCGGAAGAAGAAGAAAACGAAGGACGAATTGGCGCGGGAAAATGGGAATAAGCGAGTGACACTTTTGGATTTGTACAGCACAGCACAGTAGCGGCGTCCAACATACAAGAAAGCGGAAAAGATGATCGGGATGCCGTCCTGAAAGGCGTTTTACGTGTGTCCCGGCACCCTTTCGGCGCCCCAGCCAGTCAGGCGAGCATGTGCGCAGTGGGACAGGATCAGGATTGCCGGGGATCTAGTAAGAAGATGCAAGGGATAGGCAAAGATGGGGTTCACAACACATGCACATGGGACTACATGGACTCTCGGATGGGCCTTGACTCGACACGGGAGGTGACTTGTGGTTGGACGCAAAGCTTGGCCCGCAGCCATGCAGCTTATGCCGCCTGCGACCTCGCAATGTGTGCCGCTTGTTGGCAGGTGTTTGTCGATCTAAACAGAAAAAGGAACAAAAAAAACAGACAATTAAGAAGAGGGGGACAGCACCGATCGGACCGACGAACAAGGGTGGAAGTGCATTCAGCTGGGGGGAATCCCTGGGGGAGAGAGGAGGAGGGATTCTGGGATGCGGAGAGGCTCTTTGGCTGCGGTGAATCGAAAGGACTTTGCCTCACCGGTTTTGTGGTCCCTTGCAGAGGGGGGCTGAGAAGAGAGAGAGAGAGAGAGACGTTGCCATGTTGTGATGAAAAGGGGTCATGGTTACGGTTACACAAGAGATTTACTCGTACATTTGGTGATGTGGCTGCATAACCTCGAGTTGTATTGGCCAAAGGGTCGGGTTGACATCTGCAAGCCTCAGGCGGTGATGAGATTTTTTGCTTGTTTGGGACTGGTAAGGATCCAGTGACAATGTCTCGGAGTGTGTCCATTTGTGCAGAGTCAAAGACAAAAGTCCATACCAAGTAAGCATAAGTCCTGGCAATGGTTTGTATCGAGTTGATTTATATAGAGGTCATAAGCAGTTGATGGAACTGAAGAGACCTTGGAAGATCTATGTAGGTCGATGGTTCATGTAGTTGACTGCATGTCCTAATTGGGTGGATGGCTTGGATTCGCGCTGTGTGGCGCCAAGCAGCTTAACCAAGTTGACTTCTAGCGGCATCAGACACTTACACCAGAGATTGCAGAGATTCTCTTGCAAGAGCAGCTAGAATTTTGCAAGTTTCTTTGTCCAACTTGGGTGGTATCAATGTCAGACATTCCCTACCTAAGCAGCGAATTAACGGCATCTTCATGGCTGACCCCATAGCCACTACTTACACAACATTTAATGGAAGAAAACGCCAGCCTCTTCCTCCAAAAGACAACTCCAAAAGAATCATGGCGCCAGCATCATCAACTTCCCTAAAAGTACTCGCCATCTGCCATGGACAATACCAACGGATTGAGCTTGGCATCGCCCCTCGTTCCGGTGAGTGAGTATATTTCGTCTTGAAGCAGTTCGGTTACATCAGGCATCCCACCAATAGTCCTCTTGATGCTGACCCCATCAATAAACTCTCCTGGTATCCTGGCCCTTCTATTCAACCCATCAAGATGGAGTACAACCTCCTTGGTGTTCTCATTGCCGGGGAAAATGGCCAGAATCCTGTAGTTGTCGGCGTATATCGCCCCGTGGACTAACACTTCGTTTCGAAACCAATCAAGGTTGCCAAGGCCTAAATCTCGAGCAATCTGCAAAGCGTCGTAGACCAAAGTCAACCCTTCTAGCCAAACGGCAACAATAACAACTTCTTCGGCCCCCCTACTTAGCATAAACTGCTGTCTCCGTAGAGCGGCCTTCCAGCTAGTAAAGAATGAAATGAAGGGCCCCTCTCGCCTCGTCCATTGGAGGTGATCTCTGCATGCTTGAGCGTCACCAGTGCGCCAAGGATTGCGTGCTATCATGTTTCCATGCTTATCGAAGGTGCAGTTTCCATGCGCTTCAACGCGGAACCCGATGCTACGCTGGCAACGGTAAGTTTGTAGGTCGAAGGCCATAGTCTATGTTTTTATGCCTACAACGCAAGATGAAGCAACGGAAGGGAGATTCGATGTGGGCAGCGCTGCTGAGAACATATCGTCTATCCACACTCCAGCTATTCCCAACGCCCGCACTCTGTAGATTGGGCAGCATTGTGGCTGGTCAACAAATCCTCCCAGGCAGCTCTTTGGTGCTGATTTGATCAATACGGCGCCCTGTACCTTTGTGTTACCATTGTTCACAGTCAGGCACCGACATCTGGTGGCGCTTTGTCCAGGCCATGCAAGCAACGTATGATGGCAGACCAAAGCGGCAGCGTCAGACGGCCGTTCCTATTGATCAGCCTATTCCGGATGGCGCCCATGCTTGTTCGGTATGGGCAAAGAAAAAAAAAAAAAAGGTTCAATGAAAAAAGGTTCAAAGGGAAGCAGTTTGCCACCGGAGATCTACAATCGCTTCACTCTAGTGCTGTTGACAACCACAGATGTGTGTCCTGCATTGCCAGCTTCAGAAGAGGCTTTTTTACTCAATCATTCCCCAAGAAGACGATGATCCCGGCTCAGCCATCGAAACAAGGTCTCCAACAACCCTGGCACAGCTCGGCCCCGGATTTTCAGCAACAAGCATGGCAGAGCGGGGAACAGCCCATCACAATCACCTTCGTAGATGTGACAAAGTGATAACGCTTCTGGGAACAAGTTGACAGGCTCTCTTGTTGGATGGTGGCGATTCCTTGATGATGAACTGCGAAAAGAGTGCTAGTTGATGTGGCAGATTTTTTAGTTACTGCAAGGTGAGGTAATAATGAGGAAGAAAACCTGGCCAAGTTGGTCTTGTTGGCGTTGGTTCAAAAGGTACATGTAGGTAGGGTTGTCCGAATGCCGCGGCTCAGGTGCCGGGCCAGTAGTAGTATCAACTAGACTACTCCTAATACATGTAGACAAACAAACACGCACAATCGGTAACTAATACGACATCCCACACTGTCATGGATCGTCATGACTCTGGCGGATAAAATGTCTTTGCCGCTACTCGGATTCGGGAGAGTCGTTTCCGGGTATTTTCAGCAGGGCCGGGCGCGTGTCTTTTTCCTTCGCCTTGGCTGGTGGCTCCACCGTCCTTGGCTTCACGAGTTCTAGCAATGCCCACGGCTTTTTAGGCGCTCGCTCTGCCAAAAGCCGGTCCGATACGATGAGAGCGACGCTGCATGAGAATACTACTGTACGAGTTAGTACTCAACCGAGCGGGCACCGGCTGGGATCAAAGTGCCAAGGGGAGCGGGTGAATGAATGAGAGAATGAATGGAAGAAAGCCTTGAAAGCCTTGGGCAGGCAAAGGCAGCCGAGGCCAAGCTGCGAGGCGGTGCAGCGCACAGCCAAAGAGCCAAGCCAAAGAGCCCAAGCCGTATAAGTGCAAAAGAGAGGCTGATCCAGCTCCGTCCGATACGCAGCACGAAGTACGCGGACTGTAGGTACTAAGACAGTGTGGAATCCAATCCAGCGAATCTAATGCGTGTGGTCGGCAAGGCACCGCCGAGAGGATGCGCAGATCTGATGTTTTGCTGGGCTGACCTTGTAATGGAATCGTCCATCTCTCCACGCTGTCTCTTGGGATGTCCATGTACATTAAATAGACTTTCCATTGCCCTGCTACCTATCTTAGTACTAGTTAGTATCTTGAGTAGTTGAAGCATTTCATCTGTAACAATACACGCAACACTGCCCATCAAATCAAAATCAGATCGCCCTCTTCCGCCTCGTTCGATCCAGAAAATCCGCCCCAAAACCAAAACCAAACCTAACCCAAAAGCCCCCCATCGGGGATTGTTAGACGCCGTTCCCGCTCTCCATCCAACTGCAACTGCAAGCACTAGCAAAAAGTGATGCTACGCAAAAACTGCCATCGGCCCCATTTGCAGGCCCTGATTCCCCCCCCATATCCGGCCGCTGATCCGTTCTAGCCTGACATCTGACCATTGGATCATTCAGGTCATCACATTCATGGCTTTTAAAGCTTGAACCCCTTGTGCCCCTTCCCTGCTTTTCTCGGCATGTACTGCACTCGTACCTTGGCTTTTTACTTTCCTCCACAGTCTAGACGAAGCCTTCCGCTTTTCGTACTCGTACATTGTATTAAAAGTCTCCGTTTCCCCCCATCAATTGCCTCTCTCTTCTGCAACTCGCAAACCGATATTCATCCCGCCGTCTGCGTACTAATTCTTGCCCGCGTCTCTCACAACTCCGGCGTATCGTGTCGTGTCGTGTATTACCGGGCTGTATCATATCGTATCGCCTTAATACTACTTAATTCCCGCCAAACAGCTCTCATCGTTCGCCATGCCGATTCGAAACCCTTTTACTCGCCGCCCCGGCGCTCTGGTCACAGTCGAGGACAATGTTTACACCGACCAAGAGCGCATTTCGCCCGGCTTTGAGCGAGTCGACACCGTGGGATCCAAGGCGTCGTCGGCTCTCAGCATCCGCAGCGCCAGAAGTCAGGATACCGGCGAGTATAAGATGAGTGGTACGTCGTGGGGTGACCGCCCTCCCTCGCATCCCTGCTCTGTGCCCTGTAGACCATGCCAGAGGCAGAGCGTCACACGACCGGCTCGCTAACCGCCTTTTCTGAATTGCAGTCGTCAATGACAGCGGCGTCTATCTCCCTGTAAGTTTGCATAGCCCCGTCGTTTTGCCTTGTGCACCGGTCGCTGATTGTCGATGCGAGCAGCCCTCACCGTCGGAGGAAAAGGCCCACTGGCCGCGCAGGTATCTCTCGTCGCGAGAATCGTCAGACAGCTCTGGCGATATTGAGCAGTTTTCCATTTCTCGAGAGTCCTTTGACTCGTACCGACGCTCATTTGTATGTTGTCCATTCCCGTTGTTCTGGCTTGCCTTCATTTTCTCGGGCACGGCATCAACCCCGCCTCCGATGCGACTCGCCTGAACCGGAGACTAACAAAGGCCGTCTAGGATATCTCGGCACGATCCCCCATTTCTGCGTACGACGTTCCCGCTCGCCAGAGTCTCGACTCAGCTCGATTCGCTCGAATGCCTAGGTCGGCAATCAACCGTCACATGGAGCAACTGCCCACCGCCGAGGAAAACTTTGAAGACGTCGGGCTCGAGGACCAGAAGCAGCCGCCCCGCAAACGAGGCTTCTTCTCCAAATTGACAGAGACTCAAGAGAAGGACTCCTCGGCCCAGACGGGAGTTTCGAGATTCCTCATGCCTGGTCGGAAGAGGGCGCAAAGTGGTCAAGGGGCCGAATTAGCTGCAATGGACCAGCCGGCACTGACCTCATCAGACTGAGAGATGCCTACCACGGGAAGCAACGACGACAACGACTCTGCAACTTGGAATAATTTATCGTACATACCTTTTCAAAAGTGTATCAGGCGCCCATGTTTTTTTTTTTATTCTGGACTATGGATATGTTTTATTCCTGCAACCACTGGCGTTTGGGACGATGTAGACGGTGGACGCACATTTGCCGCCGTCACACCTCTTGCAAGGACTATTGTATAATGGGGAGTTTGTATTTCGCATCCAAGGGTGCTGGCCGGTACGCCCCCGATCCAAAGGCTGGCAGGGCGGGAGGGTTTATGAAGGCGAGGGATTATCCAAGCAAGGGAAAAGCAAGACGACTTAATGATAATCACTTATGTCGGCGATCACATGCTTGATCGCTAATACAGCACATCTTACGTTTGATATGACCGTGCTATCGTCATCATGTCGACTATTCTCATCTGATAGAGTTCGTTCATTCTGAATAAGCCCTAGGGTTGTGATGCAATGAACAAGGCATAAAGTCTGTGGTCCTACCAACTACTAATCACCAGCGAATCACCAAGACTTGGTGAGGTAAAAGGCATGATGGTGCAAGCCCCCTGTGTGGTTGAATTTCTAATCTCGTCTCTTTTGTTTCCCACAACGCTTTAGTCGTTTTCCCTTGTCGCTGCCCGACTTGTTTGGCCTTTTGAGAAGCACTTGATAGCTACAACTACCGACTGCGGAAGCTGTAACTCCTCGGAGCAATTGCCTCTGTGCGGAAATTCACGGTACACTTCTACTTATATAGTAGGCCTATATGGAATGTAAAAGCAGCACGTTGACAAGAGGGCGTGCTTGTCGGGTAAATACGCCTTTAGCGGGGTGGAGTATGAATATTAATATGACATGCAAACGCCCTGCGTTGACAGGTTTTTTCTTCCAACATGCAGCTCTTCTGCAGCAGAAATTTGGGTTTCTGCTAAGGCGATAAGATGGATTGACGTGATCAAGCTGGACCAGCGGATATACTCCATTAGGTAGTGGGTAATTGAACGCTTGAGTAATACAGCGAAGCGACAACGGCGTTGGAGCGAGCGGGGCAAAGAGAGTTATGGATCGGGTTATAAAGGCAATGGGGGAAGCTTCATTGAGGAGAGAGTTTGTGATGATGCTTTGATGCAATTTGAATCTAGTTGAACTGATTTGACTTTTATCTGATTTGCATTGGTTTGAGTTGGAACACCAGGTATGTACTCTGTAATGGACATGCCTTGGCTCTGAATACACTCACTCACATGTGCTGACCCAAATGTAGATACTTGAACAAACTCACCCATACACAAGCACAAGCACAAGCACAAGCACAAGCACAAGCACAAGCACAAGCACAAGCGCAACCGCAAGGACACACAAACACAAACCGCAGTCACAGTCGCAATGGGCAACGCCTCAGACGAATACGTGCCCGACATTGCGGCGCTGTCGCTCGCCTCCAGGGCGGTGCACGCTGATGCTCGCATCGACGGCCACTCGGCCATTGCGCCCGGCCTGCACACCAGCACCACCTTTCGGTATCCCAACGACCCCGAGAGGCTCAAGCCCATTGCAGAGGTCGATGTGAGTTGGGCGATGAAGACGGAGATGAAGGATTCTACATGTTGGGTAAATACTGACACAAAGCCCGTGCAGACGACAAAGCCTCTCGACTTCCACATCTACTCGCGCCACACCAGCCCCAACATGGCTCGCTTCGAAGCCATCTTGACGTCCATCCTGGGCCAGCAGGCCATCACCTACGGATCCGGGCTGGCTTCCTTCCACGCCATGATCACGCACATCAACCCCAAGCGCGTTGCCATTGGAGACGGCTACCACGGCTGCCACGGCATTCTCAAGATCTTTGAGCGCCTCAACGGGCTCAAGACGCTGCCGCTGGACTGCGACCTCTCGGAGCTGGGGCCCGGAGACATCATCCACGTCGAGACGCCCCTCAACCCCACGGGCGAGGCGCGCAACCTCAAATACTACGCCGACAGGGCGCACAGCGTGGGGGCGTATCTGACTGTCGATGCTACGTTTGCGCCGCCTCCGCTGTTGGATCCGTTCGCCTGGGGCGCGGACATTGTGATGCACAGCGGCACAAAGTACATTGGAGGACACTCGGACATGCTGTGCGGCGTCCTGGCCGTCAACCCCAAGCACGAGACGTGGGTGAGCGACCTGCTCGCCGACCGGCTGCTCCTGGGCTCCGTGATTGGCAGTCTGGAGGGCTGGCTGGGCATGCGATCGCTGCGGACGCTGGAGCTGCGCGTCAACCGCCAGAGCGCCACGGCCACGGCGCTGGTGTCGTGGCTGGCAAGCCAGGCCAAGGACGACAAGACGGCCGCCGGCAAGACGATTGAGAGGATCCAGCACGCCAGCCTGCAGCCCGAGGCCGCCCAGGAGGGGAGCTGGCTGCGGCAGCAGATGCCCAACGGCTACGGGCCCGTCTTCGCCGTCACGCTCAAGAACAAGGAGCTGGCCAAGCGGCTGCCGGGGAAGCTGGGGCTGTTCCAGCACGCGACGAGCCTGGGAGGCGTGGAGAGTCTGGTCGAGTGGCGGGCCATGACGGACAGGACGGTGGACCAGAGGCTGCTGAGGGTGAGCGTTGGGGTGGAGAGCTTGGAGGACCTGCAGGCGGATCTGCAGCATGGACTGGAGGCGTTGCTGAAGGAAGGGCTTGCTTGACCTTGATTCTAGATGGTAGCTTGATGGCTTAAAACAGGTGAGGAGAGGAAGAAGGGAGATGGTGAACCCCTGGCTGGGCACCAGAGCAGCTTGAGCCTTTGATGAGCCTTTGATGGTATTTGCAATTGGATACTCATAACAATGCATAAGAAGAATGAATTGCATGAAAAGAATGAATTGAAGTTTGTCAACTTATGCAATTGCGTTTCAACAAAACATCCATTGTAAAGCATATACCTTTTGTTCTCTGTAAGGGGGTTTATAAAGTGTTAAAGTGATGGAGATCTAATGTCCAAGCGACTGGGCATCGAAAATCAATTACAGGGTCCCCCATCCACCCCTGCCACCGCTATCTGATCACTTAACTTGCACGCCTCCTAGCCCCTGGCTAGACCGCGAAAGCCTCAATTACCCCAAAAAACCCTTTCCCTTTCCCGCCACTAAGGGCGGTCTCTTTTCGACCGAGAAAGACAAAAAGACATTACTTTCTTTTCTTCCCAATTGCTGTCGAATTCTAATTGTATTAATTGCAACGACGACTACGAAAAGATTACCCCAAAGAGATAAAAGAAGAAGAAAAAAAGGACATAGTTCAACAAGAAAGAGAGAGAAAGAGAGCATGCCAGCAGCAGGCGGCATCCCCGTCTCCTCACGCCGCCTCTCCTAACGAGGGCACAAGAATCGAAACACCACTTGCCTCCTCCTCCACGCCGAAATCCTCCTCCTCCGAAGATCCTCGACCCTCTCTTCCCCGGCCAATGCCGCGCCTCAACCTCTTCCGCCTGCCGACGACCCTCCGGCGCCGCGTCCGCCGTAACCGCCTGACGACGCAGATGCTGCTGCTGGCGCTGCTCGTGCTGCTCGCCCTGCCGCTCTACTCCGTCTACTGCGTCTACAAGCCGCCGCGCTTCCTCATCGGCTACCTGCGCAACAAGTTCCCCGACGTGCTCTTCGAAGAACCCACGACGCAAAAGATCCTTGCGCTGTCGCTCGACGATGCCCCCTCGGCGCACACGGACGAGATCATGCAGGTGCTGCGGGAGAACGACGCCCACGCCACCTTCTTCGTCATAGGCCAGCAGGTCGAGGGGCGGGAGGCGACGTTGAGGAAGCTCGTTGCGCAGGGCCACGAGCTGGGCAACCACGCCATGCGCGACGAGCCGTCCAGCCGGCTGAGCAACGACGAGCTCGAGAGGCAGGTCAAGGAGGTCAAGGCGCTGCTGACGACGGCGTACGAGGCCGAGGGCAAGATCCTGCCCAACAACTACTTCCGGCCTGGGTCTGGCTGGTTCAACCATCGCATGAGGGACCTGCTGGGGAACCGCGGCTTTCGGATCGTGCTGGGGAGCATATACCCTCACGACCCCCAGATTCCTTACCCTGCGACCAATGCCAGGCATATTCTGAGCATGGCGCATCCCGGAGGCATTATTATTTGCCACGACCGGAGAGGCTGGACGGCGCCGATGCTGCGGATTGTGCTGCCGGAACTGAAGCGGCAGGGATATAGAATCGTCACCATTACAGATCTTGTGACGTCGGTTGAGCCATTGGGAGGTCGATCATGGTGATTTTTTTTCAATAAAGGAAGGATTGGCAAATGGGAAACATATTCAGAAATACAATATGGAGGAGTCACGTTTTTTTCTTCGTTTTATACACACATTGATTGCTTTTGTCTTTTTATTTCGTGGCATTGGGCGTGGGGTCCGCATACAGCACATTTACAAAGGGAAAAAATTACGGAGGGGGCAAAAGGTCAGGGAATGAGAAGAGCATCGTTATACAAAGCCCCCGGCAGACAAGGGAGGGGAGTACTGGAGTTGGGGACTCACGGGAAGCGTTGGAAAGCCATTCGCGGTAATATAAAGGAGCTGGAGGCGAAGGGGGAAATGAGAAAAAAGGATATCAGAGGACTATTTCTAGTGATCCATCTTGGCGCAGGAGCTTCGCGAGGTTATAGCGAGGGGATTTGAGCCTGTTTTCCAGAGAGGTTAGCTTATACCGTGTACTACTACGAATCCAAGATCTAGAGTACTGCTGGGGCAATATTAAAGGTCTCACGGTTCTAGGAATTGGGGGATACTTACGAGAATTCGAGCACGCCAGTGATGATACGTCTGTACCCGTCCACCAGCTCTTGTGCTAAACTGTGAAGATTCTCATCGTGCACATACTGACTGATGAATTCTCCCGCTGCCTCATCAAATTGCCGGACTGCGTCCTTGAGCTTCTGGAGCACCTGCGCCATGACCTCGTCCAACGTCGTTCCCGGAGTTAGAAGCGTGCATACGACGTTGATGGCGCAGCCCGAATGAAGCTCCTTCTTGAGTGATAGCAGATCGTTAACGTAGCTCGCCAGCACGCTGATCTGCTTCTGGAGAATCTTGACGGGCGGCGAGTTGATCATCTCCGGCGGCACGTCCCGGTTCATGGCATAAGGAACCAGGGCGAGGAACGTGCCGCCGGCGATGGTACCCTCCCGGAGCGCCATGTACTCGTCAAAGCTAGGAACGGTCTCGCTGAGGCGCATCTTCTGTTCGGTCGAACAGGCACCAATGTAGATGGCGAGCTCATCGTACATGCGCTGGCGCTCATGGAGCGGCGCCTCCTCTGCGTACCGCTGCCCAAAGTCGACCAATACTGCGTTGATGGCATCGACCTCACCGTCTGGAGCTGTTCCGGGCAGATTCAATGCATCTTTGGCGATTGCCAGCGTTCTCTCGCGCCATTGCTCGGCGCGGGCGAAGTCTGTCCCCAGGTCGCCTTCGACGGTGTCGACGGTGTCGTCCCAGCAGACTACCCATACCACATACAACACCAGGGCCTCGAGACGCAGCTTGGGCGTGAGGGGATACCATAAACATGCTAGTAGGGCAATATCATCGCGCAGGCGGCGCTCAATCTGTAGATGGGGAGCGATGGCGGCGATCTTGAGGATGGTGTTGGTGGTGAGGGTGACGGAGTCTTGGTAATGCTCGTTGAGGGTCTGAGGGGGCCAGGCTTGGAAGAGAGCTGTGAGGTTGGGGATGCGGAGGGTGTGGCCTTTGAGGGCGGCGATGATGGCGGCTTGGGAGGACATGATTGATGCTGGGGGGGGGGGGGTTGAAATGGTTGAAAGGGTTGGAGGGCCGGTGAAAGAGGTTGAGATAGAAACAGATGGTGGGGTGAGTTGATGTAGGTAAGCTTACGGTGCAAGTAAACGGCGGCTTCTTTTCTTTTATGCGAGCAAGCTATATGCTTACTATGAGCTGATGGATAATATCCACTAGAGAGAGAAAAAAAATACAAAGGCCTGATTTGTAATTGATGCTACGGAAATACATGAAAGAGCGTGAAAAGGTGGCATGAAACCTGCAACACACTCACATGCGTGGACCAGCAGTACAATATCACGGGGACGAGACCCGTGGAGCTTACATGAGCGTTATACTGCCCTGGAATGATAGAAATAAGAGCCCAAACGGAAGGTATGTAGTCCTTTTCAAGGCCTCGGGGGGTGTTAAAAATGCTGTGAAGGAGTTCCATATCACACATCCCTGGTTGTTCTCTCAATTGTTTTCGCAACAGGCGTCAGCAACATGTTCACAGCACTTTGACCCCTCCCGAGGCCTCGAGCTCATAGAAAGGGATGGGGGAGGGGTTCAAGATACGTCTATTGCATGACTCTTGGTGAGTTTGCTTTATGCGATTGCCAAAGCCACTCAGATACCTGATTCATGAATCTCATCAGCCCAGAAAATAGACGCGCCCCATCAGGGGCAGTCCGATGTGAATGCTATGCCAAACAGCTGCGATGCCGTATAGCAGTATTCCCAGCATTCCAAACCCAATATGCTTCATATTACCGGGCGATTATAATGAAAAATTCGAGAGCTTAAGGTTGACGTTAAACCTGCACCTCATTTACGGAGTAGACTTATATCATAATATCTCCAGAATAATAGCACGGGACTCACTCTGGTTGAGTGTTGTATGACGGAGGCAGCTAGGCTGTGGAGGTAACATAACCACCATACTGGTCTGGAATGCTAGAAATAGGCTACATGCAGGCTTTCAAGGTCTTGGTGAGTGTTAAAAATGCTGTGAAGGACTTGTGACTCAGGCTCTGCACGATACGATACGGCTGTTATCGCGACGGCCATTGTCCAATTAATCACTGACAGTTCCCAAGTGCAGCTCGCATAGCATGGCTAGCTGCAAGGTTCCTGCATCAGACTTTGGTGGGCCTATTTCAATATCCTGGAGGATGTTAAAAATGCTGTGAAGGTAAGCCATATGCGAACAGCTCAACGAGTATTAGGGTAGTACTTAGAAAATTCCTTTTCAAAGTCCCGGAGGATGCTAAAATGCTGTGAAGGCGTATACCGTCGTTATGGTAGGCGCGGAAAGCGCCTGTTTTCACATATGCGCCGGAATGGAGACGCTTCTTATTGGTAGGGATGGTCCGAGGTGAAAGATAGGTATTACCGGCTGCCATGTCTCAAAATCATATCGCATGATAATGGTCAACTGTCCAAGGCCAAGGTGCCGTAATCTATTGAATCATGTCTTTTGCGCGAAACCTTGCACTGCATTCTCTCTTTGTAACGTCATTGATGCCTCTCACCAACCCACATGCACATGAATTTCAACTACCAAAACAGACAGCCTCACTTCAACGTCCCCCTGCTACAAAACACCAATCCCAGCACCCATCGGCACTCCGGCTCCCAAACCTCCCCTATTTTACCACTTATTATCCCATACCGGCAAAAAAAAAAACCAAGTCCAGGCTAATTTCACCTTCATCCACCAAAACGGACACCCCATCGGCATCCTTTGAAACAAATCAGCCGCAGCCCCATCGCGTGATTGGCTGCGCGGCGCGTGGGGCCGAGTTGAAACATTGTTGCAGGGATCACGCCAATCCTCCCGCTGACATTCCCATGGATTCTTTCGCGTGGCATCTCATCTTAGCTAGCTAGCCTACCACGCTGCCATGTCTAGAGAGACAGAGACGATCGGGCCGTCTGACTAGCTTCCTGTCTGCCTTCCAAATGCCGTATCATAAGCCGCTAGCATCTGTCACCAGTAATCACAGACGTGAATCAGTCACGGAGGGGGAGAGAAGGAGAGTACATCATCAGTGGATAATATGTGCAGTTGTTTGTGACTGGTGAAATATTCACATCGTAAAATAAGAGAAATTTGGTAGAGAATATGAAAAAAAAAAGACGCCAATTTAAAAAAGCATTTCCCATCCGTTATTCAACGCCACATCGTCTCCTGTTTCAGGTATATCAAGCAGCCAATCCAAGTACCTAGTAATGCTAATATTCTAGACCCCACACCGAAATCCCATCCATGTCAACAGACAGAGTAGAAGAAGAAGAGGAAGAAGAAGAAGAGAGAAAAAAAAGGGAAAAACAAGTCATCGCTCAAGCAGTTTACTCATGGCGGTACAGGCCTATGTCCGGACAATTTCGATATGTACAATGACGCGGCAGCGGAGTTTTTTTGCTGTTTCGCATTATCGGCTTGGGCATTAGATCCAGAGCGGGGCCGCAGCTGCAGGAGCTGGGTGACTAGGTTCCGAGAAGAAGATGGAAGACATGCCCTGGATCATGCTCAGATAGTCGTCGGGACGCAGCCTGACGAGGCCCTTGGAGCGGATGTACTCCGAGTCCTCGTCAGCTAGCTCCATCTGGGTCACGGAGCTAAACTCTTCCGCAAGTTCCGTCAATTGACCCAGTTCCGGTCCAAAAGGATTAGAGTCCTTGGATACGTGATGTTGCGCTGAGATGGGAGGTTGCACAGGCAGGGGGGTCGGGGCTGATTGGGCCGTAGGAGCCGTAGGAGTCTTGAGAGCCCTGGGGGCTGCGAAAGCCATGGGGGCTGCGGGGGCTGCGGGCGATGTAGGCTGTTTCAAAGATCGATTCGAGATGGATGAAGAATGCGCCGAGGAGTGCGTCGATACGGACGGGGTTCGGGAGAAGGCCTGGAGACTCCGGGACGCGGCAGACAGATCTGAATCTCGAGAAATGCGGGATATGGATCGCGACCTGGCAACGGCATCGACCGAGTTCTTCTTGGTGTGCGTAGGAGAACGCTGGGGAATCATCGGAGCGGGCGCAGGCTCGGGCTCGACTGGGGCAGCGGTCTTGGTCGAATTCTTAAAGTAGCCTGAAAGGTGGTTCGGCTTGGGAGAAGGCGTGCGCTCGCCTGTCGCAATGTCTGGGCTGGTTGGCGGCGTCGATTCGTTGGTGGCGAAGCTGTCGGAGTCGTCGAGAGATTTGGCAGAGTTGGTTCGTGCAGGAGCAGTAGGAATAGCAGGGACGGCGGGGACGCGAGGGACAGCAGGAATAGCTGGGCCGCCTTTGGGCAGATCGGGCGCGTTGTATGAGAGCATGTTGGTAGTGTGAACCAGCTGGACGGGAGCCGAGATCTTGTGGCGAAGGGTATGCGAGCGATGAGGGCCCTTGCCGTCGCCGGAATCAGAGCCCAGCTTGAGCTTGCGCGTAGTAAAAGCTCGTGACAGAGACATGGTGGCGGTGGTCGTTTGAGTTGGAGGAAAACGAAGTTGGCGATGGAGGAACGAAGGAGAGGGTAAAAGTAGGAGACGGAGACGCGGCAGAAGACAAAGGACGATTTGGTGTCACTCTGTACGACCGACTGACTCTTGTGCGAGCAACCACCACAAGCGAATGAGGTGGTCAGTGAGGTGAGGGACAAGATGCCACAACCCGATCTGGAAGTTGAGTGTGAAGCCGTGTGACCAGCGCTCACTATCGAGGGCTGGGCTGATGACGGAAGACACACACAAGCAAGCTGGGAAACGTTGCACAGGGGGCCTCTTGGTGGAGGTGAATCCAGGCTCAAGTCGGAAGGTGACTTGCGGGATTCAATGACAGATGAGCGCTGAAGGGCCGAGCAGATCTGCGCTCAAACGGGATGGAGATGGAGATGGTGGGAAAAGTGTGAAAATATGAAGAGAAAGAGGGCAACTTGATTCACGCCAGGTGATGATGTTGCTGAGTTGGTTGGTTTGTTGGTTGGTTGCGGAAGGGCAAAGTTTGCGACTGGAAAGTGTCCGGCTACCTTGTTCTCACCCTTGTTGCGAGAGTGTCGATGTACTGTTTGTGTGAGATGCAGAGATTGATTGCTGTCGCACAAACGATCAGATAGGGCGGAGTCTTGTCCTGGTTGGTCGCTTGTCTTGTTTTGAGATGCGAGCGAAGCTTTGCCTTGAGAGATGCCAAACGGAGGGAGAGATGGCAGGCAACTCGTTGAAATTTTTTTGGGTAGTGAGAGAGAAAGGAGAGTAGATGAGACAAGATAACAAGCAGCCAAGTGCTAGAAGTAACGAAACGATCAACGTTTGCAAGTTGAAGGAATCAAAGGCCGGGCTTTTTTTTTGAGATTGCCGAATGTGATGTGTCGAGAAGACGTGCCTTGATGTTTTGAAAGAAGAGGAGAGAAAAAGTTGGGCGGCAAAAACAGCGTTGGCGTCGGGCAGTATGGCGTATAACGTGAAGAGGGAGAGAGACGATAAACGACACGATACGGCGACGAAGAAGAAGAAGAAAAGATGTCAAACAGCTGTAGATGCGCGCTCGCAGCAAGAGAAGCGAATAACGGCGGCCGGTGCTATTGGGAAGACGCAACGCAACACAGCCCTTCTCGGCGAACGGAGAGCAAAGAAAAGAAAGGTCGAAAGGCGGGACGAGGCGGCGCGATGGAGGAGAGGCAGCAGAACCAAAGATATGGAGCCAAGGCCAGCATTTCCCGCAGCGAACGAACGAACCCATGATGGCACTGCGCTTGTCCTCCGAATCCCTGCCCAACCCATTCATAGGCATTCACGCCGGCTTCACGCCAGGGCCGGCTGATTGGCCCAGCTGGCGACTCCATCACCAGCTCGAGGCTTCAAACCCCTGGCTAAGGCCAGGCCAGGCTCCGACCCATGCCCGTTCGGGAGGGTGCAGAATGAAAGGATGGTGCGAAGAAAAAAGTGCAGGGAAGCGCCCTCTTGCATTTCGGCCAATGGTCATGAGCCATGTTTGGTTGGCCACCATCACAGGTGGCGGCCCTTTTTTTCTGTCTTCTTTGTTGGTTGATGGAATGGCGATAGAGCAACTGCTACGTACTAGTAGGTAGTACAATAGTATTATCCGGTGGAGGGAAGGGGGAACACTGTGTGGGTTGGGTTGAGTTGAGTGAATCGGGCTGCAGGTAACCAAAGTTGATCTCGCCTCCGGACGGGGCAGAATGACGAGGATGGAGCGTATAAGTGAGACGAAGGATCGGATCGGGCCACCGAGGATTATGGGAATGATGCATACTGGACATGTACGGCTGTTTATTACAAGAGGTATTCTATCGGATACTTGGGAGGTGAAAACTGACTTGACTAAAGGCTCGGCCAACTTGAAAATCACATTCATAGGTATCTACATACCTACAAGCAAGTTATTAGATACTGTGCAGCGTAGATGGTGGCGCTTTGCTCACAGCAAAATCCCCTTTTCCCTCTCTCTTTATCCACGCATAAATGCTGCCAACTAGCAGAAACACGACTCAAGAGAGGTACTCGTACTAGGTAACTGTCAGCGTACATGTCCATACATACATGTACATTTCTGCACGCCGAATAAACAACAGCCAAAACATCCGTTTCGATCACAGTCATGCATGCAATATGCCCCCC